TCTCTTGAGTTTTTGCCGCCTTTCTCTCGTTTCTTTGCTCCTGCATACAGGATTGTACTGATGCTCTCAGATGTGGTGTCCCTGTGAGTAGTAGCTTGTTACTGAAATCTTGGCCATTTTCTCTCCTTTGGTACATCTCACAGTGAGAGGGTAGGGTGTGTTATGACAATCTGAGAGACTATAGTTTTGCAAGGGACTCTCAGCAAATTTGGTTTATCTCGTGTGCATAGTCAGGTGACGTCTACTGTCACTTGTTTTAACTGCCTGGACAAGTTAATAAGCGGTGGTATTGGACCAGATTCAACAAAATAGTTCCCCTCCAAAAGCTCTGGGGGGGTGTTGAGGGACACCCCCCCCCCGAAAAACATGTGGTTGGGGGGAGATCATCAAGCAAGCAGAATTGCTTGCATTGATGAAGCAATCTCCTTAGTACTACTTTGAATACCATCCAATATTTCTATCTAAAGAACTTACTGCTCACTGTAACTCACTGACTTGGACAGGACGACACACCTACAATCCATCAAATCAAGATATAAACTGGGACACACTTAGGTTTACACAAACTGTTGAAGGATGTTTGGAGGCTTGAAACTTGAAGCTCTTAATTTCTTAGAGCAATAAAATACTGCTTAAGCTTAGTGTGCGGAAGAGCTCCAATAGTGAACAAAATATATTCTATCTGGAAGGCTACAGAGTTCTCTGTTCTGCTGTCAGACCAGCCCAAGGGAATTAGCTGAACCCTGGAATCTTGTCTTAAGCCAAGCTTTCCTTTACAGTAAATATTTGTATGCTGCACAATTTTCCCAGTACTTATCCTATGCCTTTTTAAGGCCTTACAATCTGTCTCCATATATTGCTGCATTCCAAAGCTTCTATAGATTTGTCTTCTGGGATCTTTGTCAAATTGTATCATATTTCTTCCAAAGTTGTAGTATTCTGCCAACAGTATTCCACACTGTCTGTTTGTATAAACCCTGAAAAAGCACAAATGAAATGTACACATTTCATAAGCCAATTGATATCCTGTTGGAGTATATAAATACTTAGTGGTGTTGCAGATTTCCAGTTTCTTCTATTTATTTTGAACCTCATTAATTTGTATATTTTTGTGATTTTATTGGGAAAGTTTATTTCCTTTAGATAAATGATTTTTCTTGTTTAACTTTCATGTTTAAGTGGTCCCCCCACTGCATACTTCATCTTTCTTTTATTTACAAGGGGGTGTGCGTTGGTGACATTATTATTTTTTTAATTAGCAGTTTTGAGTAAAGGAGCCCTGAAAGGATGTGTTCTTTATGTTTGGTTTGACTTTATTAACTGTTAGCAATGGCCTTGTAGATTATCTATTTTACTTTCCTGTTGTAGGGAGCAGGAATTCTGATGGATATGCACTAATTTTTTCTTGAATAACTTTGAATAACCAGTGCAAGTGTTTCGTTCCTGACGTGTCATATCCAAAATATACACTAGCATGGTTTCTATTTATTTTACATGGGTTTTGTTTGTTTGTTTGTTTTTGGGTAGAGGAGTGTATATGGGAGAACATGCCTGGCATCTATTTGTAAAATAGGCTTGTTTGTGGAAGGAAGATGTAAACTTTTGAGATTCGTACTACTAATTAGCTAGAATGTAGCTAAGTAGAGACCAGCAAAAAAACTTCTGCACACACCAAAAACCTGCTTTGTGAGTGTTGTAGCTTACTCAGTGATTTCTTGAGTAACTCTCAGGTGTCTCCCCCCCCCCCCTTTGCCGAAACAACAATCTATTGACTCTTCTAATCTGAGTGCTCTGACTAAGGGAATGCAGGGAGATAATTGAGAAATAACAGCAGAATCATACAATGGGGTTGGGGGAAGGGGAAAATATGAAGGCAGCATAACTTAACTTCTTCATGATTGGATGTAAGCATTGCCCCTGTTGCCCGTCCACTGCTGGCATATAGCCCTCTGAGAAGACTGCCTATGAAGCAATGTGCCTCTTGGATCGGACTAAAAAAGATTCCCCACCAATGGGTCACAGTATTTTTTGCCACACTGTTCATGCAAAAAAAGCCAACTCCTGCTGTTTATAGCATTTAGTAATAAGATAGTCCCTGCTCTCAGGCTTACAATCTTGTCTGGTAGAGCTGTTTACTTTGTTTGAAAGAATAGCAAAGCATAGTCTGTACACTACTTGAAAAAGCATGTTCTCCATAATATATGGTAAAGGGTCCTTACCACAGTTTGGTCCTAATACGCTGAATGCAAGTATAGCAGCAGGATTTGGGAAGGCACATTAAGAAATTAGTAAACAGTCGGTGATATTCAGTCAACCAACCAGTTTCCAAAAGATGTATAAAACTAGTCTTATACATAGACTCTTTGAGCATGTTGTAGCCTAGGGTGGTAATATGCTGATGGCAACTTTGCCCGAAAGGCTTATTTGGATTGCCACTGTGTTGGCCCTCTGGCACAGCTCAAAGAAGGGAGATGTTTGAGGTAGAATGGAGTCAGAAGGGGTTTCAGCTGGAGTTGATGTCACAGACCCAAATATTATTGTATGCTGACAAAGTTAAGTTAAAGGCGGCAGCAGTGGCAGTTAGTATCACTTAAAAATAAGGCAAAGGAAGGATGGTCAAAGAGGCCAGATAAATAATGTTATGCTTAAGAAGTAAAATGTAGTCAACAGTCTTTGCGATGTTCCAAGTGCTCCTTCTGCACAGTCATAAATGAATTCAATTTTCTTAAGGTGTTTGGGAAAGTGTGGCTCTTTGCTTGGCACCTTTGCAAGAGCCTGAAAATACACTTGTATTCTGTCTTCCTTGTCTAAGGAGATTGAAGTGGTATACATACATAATCTCCCCCTTTTATCCTCACAACCACCTGGATTGCTGGTAGTACATGTGAAAAGGATCTATGGGTCTGAGTAGACCACAAGCTTAACATGTGTCAACACTGTGATGCAGCAGCAAAAATGGCTAATGCTATTCTAGGCTGCATCAACAGAAGTACAGTGTTCAGATCAAGGGAAGTAATAGTATTACTGTATTCTGCCTTGGTCAGACCACACCTGGAGTACTGTGTCCAGTTCTGGGCACCACAGTTTACGAAGGATGTTGATAAGTTGGATTGTGTGCAGAGGGCAACTTAGATGACCAAGGGTCTAGAAACAAAGCCTTATGAGAAGCAGTTGAAGGAGTTAGGTATGTTTAGCCTGGTAAAGAGGAGACTAAGAGGAGATAGCAGTCTTCAAGTATCTCAAGGGCTGTCACATGGAGAAAGCTTGTTTTCTCCTCCTGCTCTGGAGGCTAGGACTTTAACCAATGGATTTAAGTTACAAGAAAGGAGATTCTGACTAAACATCTGGAAGAACTTTGACAGTAACAGCTGTTCAACAGTGGAACAGACTCTTACAAGAGGTGGTGGACTCAGCTTCCTTGCAGGGTTTTAAGCAGAGGTTGCAGGGCAATCTTTCTTATATGATCTAGTTGAGATTTCTGCACCTTCATGGGGTTGGACTAAATGACCCTCAGGGTCTCCTCCAATTCTGTGAAAAGCAGCAACCCTTTTACAGATTGTTTCCAAATTTCCCCTAAAAGTGCTGCTAGAAATTTAAGATTGACACAATAAAATTCTGCTGATACAAATGTAAGAACTAGGGTATTGTTCTGATGTAGTATGCAAATGCCTCTTCTCATGGTCTAATTTTGCTTCTTGACTTTCCAGTTCTTTTCCTCACTTATCTCTCACTTGTCGGTGCTCATTTTTCTGTCCATTTTCACTAGCTTCAACAGAAGGATAAAAGCAGGAAAAAAGTCTTCTTATTTCTTAGCTTGGAAAGCCAAGGCCAAGTTGGTTTCAGGTAGGGAGGCCTTTTACTCATTTATGAAACGGCATATGTTTGTTCTTGTGGCTGGCTGCTGTGGGGGTGCAATTTGTAAGGCTGAACTTGTAGACATCTGAGAACACTGATCTCTTGCCTATAGCCAGGATATCTTCCAGTATTGATTAAGAGAAGAGCACTATTTTGCTCTTGCTGTTCTTTACCAGTATGTATCCAGCTCAACACCAGATCACTAATAGAGTTACCAGCTAGACCGCTTTCAAGTTAACTAATGCTCTCCAATTCTGCTCCCGTTTTCTGGGCAGGGGACCTTATCCATACAACTCTGATGGCATCACCTTACTCTAGTATATCTACATTTAATGCATATATCTAGATTCTATGCTGTCAGGCTGCTGTCTGCCTCCCAGCCATCATTGTTGGGAGAAGATTATAAAGTACATTGTATTCCACGCTGCATACAGGCTTTTCTAGTTATAACAAGTGTTAGGCAAGCAGTATGAAGGGAGGGTTAAGAGAAGTAGATTCGTCAGTATTAGACAGACATTAAAACAGCTTATTATGAAACCTCATGATTTATTTAGTTTGCAGGTCCATCACAGGAGCACCAGCTTCTCCTGCTGATTTACAGTTCACCATATTTTAATAATGGAATAGAACTAATTACAATCAACTGATTCAAAATAAAACTTCTAATACTTCAAAATAGGGCCTCTATTCAGTCTTTCAAACTTCAATGGCACAGAAGTAAGGAACTCTATACCTTGGGAAACAGTTTACTGCCTGCTTGTATGAATAAGAGAGAGAAAAATGTGCTTTAACTTAACAGCCGGCACTTACAGCCAGAATGCTATGCCAGGCCCTCAGAACCATTTACAAACAATATGGATCAGCCCTTCAACCATTTTCATTCTAGGAATGGCAGTAACACAGAGTGGCAGCAATAAGGATGTTTTGCTGAAGGGGGCTTCTTCCTCTACATGAAGGCTCTAGGCCTGTGCATATACACATACCCCATCTCCTATGACTCTGTATCAGAGAATAGAACGGCTGCCAGCTGAAACATTGCATCTTACAGGTTGTTGTTCCTAATTTGAGCCTAAATTGTTAGCCACAGGAAGAGGCTAGGAAAGGTGACACAAACCTTTTCTCTTCACAAACTGTATAGCTCTTGATCACTGTGGGTTAGACAGAAATACAGTATTAATCTTTAACTGAGACCTAATCAAAATACAGCATGACATTATCTCTTACTAGCAGAGATAATTTCAGAGTGTAGAACAAGCACACGGCATAAGGACCCATTTGAAGGTCGTATAATACATGCACCACATGCCAAGACTAGGGATGATAAAAGCTTTGGGATCTCAGCAGGAGAAGAACTAGCTATCAGCCAGATCAAGAATTTGTGGCATGATAGTCTTTCTTGAACCAGCCCCAAACAGAAAGAGCAGAAGCAGAACTGCACTAGAAGGAGATTAGAGGATTAAACCATTTCAAAAACAAAACTTGTGCTTGATGGGGTTCAATTTGACCCTGGAATTGCCACCATTTCCATGCATACAGTATTATATATTAGGATACATCTTTCCCCCAAAAGGGTCAAAGGGTATCAGCTGTGAGGAACTGGTACTGGGCTACTGTGATTGCTGCAGGACCCATGGCAGGCTCACTGCACCAATTCCAAACCATGTCTTGGAGGCAGTTTTGAAATGCACAAGAAAGAGGAGCAAAGGACCCACAAGCAGCTCTTCCTTCCCATGTTCTATAGGTAGAGCAAGCAACGCAGTTAGGCATCTGTATGTGGTCCTACCCTCACTCAGTGCAAAATCCTTTACAGTTGGAATAAGTCTGTAAAGAATAAAGGGTTTCTGATTAGTGTTAATTTTGTTGTCATCCCCACCCCATACCCCAGGACTAGTGGGATTCTGTTCCTGCTAATCACTGCTATAGCCACGCTTTGGCAGGTTGTGTTCAGATTTCATTTCTATTCTTCTTCCTCTTCCTCCTCCTCCTCTTCTTCTTCATCATCATCCTCATCATGGCAATGTGTGATTTCTTGGGGAGTTTGAGGGAAGAGGTTGGGTGGTTTAATCTCACTCACAGAACGGGTCAGCTGGTGCCGTTTGTCAGAATCTTTGAAGTCCACTGATGTGCGGTTTCGGGTGGCCATAGGTGACTCTGTCTCATTGATATCCACATGAGTGTGCTCTACTGTTGACTCGTGTGGCATCTGCATGGAGAGATACATACCATTGTTCAGAGAAGATTAGCATCGTCACATGAGAAGAGCTGGCTCAGTTAGGCCAGTGGCCCATCTAGTCCAGCCATCCTGTTCTCACAGTAGCCAACTAGATGCCCATGGGAAGCCCACAACAGCACGCTACCCTCCTGCAATTTTCCACAACAGGTACTTAGAAATATATTGCCCCACCTTATCCTCCACAAATTTGTCAATCCTCTCTTAAAACCATCCAAGTTGGTGGCTATCACTGTGAGATTGTGGGAGCAAATGCTACAGTTTAACTATGCATTTTGTGAAAAAGTATTTTCAGGACAAAGGAATCTTAGAACATTCAGCTCCATTGGATATCCCTGAATTACAAGAGAGGGGTATGCTTCTATACCCACTTTCTCCTTGCTATGCATAATTTTATAAACTTCTACCATGGCACCTCTTACTCTCCTTTTCTCGAAACTAAAAAGGCCCAAATACTGCAACCTTTCCTCTTAGGACTTGCTCTATCTCTTTGATCCTTCTGGTTGACTTTTTCTGGTAACTTTTAACAACTCTACAATATTCTTTTCAAGGTGAAGCAACCACAACTGTACATGGTGCCCAAGTGCAATTGCACCATAGAGTTGTATAATGTTGTGATAGTGGCAATTTTATTTTCAGCTCCTTTCCTAATGATCCCTAGTATGGAATTCACATTTTTCACAGCACACACGTATGCTAGTACAGTGAGTGCCTGACTTCTACCACTTATTATACTGTTACCCCACAGAAAATTTATGAAATTGTTTAACCCTAGCCAGTGTCTCCCAATGTAGCCATCTGCCACATCCATTTAAAAAGTTTTTGAGTCTAATGCTACCAGCTACATTAGAATGTCCCTCGCTCTATTCAGACTTGGATAGTGTGTGTACTTCTCTGAATGTTGTTACTGTTCATCTGCAGCTTCATGGATTCCAACTCACCAGCACATGGGCAGCTCTGAAGAGGTAACTGAAGGGATAATACAGAAGGTTGATGAATGATGCTGCATAGAGGTCTGCGTAGCGCATCACTTGGCTGGCAAAGAGTGTCTGTCGGGAGCCGCTTCGAAACAGGCTTCCCATCATTCCATAGCACATGTCCATGTCATGAGTCACTTTCTAAAATGAGAAGGCAAATTAGACATTTGGTCACTTCGGGGAAGGAGCAGTTTTACATACTTAAAAACTATTGCAGGTGCAAGAGCACCATGTGTACACTAGAGCACACACAAGTTTCTGAATCAGAGGCATTGACTGTAAAGAGGCAAAAACTGGAAGTCCCAAATGTGAGAACACCAGCAATATACGGTGCCTTCCAGGAGCATTCCACCATAGAATAAGTTTTTGTGTTCCTTAGCAACATGACAGATGGGGAAAAAAATAGAATTTGACAAAAAAGGGGGGGGGAGGATAAGCAAACAAAACACAAGAGGGCTCCAGGCATACAGGGGTTTATGCCTTAAAAACCTGCAAGAGAGTATGCGAATGAGTGGTGGTGTGGGTTTTGTGTTTGAGCCAACAGCATGAACCCTATGACCCATATAATTCCTCTGCTCAGGACTGCACCTCCCCAAGGCTGCTTTTCATTTTAAAATAGGTTGGGAGACTACTACCTGCATCTGCCATGTAAGCAGCTTCAGTGTGTTTCCTCTGCCTACTGTTTCATCATCTTACGTTTCTCTGACTCAAGTCTATTTGATTAATACAACTATCCAACACTCCCCTCATTTATTATCAGTACAGATTTACTCAGCCATTAGGCCCTATGGAGGTTTTCCAACAAGCATCTCACTTCATTAGCTCCTCCTTTTATCAGCTCCCCGTCTTGTATCTTTCTCTTCCAACTTCTCTCAGGTTCCTCTTTTGGTCCACTGCCTGTCCAGCTCCTTACCTCCCCGTCCCCTCAAATCGCCCTCTAATGAAGTTAGCACAGATTGCTGCACTGGAAAAGGGAGCAAAATAGCACTCTGTTTTTAAAAAAAGGTAAAGGTAAATGACCCCTGACAGTTAAGTCCAGTCGCAGACAGTTTTTCCGGGTCATGTGGCCAGCATGACTTAGCCGCTTCTGGCGCAAGGGAACACCGAAACCAGAGCAGGGCACGGAAATGCCTTTCACCTTCCCGCCAGAGCGGTACCTATTTATCTACTTGCACTGCGTGCTTTCGAACTGCTAGGTTGACAGGAGCTGGGACTGAGCAATGGGAGCTCACCCCGTCGCGGGGATTTGAACCGCCGACCTTCTGATCAGCAAGCCCAAGAGGCTCAGTGGTTTAGACCACAGCGCCACCCGCGTTCCCCAGGATTCCATTTACTAGTTACCTTAATACGTCTTTGGATGGAACTGATGTCAGGACGCTCATTACTGCTGCTATCCAAATGCCTGTTTGAAATAGGAAAAAAAACAATATCAACAGAGCACATGGAAGATAGATGTGAGGGTGGATGTGGGAAAGCAAATACTAATTGAGAAAAGTTGATTATATCAGGCAAAACTGATACGCACAACAATACTCTCTTCCCCACCCCCAATTCTAAGTTAATGTGGAGCCCTTTGACAGAGTGCAGCTGTCCACTAAAAAGGAAGCACTCCCTCTAATGAGTTAGTGGATGGAGTATTGGGTTATATTCTAAAGAGAAAAATCCATTACTTACTTGTATAACTCAGCGAGAAAGATGTCTAAACTCTGAAGTTCTTCAAAAAGGCCTAAGCAGCAAAGGGAAGGCAAAGTAAAAGGATATTATGGCAGTGGATCAGCTGAAACAAATACTACATAGACTATTACTTATCACACAATATTACAATATGGGAAAACAGATCTGGCAACAGACTGAGGATTCTATCTGCTTTCCAAATTGCATTATTATTTGTTGATTTATAGAATTATAGAGTTGGAAGGGACCCCCAGGTCATATAGTCCAAACCCCGCAATGCAAGAATCTCAACTAGATCATACATGATGGATGACCATCTCTGCTTAAAAACCTCCAAGGAGAGTGCACCACCTCTTGTGGGAGTCTGTTCCACTGTCAAACAGCTCTTTAGAATACAATCTTACATTTTTTGCCATATATGCTTTGATAAAACTCATCTGACAACTCAGATGGTGTAGAAGTTTCAGACCTAGCCCTTTATTTCAACTTTGTGAATGGTGGGAGCAGCCATGTGGCTAAAAAGAACAGAATCTATAATCTTATAGTGGAACACGGCAGACAGTCTCTTGAATATGTTTGCAGTGTGTCAAATGCCCTCTCAATGTCTAGGACAGGCTCCCCCAACAGAGTATCTTTCACATGCTGTACTACAACTCCCATCATCCCTGAACATTGGCCAAGCTAGCTGAGACTGCTAGAAGTTGCAGTCTAAAACATCTGGAGGGCATGAAGCTGGGGGAAATTGCTCTAGGGTTACAGCTTCTATTTCTTGCTCTCCAGTAGATCCTAAAACATTCATGGAAAGTGCAACTGAAAATATCAACCTCACTCTTCTACACACTTAGTGCAGTGCAACTGCTTTTATAATATTTGTTTTAACAGTTCTTGTAGGCAGCCTTGAGCATTTTAATTAAAAGGGTATAAAGAAATAAATAACTGACAGATGTCAGCAACCGTATTGACAAGTGGTAGCATAGCCACAGGTTTGTAAACTGTTCAAACCAGCAGTCAGTGGTGGTAAGTCTCCCCAAAAAAGCCTCAGTCCAAAGCAAAGAAACCCAACTATCTACAAATAAGTCACCAAACTATCCAGACACTTGCTGCTTTCCCAGTCTTTGATGCACAAAGGCAATGCAAAGAACCTATGGGAAACAAGCCAAGTGATTTTCCAGCTACTCTGTCAAGCCAAGCAACATCAATTAAAAAGTGAAGAAGAATGAACTAGACCAGTGGTTCCCAGTTAAGTATTACAGACACCTTGTTCTTCAAAAGCCAAACCATGGACCCCCCTCCCCCCGGGAGGTCCGCATACCATCAATTGGGAACCACTGAACTACAGAGTCAGTACTTACAGCTTTTGTCTGTCCAGACATGAAGCTCCTGTGCCAGTTCTGGAATCACTAGGAAGGTCCTCCAACCCTGGCGTTTTTTAGACTTCAGGATATCTCCAAAAATGTGATCACCTATGTATAAGATGTCTTTACCCTTGGCCCCCAGAAGGTCACAGATTGTATCAGAGGAGCCTAATAGGAGGAGGGGGAAGGCAGAAGGGCCAATCAGAAAAGGTTTCTCAGCATAAAAACCATGGGTTCAGTGCATAAACTTCCATTATTATCATGTACCTCCTCCCAATCTGATAGATATAAGGTTTTTTCAAATAATGCAGCTTTTGCACACTCAGACATATCAGAGTATAAAATAAATACACTACAGCATACAAATATATGGTTCACAGGTGGTCTTCCATTCAGGCAAAGCCTGCTATATTGTGTGCTGCCAGAACATTTTTTGAGCTGCAGGTGTCTGAGACCTATCTATTTAAAATGCAAGTGATGATCAAATCACCTCTTACTTTTTTCCTTTCTTTTAAAAAAAGGGATAAGCTGCTAAAATACACAAATCAGGTAGCATGTGTGTCAGCCCTGACAATGTGAGACATGCATTTTAGATGCCATCCCAAATACACAAAAGTACCAACACAGCTATATATTATTTGAGTATATAGTTTTGGAAAATACCAAGAGGGATCTTAAAACTTGAGGAAGATCTACCATCTACCCATCTACCACCATGGGACTTAACCTTTGGGGTTACAAACTTTGGATAGGTGGGTACATTCCTTGCAGCTACTAGATTATATTACACTTTTGGCGTCTGTTGACTCTTTACCTAATGTACCACCTACAATTAAATTTCCATCTTCACTAATATAAAGACTCTGCTTCACAAGGGACTCTTATGTTCCACTTACAAACAGATCTGAGTAACTGCTAGTGCATTTTTTTTAAAATGGTACGACCACTGTTGTTCCCTTGCTCCAGTAAGTTTTGATACAATCTGAAATCTATTTTGCACCTAAAACATTCTAATCTAGTTACATCTGCATAATATATCTGGCACTCTACTTAAGACAAATTAAACTTCAGACATTGGGGGGGGGGCTTTAAAATCATATCCAGTCTTCTCCCTCACTCCCTGTTTTTTTTCTTAACATCATGCCTGAAGAACAGTTTTGGAGAAATCAAAAGTTATTCAAACCCCATGTTAAAATAGAATAAAGTGAAAATCTCCATCCCAGCTCCTGATAAAGATTCACTAGTCTCATTTCTAACCTAGACAGCATCCTAAAAAGCAGAGACATCACCTTGCCAACAACGGTCCGTATAGTTAAAGCTATGGTTTTCCCAGTAGTGATGTATGGAAGTGAGAGCTGGACTATAAAGAAGGCTGAGTGCCAAAGAATTGATGCTTTTGAATTATGGTGCTGGAGGAGACTCTTGAGAGTCCCATGGACTGCAAGAAGATCAAACCTATCCATTCTGAAGGAAATCAGCCCTGAGTGCTCACTGGAAGGACAGATCCTGAAGCTGAGGCTCCAATACTTTGGCCACCTCATGAGAAAAGAAGACTCACTGGAAAAGACCCTGATGTTGGGAAAGATGGAGGGCACAAGGAGAAGGGACGACAGAGGATGAGATGGTTGGATAGTGTTCTCGAAGCTACCAGCATGAGTTTGACCAAGCTGCGGGAGGCAGTGGAAGACAGGAGTGCCTGGCGTGCTCTGGTCCATGGGGTCACGAAGAGTCAGACAAGACTAAATGACTAAACAACAAGTCTCATTTCTAATTTACCTCCAGAGTAAACAATACCATGCTGCAAGGGGCCTGTGTAAGTACCAATCTTCAGTTTGCCAGTAACCTGCACAGAAAGAGAAATTCATTTAATGAAACTGTAGGTCTCTCCAGCCCAATTTTCAGTTTTAATATTGATCAATGGGTTGATAAATCAGTAGAAAGGCTGTTCAATATATGCTTCAGAGGAAAAAGCACAATTGGTGTTTGCATACTCCAAATGCACTATATTTTTCCTGGGCAGCCCCTTTAATTATTAAAAGCAGCATGACATAGGGGCATGTAGCTGGTCCCCTATTCCTAGAGGCTATAAACACTCTTACACTGGGAATTGTTTCGTGCCTCAAATGTATCTGTGCCAGGTGAAAACAGTGAAGTTAGTCTGGTAGAAGCATATTCCGTACAACCCTTTTGCATGGCCTGCATACAGATGCTACAAAAACCTGCTTAAAGCTTTACTTCCAAATTTTACAGTTAAAGTGTTGGTTGCCTTTTATGAGCCAGTTGAATCTGCCTATAGGTCAGGCTTAAGCTAAGAATTTTGTTGGGGCCAACAAGTTATCAATAGCACAGATTCAGCTAAAACCCTAATAGATTCCCAATAAAGACCAGTCCCACAGAATGACAAAGCAGGTGGTTATGTTGCAGCCACAGTGAATTTTTTAGATAACCAGCAATTGCAGTGAAACTGATCTAATGAAACACAGCATTATTAGGCTCCATATATTTTCAATATGATGCTGTTCTTAATTTAATTCCACTCAGTACATCTAGCTGAAATATTTAATGATGCACTCAAAAAACATGCTGTATTTTTATTTAAAGAACACAGCTCCTTCTCATATTTCCTTTCTATTTGATTCAGGTAACCCAAAAATAGCTAGAAACACATATTCCAAGTATTCAATGAATTTCAAAGTAGAGAGCTTATGAATTTAGCACTAATGTTCTAATTATTGAAATAAACTGTCCCAGGTTTTCCTCCAGTCAAGCCTAACTATATATTCTATGTATCACTCACCGTATCCACCTGTCTCAAGACTGTGCCTTCTCCAAAGAAAAGAGGTTTCCGCGCATCCACAAGGATGAGGTCAAAGTATGATTGCCATGGCCGGTGAGAATTGCCAGGCTAGAGAAAAGTTAAGCAGAAGAAAATCTTTTTAAAAGGTACAAATTCTACTTGTTCACACTGAAACTGGCTTATTTTAGTTTTGCAGGAGAGATTGATAACTGTCTTCTATATGTAGCCTGACATCATATACAAAACATCTTAGTTCCCCAACACTTCAATTCAGTAAATATACCTGAGAATCCTAACAATGCGGGAAAGGAAAATTATCAGATATTTTAAATTTTTTTTTGTTTAACTGGATTTATATACCGTTTAATCATAATTTAAATAAAAGTTAGCAATTATATCACTACTACTAATATTAATACAAAGATCCAGGCATTTATCAATTACTGCAGAACATCCAGGGCTTTCAAAGAAGAGGCCACAACTGAGAAAGGGACAAAAGGGAACAGTCTGTGTATTTATATTAAACTTTTGATTTCTACTACACATAGTAAGTACATGAACCCATAACCAAGCCTTAAAATTGAAAAGTACATTTTCTTGTAGCTATGAAAAATTATTAATTATACGTGGAAGGATTTCAGCAGCACTGTTATAATGCATTAGTGGATATGTGGCTAAGTGGCAATTCCTTGTATCTGAGCAAGCAACTTCTACTCAAGCAAGTGCAGACAGGCAAACACCACCGGTGGAAGTAAATGCCTTTGATTTGAAAATTCAGTGGGGTTTTTTAATCACTAGTGACCTCTAGAAGCTGCATATCAGGCATATCAAAGCCGACTTTAATTATTTCCACCTGTTCTCCAATAAAAATAATAAGGCATTTGACACCATGCCTCCAAAGGCTGAATTTTACAAATAGAAAATTAAATAACTATCTGGTTTCTTCAGTCCCCATCAACAAAGACTTGACTCCTATTCTTGATTTATTTAGGAAGAAATAATATACACCATCTAACACAGCGTTCCCCAAACTGGTGCCATCCAGATTTTTGGAATCCAGCTCTCATCCAACCCTGGATGGGAGTTGTAGTCAAAAACATCTGGTCAACACCAAGTTGGGGAAGGCAGAGGTATCATCAATGCAATAACACTTTTCATCACTCACCTTTGGTCCATGTGGAAAATCAAACAGGTAAGTCATAATTTTCTGAAACGCAAATTGGGAGCAAGACTTAATTTCTTTCTGGATAAATTAACTATTTTATTAATTATGTTTAAACAATACATTTAAATATACAAATAGTCTTCAGATATACAAATCTAGAACAGGCATTGTGAGAATTAAAGTAACATTCCAGAACCCTATGATGTTATTTTTAGGATTTTCATGACAACAAAAGGCATGTCTCCAGCTCTGACAGATATGCAGCTCTGCAAGATACACACCTCAGTTTTATGTACAGTTAATTTGGAAGCGAGTTCAGTAGAACTTACTCTGAAGCAAGTGTTCATAGGATTGGAGAACAAAAGTTCATTGTCACAGAATACAGGAGGGTCCTGCAGTCATATTAACATGGGGATTTCCCAGTATATTTGTTCATGGCTTTCTAAAAAAACATGCATTTTATGATAAACAGAAGGTCTTTAAAAAATATTTCTTCCCCCACTACCCAAAAACTTGGGAGACTAAATTACAGACACATTGCTAGGTACAAGGAATCATTAAATTAGCAACCAAGATTCAAGGAGAATCTTTGGTGCCTCCAGCTCATGCTTTCATTATACTGAGCTTATCTAATTCTCTACAGCTGGCTTTGAGAACCTAAGGCTCTGTAGATGTTGTTGAACATCAGCCTCAGCCAGCATGGCCAATGGTAAGAAACAGTGAGTTGTAGTAGTCCAGAACATCTTGAGGAGCCTAAGGTTCCCCAGCTCTGCTTTGAGGCAGGGATGGAAGACTTTTTCAGACTGAGTGCCACATTCATTCATCTGGAAACTTCTGAGGGCTTCACACCAGTGGTGGGTGTGGCCGGAAGTAAAAACAATGGATGTAACTTACTGTTGTAATGCATGCCACATTCCAGTCACACAGATTTCAACACTCATATATGAATCCATCCAGACAAGCAAGAGACATCATCACAGCTTAAGGGCACCTTCCAGCCAGGCAAAAGCACTTGAGGAGAGTTCAGAGGAAGGGGGCGGGCATAACCTAGGAAAGGAGGCATGGCCTGGAGAAAGGCCAGAAGGCTGGACAGAGAGGCCTACAGAGCTGCATTTAGCTCCCGGGACTGAGGTTGCTCACCCTAATCCAAGATAGAAATTCAAAATATGACACCTAACATATATGAGACACTAAATGAATGAATGAATGAATGAATGATGGAGGAAGATTCTTATGTTACAGGAGTACTTACATCAGTGTACTTATAATCACTGTTTGTGGCAAGAAACACCTTTCCCACCTCATTCATGCGGCTCAAAAGCAGAGGCAGTTTCCCCTAAAATGGCAAAGATTTACATAAAATACAGTTTTCAGTTGAAGCCCATACCTTCAGGGGGGTCTATAAATATCTCAGGCTATCTGTACATACTGCCAGTTTAAACAATGCCAAATGAATATTTCAGCCTGATTAAAATGTCTTCTAAAATCCTAGATGCCTCAGCTGTGAACTGAAATTCTGCATCTTAGTCATGTCTTATAATTTGTACTAACGTCCTATTTGACCAAGTATTAAAATATACTTTAAAAAAACTGAAATGTTGAAAGCTGTTCTATAATATGTAACCAGAAACCTGATGATTTGAAAATGAGAGACTGCAGGCAGCAAGGACTCTTTACTAATTTTAGAACAAAATGCCACTTTGATGTGCTGTGAGTACGTAGCATGAGCATTATGTGGAAACAGAAAGTATCCCATGCTAGGTGAAAATCAAAGGAATCCCTCTAAAGAAATACAAAATGCACAATTTTAACTTTATGCCCCTCAAGATATCAAGACATGGAAGATGCTTTGGAATATTCACATATCTATTGTGACATGCACTCTCTTACTACTCCATATATTGTGGGGGTGGGGAAACCAACTGCCCCTGCTTGAAGTTCGGGTGCTTAGAATTCCATTAAAAAAAGGGAGATAAAGAGGAAGTACTAAATTATTTTTCATCAAAAAAGGCAAAATTTGCTGAAGCAACAATAACATCACTTAATGGCTATTTTTTAAAAAAAAAAATTGTGAACAAGGGAGTTTGAACTTTCCATTCTGTTTTTTTATCATTTTAAGACTGCATGAAATAAACCGACTGGTCGACTTTCAATAAGGAAAGGCTTGACGTACTTACATCTTTCACTACATACTTCCCCAGATTCTCAACTGTCTTCTCCTTCAGTGATCCCTGAAACAACAGGAGAAACCACATGACACAGCAGAAGTAATGATCTAGCAATCTTAGTCAGGTTTCGCCTTACAGTATCAGCTTCCATGCTGTCATCGTACTGTAGAAAGATGCACCACTGACACTAGAGGCAGAAAGTTATTTGTGGAGTTTCATGTGTCATGAGATTAGCATTGGATAGGTTCAACCTGGGGGTGGAGAACCCTGTGGCTCATTCACCATATGAGAAACAAACACATGGGACAAGATGCCATTGAAGCACTGTAATTAAGTATATTCTGAAGTAAACTCGAAGTGCAAAACAGAATAGTTCAGAAAACACATGGTGACAGAGTTCAGTTGCTGAAGCAAAGGGGTGGTGTGATTCCTGTGCAATGTGCGGATGAGTTATCACCTGAAAACACATGAAACTGCTCCTTGGAAGGGAAAACAATAGCATAAATATAATAAAGTGAAACAGTGATTACTTTTAAGATGGCTTGCAGCAGCAGCCTGTCTTGTCAAGAGCGGAGGGGAGGAGTAGGAGGGGGATGAAAGTAAGCAGCAGGATGGTGGTGATAGAAGGAATTATCATCCCTGTTTACCAATCCCCCCTTTCCAGTCATATTGATGGGCATGCTAGCTGGCATTTCATAGAATCATAGAATCAAAGAGTTGGAAGAGACCACAAGGGCCATCGAGTCCAACCCCCTGCCAAGCAGGAAACATCATCAGAGCACTCCTGACATATGGTTATCAAGCCTCTGCTTAAAGACCTCCAAAGAAGGAGACTCCACCACACTCCTTGGCAGCAAATTCCACTGTCGAACAGCTCTTACTGTCAGGAAGATACTTATTCACTGGCTGCCAAAGCAAATATAACAGTGTTCAACTCACACTATAATTTATTCAAAATGTTAAGAATTAAACAGACTACGGTTAAAAAAATATCCCAAAGTGCAAGTCACCTTATAGTGAACCCAATCCACAGCATCTCTCACATCTTGGAACATACTTCTGAAGGACATGAAGAGGTCTCCATCTTTAAACCCTGTTTCACAGCTGTGAGAAAAAAGGAAAAAAGCACGGAATTGTTGTAAAAGTAGGTTAGCAGCTAGTAAGGAGGGTGCATAAGGCCTGGGAATCACCGTACAACTGGAAACACCAACAGTAGTTATAGCTACATTGATAGTATTGAAAGCAACCAAACCTTAATCCCACTAATGTTAGGTGGATTCTTGCTTGTATGTTTTGTGCCAGTTCATGAATAGATATATCATCTCATTTCCTGTCTAATCAGCATGGCATCTGTTCTCAGAGGCCAAACCAGGCAGGAAATGGGATGAGATAAAGGTATAGGCAGGATGTGTGTATGCCTGAATCTAGGTTGGTACATGTTTCTGCATGCAAGAGAGAATGAACATACATGGATGATGGCTAGATGAAGTTGAGGGGCTGAAGATTCAGAAGAAGGGAGCTGGGTGTGGGAGAGGGACATGTGAACGGATGTACAAATGAACAGAGAAAAGGAGTAGCTCCACCCACTCCATCACCCCAACTTCTAATCCCTGAAAAGGTAGCCCACTCTTGTGCTAAATGGTCATATTCACCTGTGTATGATGGACCCTGTGAGCCCTGCCAGGGTTTAAATCACCAACTTTACCAACATAAACAATCCCTAAAGTACTTGTGGTTGCTGTTGTCATCAAGCTACAGATAAGAAGATTTGAATTTGTCCTTGCACACTTGCAATGAGAGACAATGATGGCTATAGCGTCACATGTTGGATTTCATATAACACATGACACACATGCTCACCTTGAATACCTATCACAGTTCGTAAAAAAATCAACCAGACAAGCCAACAGGTAAGTCTCTGCAAAGAAGCAAAGAATATACATTAAATGAAGAACTAGATAAAGAGACACTCATGTAATTAATCTAAACCAAAATGACATTCCTAATTTGTCATTTGAAATTAACAGTAATATACCTACGGATTGTCATGACACAATCCCCACCATCCCCATTAGAGTTTAAGGTCTCACCTGGTAGGTTGAACAGTGTGTTTAAAATGTAAAACCTGTCAGTGTCATCTCTCTGGATGAATTTATTAGGGTACTGCTCTCGGATATCTGGCCTGAAAAAGGTAAGGGACAAGGGAATATGCCTATTAATGATGTCTAATCGTAACAGTTTCTCTAAACAGCTATGTTACCTCCTACTGGGTCAATAAGACCAATGAGACCAATGAGAAAGATCTCCTAAAATGTTGGGATTCAAGGAAAGGTTTCAATGAGAACACTGAAATAAATATAATATGGCTTCTTTTCTACTACAGCAAAATGCGATACTTCACACAACTTCATCCATAGAGAGGAGCCTATTCCCTCCAGCTCTTGCTTGCTCAACTGATCGCAGAAGAATTCAAGCACTGGGGTGATCAAAACAAAACAAGAATTGTGTTTCATTTGGACAGCATGCAACTAACAATCAACAACTCTGTACAATTCACACATAATATTCTACATAAAAAGAAGTAGCAGCAGCAATGTTTCAATGTTTAGTAAGATTTCAGGTCATCATACAGCCAAAGACAGACTACTGAAATGGATCCTGTTTACCTATAAAGCCTTACACAGCTCAGGACCTCAATACCTTAAGGACTGCCTCTCCCCATACAAATCAGCCTGGACCCTGCGCTTGTCATCTGAGGCCCTTCTCTATGTCTGCCCTCCCAGAAAGGTTCAGAGGGTGGCAACAAGAGAACGGGTCTCTTCTGTGGTGGCTCCCCGATTGTGCTTTTTATTATGTTTTTATCACTGATGTTCTGTAATGTGTTTCTAATGTTGTACACCACCCTTAGATCTTTTGATAAAAGGCAGAATCATCATCATCATCATCATCATCATCATCATCTCAGTGGTAGAGCATGTGTTTGCATGCAAAAAATCTCAGGTTCAATCCCCAGCATTTTCAGGTAGTGCTGAGAAAAACTTCTGCCTGAAATTCTGGAGAGCAACTGCCAGTCAAGATAGACCACAGTATAATAGGTTCCTATGTTCCTATAGCTGGGCTCAAAATGGTCTAGTCCCAGCTCATATTATGATTTGTAAACAACACTTAAACCATAGTTGTCCCGTTTGGATATCACAAGAAATTAGTTTAACAAAGTTGTGCATTCAAGGGCCAAGAAGAAAATATGTGGGCACAAAGCTTGTTCTTGGCCCAGTAAACTGATGCACTGAGGTGAGATTGTTACATCTGAACCAGGTTTGTATGCATTTTTTCCATTTTCACTTAAGTTAGTTTCCAAAGGTTAACCAAGTTTCTGAAGTCATTAGAATTTATAAGACTCCAAAGTAAGAAAAACTGGCCTGCATAAGGATTTGGAAATGTTACAGCATAGGTGATCCCTGAAAGCCCCAATTCTATATATGAATTCAAAGTTTCTACCAAGTTCAGTGGAACATACCATCCCCTGTTGTACATACAGATTGCAGCCTTCCTTATGTGAACTGCCTATATTCACAGTACTTACCCTCTCATGAAGTTAAAGCCATGTGCACACACTAGGATGTTCCCATAGGCATCGACTTTCAGCAAATTTCCATAAAGGGAATCAAATACCAGGCCTCTATTAATAAAGAAGTGCATTGATTGATATAAGCATGGTATACCAAGCAGTGGACAGCAAGACTTTGAAAGATAGTCTATTGGAATGGCATACCTGAGCCAGTTCTATCATGTTCTGTCCAAACTAGAATCTGACCCTAAGGAGGACACTTTGCTGACAGAGTCCCATTGAACTTTTGTTTAGCTGCAGAGGAAAAAATAGTCTGCATTGCCCAGTTCAAATGTACAATTGATCTCTTTTCTTATCATTAGCTCATTTATCTTAACAAAAAAGCTGAATTACACAATCAGCAGGCACAGGTGCATAGCTTAAAAAAAAATAAAAACCTTAGTTCTCCCACCTACCCAACTGACCAAGAAGAGTAACTACATAACTGGAGCTGGCAGAAGTCTCATTGGACAAAAAATTCTGTCAAATCAGACTTGTCTTGTTTAAAACTAAGTATCACCTCAACATCAGACTGTCCACCCTACCTGCTTGTTAGAAGACTACTCAGAGAATGTTTGTGAAGCACTGTGAACTCACTGTGAACTGTATAATACAAGTGTTATATATTTATTACTATTCCTTTAAAGGACTAAAACCTTTTGGACTAAACTTTATAAAAGGTTAGTTGACACGAGATGTGCTTTTGCTACAGTAAACAGGAAAAACTAAACAAAACTAAGGCAGTTCTCTGTGTGTGAATGTCCTAACTGCATGGAAAGGAGGTGTGGAATGTAGGAGATGAGGAATGTAGAACTTCTCAGCTAAGCTATATGAAAAGAGTTTGGGGAGAAGGACTGCTGGAACACAAATGGCAAATGGAGGAAGAGTTCATCACTCATGCCTCTAACACCTTAAGACATCACCACCCTTTTCACATAGGGATTATTTAGTTTGGCTCCAAGCAATCCTCTTGCCAGTGAGTAAGTGGCAGTTAAGACTTTCAGTCACCACTTCTCTTTTCCCTTGAGGAAAGTTGCCCGTCTACCAAGTTTGCACAGTGGTTACTTCCTTAGAAAGAGCTTTCCATGTCACATTTTCCCTCTCTCCCATTTCTTTATAATTTTTTCCACTTACCCACAATGTGACATTGTCACATGGTGTGCTTCTCTGCCCCCACTCCACATCACTAGCTGCTGCTTGGCACAGCAGAGAGGAAATGCATGGCATTGTTAGTTTCACTTTCAGGTAAGTGAAACTGCACATTCAGAGGAGAGAGGTGAGAACATGATTCAGGGAGACAGTTTTTGGCGGTTGGCCCATGTCTGCGGCAATGTGTAGTTTGGCCCTGAATGTGAGACAGCAAGGAAGCAACAGCCATACCAAGTAACCTCAAATGCTAATACAACCTTGTTCATAAATTTCCAAAAGTTACTAGCTTATAAAAGTTTTTATTCCTAAGAGGGGCTGGTTTCCCTTTCACCAGCATTTCTTATCAGTAAAAAATGTTGCTGGCAAGAAATACAGCAGGCTGGTAGATGAGAAGTGTAATGATCCCTGGCTACTCTGCTAGCCTGATTAGTTTCTATGTTGAGAGTGCAGGAAAATGCTTTTTCTCCTGCATGTCCGGCACAGTGGACTAAAGACTGGGCGATGGATCAATCTGTCACTACTTCCAGCATACCTGATTTCTGTGCTGAACATGCAGAAGGGTCCGTCCCCCCCGCTGTGCATCCATTCCAGATGCAGAGCAGCCTGATAGTGAAAGAATGAATTGCGCTCTCCTATCACGTCCAGCACATACTGTTTCTATGCAAGCAGTTTCGCCTTCTGCACATCCAGCACAGAAGCACAATGCACCAACAGAGAAGTGATAGATAACTTGTTCTCATTCCCTGCCAGATTACTTGATTTCATTGCTGGCCAGGGAGGAAGGAAGCAGCATGGAAGCAGATCAAGATGGCAGGAAAGGGATAGCGCAATCTATCCCTCCTCTGTCAGCCCACTCATTCCATGCACATTCCTGTGTAAGTAGTTAAATAAAATGTTGTGCTAATTGTTCTAAAGTCAGCAAATGCCCTTACAAGTAAGAAGAAACCCAAGTAGATTTAGAACAAGCTTCAAAGTGACTCTGCTTGCCTGTACCAAGATTTATTAGCCTGTTTTGGAAGGGCAAACATAAACAGCTCTAAGCATGTTCATCAGTGAAGATAGCCTAAGCTGTCCAAGGTGGTGAAATAGTAGTGGCAGTGCTTCACAATGAGCCTAGGTCACTTTTCCCCCCAACCCTTGCCCACATTCTACTGTACCACTAATAATTTTCAAAAGCATTTGCAATGACTGGATAAAACAAAAATATACAACAAATTTTGTGTATGTATCAGCATAATGGGCTTGCCATTTTGCCCCTTAATGGCCCACTTACTAAAGCTCAATTCACATGCTAATTTTGTGCTGTTACAGAATGAACTGTGAATGAATTTCTCTGTTGCTTAACTTTCTGAAAAAGCCTTGCAAAGATCACTACAAGTGATCACTACAAGAAAAGTAAACATGTGAATTGGGTCTACTAAAGGTGCCAAAATTTGTTGACTTTTTTCCTAAATCATTCCATAAATAGTTCTGCATTCCTTTCAGCTTTTGCTAAACTCACTGGCATGTTTCAACAATGCTTCTGTTGCAAAAACTGGCCGGAATGCAAGACAGAAGTGTGGAAAGCTCCACACATGCATCACAACTTCTGTGGGCTCTTTTTTAAAAAGAATCCCAGGGTTGGCAAGTGTGCTTCTCCCAAAACTCAAGGGGAACTTAGGAGCTACCTCTAACATAAATGTGAAGAGGTGCTGCCTTGTGGGCAGAAACACAGGAAAATCTTAGTACATATAAGGAACTGCCTAAAGAAAATCTGCCAAGCCTTACATATTTTATACGTATCTACAAATATTCTGCCTCAAATAGTTTAATGCAGGACTTTTTAAGCAACCCAGAATTTAATTGAAATTCATGTTTGCATAAATTAGGGGTTGTTTTCCCCGGTTTCTAACCATGTTCAGGTTTTCCTGGTATGCATTTCACTTCCAATACATTTACCACTGGGTTTCTTAAGACAAATTCTCTGCTGACAAATCCACTTCAACTAGCAAGAACCTCGTGCAATTAAATCTGCTTATGTATTACTGAACAACAGCATGCTAAAAATAGGTCACTTTAAAAACAAACAAACCAGTAAGTGGCATATACATATTTTTGTAGCTTACAATTATTTACCTGGTAGGGAATGTAGGATCATAGACAAAACTAAGCAGCTCTTGAGGGTACCCAATTGATACTAGCCGTTCAACTGTCAAGTCAAATCCAAGGGATTCATACTCTGGAGATTTATATACTGTGGGAAGATGTGAAGAAGATTTTGGTTAGAAAACACAAGCAACACACACATCCTATCTAAGCAAGGCAGAAAATGTATATTAACTTTGCCATTCTCCTCTGGTTAAATGTACAGTTCAGCAGACATACAATGAGAGTGGTATTTAACACTGGTCTGATTCACATCTCACAGCGAGCCAGAGTATGACATACTGGGACTGTGCAAACATGCTGGTTCACAGCTAGGAGTTCACACCTGCTTTGCCTTCTTTGGGTATTTTAGGCCAATGTGGGACAGCAGCAAAGCTAAAGTTTGGCTTGGTGTGTCATCTGAATCCAGAAACATGGTTACATTACCTCCTCTTTAATGACAACCTATAACCATAGGACAAATCTTGGCTACAGATTGGAGTTATGCAGAAACCTTTACCAAAATCCTTGTTTTGGATACATGCTAAGCTACTGCACTAACCTATGATGCCTGGGGGAAAGCAAAACTGCTTGATCTCCTCCTCAGGAGCCAGCACATTTGCACTGTGGTTTGGCTTAGAGCAGTGGTTCCCAAATAGGGGTCCACGGAACACACCCAGGGGGTGCGCGTCCCCATCCCTTGCCTCCTCCCCAAAAAACATTTTTTTTGTCATTTTGCATGGTGATATCACAAATTTTATGGTCTGTTTTAACAAACTGCAATTTTAAATATATATTGGCCAAAATCGATTTTGAAATCATACTGCGACAACTATTTTGAGCAGGCAATACATAGCAATATAAAGGGAGAACAGGGCAGCCGATTGCAAAGCGCTGCCTTCTCTTCATGCTGAGGGAGAACAGGGCAGCTGATCGCCCTCACTTCAAGGCACTACCTTCCCCTGGCACTGAGGCGGAGCAGCTTTTCTCAGTCAGCAGGAAAGCAGCAGCAGCCACAGTAGACTTGCATCCCCCATCCCCATCCCCTCTCACTCAAACCATGTGGTGGAGGTGTCTCACTTTCTCTCTCCCCCCTCACACCTGATCTCTGTGACTGTTCCTTCCCTCATCCCCACGCCTGATCTCCAATTTCAGACATTGTGATATATAGGAATATTGCAATGTTTAGCTGCTGATATATCATGATGCTGAAAACCAGATATCATTTTGTTCAAAAAATTGCTTTGCAGTAATGGGGTCCTCCGTAATTAGCTAATTGGGAACCATTGGCTTAGTATGTTAGGCAAGCATGACCTTTGACAGACATAGCTGCCAGGATTCACCAAACAAACCCCATCAGCAGAAAGGCTTCTGCTTGTACAGCAGGGTTTCCCCCTTTCTCTCCCTGAAATTGGCTTGGGGGGGTATCAGAAAACCCCCCAGAACAGTGTGCACGGGGAGGTTGTTCCATCTGACAAGCTGATAGGCTTGCGCAAGTGGAACATTTAAAATAGCATGATGTTGAATTCCACCCAGTGATTTTAAAATTTAATTCTACCAGGAATGCTCTGCAGAGTGGAAATACAGTTCATATTTCAGCGACAGAATGCATCAAATAAAGCATTAGTTAGTGCCTCAGGGGAAATATATTCCAAACAGCATTAACACACTCACCTTATTTCACCTCTACATACAGACATCAAAAGAGCATGAAACTTACGGCCACTGGTGAAAGTCAGAATGCAATTATGAATCCTAATTTTAGATCAAGCATCTAGTCAGGAGGTGTTTAAGATAATAATTTAAGTTGCCGTTTGCTAAAGGCCAGCTATCAGGTTAGCTTGTAATAGGTTGCCACCCTTATGGTAACCTGCAGCTACTAAGCACCCTCTTCACCTTCTAACCAATTATGAAGCCATCATCTTCTCCAATTTTGCAACCCCTTGTGTGTTCCCCTTTCATCTTCACCCCCACATCCATGCCTCCTATTCCCTATTTGCAACTACTTTTGCATACACTCCATTAACACCCTAACCCCCTTTTTCCTACCGACCTTTTTCCAACTGTCCTTTGCACACAGACTACCCCCCATTTCCATGTCTCCTCCTTTCTTCTATTCTACAGACCCCTTTGTACACACACCCTAGGATGATATATGTTACTGTCTCTTTAATGTTAATATCCGTTAGTTAGTTCAGTTAGAGAAAGTTAACTTCAGTCAATGGATGTTCTACGTTATCTGGGTGTTTGCTTGTTAATAAAACATCTGTTTTACTACACTGAATCTGGAATTTCACGTTGAAGACAACACATGGTAGATTTTGGGAGTACAGTGGTACCTCGGGTTCCGGAGGTCCGTTCTTAACCTGAAACTGTTCTTAACCTGAAGCACCACTTTAGCTAATCGGGCCTCCCACTGCTGCCGCGCCGCTGAAGCATGATTTCTGTTCCCATCCTGAAGCAAAGTTCTTAACCTGAGGTAATATTTCTGGGTTAGCGGAGTCTGTGACCTGAAGCGTATGTAACCTGAAGCGTATGTAACCCGAGGTACCACTGTACTGTGGAATACGTAAGAGCTCCACATCCTTTATCTCTCCCATATGAGGCTGCTGAGTAATAGAAGAGGGAGAAAAATGAGTATGGTGAGAAGAGAGGGACACTAGCATTTTCCCCTTCTTTTTTCCCAATCCTCTTGCTCCTCCACAGCACTGAAAATGCCCTCTTCAACCCAATTTGCTTCCATCTGCCTATTACCATTGATGTTAGCCGCCCTGAGCTCGGCTTTGGCTGGGGAGGGCGGGATATAAATAAATTATTATTATTATTGTTGTTATTCTTATTATTACCAGATCCTTAAAACCATGAGCAGTGCCAGAGGGGGTCAGTGGGCAAAAGACTTTCCCCAAACTAGTTTCTCCCTCCCTCTACTTCCCACCCATTGCTGGACTCCTCTCTTTAACATAAACTGATATCTTTCTTTCAGGTATCTTAACATGTAGGACACAACTCACCCACCTGGAAATTTACTTTGCCCCTCCTGTCCCCATAATTTTTTTCTGGTATTGCCACTGCCTAAAACACACATTCTCTGTCTCTTTCTCTCTCACACGCACCCAGCCTACCTTCCTCCCTACTGCCCATACACTTCCCTATTCCTCTGAATGCGATCTTTACCCCCAATTCCACTTGCCCCATCCTCAGTTCCGGCTCTCTCTTCTCCCCAGTCTGTCACCAAAGGACTAAAACTGTCACACACAGAGATACCCTTCCCACACCCCCAGCCTCAAACCCCCCCAAAATAATTTACTACAGACACAAGTCCCCTTTTTTTCTTCCTGCTTCCACCCCTGCCTTTAGAACTTTGGGAAAGATCCACTGAAAACAGCACAATAACAAACTAGTGCAAAAATAGTATAGAGAGTGATATAAAGCTTACATTAGAAATACATATAGTGCATTTGTCTTATTCCAAATACCTTCAGTAGTTCAGTTCCACATGTGATTCACTATTACGCCTTGGTCTTTTTTTGCAACATACATGACTATCCAATTACACCTCATTCCGTATAAACATCTGCACCTTATCTAAGATTCAGTCAAATTACTGATCATTTGCAACTTACTGCCATTATGAAGCCATCCTGTTTAACGAATGGAAAGTGTTAATTGATTATCCAATCCTAAAGTTGTTTCCAATGTAGTATGAAATTATTGTCAAAATGTAGTACGTACTAAGTTATTGTAGCACTGGTGGAAAGTTGTTGCACAAAACAAAACACAGGTAGATAACCAAAGACTGTTGTACAATGGATTGCACAATAATAATAAGATGTTGTGCAACAGAATGCACAACAAGAATCCACTATTGTGTAATAATTTTCCACTAGTGTAAGTGTTGCATTTGATTACCTTTAAACTCTGTCTTCTGCTGGTGCAAGAGTTCTTGCATTAGTGGACGTGGAAGGCTGGATATGGCCCCTAGTAATGTGGGCAGCTGTCATGGAACTTTAAGGAACAGCAGTCTCTGTTCCAGACACAAGGAGACTGCAGACATGCATAACACAGCTCTGCTAGTTTTCAAGAGGAGAAACCCTATTACTTCTTCCTTGTAGCTGAAGGTAATACAGGCAATCCTCATTTTGCGTGGGGAATATGTTCCAGACCCCCTTCGCATGTTAGCTGGACCCGCATAAAGCATTCCATTCCACATAGCCACCAACACTGTATCTATTATATGGAAGTTGGTTAGCATTCTTCCACCTTACCCAGTCAAGGAAAGAAATTGGGAGAAAAGGCCTTGACCCACCACTACCAACTTCCTAGTGTCTCCTTCAGATAGATCCCCCACAAAAAACCAGGGATCCCAAAGACTCCAGCATGGCCTGTTGTCCAAGGCACTGATTTGTTTCACAGACTAAAAGCACCTTTAAAGTCATTTCACCTGAAGATTCATGAAACCATAGCCCTATTCAGACATTTACAGAGATTAATGTGTGAGTAGGGCCACATCTGCATTGCACATGTCAGCTAACCTTCACCTGACACCCACACATACAGCATATCTGTATGGAAGAAGTCTATCTGTGTACATCTGTACATGTAGAGACTTTGATGAAACCTGGAGCCCCAAGTTGCGCTGGGTTCCAGGTATCAAATAAACATTTGCACATGCAACTGTTTACATGAAGGCACCCTCTGTAAACATTTGCACTTTACTCGTGGGTTATATTAATTTACTGTGTTAATAATCACTGTTTCAAAAAAAAATAAATGAGAAAATGACTGCAACGTGAAACCAACAATTATTTTGTATCACAATAGAAAAGACACATTGATTTGAATAGATTAAGAGCATGTATGAGCTTTAGGTAGGTAGAATAAGCTGAACACTCAAAAATACCAAGAAAACTTGTAACTGACTATTAACAGTGCAACTATTAACAATGTCAGAAGAGAAAAGACTATTCTGGCTGCAAAAGAAATGAGCACTCTTAAGAAAGTGCCATGAAAATGAAAAGCTGACTACAACTGCAAAAACACACCTCTAAATGCTTGCATTCTGTATCGCCGCCACCCCCCCCCAGCATTCTCTTCCCCATTAAAACAGTGGCTTTCAAACTGTTGAGGCAACCATGAGGGTTTTTTTTTAAAAAAACCTTTCCTGTATATTGGGAATGTCAAATCACAGGCATATCTAGCACTCCTGCTGTATCTTGCTGTCATTGTTTGCCTGTACTCTTTTCCATGCAGTATCTCAACCCTGATGTTGCAGTGAGTGCTCTATTCCTCCACAGTGATCTAGCCACTGTGCCTAGTAAACATACAACCCTCGGTTTCTCTATCTCCAGAAATACTTAGACCACCTCTCTGATAAGGTGACAGTGGCTGATACCAATAGCGGTGCACATACGTCCCACCTTACTCTTGTGCATAAGAGCTTGGTGCTTACTTGAAACGCTGGATGTTCAAGTCCTACCTCTGTCACATGTCCGTATATCTACTTTTGTCCTAATTAACTTTGCACAGAAACTCCAGTGCCAATTTTGAAAAGGAAACAAATTTAAAAGCCTCAAATACTCTTATTTAATCCATTGTAACTCATTAACTTACTCACTTAGCTTTCTGAGATTTTTAAAAGAAACTTATATTGGATCGCATCTACAAAGTATGTCATGTCAATGCAAATTGTCCATGAAGCCAGTTTGGCAACCCTTTGAAACAAACTCAAAGCACCTATTTATCTGAAATCTGGCAGACTTCATCTCCTTAAATGGGGCTACTGTGCCTGCAAATTTCATCAACTTCTGGCATGAGTTGATATTCCCATTATAATGATAGGGAATACATTCTCTCACTGCTGCTCACCCCTCTAAATGCCCATAGACTATTGAGAAACAAGAGGGAGTTATCAGCATGGGGGGGCAGGTTTAAAAGAGAATGCATATATTTTTAAAATCCTAAGGCTAACCCACCTAAAATACAGTCCAATAACTGGCAAATAATTACTGGTGTTGAGATCTGCTCTCTGACTCAATCCATAGAATCATAAAATTGTAGAGGTGGAAGGGACTCTCATTCTAGTCCAACTCCCTGTAACGCAGAAATATCAGCTATCCCATACGGGGATCAAACTTGCAACCCTGGAATTATCAGCACCATGCTCAAACCAACTGACCTTTTTTAAATTGAACTATTTTTTTAATTGAAATTTTGCCATACAAAATTTGCATATACATTATGGAGTTATTCCACTCCAAAAATGCAAACTTTTTTTTAAAAAAGACCTACCTCTTCCTGAGTCCAAGAGAAGCCATTCCATGTTTCATCAAGGTGATCTCTCAAGCCCACTTTGTGAACTTGTACTTCATATTTGACATCCTCTAGATTACTCAAGTTTTGAAATTTACTCAAATACTGTATATATGACTAATGAAGAGAAGGAAGCATAATTGGGAAAATTCCCTACTTCACTTAAGTAACCCACTTGAGTGAGCATTTTTTATTCATGCATATAACATGAATCTGCAGTGTACATTAAACTAAGAAGATGAAAATAGATTACAAACATCACACTCTGGTTACTGTGACATAGTTCAATATAAGTTTTCCTTTAATTAGACAACTGGGAATGGAGCTGGAATTCACAGAGCACATGTCCCTACTTGACAACACTCTGCACAGCAGTCTAGATTAATCAAGATGAACTACAAGCTCCTGACATTTTCCTGCAAGCTGTACAAGTGCTCATTTAGGTAATATGAGCTCCCAACCAAGCAAATTACAGCCAGTATGAATGACTGAGTACCAAAATAGGAATAGCATAACGGAAAAAGCATCCATAACTAATGTACAGGTAAACTGTACATTTGAGTGATAAACAGTGCTTTTTTCCTTAAAAAAATGTTTAGGGGTACTCTAATTTTGACTCAAGGAAATCACCATTTTATAGTTCAAATCAGGGGAAATAAATACAGTAAATAGACAAAAGTACAAAGATTCACAAAATGTTTAGGGGTATGCGTACCCCCAGAAAAAAAAGCACTGGTGATAATAAATGATCAGTTCTCAACTGCTCGATTATTGAGAAAGCTAATTAACAGTGAGATGAATAACTGCAAACCCTTAGTTACAGTAATTAAATTACAGTATTGCATTAAACAACAACAACAACAACAACAACAACAGGCAAGTGAGATGTTGCCATGCATAATCTGTTGTGAAGTAAATCAGATTGGTGCAGTTACCCTAAATGTACTACTTTCAAACAAGTGTAATACAGCTGAAAGACAGTAAGGCTACTGAGAGATGTACTGAAATCATCATGTACATATGGAAACAAATTGTGTTCTCAAGTTTGGGGTGGTGTGTGTGTGTACCTTGGCAAACAGGGCAAAGCTTGAAGATAGAAACCTGCCGACAACATACACAATTTTTGTTCAAATCAACTACAATACCAAAATAAATGTACTGCATTCAAAATTACTTTCATCCTACAAAAAGTATGAGTTTCCTTAAGAAATAAGCATGTCACGAGAGAAGCTACTCTGCACAGAAAGCTATATTGTAAGGTATAGAATACCCATGCATGCTAGTGTTACCTTTGCTGCCAAGTCCGGTACAGTAGCCATTTTTATAGTCTTTCTGAAAAAGATAAAAAAAAAATCTGCAGCCACTCCAGGTAGTGCAAAATGCTGCTGCCAAGATTTTAACTCACATGAGGCAGATGCAGATGCTGAGTGTCACTCCAGTCTTGAAGGAGTTACACTGGACTCCCCTGTCAAAAAGAAAGAATCAAACTGACTTTAAAACTGCAACAGTGGTGGTGTGCTAACAATGGTGTGCTCGTTTGCTGGTGCTATTGGCTTCAGAAAGACCAAATACTGGTTTACCAGACATGGTTTGTCATTATCTACAAATCCACAAAAAATCTCTCAGATCAAGATTTCAAAATGGATATTCTGCAGGTATCAGGCAGAGGTTGTTGTGTCTGTATATAAGAACGGAGTGGTACAACGTGGATCAGAAATTAGACTTCTGATAAAAATCTGGATCTTTTGAAATCTTATTCTAGCAAAAACAGAAATACTTACAAATTACAATATTAGATTATAAATTCTGTATCAAATATCTACTCATGTGCTATGGTTTAACGGGTATGTTTAAGTACTCCTTGCTCTTCCTGCCAAAATATAACTATTTTAGTGAGGGCTGGTAACAAGGATAGCAGCATTGTGTAAGAAGTAAACATGGCACATTAACAAAATTTAGACACATATTTCCTAAGAAATGTGTTTAAATCAATACTGAATACAAAATGTAAACACATATTTCCTAAGAAATGTGTTTAAATCAATACTGAAACTTAAACCTAACTTTTTGAACCATTTCTATGAGCATCCAATATAATAACGAAATACACCAAGCTATTCCAAAAGAGTGTATCAACTAATAGCTCTAAGTAGTATATAAGAACAGAGGAGCTGTCTTATACCAAGTATGGCCATTGGTCCATCTAACTCAGTACTGTCACCACTGACTGGCAGCAGCTCTCCAGGGTTTCAGACTAGGATCTCTCCCTGCCCTACCTGGAGATGCCAGGAATTGAACCTGGGACCTACGGCAAGCATAGCTGATGCTCTACCATTGAGCGACAGCCCTTTTCCTTACACTTGTTGATTTAGGTCTACGCATTGGCAACCCCAAGGTGGTAAAGTGTGAAGGGGAGGCAACAGGCTCACATCCACATAATCCATCCAGAGTCCTGAACATGTAATGTGGGTCATGTATATTATAAGGCATATTCTTTAACCTCTAAAAGAAAGGATTGGTCTGTTAATGGGCAAATATCCATGTTACAGTAAAGGCAGGAAAGATAGATATGAGATTCGTGTCTCATGGGGTATGATTCAGTTGAGCTAGTAAGTCTACAAATCTGCACAAATGGCTTGAAAAGGAGCAACACTTGCAATCTTATGCCACCTAACTGGGAGTAAGCACCAATTAACTCAATGGAATCTACTTCTAAGTAGACCTGAATAGGGCTGCAATATTAGAATCATAGAATTGTAGAGTTGGAAGAGACCATGAGGGTCATCTAGTCCAACCACCTGCAATGCCATGGGGCTCAAACCATAACCCTGACATTAAAAGACTCATGCTCTACCAACTGAGCTATCTTGCAAAATGCGTATCAGGCATTACTTCTTGATACACAGTGGGACTTACTTCTGGTAAATATGCAATGGATTATATGCTGTAACTAACTAAAATGCAGCTATAAACTATATTTTGAACCACATTTTTGCAATATTAACTACATTCCAATATTCCCATAATAAATCTCCATGTCAGTAAATAAATTATTTACTTAGAATCTCTAGGTAACACTTACACTGCTGTAAGTATAAAATTCAATGATTAAGCAACTTTGAGTTGGGGTTTGAATACTTCTAACTTTACCTTTGGGGAATTAGCTATGATATGATGAAAATATTTCTTAACAAAGTTGGGAAGGTCACAACAAAGCACAAGATGTGGGAACTCTAGAGATGGTTCTGCTTTGTTTGAAATAATCTAGTCTTATACTCACATCTGGCCCTTCAAAGATTACAAGGAGCCTTCAGCTATTCTTACACCTCCATGTTTTCCATTGTGTGATTCTAAAAAATCTAATTATATACCTGCCACATGTTAGTACACATGCATTTAGGTATTTATTCCAAAGTATAGTCTGAGTGTATGTGAGGTCACCGCCTTACAGAAGCTAAGACATATACCATGCCACGACAGAAGGCAAGATACAAAGAAAAGAAAATGTGCTTTCCCCCCCATAAATCTATTTAACAGAGTTCTAAAGATTATGAGAAAAAAAACATACATATATTCTGTTGCAGACCACTGACCAATTCAAAATTTGCAGCAGCACCCATACCCTGTAAAAATGTCTTTTCTGCAACAGTCACAATTTTGATAGCCAATCTGGGAAGTTATTATTTCTTGCACCATAGGTTTCTTGACAATAACCAGCATAAATAGCTGGATAAACAAGACTTATCACTATTAATTGCTTTGATTCAGGCAGAGGAAGCAATCTAACATGTTAGATTTTTAGTAGCTACTGTATGAGAGGAAGGCCCTTTTGTTGGACAATGCGGCATCTTTCATTTGATAACCTCTCCAGCTGAGGGTGTTGGAGCTACATTGGGCTAGAGTGGGCAGGGGTAATTGGTCAAAATTGCCTTTCCCAAGAAGGGATGTTTCCACTAGTCCAATGAGCAACAATTGGAGATCACCCACTGACTTTAAGGTGCTCAATGATCATTAAGCAGATTAAGGAAAGAGAATCCTGCTGCTTTTTCTGCTGTTAGGCTTGCTTTCTGCAGTTTTTTGGAGTTTCAGTCCAGGTCCAATTCCTCAGCAAACCATGTCTCACAAATTAGTAGTCTGTTAGTTAATGATTTAATGAGAAGCAACAGTAAGACATACACTCTTGTCTAATGACAGTACAAAATTCATTGGGCACCATCACAAACTTTAAGCATGTTTCCAGCTTAAACTACCATCAATGAACTATTTTTTTTAAGCAGCATCATAAAAAACATATATGCATCCAAATCTGTCATCCAAGTAAATACAGTTTCTAAAAATAGCAAATTAACAACTTCTTCAGAAAAGATTTGATGTACCACTATTTGACCATATGTCCACAAAGAAATAAACATTTTCTCAAAATAAAACATTTTTTTCTGTTCCATCCACACTCCTTAGTTTTGAACTTATGTCGCCATTTGCACTGCTCAGCCAATCCCAAGCCAAAACTACTGCTGTGCTCTGGAGACCCCTCCAATCCATCTCAAGGCAGTAGAATATATTTACTTAGTAACTGGTAGGACACCCTCAGGCACTTTTGCTCTTTCCCCCTTCTTCGTTTGCAGCCTTAAAGGCAATCCAGCAATTCAGCCAACCAGGGCAGAGAAATTAGCATAACACATGTGTGCCCCCCCCAAAGGAAACTGGGCATTGCCTCTGAACCCAAGTAAGACAAATCAGAATCATTCCTCAATGTTCAGCATGTCCAGTTGTTTCTCTGCAAAACCACTAAAACTGTACTGTGTCCTACTTTTACAGAGTTGTTGCGAGGACAAAAAACTATAACACACTTTGGAAAATTTAAAACTCTGATACAAAAAGAAAGAAGCTGCAGGGGATGGGTCCAATGAGAATTATTGCCAGTGTACTGTACTGGAAGAAGCAAAGATCACCAGTGTCAAAGCAATGATTCTTAAACAACTTTGTTGGACTGGTCATGTTGTTCAGATTACCATCTTTCAAAGCAACTACTCTATTCCCAACTCAAGAATGGAAAGGTTTAAAGATGTTCTCAAGGCAAATCTTTAAAAATGTAGCACCGACAACTGGGAAACACTGGCCTGTGAGCGCTCCAATTGGAGAACAACCTTTACCAAAGGTGTCATGGGCTTTGAAGATGCTATAACTCAGGATGAAAGGGAGAAACGTACTAAGAGGAAGGCACGCTTGGCAAACCCTCACCATGATCAACTCCTGCCTGGAAACCTATGTCCTCACTGTGGAAGTACGTGTGGATCCAAAATTGGCCTCTCTAGTCACTTACAAACCCACTGTTAAAACTGTGTTTATGGAAGACAATCTTACTTGGCAACGAGTGATCGCCAAAGATCATTTCCAAGCATCTCCATTGGCTTCAGTGGGCACCAGCAGCCACTGCTGGTTAGGATAAAAATGGTTATGGTTCATCTCAGCATTTTCCTTAACTGCTATTAAGGCAGCCACAGGGAATTACTCAAAGAATAAGGTGAGCGGGGCAGTGTTCCTCATTTCTTAAGGACAGCTAAGAAGGAATCACTACTCCCCTGGCACAAAGTATCTTATAAATATAGCACTAAATATTACCAGCATCTATTCAGGTATCTGACAGCAACAACAGACAATATTTCTAAACTTGGAATAGATCAGAACAACATTTTACTTGATACATTTGACACTGTCAAGATGACATACTCTTTCCTTTTCTTTGGCACCGCTATATTAAGGGATCAATCTCCTTAATTGACTCCAAATTTAGACAGTTCATATTCCACAGCATATTTTGTCGTGTTCTTCGGTGTTTGACTCCTGTTTTACCCTTGCCCACCAAAATCTATACTTACATTTTTGCAAATAATTTCCACTGTGAACTATGTGTTGACACCAACATCTACTGCCAAACACATAATTTCTACATTACAAATTTGCCGAGTCTGCTAAATTGATTTCTGAAGGAAGCATGGTTAAATAAAGAATACTGAAGGAAGCATGGTTAAATAAAGAATACTGTGCATACCATACAAGGTTGTTATTAGAATTGTTATTAGAAGTAATAATTAGAATTATTAACAATATACACACACTAATTATCTTCCATTTGCTCCATCTCCTGGAAAGTTTACATATACATTGGTCTTACCGTGCAGAATACAGAAAATGAGCAATGAGATATTCAAAATTATTAAGTCCTCCTGTACCAAAATTATTAAATCCTGTACAAAACCTTTGAAATTGTATCTGTACTTGCTTGAACATATGTAGAAACTCATATAGATAATCAGTTCATTATTCCAAAGAAATCAAATTTCTGGTTAACCAAAAATTTATCAGGTTGTCCAGAGTGACAAGGAAACATTGTATTTATCAGTCATGCCTGTATCTCACCTTCATCCAAGTTGCTTGTGGAGCGGAGTCCATTTCCCCCCTCACTACAACACTGTGACATATGCTCATCAAGTGACTAATGTAAGGTTATCTAATGAATATCATGGTGAATCTGAGACAGTTGTTTCCTAAAGCTAATGGAATAAACTTGTGGGTAGAAGGAAAGGAAATATTAACATATTTCTAGATTAGCTAACTTATAAGTATGCTTCCACGCAACCTTACTCAAAAGTAAATCCTCATGAGTAAATCCTACTGGTGCCATAATGTATAAACTTAAATACAGTGCCCTGCCTGCATCCGTCTACAAGTTAATTCTCCTCTATGATCCAGCTCTTCATTAAGAAGCAGAAGCTAACCAAGATCGAAACACCATTTCCAACTTAACTCTCTGCTATTACTACAATGTTGGCAAACTGAAATTTACACAGCAACATCACTAACCCAGTGATGTAGGCTAACAAAATTAAACACAAGGCAAAGCATCTGAAACATGAAGCTAGCTAATATAACACAATGATTAAATTTTAAATTACCCACTTGTGTGTTTATATGACTTCCAAATGAGTTACACTTCAGCAACTAGTTGCCATCCAAAGTGACGAGAGCAATTAATGTACAAGGACACCTTCCCAAATGAACCCACCCAAGGTAGTTACATATTTTCATATTGACAATGTTGAAGTTACAAAAAAATTCCTTTTTACATTAATTCACTGATATACATCCCTTTCTCGTTTGTCAGTATTAAAGCACCAAATGAAACATTAGAAGTAGAAATGTTTTCAGTAGTCCTGGATTGTTTTGGTGTGTCTTATAATGAAATGCTGCTATTGAAGGTTCCAATGTCAGTTGGAAGAATAGTGGAAGGGGTAGCTAAACCCTTCTTCCCAGACCAATTTTGCACACTCAGTTGTCTCTAGTACAAGAGACATTTAATGGAAAAGCACCCAGGTGAAAATGTCTAAGTCCTCATATTCATCTTCCTCTATAGACTGCAGCTGCATTTGGTGAAAAACAAAAACATTGGCTGGGGAAGAACTGCAAATCACTCTTGCAAATCACTCATCCTAAATAACTTTCCCTACGAAGGAGGAAATCTCTAAACACAAGTAACAAAGCACAATATAGCAATACAGAACAAGGGAATATAAGTAGTTATGAAGTATGCAGGCTTAGATGCTTTTCTGTCATAAAGAGAATGTATTTAGGAAGCCAGAATGCTAAACTATTTTAATTAACATTTTTCCTGATGGACTTTGAACAACTGTATAGTCAGCCCTCGACACATTAACAGAATATACTTGCAGAACAGAAGATACCATAAACAGAAGTACAGTGGTACCTCAGGTTAAGAACTTAATTCATTCCAGAGGTCCGTTCTTAACCTGAAACGTTCTTAACCTGAAGCGTGCTTTTGCTAATGGGGCCTCCTGCTGCCGCTATGCCACTGGCAAGCGATTTCCGTTCTTATCCTGGGGCAAAGTTCTTAACCTGGAGCAACCACTTCCTGGTTAGCGGAGTTTGTAACCCGAAGCATCTGTAACCCGAGGTACCACTGTACTCAGAATCTTTCAATGAAAGTACTACCATGTAATAAAACAGAAGTTATTACGTATTTGTAGAAATATCCTCTGGTACAGAATTATTGTTTTTGGCTAATATGCCCAAGTACAGAACATTAGTTAGATATTTTTTTAAAAAATCCAGAGGCCTGGTTTGCCAGGTTCCTGGGATAAGATCCCAGAATGTCTGCCCACTTGTGCAAAAGGAACTCCAATAGCAAAATGGCTCTTCCCGTTTCTCTCCTCCATATTGCAGTCCACACATGCCTCCCAAAACTGTTCCAGAGGGTGCCTCAAATCTGCAGAGGAGATTTGGGGAGCTTGAAGAAGACCCATTGTACTAGAAGAAGCTATTCATGCAATGCTAGATCTCACCCATAGAAATATGAAGTTACCACCTATGAGCTACAGGGAGCCCTAGTTGATAAAGTATCTCTGCCCCAGCTAAAAATGTGTTAAGGAAAAGCATAAGAAAGCAATATCCATTTATTTAATTAAAGCAACAGCTCAGATTACTAAGGGCCCTGTGTGCTAGCAGCCAAATCCTGTAATAATTTAGAAGCTAACTTCTAGGTGTAGGAAGCTTGTAGATACCTAGTTTTCAGTGCTACCCTATCAGAGAAGCTTGAGGAGCCACAGTAAATTAGTCTAAGCTCCAATTTTGGAGAAGGGGTAAAAAGAATACTCCACTATTATATATAGCTCCACAGAATACAAATCTAGCCAGTCGAAGCATCAGCTTAGGTTTTTTAGTTTTTTAGTTTTGTTTTGCTCATGGCAGACCAGCTTTCCTAGGTTATTTAAAGCCAGCAAAAAACTAGGAAAGGTTGCCTTAAAAAAAAAATCACACATGACTGACAGTGCCTGTGGTTCTGAAATGCATCTGGCAGAGGTAATGGCTACAAGGAACACGACTTTAAAGGATAGTAAGCCTAGCAGGACCAACTTGAGCGGATGAAAAGGAGGTCATTGTAGAGCCAATAGAGTGGTATGCAAACCCCAGATGAGGAACCTATGTTGCACGGGCGGGGCTTGAAGGAAAATGTGGGAGGAATGGGTGAGTAGACAATAAGTCGATCTGGGTCTTTGGAGACAATAGATGGAAGTGTCAAGGTCTGACAATGCAAGGTGTTGGGCTTCAGGCCTAGAGATAAGCATTTCTGCAGAAAGAGGAGGTCTGAAACTGCTGCTTGTCTTGGAAAAGTTAATTTATTTGACACCCACTGTGATACCAAAAGGGTTTTTTTATCACCCTCTAAGGACTGCCCTAAATATGCCCTTTTTATAATCATTATTGTTTTTAGTTTGCTGACTGCTTCTGCAAGGGCTGTAATACCAACATCTTTGTGTTCCAAGCCCCTGCTCACCATTTGTCCCTTTAGAAAAATTAAACATTTTACCAACTGTTTCCAAGGTTCCTCTGCTGTGATTCTGTCACAATAAATAAATTTGTGAACCTCCAAGATCCCCACAACTTGTCTTTTAATTTTTATTACTAAATTTAATTTTTATTACTAAATTTAATGATCAATAAATAATGATAAAAAATTATTTAAAATAGTGTAGAATGGGAGTGTCTTTTGGAAGATAGCCTTGAGAACTGTAGTTCTCACCACACCCAGCTCTACACTTTGGTCTCATCCATGTTGACATGCAGTCTCAATGGGATCCTCAGCCCAAAAAAGGTTAGCTACAGCTAGAGGAAGCCAGTGAAATAAACATTGTAAATAAATTCGATTACTGAAGTGACACACAGAAGGCATGGAACACAGGCAAAAGTGGCTTGAAAGAAGAAACAAAGAAACTGCAGTATTCAATAGCAAACATTAAGAGAGTGGAGCAATAATTTAGTGGTATTAACTGAAAGGAAAAAAGACCTATCTTTAAAATGTTTAATGGATTATAATGAGACCTTAGGTAAAATTAATCTGGAGGGAGGGGGGAAACTACACCAATATTGCAAATTTGGGAACAAGGGGAAGCAACACTACCCAGAACAAAGGAAAAAGAAACTACGATTAAGCTTTAGGAGGAAATACTTTTAAGATATTTATAGCGCAATCCTATACACATATATTCAGAAGTAACTCCCACTGTATTCTGGGGGGCTTACTCCCAGGTATGTATATAACGGATGGCAGCCCTAAGGGACTTCATTTATCTATAGTGGCAGGGTTCATCAATTAAAGTGAACAGACTTTCGCAAAAATGGGCAACACACCTCCCTTAATGGACGTTTCTATGTGCCTTATGGCAAAGACAAGCCAACTTTTCTCCAGATGTTTGTCAAAACTATCAGGACAGCAACATGTCCCCAGCATCTGTGTGCTACTCAGCTCTTCCCTACTCTAAAATGAATGCTACTGAGAAAAACACCTGCTACCATGAGGAATACCAATCTATTTCTGCTTCCTGTAGATGTGAGGTTCAATTATAGATAATATACATATTCATCATATACACTCACCGGCTAATGTATAATCCATATCAAATCCAAAGCACTTTATTTTTTCCATGGCTAGACTTCTGTTCACAAAAACCCTGTAAAAGGAAAGTAAGAAACCCAATGGTAAACATTTTTGACATGAAATCTGAAGGGAGCCTATGTAATAATTAAGTTCCTAAAGTGTCCAAGGATTGCTAAGGAGTTTATCAATGGACCACATGACTTGACAAGTTGTTGTTGTTATTTATATCCCACTTTTCAGGATGCCAAATCCTTCCAAGGATTACAAGTAAAAGCAAGATACATTAATAAAATCACCACAATCTATATCAAAACATAACAATAATAATATATTATTATTATATTAATCTATTATTTATACCCCACCCATCTGGCTGGGTTTCCCCAGGCACTCTGGGCGGCTTCCAACAAAATATTAAAATACAGTAGTCCATCAAACATTAAAACAGGGCTGCCTTCAGATGTCTTCTAAAAGTCTGGTAGTTGTTGTTCTCTTTGATATCTGGTGGGAGGGCATTCCACAGGGAGGGTGCCACTACCGAGATGGCCCTCTACCTGGTTCCCTGTAACTTGGCAGTGAGGAAACCACCAGAAGGCCCTCTGCACTGGACCTCAAGCCATCAGGACCCTTCCCACAGAGCAGTTGGTGGTAGATAGCCCTATTGGGGGGAGAGGGGAAACCTTCTGATATCAGAATTTGTTTCCCTCTTTCTCCTAAAATCCTACCCACAAGATAGCTGGTAGCAGATGGCCCTGAGGAGGTGGGGAAGCATGGCAGACAGTCCAGTGTGGCCATTTACTTGGGAGCAAATGCCATTAGGTTCTGTATACTTATGTCAGAGTAATTTTTTAAAAAAGAATCCATTTATATAGTCATCCCATATGTTTTCTGCATACATCAGAAAACAAATTAAACGACAATGAAAATACAATATAATACAATAAAAACTATTCAAAACTTTAAAAACCCAATTAAAACAGAGACATTAAAGAAATAAAACTATGAATAAACATGCATAGAACTGAGCTGTTGATCTGCTACAGAAAACAAATTATTAAACACTGCTAGATGCTATCCATAGTAGTTTTACCTACTGGTTTCCTAACTACACCAGAATTTTTTATTTACATTATATGACATACTATAGAATAATATAATTGTAGAATTGGAAGGAACCCCGAGGGTCATCTAGCCCAAGTCAGGAGTCTCAACTAAACCATCCATGACAGATGGCCATCCAACCTCTGCTTAAAAACTGCAACGAAGGAGAGTCCATCACCACTAACAAAGTCAACCATGCTGAACTGGAACATAAACATAAAAACAAAAAGTATTAACTACTCTGTAAAGCTCCCTAGTGAAAAAAGAAAGAAGCAGGTGGTGGGATATTAAAAGGACATTACATAGACATTTGCCTTCCAACTGAAGTTAACTATGAAACTGTTAAAAATTACAATTACTCACAAAACCTAACCCTGTATTAATATATCACTAAAGAACTTATGGGGGGGGGGACCCTTTGCAACCTCACTGTAGCCTAACCAACATATACAAATGAATTTGTTTCCAATTTTATAATCAAAATACTATTTCACTTGAACATTCCAAGAATGTGTGAATGATATATGCAAGATAAAGAGAAAATCTGTCAGATACCATATCTCCTCACTTAAACCCAATCCTTCCTGGGTCTGAAGCCAGGGCTCTCACTACGTGACCATGCCAAAGCTAGGAATTTTTTTGTTAAAGAAATTCCACTATCTGCTCTTCCTTTTCCTCCTCCAGACATCTGTTCTGCCAACAACACTCTGTGTGCTGTCCCTAACATCACAACTCATTTGTTTTCATCTGCCTTCGTGCATTCCTACCAGTCTCCCTCAGAATGTCTTCATGTGTTTCTACCTGTCCTTGTATTTGATTGGACTCTAAAAACTGCTCTTTGGCAATGCATCTCTAATTTCATGGCTCTGATCCATGGTTTGCTCTTGACTTTCCTCTTCGTCTCATACCCTAATGACATCTGGATGATATCCAGATTCAGAACGAGCCAAGATTTACAGCACAACAGAGGAGGAGGAAGGAGATTTGATCCTGCAAACAAATGCTGCTCTTCAACTTAACTTGTTAAAGAGAAAACTACAAAGTCAGGTATATTTGATTGTGAATATGGTTACACCAAGTATTTTCATGCATACAATTCAACAGTAGACAATTAGTGAACCATGGACTATCAACAGAGATGCTGACTGGCTCACCACTCACCTGTGCACAACATCACAGCACATTTGTACCCCATCTCGAGTAAGCAGTGCATCAGTCTAGGACTTTCAACTATGAATTGTCTGAAAACAGCAAGTATGGGGTAGCTGGAAGGTAGAGCTTTTGTCCCTCTCCCTCGTGCTCTGCTGTCCCTTGGACAACCAGCTAGATGCCTACTCAATGTAGTAGTTCTGTCACTTTTATCCTCTCTAAAAAATCCAGAAACCAAAATTACAACCACCAATGCCCTTTATGTTAAAAGGTCTTTAATATCTAAAAGGGGAGATTGAATTCACCTAGCTGCATACTTCAAAATACAGATTTAATTTCAGGCTGCACATAGGAATGCTGCGCATAATGCCATCAACAATTTAAATCCTTTACTAAGGGAAAGTTGACAAATTGAAGAATCATAGAATTTCAGAGTTGGAAGGGACCAAGAGGGTCATCTAGTCCAACAGCCTGCAATGCAGGAATCTTTTGCCCAATGTGGGGCTCAAACCCACGACCCTGAAATTAAGAGTCTAATATTCTACTTAGAGTGAGCTGCAAGGCAACAAATTACAATTATTTCTAATATCTGATGAATGGATAAATTCAGTACATTCTGAATTTATGTCTTCAGCATTGATAAGAAAATGGTGGTATACAAGTATAAGTATAAGCATGCACCGTTACGTCTTAAGGCTTTGCTTGGATGCTCCATTCAGACTGCTAATATGATGTGGATAATTAATCTAACCTTTCATTCACACAGAACTGAGAGAACAGATGTAAAAAGGAAGCAGGCAAATACATATAAAAAGGGAGAGCTATCTATTACTTATATTCTAAGATATTTTTCCTCCCAAAACCAAGCACTGAAAAAGCAATTAGCATCACTAAAAAGAAATTTGAAAAAGTGAATATTTGTATAGCAAACTCTTAACATCCAAGCTCACGCTATCCTATTTCTGCACCAGTAATCTTACCTCATCTCACTTGGATGCTCCTCTTGTAAAATGCGTAGCTGTCCAATTCAGAAACTTGCCTAATCACATTACCTAATTTTCTTCATCTATACATAATTTTGCATCAGTCTGACTTGAAGCACGAAGTCTGAAACAAGACTGAAGGTACCACATATCTCCTTAGCCAGTGTTACATAATAAACATCCGTGCCTAATTTAACAAGTCACTGGATATCACTGTTCTACACAAGTCCATTTGGAATAGAGTTTCTCTGGCTATAGCATGTTTTACCCTTAACTTTCCATGCTTCTTCAGGAGTCACAGTTTCCTGGCAAGCTGCCTTATTTGGCAGTGAAGCATGTAAAGTACAGCGGGGGGGGGGGGGCAGTAACAGACGGGGAATTAAAGTTGACAATCTTAAAAGTTACATAATAGCCAGAATCATACTATATTAGGGGGGGAAACAAACAGAATAAACATTCTTGCAAATATTTCATGATTCACTGAAGACACTGTCTGGAAATAAAGAGAAAAGCAGCATCACTGAATATCCTGCTTTAAAATTAAGCAGAGATATTTAATCATCCTCTTCTCACATAGAATTTGGATCATCTAGTGCCTTTCAGTTTGGCAGAAAAAGAGGGTCACTAAGTGGTGGCTTCTGTATACTTGTAGGATTCTCCAGATATACAGAAGTATATTAGTTTGTGTAAGAAAAGGCGACCAATCAATCAATATTTCTCCCCGTGTATTATTACATTCATATCCCAGCTTTAATCCCAGCAGCTCAAAGTGGCATACATACTTCTCCTCCTTTCCATTTTATCCTCACAACAACCCTGTGAAGTAGATTAGGTTGTGAGGCTGTGACTGGTGCAAAGCCACCCAGTGAACTTTGTGGGGCTGTGTGGGGATCTGAATCCTGGTCTCCCAGGTGCCAGTCAAACGACACTCTAACCACTGTAATAATGTGGCATGATTATTTAATGTGATTAATTCTTTACTACCACCTAGCATCTTCACTGTACAGCTTTCACGGCATCACTTTACTCAGGCCTCTGCCAGTCTAAAGTATTTTCTTTTGTGGAACCGACCTCTTTTGCTGAATTTATACTGTTCTGTACCATTTGAAACTGTCTTATGTAATTCTAATGGTTTTATTTTTAAAAAATAATTGAAGACTCTAATATTGTAACCCACCCTGGAATCTTATGGCATTTACCAGCGCCATCAGCTGATGGACAGGTGGCTGTGATTTAGGCGGATATGGTCTTGCAGGTCATCTTGGCTCCCCTAGCTGACCAAGATTGACCCTCAGGCCGGAGATTCGCCACCCTTGCGTCTACAACTGCTAAGCCACAGTAGGGAAACCACACTCACACACACTACATCAGACAATCAGGATACATCAGCTGATAGGCAGTGGGAGTGCTTCTGGCTCAAGGAGGGGAAAGTAGAAACTGCATCTTCTTCCCTGTGCTGCTTTTTGAAGCAGCGCCTGCAGCCCCTTTCAACTTCCAAAATCAGAAATTGAAAGGAGCAGTGTGGAGCTGCTTGCAAAAAGATCAGTTTGGCTGTAAGTGCCTGTACCCTCCTGAAAACAGGAATGCACAGCCAAAGCAAGCAACTCCATCTCCCCTCTCCAAGAATGGGGTGAGAGAGACTTGGGAAAACTTTGACTTTGCCCTCAACTCTGACCCCCAATGTTTGGGGTCAGAAAGTTGTTGTTTGCTTAGGCTGCAAATGCTTCCATATGCAGCACTGGGAGACAAAAGTGGCTTCTCCTCCCTAGAGGTATTCTTTAAAGAAGCCCAGCACTGAATGCCACACTAAGAAGGTGACCTCCCAAGCACTGGTCCCATGTAGGAAACTCTAATGCACTGAAAAGTGCTTAGTTCGGGCTGGGTTTTGGAGTCCCAAAGTCAGGACTTCAGAGCACCTCATCAGCAGCGATGCAGTGCTAAAACGAAAGGGAAAACATTTCTTTTTAATAAAATAATAATAATTGCATTTCCCCATTACATACATTTGTTTCTTTCTAGTTTTTCTGATCACTTCTTTTAAACATCTAGTACAACATCTAATACAATAGTAAGCATCTATTACAACCATAGAACATCTCTAGTCACGTCCTGTCATATGAAGACTTCCCAGCCTATCTTTGCTTGACATCCTAGATTTTAATTTGATTTTGCTGCATCTCTTTAGTTTGTATTTCCCAAATTCAAACCCAAATTCTAGTATTAGCAATACAAGGAGAATGTTCGAAGAAACAAAAGCTGATTCAAATCAAGAAAAAGGTTAATTCATTTCAAGTTTCCTACTAACATTTCTTCAAGTTTTTCTTAAATAATTGTGCAAATTATAATACTAAAGCCATCTTTAAAAAATGTTTCACAAAAATGAAAGATACATATAGGAAGAAACAAAGAATACTCTCACCCTCATCTTTATTGACAACCACAGTGTTATTTATACTGCTGCTTCATGCTTATAACCACACCTTGTATCTGTTCATCATATGTATGTTTTCCTTTTTTAAACCTATGAAATGAAATTTGTTTTTAAAAATCCCATATGGTCTCTCTATTAAAACCAGCACCCATAACAGTGAAGTTAGCAGCATAGTCCTATACATATCCACTGAGAATTAAATCCCACTAAGTTCAATAGGGCTTACTCCCAACCAGTTAGGTATAGGATTGCTGCCTAAATGTAGGAGAATAGGTATGTACACACTGGGCAATTTTGTCTTTTCTTCTTTCCAGTATTGCTCCTTTCTACTTCATTCTGGGCTAGCTCCACCCTTACAAAACAAAGTAGCAAACAAAAATAAAATACCCATGACTCATAGGTCAAAGCAAGGTTTAATAGTTAATTGGGTAGACTAGATCAATTTGTTTTTATCAGGTGACAATGAAGTATACTCTGCCTACCAAACCCTCTACCTACTATACACAGGCACCTAAATATTCGTATCTGATAAATCTCCTTTACCTGGATGTATCTAGCAGAAGCAATGGTTCTGTTTAGAGATTAAGGGTTGTATCTATATTTTACTCAAAATAAACTCACTGAAATTAATGAGCCTAAGTTAAACATGTTAATTAGCTTCAAAAGGTCTACTCTGAGTAGGACTAGCACAAACTACAACTCCAGAGCTGCAATCCTAAAATAAGGGATGCATGAAATCCAAAGGCCTTTCAGCCACTTCTCGTCAGGCTCAAACTTGAAGGGCAGACATGTGGTTGAGGGAAGAAAGGGGGAAGGGGAGGTTTAGACATGCTCAGAAGTGTGGCAAAATTTTCTGGTGGTTTGGGGATGTGACAGGAAACCTAGAGAGCTATTTGCATTTATATCCCGCTTCTTTCTCCAAGGAGCTCAAGCTGGCGGACATGATTCTTTCCCACCTCATTTAATCCCCACAACAACCCTGTGCAATAGGTTAGGTTGAGCGGCAGTGACTGGCCCAAGGTCACCCTGTGAGCTTCATGGCTGAGTGGGGATTTGAACTATGATCTCCCAGGTTTTGGTCCAGCACTCTAACCACCACAACACACTGGCTCTCATGTTTCCTTTAGATTCCAAATGCTTTCTGGCAAGGCCCAGAGCACTAACTTTTTAGCCCTTCCGATGTAAGTGCTATGACCAATTGATTTATGATCCGAGGACGGCAGACTAACAATAGGACTGTCATGCCTATATTTAATACTGATCTAGGTTTTTTTTTAAGAACAACTATGTATTTACAATTTTACACATTTTTAAACAGATGGGGGGGGGACTTAATAATCTATTTTTAGTCATTCTGCTTCTTTTTGCAATCCAAGAACTATTTCAATTAAAACATTAGCTTGATCCACCTGTGTTTCCACACCTCACATTCTCTTCACAAGCAAAGCAAAGCAAAGCAAAGCAAAGCAAAGCAAAGCACTAATCAATTCATAATATCTTTTTGTGCCTAATTTAGACCCCAACAGGACACACCACTTTACAACATCATACTGGTTCAGAGAAACCTATGATACAAATATAGACTATATGTCAAAAGTAAAGCCGAAGTAAATATAGAGAAAGTATTAGAATTCTAAACTAGAGGCCTAACTTCTAGATCTTTGCCCCTGCCCTATGGGTAAAGCTGCCTTTTGAAAGCAGGTAAAGGTGAAGCACTTCAACATGGTTTATGTCACCTGTGTCTTAGTGATCCACAAAAGATACGGATTTCTAAGGGGGGGGAACAGTTTTTTCCTACTACCTTGAAAAATTGCTACTCATGAATTATAAACATATTGTATAAAATAAATGCAAATACCTGAGTTCTGTTTCTTGGCAGTTGCCAGTATCAAGGGAGAACGGAAATCCAACTTTTTCCATTGTTTAACCTTTACTAATCACAGCTGTTAACCAAAGAACTGTATGCAATAGTCCAAAGGGTGACTAGAAGTATTCCCTCAGAGTGAAAAAATAGACATCATAGCAATTTGGTGTCTCATGCTCAACCTCCTTCCTGTCTAACTACAATCACAGTACATGACTGTACTCCTACAATGGGACCAGCCTCACAATTATCACCAAGCCAAATAAATGACTGGAAGTAAGGAAGTAGCACTCTGCTTGTATACAGTGAAGAAGAGCTTCCTAACAATGTTATATCAATGTTATTTCCACTTTGAAGATTATGGTATCAATAACTGCTTATAGATAGGCAGCGTCTTATTACAAAATGTTTCAGTAAGAAAGTAGCTGTAATTCAGTCCCTATTTTTGTTTATACCATAGGCATTTCCCACAAATAGGCTAGAAGAAGATATAATAAGATGTGCAGTTGACATCAGCTATTAGTCTAAAGCCTACTAATGCATGATATGGGGGGGTAGGGGGAATCCTTGTACTGTGCACACTACAGATAAAACACAAATGCAGGCTATGAATGTTTTCCTGGGTCTCATGTTTTATCTTCCTTGAATTTACAGTCAGTATTTGCCATCCTAATTATAAGCTAGTTTTCCAAACGATATTTTATTCAATAAGTAAGCATTACACAGAACTTGCTACAGTAATACAATTATTGTAAAACAACAGTCAGTTAAACATATTTCAAAAACTTTGAGGAAATATAAAAGTATGTATCTATGCAGTTTCAGTCTCTGGCACCAAGTCAGTAATCAGCATTCACCACACTGGTTAAACAAGTCTCAAAATATTACACACAATACTCCACCCAGTATGGTTCAATACAAAACATTTATCAACAGAATTCTTCAGCTCCAAGTTTTAGCTATCATAGCTAAACACATACTCAAGTATCTAAGCCCTGAAGTTGTATAGCATTAAAACATACCAAAGATCTAACAACATACCACAGATCTAGTATCAGTAAAGTATTCTTGATTTTTAAAGTAATTATTTTCTCTTGATTGAAACAGTGTCTTTACAGATGTGGTGGTGATGCTGTAGTTATAATCTAACATATGAAATCCAGAACAGGACCTGCACAAGACATTTTGAAGTCTTGGGACAGAATAACAACTACCTAAAACTAATCAGTTGTTCTGGAACTTTAAAAAGATTCCACAATCTCTGCACCCTGGGAGAAAAATTGCAGTAATAAATTAAATATCTAGCAATTTGCTGCCCTTTCATGGCACCCAAAATCAGCTGCCTAAAGTGGCTTGTCTCACACGCTGCCTAATGGCAGGGCCAGCCCTGAAACAGAAATGGAATGTTTCAACTGACCAATTTGAATGAGGATAATGTGACATTGGACCTCCATGAAGGTCCATTTTCTGCAGGGGATTGAGGGGATCCTTGGATGGGTTTTCCCTCTCACTTGTTCCACAGGCAGGAATATGCAAATTAGACAAATATTACCTCACTGTGGGTGGACAACACCTTCAGCTGACAAGATAATCCAATTCAGAAGAAAATATCATGTTAATCTCAGAGAAAAGCAGTGCATCCCATGGATACAAAATGCCAGCTGAACAAAATGCAAGAACTGCAACTATTGAGGAAGAAGAACATCCAGTAAAAAGCAAAGCAAAACACAACAAACACCCCAAAGAAACCCACATATAAAAAAGATTTGTCCAACTTACAGCCAATAACCAAAACTAGCTTATGACAGGTAGTATTCCTCCATCCCCTGCAGAAAATGAACCTTCACAGTTGGTCCAATGTCACATTTTCCTGCTGGGTGGAGGGGATCATCCAATGGGATGTACCACAGCTACTCAGAGAGGCGGGACCAGCTATGGACCTCCTATCCCTACTGGAGAACCACTGGCTGTAGTCCTTGCCAACCAAAAGAAGCTTTGGCAGACGCACATATATCAATCCTGTAATGTCTCACAAAGGTAGACAAAGAAGACCAGACGACTTCCCTACAAATATCCCCCAGAGATGCTGAAGGCAGCCAAAATAGAGGTACTCCTAGTAGAGTGAGCAGTGACCCCAGCAGACAAGTCAGAACAGAAACCTCACAACACTTGGAAATGCATCCTCTCAGCCATCTGGAAAGTGTAGCAGTTGAAACCTTCTTTCCCATGGTTTGGGGCTGGAAGGAGAGAAACAGGGAATCACACAAGTGGAAGGATTCCATTCCCTTTAGATAGACATGCAGTGTGCTCGTCTTAAGTCCAAGAGAGTGCCTCTCCCTCTCCTTGTCCAATCTAGGGTGGGGGCAGAAAGCAGGTAACATGACATCCTAGTTCCTATCAAAACTTGAGTTAACCTTAGGAACAAACATAGGGTCCAACTTCAGGATCATTGAATTCAGGTAAAAAACGCAGTGTTCCTTATGCACTATTCACATTGGTATTCTGCTGAGTCATGAATAGGTCCATACCGGGCTGACTGAAGTGTAACACCATCTGTTCTAACACCATGGGCAGATGACTGAATTCTGCTTAAGACGTGTCCTGGAGAGACACAGCCAATCTGCCCTGGTATTTGAAGCACCTGATACATGTTCCACAGTGATAGATGCAAGGTGGTTCTCCGCCCAGTTGAACAGATGTGTTACTTCCCGCAGCAGTGTCAGAGATCTGGATCCACCCTAGTGCAAATATAAGCTTTCACACAAACTTGTCACCTGCTTTGCAGCCCTTGCCTGGCACTGCCACCCTGTGGCAGAGGCTGAGGCAGAGAGTGGAGGAATCAGTTTGCCTTTGGGCCTCTGAGCAGCACTGGCCCCCTCCCTTCTGGCCTGACATGTTGGTGGCATCAAGACTTCCTCTTCCAGCTGCCCAGAGATGATCCAATGCCTGTGAAGGCAAGAGTGCCCCTGAACTCTGCCACAGCTGCTGCATCACTAGACCCAGGAGAGGAGGGGGGAAAGAAGGCAGTTTCCTGCCCCCTAGAGGAGCAGGAATGAACCTATGCAGGAGAGGCTGGAGTCACTGAGGAGCCCTGAGATCCCAACAAACCACTAGACACTGTGCACTCTCTCCCACCAAAACCTGAGGTAAGGCCTGGGACCAAGCCTCAGACCATGGCTGAGGAGAAAAAAGCAGGCCCCAGAAAGGCTATCTGAGGGACCAATCCCCACTCCTTGTACCAAAACCTGCTAGATCCACCAACAGAACTTGGGGTGATGAGCTATGCTGTCAATCACTTGAATAGGAAGTGATGCAAGGCCCGGTGGATGTGGACACTCCAAAACCTCATTCTCTCAGTGGGATGATCAGAAGGCCGACGTTGGTCTAAACCGACTTTTCTCCAGGTCAGCTAGCTGCTCCTCTGCAGCTTCTGCCAGCTCCTGGGATGAAGCGAACTTGAGGATACACGGAAGGAGACAAGTCTGATGTCACATTATCCTCATTCAGATTGGTCAGTAGAAACATTCAGTTTCTGTTGCAGGACAGAGTGAGAACAAGCTACTTTAGGCACCTTCACTCTGATGCCAACAAGTTATTTGCAGGTTTAGTGATAGCCTATTTTTGGAAATCCCAGGCTGAGCTACCTCTTGAGGTATGGAACAACAATATCTAGGACATGGCTATTTCAGAGCGATTATCTGGGCTTAGAAGAGTAGCAAACAGTGTTATAAAGAGAGACAACTTTGATGACCCCCCCTTCTTTTCATAAGGGAAGTAGCAATTTCTCCCACCAGTTTTGCAAACATGTTCGTGGAGAGTCTATATTGACCATTAATGCCCTAAGATTATGTAAGAGTATGTTACAATCGTAATGCTGTGTTTATTATTTTTGTGGTGATTGTATTAAATTTGATTTAATAAAATTTTAAAATGGAAAAAAAATTGCAGGTCCACAAGGCTTCACAAATCCCCCCCCCCCCCATTTTTTAATGCTCATTTGCACAAATCCTCTGCAGTACTTCAGTGGGGCCAAATGGTTTCCCCAAATTAGTCCTTGAATGGCTACACCCTCTTTTTACACTTTAGCCACACCCACTTTGTCATATGACCCTTTGAGGGTTGGCCATGGGTTAATGCAGTACAGTGGTACCTCGGGTTAAGTACGTAATTCGTTCTGGAGGTCTGTTCTTAACCTGAAACTGTTCTTAACCTGAAGCACCACTTTTGCTAATGGGCCCTCCTGCTGCCGCCGCGCTGCCAGAGAACAATTTCTGTTAGAATGTGTTAAGATAATTATAGGATAGAAAACAGAGGAATATGGAAAGGAATTGCTGAAATAATTAATTGATGTGGAATACAAAAAGGGAGGTGTGAGGAAGTCGTGGAAATAAGCGAATGAAAGATATGACATTGAAATTGTTTAAAATGGTCTTTGTTTTGTTTTATTTGTCTTGCATTGTATTGTGTTGTTTTTTGTTTTTTGTTTCTTTTTGCTTCTTTGCTTTGTTTAACTCTTTTTCTTTTTTTGGGGTAACTTTTAAACTCTTAATAAATATTATTAAAAAAAAAAAAAAGAGAACAAATTCTGTTCTCATCCTGAAGCAAAGTTCTTAACCCGAGGTACTATTTCTGGGTTAGCGGAGTCTGTAACCTGAAGCGTATGGAACCTGAAGCGTATGGAACCCGAGGTACAACTGTACTTGGCCTGGAAAAGGCTATCATCTTGGGGGCCTTAGTATTTAACCTTTTCCTTGCATTTTGTTAATACAAAAGAGAAATATTTAGAAAATTGACCTTCACTTTATTTTTACTAATCAAAATTATATTATTTCTTTCACACACCATTACCACAGCAGGCTCCAGAATGACTCTGATTGCTTATGTTTATTTGGACAGCTAATTGTCCTGGGTGCTGAATGGTGGCCTAAGAAGAGGCATAATTTGATGCAATGTGTTAAGTGCCTCATATCATCTGTGCGACCTACCTTATTGGTTGAGAATTCCACGCATGGTGAAATATAAATAAAAAAGGTGCTTTGAATGCTCAAAAGTTCTATATAAAAACTAGTTAATTTAAATATAACCTCTTGTCAAAAGCCTATGAGATAGTCAGTCTAACACTGAAGTACCATATTTTCCCGTGTGTAAGACGCCCCCATGTATAAGATGCCCCCTATTTTTGGGGACCCCAAATTTAGAAAATGGGCATATGCACTATCCTAGTCTTATACATGGAAAAGTATGGTAAATCAGGGCTCCCATTCCCAGGGCTGTGTGGATTCAGGCCAGGAAGCCATTCCTTCTTTATTCCAAAAATGTTACAGTGCAATCTTCTGGGATGTCTACTTAGAAGTATGCCCCACTAAATCCAATGGGGCTTATTCCAAAATAAGTGTACATAAGATTGCAGCCTTATTTGTTTTGATTTTTACTATTTTAATTAATTTGTACAATCATGCCTGTCAGGGAACTGCCATCGGAGCTAGAGGCGGAGGGAAGGCTCCAGAGGGATGGCGGAGAGGGTCCCAGTAGGGAGAGAGGCAGCCCGTCCGCTGGGGAAGGAAATCAGCGTAACACCAGTAGAGAAGGGGGGCAGATGGGGGAATCGGAGAGGAGGCTCCAAGACTCCTCGCCGGAGACCAGCAGAGAGAGTACGGGTACTCCGCTGCCCACACCTCCCTGCGCAGAAGACTTCCGCGCAGGGAGAGTAGGAGGAGACTTGGCGTCAAGGAACTTTTGTGCTGGAAGAAGTTTAAGAAACGCCCACTGACGGATTCTGCCAGCGACTGAGACAGTCACGATGCTGGAGGCTGTTCAGTCAGAAAGGGTTTAACTGGGTAACCTCGCCAGGAGTGGCGGTAACTTACGCACGAGCAACCCCTAAACCCATTACAATGCCACTTTTAAAATCATATTGCCTTTTGCTAGTATGCATAAATCACCACTAAAAACAGGAGTGTGTTGCCTTTTTCAAAAAGCAATAATACTTACCAACCACGGCAAGAGATGTGGGAGGGAAGTCTTACTTTTTTTCTCCCCTGCAGATTTTTCAAAGTCTCTCATTAGTTACATCCACTTCAGGCATGCCAGCGGCTGGTAGGTTCAAGATCATTATCACACCAGGGCCTAACATTGGCCCCTGAAGGCAAAAGAACCACCAACAGAAAAATCTATACCTGGAGAAAACTATAGCTTGGACACGGTCAGTGGGATATCTGTGGCAGACAATCCCTTTCAATGACAAAGTCAGCAGAGAGGTATCTCTGCTCCATCCTAACCCCCTTCAGCCAGCAAATCTGGAGATTAGGAGTGCTTTGTCAGACTGCAATCCTATACATACTAACCTGAAAGTAAAAACTTATGAGGTCAATGAGACTTACTGGGAACGTATGTACAGTGGTACCTTAGGTTACATACGCTTCAGGTTACAGACGCTTCAGGTTACAGACTCCGCTAACCCAGAAATAGTACCTCAGGTTAAGTACTTTGCTTCAGGATGAGAACAGAAATTGTGCTCTGGCGGCGCGGCAGCAGCAGGAGACCCCATTAGCTAAAGTGGTGCTTCAGGTTAAGAACAGTTTCAGGTTAAGTACGGACCTCCAGGACGAATTAAGTACTTAACCTGAGGTACCACTGTATAGAATTGCACTGTTAAGGCTAGTCACAACACTGAGGCTTCAGAAATGTCAAGCTCAGTTTTCAAGAAGATTCCAAACGTGAAACTGATCAATGAGACCTAGAGAAGTAACATGAACTACAAGGAAGAAAGAAAAGAGGAGGAGGAGCTAGAAAATAGTGTTAAAAAATATGAATTATTGAGATTTTCAACATGACTCCATCCAGGTCATTTGACCACCTCGCAAGGTGGACATTTTTAAAGCTATAGAAATTATTTCATTCCTTGCCAACTTTTAAAACTCAGAATTCTCTTATACCATATGCACATATCTGTATCTAACACAAGAAGACATCCACTGATATAAAATTAATTTCTTCTGTTAAAAACCACATGTCCTCAATATGTGTATCTATATTTATGAAACATCCATGGAATATGTAGCAATGTGGCAGGGCTATTATTGTTGTCTTGACACCACTGGCACTGGCAAAGCAACAGCTGGAAAAAAAATATTTTCCATTACATCCACCAAGTCTGTCATCAATCTTTCCTCCGCACAAGTAGGGACAGGCTATTTTTAATATTCAGATGAGCCAAAAATAATATAGGGATGACAACCAAGTATAACTATTTCCTCTTAACCACCTGTTGACAGTTTTAGGCTTTGTTCAACACCAACTGATTGTCTCTTCTCCATACTAGCAAAGAATTAAACTTAGGTTTAATCTACTGTCACATTCTCTTAATTCTCCTACTTTCCTCTCCAAGTTAATTACTGTATTTTTCGCCCTATAGGACGCACTTTTTCCCCTCCAAAAATGAAGGGGAAATGTGTGTGCGTCCTATGGGGCAAATGCAGGCTTTCGCTGAAGCCTGGAGAGCGAGAGGGGTTGGTGCACACCGCCCCCTCTCGCTCTCCAGGCTTCAGGAAGCTATCCACAAGCCTGCGGAGCCCGGCGGGAACTCCCACGGGCTCTGCAGGCTTGCGGATAGGTGCTTGCAGCCCGAAGTCCAGGGAGCGCGGCACTGCACACCCCGGGCTTAAGGCAGCTATCCGCAAGCCTGCGACGCCCGGCGGGAGTTCTCGCCAGGCGCCGCAGGCTTGCAGATAGCTGCCCTAAGCCCGGGGTACGCAGTGGGCTACAGCGCCGCGCTCCCCAGGCTTTGGATAGCAGCAAGCTCCGGGAGCGATGGCGAGGTTGAGCGCAACCTCGCCATCGCTCCCGGACCCCCAGCCCCGAGGCTAAAAACAAAGCCAGGACAGCTAGCGGGATCCATCCCGCTCGCTGTCATGGCTTCTTTGCTCTTTGGGGCTTGGGGGGGAAATAATTTTTTTCCTTTATTCCCCCCCCCCAAAAAAATAAGTGCGCCCTATTGGGCGAAAAATACGGTAATTCTATTTCATAACATTACAAGCCCAAACCCTCTCTAATTATGCCAACTTTGACGTTATTCACTCATTTGTGGAGAGTAAAGTAACAGGGAATTCTCCTTTTTAACCTTAGAAATTTGTTTCTAATCTTAAAAAGTAGAAAAAGCCTACATAAATCAATTTAAATATTAAGTATATGCCACTTAAATAAAAAAAATAAAACAGTTGTCTAGATCTTGGGTCATAACACTGTTGCAATATAGCAGGGGTAACAATACCACAACTCACAAAAACAAGCATCCCTTCTACCTCCTCTTTGCCTAAGAATGAATAACACAATGGTGGAAGCAACACAATCCTGCAAACATCAAGTTATGCAATATAAATAGACAGATTGAATGACACTGCCAGAGACATGCATAGTAAAAAAAGAAGAAGCCACGTCTGAGTTGAGGAGAGAAACCAGCAGTAAGAGATGCAGGGGCCTGTGGAAGGGAAAGCAATGCCAGCTGGCTCTCAACCATGTGAAGATATTTGAATGCGGTCCTTAGGGCTCTGGAACTTTGCTTTTTCCTGCAGTAAAATGCTTTCCTTACATAAAGAGCTTACCGGTGATATGCTTCCCGACGATACTTCTTCATAGCATAGCCATCCATATTTGCAGGAAGATCTGCTGCATTTTGCAGTCTGTCACTCCATGAAGTTGTCATTTTGTTGTTGTTTTGTGCAATTGTCACTTAATTCTGAAACAACAAATGAAGACACTTTTTTAGTTTGTAATGTATGTCTCACCACTCCCTGTTTTTAAAAAGAGTCATAAATACTTGGGGGAAAGCAAGTGGCTGATAAAAACAGTTATCTTAGTTGTAAAAAAAAAACAAAAACCCAAAACAGAGACTCTAGCATACATGTGGGGGTATATACTTCAGTATGCATACTTCAACAAGCTTGCTTCAACAAGAATGCTGTGCAATCTGAATGAATGCTTCTAGATTGCATCAACAGAAGTACAGTGTCTAGATCAGGTTTCCTCAACCTTGGCCCTCCAGATGTTTTGAGACTACAATTCCCATCATCCGTGACCACTGGTCCTGCTAACTAGGGATCATGGGAGTTGCAGGCCAAAAACATCTGAAGGGCCGAGTTTGAGGAAGCCTGGTCTAGATCATGGTAAACAATGGTGCAGCTCTCTTCTGCTCATGTCTAGTTCTGGGAACCAACATTAAAGAAGGATATGAACAAACTGGAATGCATGCAGAGGTCAATAAAGTTGGTGAGGAGGCCTGAAGACCAAGCCATTGGAGAAAAGATTGAAGGAGGTATATGTGGTTAGCCTGAAGAAAAGATTATTAAAAGGCAATAAAATAGCCATCTTCAAATAACTGAGGAGCTATCACACAGATGATGATAGCTGCTCCAGAAGATAGGATGCAAGCCATTTAAATTAAAAGGAAAATGATTTAGACTAAATTTTAGGAAGATCTTTTTGACTTTTTGGGCCATTTGACAGTGGAACAGACTGTCTGGGATGTGATAGACTCCTTTTCATTTGAATTTTCAAAGGAAAGACTGGATTGTCACCTAACAAGGATGCTGTAGTAGTGCATACCCTGCATCAAGAGCTGCTTAGGTACATCAGGAGTCATCTAGTCTATGTTTCTATGAGTACTACAGAAAGAGAAAGAACCTACCTAAATTACATCCATTTATTAATGGAATATCAAACTTATTTACACAATTTAACATTTACAATAAAGAATCAACAGCAACAGACCAACAATTGCAGGTCTCTCGTGTCTCATTCTATGTAACAACACACTTGGAGGGAGTACAGGAGCAAGCAGATAAAGCACTATAAACAAGGCATACTGAAGCAGTTTCTCCAGAAACCAGCACAAGCAGGAAATGGTCTTAAATTGTCAGACAAGGAGTTGATGAAAGGGAGAAACAGGAACCATCAGTTGCAAATGTATCAGGTTTGACTTGGCCTTTGGCCTGTTTGATATTGTGACTTGGCTTCTCCATCAACTGCCTCTTGAAAAGTCTGAGGACATTTTCCAGTCTCCAGCCACCATCATTCCAGCAACAACTAATAAAAGGATAATATCCTTATGGTATCACAATTATGATTTGTAAATCATTAAATACAGGAAAGACTTAAAGTATAAAGTTTTTACAACCATCAATTTAGGTCAGCTGTGCTGACAAATGTGGCCCAAATTGCTCAATTTTCAATCTCTTTGCATTTTGCCATTTAAAACTTTCCTAAACTGACATGTTAATTCCTTGGGGGTGGGGGCAGCCCCAGCCAACAGAGAGAATGAATGCATTAAAGGACTGAGATAAATTTCCTTTCCATTCATCATTTCAGTAAGAGAGATGGTTAGGAATACATATGGGGAGAAGCGAACAGAAGTAATTAAAATTCATACATCAGTTCCATATATGTAAGGAAGCCCTTTTTTTGCTTACAAGCAATACATAAATTAATAAAAATGTATGTTTTTCAAGAACCTTCAGCTCCCTAGAAGCACAGTTTTTCCATACAAGCAGTTTACTTCAGCCAAAAATCATCAACTAATGGAACATTAGTTGGCAAGTGCCTCTCCCCCTCCAAACATAACTTTAAATCTGACACTGGGATCCAAATAGCAAATACCCAAACACACAGAAGGCTGAATCTCTTCCCATTGTGAATTCAAAGAATTACATGATATGAATCCTTGTGTCAGAGTAAGATATTATAAGTTTACACACATTTTCTCCTTCACCATAGAGCCCTTCAGCCCTGGTAAGTGTCTGAACTGGACCTAAAATTCGTCAATGAATCTTGTAATGCTTGGCATGATGGAAAATAATGTGTTTAATGATGCAAAAGAAAATAGTATTAGCCAATTAAATAAATTGGTGCCTCAACTATGGCAACACTCTTTTAAGTTTGAAGTACCAAAGTGGATCAATAAGTACAGAGGTTTAATTCCAGTGATGAAAATGGATTATGACTTCTACCAAAAATTCCATAGGGTCATACTTGAATTCTTACTTCAGTACAGTGGTACCTGGGGTTAAGAACTTAATTCGTTCTGGAGGTCCATTTTTTATTTATTTTTTATTCAGAGGTCCGTTCTTAACCTGAAACTGTTCTTAACCTGAGGAACCACTTTAGCTAATGGGGCCTCCCGCTGCCGCCGCCACACAATTTCTGTTCTCATCCTGAAGCAAAGTTCTTAACTTGAGGTACTATTTCTGGGTTAGCAGAGTCTGTAACCTGAAGCGTCTGTAACCCGAGGTACCAGTGTAAATAAAGTGGATCCAATCCCTTAATGTAACTCCATTCCAAGTTATTTTACTGCTTTCACCTCTGTCCATACCAACTGACACAACGCAATACAGATTTCAAGCTGCTATGATGAATCAGAAAGGAGGATGCAGGAACCTTGTACAGTACTGATCTTCCTTTGGGTTAATGATTTTGTTTACTTTAACAAATGTTTCTTTTCAAATGATGCGAAGGGTACAAGTTAAAAATAAGTTGAGCTGAACCCTGACATACTTTTGTAAGTCAGTAGGATAAGTATGTTAACAGCATAGGCGGCTAGCCAGCTAAAATTCTGAACTATAAAGTCTATGGCACCTTTCTTAAATTACAAAAACTTATTTTAAAGGCCAAGCATCTGTAAATAGCTTCAAATAAATATAGAAACCTGTAAACATGCCAAGCACATCAGAAACAACCTTCTGCAATTTATTTCAATTACAGTGCTCCTAACACTATTATAACTAAGCAACTGACTGTTTCTGCTCCAAAGATAATTTCAAAGAACTTCTACCATATTGCATGCTCAAGGTATAAAGCCTTTTCCCAGGCTAACATGATGCATATGAGAAGGTGTCTGTATGCAAGCAATGCACATTTCAAAAACAGAACACAACACATATAGGTTATTCTTTCCCCCCCTTTTTAACACAGCACTGAACTAAATATTGCAAATGCTGACAAATTAAGTAGCTTTCCACAGAGATCTGACAGTTAAAAAGTGGAGAGGTGGAATTGCCAGACAGTTCTCTTATTTTTTTAACACAGAGCTCAAATATTTTTGCAGCTTGTTATAATTGGATGGGGTGTTTTTTTGTTTGTTTGTTTGTTTTTGTATACATCCTCCTTTCAGTTAGCATGGTTTCAGTACTTTGACCTGACCAGCTAACAGAATTGGGTGGTAGAACAAAAGATGTGTGATGACCCTGCTTTTTCTAGTTCCTTCACAATAAGCTTGCATAACAAAAAAAGCAAAGTTTTAATACCCAGAGCATACACATATATACACACATATATAGATAAACAGCAGAAGGCTTCTAACATTCTATGAGTACTGTATTTCCAAGTCCCTGTATTAAATTCATCACTAAAAGGCATTCAATTTATTTGTTTATCTTATTGGGATCAGCACTTTACAATCAATGAAACTTCATTGCACCAATAGGGGGCAGTAAATGTTATCTTCCTTAGCTCACAGATAATCCCAACACAGATAATTTATTTTAACATTTCATCAGCAGAAATGAAAACAGAACTGAGAAATATTGAATATAATTTTACTGATTAAAGGATACAACCTCAAAGTATATTCCTATAATACCCTGCCAACTAACACAAAGGATTCTCACAGAAGCTTACAGTAAAAAACATGCAAAATTCAATGAAACCAACAGTTCTAAGCACCACTAAGTTTAGGGCTTCTGTTTCACAAACAGGTCTTAGCATTATTTTTAAATATTTCTGCTTATTAACAAAGAGTGTTCTTTTTTAGACAAATCAATAACTATAAAAATGCAACTAAATGTACCTGATAAATTGTCTAATTTTATTTCATGCCTTTTTATATCCCACCATGCTATTTGTAGAAATAAGGGGTGTGTTAGAAATACATTTAATAAATAAGCAAATGTATCCTGTTATATGTAATAAGAGTGGGAAAAGAACAGAGAGGGATCAGTAACTCCTTACATCAGGGGTGACTAACCACTGAAGTTTGGGCCCACTATGTTGAATGTATAGCTTCTAGTAGTTACAAGCTATGCATCTGAGCCATGGGGGACTAACAACAGGGACTCCCCTAAACATCTCAATGATCAGGCATATATCAGACAGTCCTTAAGATATCCTAGCCCCATGTTGTTAAGAATCTTGTAAATCAATAAAAGAATTTGAACCTGGCCTAGTAACATATGGGCAGACATTGCAAGCTTTTAAGAACTGGAGCTATGTGCTGGCGGTAATCTTTCCCCATCAGTAGTCCAGCTGCAGCATTTCCCACCCGCTGGAGCTTCTGGACCAGGCACAAGGGCCACATAGAGCTCATTGAAATAATTGAGTCATGAAGTTACCAATGCATGAATTACTGTAGCCAGGCTATCCCTGTCCACAAAAGGCCACAGTTGGTGCACTAGCTGTAGTGACTACATGCCTAGCCACTGAGCCTCAAGTGACAAAGATGAATTCAGGAATACCCCCCAAACTATGCAACTGTGCTTTCAGAGGTAGAGTAACCCCACTCAGGAATGGAAAATGGCCAGCCTCCCAGACACTGGAACCACCCACCAACAGCGTCTCCATATTCTCAGAGTTCACAAATCTGTTCATTAGCCACCATCCATTCCACAACTGCATCCAGACAATATTCCAGACCATGCTCAGCCTCTCTTGACTCATATATTATGATGAAATAGAAGGTGCTGCACTGGACACCTTGACTGGACTTGCAAAAACTGCTGCACCTAAGGCACTACGGAACTGAGCAACTTAATCCTTGAAGTGCCATGCAAGCTGCTCACAGCATGTTACCAAGTGCTCCAAAAATGCATCTACTATTTCTAGTACAGTTAGTCTCCAAACCACCTGAAATAACTTTGCTGGATGGGTCATCAAGGAAGCAATACTGGCAGCAAAGTAATTCTTCACTGCAACTTTTTTCTTTGACTGCCACTTTAGTAGGCAGAACTGTGTAATGTAAGAAGTGTTTGATCAGCTTTGGAGCAGGTTTTCCACCATACATGCTCCAGTTGTCTTCCAGCTTGCTTCACTGACTGCAACTCCTCAGTAAAGCAAGGCACAGTTTAGGCCCTGCAGCATCAGACAGAACCCTCAGGAACAATCACATCAACAGCCCTCATCATCTCCCCATGCCACAATGACAACAGGGCCTCAACAGGATCACTGGGCTCTATCCACTGGGAAATCCCACAGAGCAGTCAGGAACCTATACAATTCCATTAGTCTCCAAGGGCAGACTATCCAAATTGGTCCCCTCCCCTGAAGGGGCTGCTGCCCAAAGTCCAAACTTCACTAGGAAGTGGTCTAACCATAGCAACAGGGTTACAAACGCCACCCCTATATCCAGACCATCCTTTTCCCCACCTGGGTGAATACTAAATCAAGGATATGCCCTGCTCTGTGCACTGAGCCAGTGACTATCTGGGACAGCTATCCCTGGCTCCTAAGGAGCTAACAAAACTGTTAGCCAGCAGAGGAGAATGTTCCTTAGTTCCTCCAACACCACACCATAAACAACCTCAGTCAGCTTGATCAGGGAGGTAGTAGGGTAGGTGGTACAACAGCATCCCCAGACTATATCCGTGACCCATAACAGGCCCTCCAGTCGAGCTCCTAAGTGGAAAGGCTTCCTAGTGAGAGAATGAGCTGCTATGAACAATGGCAATGCCTCCTTGCCAGACTTCTAGTCTGGTTTGGTGTTGCAGTGAGTACCCAGCTGGGTAAAGCTGTGTCAGGTCAGACCCACCCAGCTCCCCCACCAGGTCAGCCTGTTCATCCATGATAACAGCATGGATCAACACAGTCTTATTATGAAGAGACCTGCTGTTCAAGAACAAAACCAGGCTATTGGGCACAGTGGATGATATCAAAGATGGGGTGGCCACAGCAAAGGACAGGATGCATGCATCTATAAACACTACTACAACCCACCCGCCATGCCATGGCCTCTCCACATTCAGCAGGATAACTGATATCCTTGGACCTGCTTATCCTCTCTCTTTCCTACATACATGGGATAGCTCAGTGGGTAGAGCATATATCTCCAAGCATTCCCTACCACAACACACAACTGCTTCAGGCTTTCACAATAATCCCCCATGGCTCATCCTTTTTTCCTGGTAGTATCATAAAAAAGGAAACATGGGGAAAACAAACAAACTAGCATTTATACCAAAGTTTCAACCTTCTTAGACACTGATCCACCAATTATCAGTGGATCACAAGCTTGCATAAGTACTGAAAGTTTGGGCTGGTTCTAAATCTACCAGTATATACTCAGGTAATTAAGCATTTTTTCAAAATGTTCTAGATGCATGTTTCTGTGGTATATTCTGCTAACAATTAAACACTGTTTTGTCTAGGTGAACACAATACCAAAAATGAGCAGGCCAGATGGCATTTTCAGAGTGCACTAAGTTCAACTACTGGCACATCTGAGAGTTTAATTATTTGCAGTTCCAGGAATGGCTGTTAATATTACAAAAATACAAATAAGACATACTTGGTCATTTGGCCAATGCATGCTTACAGCAGAATTGTTAAATTTTGCAACAAAACACTCATGACTGATATTCTTAAAAGCTTGAATGGATAGAGAAATCTGCCAATTTGGCAGCCATTTCTCTGCTGTTGGTTGGTGGTGCCAAAGCGAACAAAATTTAAATAAAGTGAAAGAAAATAGAATCCCAATCCCTATGGAAGGTTGCCTGAAATATATGACATAACGGTAGACCAACTGCCTCTATCATAATGCCAGGCCAACACTATACAGAATTTGCCCCCTCTTTATCCACCAGGTTTCATGATTGTGTATACTGAAGTGACACGAAGAAGAAAATGTCAGCAGTCTTTCCAAACTGCTGTTCAATCTCAGGACAAGGGCCAAATGTAGTGGATTTTAGCATAGATTTCATGGTACGTAAGTAACTGCACTACTAAAACCTTGGTTTTAACAAAATGCCAATCTCTACCCCTACAATTAGCTATCTTGACTGCATGTTTTCTATTCAGCGAGTTTTGCAGATCACTCAGAGTCAAACATACTCACCAAGTGATTTCTACATACAAAAAAAAAAAAAAATCACCTCAAGAACTTCCCCTCTTCGGATTTTGGAAAATGCAGCCCTTCAGTGACTGTGCAAGAGAAATGGAAGTTTCACAGAATGTAAGTAAAGACAGCTGCAGTGATGGAGTAAGAAGAACAAAACGTACAAATTACTGTAAAGGCTTGCTGTGCCATGCAGCTGGATGCAGCAACCTCTTTCAGGCTGCAGCATGAGATGGAAGGGATTTGATGAAGACATACATTGGTGTCTGAATCGTGCAGCAATATCTTCTTTTAAAAGTGTTGTTCCTGTCAAGAGTTATCAGGTGCCAAACTAGGGAAAGAAAGCCGCACAAATCACAGGCCTTTGTGGAGACAAGAAAGAGAAATTTGATTTCCACAATCACTGCCCACCTTCTTACACAAAAGATGATTTTTATGTCAACATCTGGCTGGGGGTGTGTGGGATGAAAAAATAATTTTCACTAAGATCATTTTTGTGCTGCCACGAGAGAGTGTTTCTACTCAATCCTCAACAGAACATAGGAAGCAAGCACCACAATTTCACTCTGTCTCTCTCCCCAATGGAAGAAAAAGAAGAAGCTACGTGTCTCCAGTTTCCTGTTATTAACACCGCACTAGTTAAGAGTTATGGATACCATTCAGTAAGGAGAAGAAGATGAGGCAGCACCACTGCACTAGAAATACTGAAGAGAGGAGAAAATCCTCAAGAGCCACTCACGGGGCGTGGGGGCGGAGAACCCTGTTAACTTTAAGCATCACTTAAAAATGGGGAGCGGGTGCTCTCCCGACTCAAATCCTGCCCCTTTCTGGAATGGGAGCTTGGGGTTTTTTCTACTCAAGTCCATCACTCATACTTCACACACTCACAAACTCTCTCTCTCTCTCTCTCTCTCTCTCACACACACACACACACACACACAGAGAGAGAGAGAGAGAGAGAGAGAGAGAAACAGAGAAAGAAAGTTATAGTGCTCCCACCCAGCAGGCCAACGTGAGGCACCTTCCCCAGCTCCCTCCTCTCCCACAGGATGGGATTTCAATCGCTCATTTCCCCGCGGCGCGGAAAACGGCAGTGACGCCAGGTGGGGAACGGGGTCCTTCCTTCCTCCCTCCGTGAGGGAAAAGAGAGAGACCCGTCTCCCGCGTCATTTGGGGGGTTTCGTGACAGAACTACGACGCGCTCTCTTCCTCTTTCCCCTGCCTCAGGAGTGGGGGCGGGGGGGGTATGCCTCTCTTCCCGCCACCCCCCTCCCCCGCCGCCACGGGGGCGCGAGAGGCCAGTCCGTTGCTTCCCGGCCTCCGTCCCGCTCACCTCTCCCAGCGCGCGTGCGGCTCTCACTCGCCCCTCGCTCTCCGCGAAAAAGAAATCGCACAACTGAACTGCCGCAGCACTGGACCTCGCGCACACCGCGCCTGCGCGAACTAGCCCTTTCGTTGCCTCCCCCTTCCCGCGGTTAGGGACCGAGGAGAACGTGACGCTTTACAGCAATGCCGCAAACGCCGCCAGGAAGCCGGTAGGCCGCACTCAGCGGCTGAACGCATTCGGGAGGGGGGCGACAAAGTTTTTTTGTCTTCTACTTGATTAGTTAGCTTACATTTTTCAGGTTTTACGGATCGGCGACCACCTGACAGTGAAGCTGGGGGTAACTAGAAACAAGCGAGGAAAAACACTGAACCAGCCGGACAAACCTTTACCAAACGTTGGCGCAATAGAAGCGACAGGTGTCAAGCATCATCTGTCGTTGTCAGTCCCACCCTCGAACCTTAGGATGAAGGATGGGATGATGATGATGATATAATATCCCTGATACAAAAGGGAAAAGGATTGGAAAGTGAAGAGGAAAACCAGGGAAATTTCAGCGCCAGGGCTTTTGTACTCTTAAAAGAATGACCAGGTGGAGTGGAGGAGGTAGTTCTGGGTGGGGAAGAGACAGCTGGAAGTAGTTGGTCCTCATAGCCAGGGTGGTGGAGAGGCAGGGCCAGGGCTATCATTAGGCCAACTAGGCAGGTGCCATGGGCACAGACCTCAAAGGGACCTTTGAGGGGTTTTACAATTCTATACAGCTTATTCAAAATGATTTGTGTGCTTTGTATTTGAGAAAGGTGATCAAAGATTGTTGCATTACAAAATAAAAAAAATTCCTTCCAGTAGCACCTTAGAGATCAACAATTGGTATGAGCTTTCGTGTGCATGCACACTTCTTCAGATACCCTTCAGATACCTCTTCAGATATTCAGGGTATCTGAAGAAGTGTGCATGCACACGAAAGCTCATACCAATAACAAACTTAGTTGGTCTCCAAGGTGCTACTGGAAGGAATTTTTTTGTTTTGACCTACGGCAGACCAACACGGCTACCTACTTGTTGCATTACAGTAAGCCCGCAATTTATGAGGGGATTACGTTCCGGGGGTTGCACCTAAAGCCAAAATCACATATAGTCAAAACACATTGGGTTCAATGGCAAATGGGGTTGCAAAAGTCTTTTCCCGAGAGGTCCCTCTGACTCCTCCACTGCTGCTGTCTTGCTCTCTCCCTCTCAGGCCCCTGCCATCTTGGTCACACCATTATTCTTCCCACTTATCCAGATCACCAAACAGTGGCAGGAAGGAGGGTTTTTTTCATTTTGAAAAATGTTTAGCTAGGCAAGTGTACTGTCCTCTTGCTTATAGCATAGCTGTGGCTCTGGTTGCATGTGTGCCGCAGCTAATCAGTGAGGTAGGCCATTGCTGTCCATTTTGGAACCATTGATTATTTAAAGGCATTTAAAACTTTTTTGGACAAATCGGACTGCATTAGCTGTAGTGGTTTATTTATGTTTTCTATGTTAAAAAACCAGAATCAATATTCCTTCAACCTGTCTCAAAAGCACTGTAGATCAAACAAACCCTTTCAATTTCTTCAGGATGTGTGATTGAACCTGTTTTCTCATGCAGTTTCCTTGCCGAAGAGCAAGGAAGAAAAAATGCTGGTAATTTGTGTACCATCCCTGAACAAACTAAAGACTACATGCCATGCGCAAGGGGGAGGAGAAGGGTCTAGCAAATGAAAACACAAGAAGGAAGTTGACTGACTGGGCATTGGTATAGTTGGTATCGCTCCAGCTGGATCACAGAGTCAGATCTGACAGTTTCTACAATGAATAGCCTCCCACGCGCTTCTCATACTAGTAGCTATTATGAAATAACAGAATAAAGTTCAGGTTTGTGTGATAATACTGGCAAATACTTAGGACCCTCCAGTTAAAAATATTCATATTACGAAAGCTTTTTTTGTTAAAGCTGTTTCCATCACATTCATTTTTTAAAAGCAACACTTTCCTTATTACATGTATTTATTATATTTATAATCCTGCTTTTGAGGAAAACAAATAAATATATCCCCAAGCAGATTACATAACTTGAAGTACAATACTCAAAGCAGTGTTTCTGTTTTTTAAAGAGGAATTTGAGGCACAAAATTAAACCCAACAGTACATTTATGCATTTGTGGGTGCCAGACACTTAATCCATGGACTCAAGAAGTGTTAAGAGAACAAAGGGAAAGGCCATTAAGAAGGCAAAAGCTCTGAGCCAAATAGCAAAGAGGTGGGGCCCCTCCTCCAGCTCTTAGATAGTCAGAAGGACAAAAGCCAGAGTTTAGAGTCTGTGTGTAATATGAGCTAGAAGTAAAAGCTGCTGGATGAAAAGCCAGAGAAGCAGAGCATGATGTTTGATTTCTGTTTGAATCCAAGGCTGCAGCTGTAACAGAAACAAGATCCTTTTGGGGTGTTAATGCTGTGAACCCATCCATTGTAGCCTCAGGTTGTATACATGTGTAAATAAACTATATATCATAAACACACAACAATCTCTGCCGTGCCTCATTGGCAAAAGGAAAACATGAATCCTGGGTGAGTGTCTGGAACCCTTAGAACCTCACACTGCAACAATACTAGACAGAGACTGCAGAATGTTAGGAAGATCCCTTATACTGGTCCCTGTAGACGGACTTGCAACAGTCCTCAGATTAATAAACATATTAAAATTAAAAAATCTGGCACTGCTACATAGAATTGCATCATTCCAAAAATGAGTAGTCCCTGAAATATATTTTGAAAGTTCAGGTTCTGAAGGCAGATTAAAGGAAGGTCTCCAGCACAAACCTTTTCCAGCCCTGCTAGTAGAGATAATTTCTAAATAGATATGTTGGGTAATGAACTTGAGATGTTCTGCATCCCAAACATGTTACTAAGCCTTTGTAATGCTAGAAGGATATAAAATGTGGCCTTAGTGAAGGACATTGCATGGTGTGTGTGTGTGTAAAAAATGGTTTGGGAGATACTTGACAAAGCTGAGCAGCTTTTTAAAATAGAGCAGCTGAAGAGATAAGGAGAAACAACTAAGTTGAGAAGCTGAGGAAGAGAAGGAAGCAGATGGACAAAATTCAGAAAGTAGAGGAACCATGAACATTGGCAACAGACTGTGACAGAAACAGGAACATGCTTTCTCCTGAGTCAGATCATGGGTCCATCTAGATCAGTACTGTCTATTCTACATTGCCTGCCAGTAATTCTTCAATGTTTTATTTTGGAATTTTCTAGCCCTGCCTGGAGATGCCAGAGGCTGAACCTGTGACATTTTGCATGCAAAGCATTTACAATTGCTTCTTCAATACATTTGTTATAATTAAATTAACTGTTCTGAATTTAAAAGATACATGTGTTTGTGTTAATTAAGACTTCAAAGTGATTGTGTTCTGCCTTTTCTCATCCATTGTACTGTGCTCATTACACCTTAATGTGTATCACATGTTCTTTTGGGACATTCTCCCCTCACACAATTACAGTCCTGTGAAAGGAAGAGCAGGGCTGCTCCTGCTGCTTCCACCCCCAATGTTTGCATCCTCACTGGTCCTGTCTTCTGCCATTCATGCATTCAACAGAGAATATCTGAATTGGGAGGTTTGCTATACATAAACATAGGTTTCCTATATGATTTAGAACCCAGCAAGCATGGTTGCAATCTCTTTCTCACATAAGTGTAATTACTTGAAGGTAGAATTCCTGAAAGGACTATTGTTCATGCTGGCTAGGGCTGATGGGATTTAGAGTCCAACAATATTTGGAAGGCTACAGTTTAGTCACCTCTCCTTTATTGGATTTAAGGCTGCAATGTTATACAGTGGTATCTCGGGGTACAGATGCTTCAGGTTACAGACTCCGCTAACCCAGAAAAAGTACCTCTTGTTAAGAACTTTGCTTCAGGATGAGAACAGAAGTTGTGTGGCGGCGGCAGGAGGCCCCATTAGCTAAAGTGGTACCTCATGTTAAAAACAGTTTCAGGTTAAGAACGGACCTCTGGAACAAATTAAGTTCTTAACCAGAGGTACCACTGTACAGAGTTGTTTTGAATACTGTATGTACTCCCTGCCTACTAACCTAACTTCTGGAGGCAGCTTGCAATATCCTTATGGGTTTTCTATCATATTTCTGGTAATAGGACTACCATTGTGGGTTGGACTTGACAAAGGAGTGTAAATAGCTTGAGATGTTCAGGTGACATGTCTTTATGAGAGCTAATTGCCATATGAAAGATTACTGTGTGACACAGGACTAGCCTGGGATATTGCAAATAGGGGGGAAATTATGAGAGGTAGACAGGGAGCAATGGGAGAATGCTTCCTTGTCTAGCTACAAATGATGTATTCTAGGCCTCCGTGTGTGAATAAAGGTGAATAAAGGAGGCAGGTTGCAATCTTTGGAGACAGTGGTAAAGATAAACAGAGGACTTGTTAAGCTCCAGAAAGTACCATTTGGAGAGGGAATCTGGAGATCTGATGTGGCACAGTGGATTTGGCTGACTGTTGGAATGTTAAGTTGTCCCTCTTGCTCAATCTGTGTACTTACAAATAAATTAAAATATTACAAAACAGCAAAAGCCTCCAGTGACCTCATTCCAAAGAAAACTAAATCTGGGTAAGTGCTGTGTCCCTGGAACTTCCACAGCACTTGGAAGCTTTCCAACAGCAAAGCAGGCTTGTCCAATTGTCTAGAGGTAGATATTTACATGCATCCAGGGAGTAAGCTAGTGAGTAATTACAAATCTTTCTCCAACATTTAAAAGAGAGAGAGAGAGAGAGAGAGAGAGAGAGAGAGAGAGAGAGAGAATGGTAATATAACATATTTCATTTTATTTTAACAATCAAAAGAGCAATGCTTTGTATGAGGCTTCTAGGAATCAACATCCAACATTTATTTCAGTACATATTTTGAAATACCAGCCTATGTCCTTGAACTCTTAAGTGTTGCTTTGGTTGCTCTTTTCTTCTCTTTAATTTCTTGAGATTGTATGTGTTCCATGTAAGTTTTTAAAAAATCAAAGTTTTTACTACTTGCATATGCAGTTCCATCGGTTACACATATGAGTGCATTTGTTTTCAGGTACTCAGCTGCAGGCATAAATCAGGAGTAAATATGCACAACACAGGAAGCACTTACCCAAGATTAGAGGGGAAGATACTGAAGAACAGTAGTATTTCCCAGCAATCGGTAACTTCCAGAGGATATTTGGACATCAGTTCACAAACTCACAGATGATGCAGGACATGACAGTGCTCCCCAGCTTGTGCCACCTCTAAGTCTCCCTTTAAAAAGCTGGGGGGGGGGGAGAGATAAAGAAAACCTGTAGCAACTAACAAGATCTGACCCAGGTGGAGAAGCAAAGGGTGAGATTAATTTCCTGTTCTCTACACTGTGGACTCTTTTTAGTTGCCAAGACTAGTCTGGATCCCAGATAGATCCTCATAATTATCATCGTACTCACGGTTATTCTGAAATGTGTTCCAAGTTGAGCAAAAGGGAAACCACCTTTAGAGAATTCTGATGTAAGTGGTCAGCATGAAGTCAGATGGTAAAACATGTAGCTACAGCCCTGGTTTAATAGTATGCTGAAAAATGCATGAGCGTCACAGAGCCCATTTGCGGTAAAAGATGCTAAGAGAAAGCTTCCGTTTTTCATTTGGAAACCAAGAAAAGCAGAGCCAGGAGGGTTGTAATGTACGGTTTTACCAAGCTCCGCATGAAAGTGGACTGTGTGCAGTGCTGATCACAAATATTTCAGAGTTGCCAGCTTTATTTAGTTTAATTGGTAGGTGTCATGACCCTCACCCTGAGCAACAGCTTGTTTTCCAATTTTGACAGGTGAGGAGGGACCAGCCAGGTAAGGTGGAACAGCAGCACAGGAGGCAGAGGTGGCACACACCAACCCAGGCAGCAACATTACACCAGAGAGCTCATAAGCCAGGACCCATCAATACAAGGACTCCTGAATTTGAATCTCCAGATGAAGAAACTCCTGAGAATGTATGTCGTGGTGATCTACACACACACGGGGGGGGGGGGGGAGAGCTGACAGGAGCGAGCCAGCAGGTGTTTATTACCAAAAATGGGATTCACACAGGAGTGTCAGGCCTAATGAGCACAGCAATTCAACTCAAGCAGGTCTTGCCCCTATGAAGCAGTTGCTGAGACTGAAGGCCCTCATCTCCCACAGCTGCTTAAGTCCCCACCTCTCCATGGTTTCCCCAAACAATCTGAGACTGCACCTATGTGAAGCTAACTTCTCCTCCACCCTCTTCATGCCTATCCTGGTTCTGGGAGATCGGGGGGGGGGGGAAGCTTGTTGCAGCAGGAGGGGGAGACATCCATGCCTCCACCAGCCAGATTCATCTCTTCCTCTTGGACTCCCTCCTCTCCTGCTTCAACTTCTGGACTCCTCTCTGCCACAGATTCCCTCCACTCACTAAGCACTGTTATCTCTTCAGTTTCCAGCACGTCCTCCCAGTCTTCTCCCTCTGACCACTCATCGTCATCCCACCACCAATCCCATGGCTCTGAGCCTTCTTCTACTGGGGATTCCCCAGCTGGTTCCTCCCATCATTCTTCTGTGTCCAACCAGTTCACGCCAGAAGCCCATGCCTGGCAGTCAATGCCAACAACAAACCTAGGGAGAACTAACAGAGAGCAGGTAGAGTGCTAAGAACCAGACCACAGGACTGCCGCTTTAAGGCCTTATTATCCTCTGAGAAGTGGTGGGGTGGTGGAAGCCTAGGAGGGTGATCTGGCGCTATCCAGGATAAAGCTCCAGATATTTTTAGAACAAGTTGCTCACTTGAGCTTCCCGGGATTCTGTGATGCTGGGCTGCCTTGTTGAATGTCAGACAGGGCAGGATGTTAATCAATTAATGCTTTACTGATGAATTTCATATTCTGATGGGTAACTGCATGTTTAGAATTCATAGTTAGATAGCGTTGATTGACTGGGACTAGAATAGGGATCCGTAAGAAGTGTATATACGGCCAAGTGCTGGCCACCAGCAGTTAGTTAGTTAGTTGGTCACCAGCAGTTAGTTAGTTGGTATGTTGGTTGGTGTTCCTGGTAGACAGCAATAAGGAAGAAGACCTGAAAAGAATAGAGGGTGACTGGAGAATTGCTGGGGTCACTGAATGACTTGGCTTAAAAGTCAATGGGAGAACTTGAATTGACAAAGGCAAGTGTGGCAAGGGGCAGAATCACACACACAAGCCTCCCCACATCCTTGGGCACATCAGTTCCCTGTCTGTCAACTTTCCACGTCTTCATGGGGCAAACCTGCACTGGGGCTTCTACTTGTGTTTGCCTGGACATGAGTGGAATCCCTCACATGATTAGGGAACCTTCTTTATCAGGATCCCAGAAAGCACAAAAGTTCTACCCACATCCAAATGAAGTCAAGTAGAAGCTCCATGCAGATGTTTAGAATGAGGGTGGAGGAGGACATGCCTGAGGGTGTTGGGGTGGGGCTTCCATGTGAGCCTCTGCTTCCACCTTGACTGGAAGGTGTCAGTAGCTATGTCACTGAACATGCCTATGGTCTACAGCCATCAGGTCTCAAAAGCTGGAAAGAATACGGCCACTTGTGCACCAAAAATAGCCCACAGCCAAAAGCACATAACTCCAGATCCAGAATAAGGGAAGAAGTGCAGCTAAATCAAAGGCCAAAACAGCAAGGAAATCAAGTATCCTGGAAGGAACTCAAGGACAATTCTACATAGCAACCAACCAAGTGACTGAAAGAAAGTCAGAATGTTCTGGTAGGAAGTCCTAAATGCCAACATGGAGTCAGGAGAGGCTGTGCAAGTCTTGGACTAGTGTCTCGCAATGGTGGACTAGATAAAGGTAAAAAAACTGAGCTTAAATCCTGGATAAAAATGGAGATTTTGTGGGTGAGTGGTCAATTGCCTGTTTTGGATGGGGTTTCTCTCCCTCTGAAGCAGCAGGTATGCAGACTGGGTCTACTACTTGAGCCATCTCTGTCACTAGAGACCCAAGAGACCAGGAGTGCTTTTTGCCAGCTTCAGCTGGTATGCCACTTGCAACCTTTTCTGGACCAAGACATCCTGACTACAGTGGTCCAGTAAAAGGTTGCTCACAAGAGAGTGTGGCCCAGGGGCAGAAAAAGTTCCTGCAACCCTTCTACAGAGAACTGAATTCCAGGTTTGGGGGTATGGCCTCACCTAGAGAATATGTACATCTCCACAGAGAAATGCCAGACTAAATACCATGTTGAGATGATAGGATTTAAATCACACATTTTAGTAGTGTATTTTCTGAACACAAACAATATTTGTAAAAGACTGTTCATGTTAGGCAGGGGCAATGTGTCATGCAGAGTCATGGATGCAAATGTTTTCACCTTCCTTACTTGGTGCTGTGATCAGGGAAACTGTGGCTGCATGTGTTAATACTGGTACTACAAATCATCTACAGCAAAACACTTCCTCCTAAGAACACTCCTGCAGTCCTGCTGAAATTCATTCTAAAAACCACACTTACATATTCTTATCAGACTGAGTTGTTGTAATGAAATAGCATATTCCCCTGGTTTAAGATCGCAATATGAAAACAGGATGCAACTACAGTTTTGCAGGATCTTCAAGGTCCTACTACACTGCAGTATGTTTAATATACTCTTATCTTCCCACCCTAAATTCACTCCCTTAGCAAATCTAGGACACTCCTGTCTTTCTCTTCTTCCTCATTGCAGCAATCAGTAAGTGTTACCCTCCAGTCTTCTTCACTGTTTGTGCACAGTACAACAAAGCAAACGTTCTGACTGAATTGCAGAGCTCCATTATTTAACACACACAGGCCTACCCTGAGAAGGAAACTGGCTCTATGGTTCGGAGAAACAACAGCATTGGGAAGCTGGTTAAGGGAGACGGAGCCTAGCAGTTCTGTATATCATAACTGTCTATCTCCAAGAGCCAAAACAGCTTGCGCTGGGTGGAACCGTCCCCAACCTTCAGCGGCAGCCGGTGGGAAGAACTGACATCAGCACTGCGGCAAAATGGACAGCTCCATCAGCATTTCTCCCTGTCATGCTTCCTAGCAAAGTCAGTTGGGAATGCGAAGCTAGGACCGGAAAGATGCACCGTCACCACTACCAGGTCCCTCCAAGCCCTCTATCCTTCCTCAGACGTGCGCCCCAAGATTTCAGCCAGCAACGCCAGCTGCTTCCCTTTCCCCGATAGGCGTTGTCTGTTCTGCCTTCTTCCGTCTTAGTCAGAGAGAGCCCAAGTTTCTCACCTCCGCTTACCTCCGCTACTCTGCAAAGCAATGACCATCGTTCCTAAATATACCAAGCTCTATCACCCTGTAGTGGAGCAGCCCTTCTCCCACCCGCACCCCCAAATCCGCTGCGTTCCCTTCCCGCTTACGCCCAAGGGGACTGCCGGAGCGCCCCAGCATCCTCATCCCCCGCCTGTCCCTCTCATCCCAATCTCCTCCCCTCGACCGCGCCCTAAAAGTGCAGCTTCCCCCCACCCCCGCCTTTCTGCGGCGCGACGGGCGATCCGCCTCCCTATATAAAGCACGGACGGCGCAGGGAGCCTCTCTACTGCCTCCAGGATGAATTTCGGATCGGATTCTCACTACTTGGCCTCTTCCTACAGGAAGATCTTCGGGGAGCCTCCCCGCTACTCCTCCCGCCTGGGCAGCTCGACGGCGGGCAGCAGCTACCGCTCGCAGTCGCTGTCCCGCAGCAGCCATGCCGTCTCGTACCGGCTGGCGCAGGCGGAGAGCCTGGACCTGAGCCAGGCGGCGGCGGTGCACGACGAATTCCGCCTGACGCGCACCAACGAGAAGGAGCAGCTGCAGGGCCTCAACGACCGCTTCGCCGGCTACATCGAGAAAGTGCGGCAGCTGGAGCAACACAACCGGCTGCTGGAGACCGAGCTGGGCGCCTTGCGGCAGCGCCACGCCGAGCCCAGCCGGCTGGCCGAGCTGTTCCAGGCCGAGCTGCGCGAGCTGCGCGCCCAGCTGGAGGAGACCGAGGCCTCCCGGGCGCAGGCGGCGCTGGACCGCGAGCGGCTGGCCGAGGAAGTGCAGCGCCTGAGGGCGCACTGCGAGGACGAGGCCCGCGCCCGGGCCGAGGCCGAGCAGGCGCTGCGGGCGCAGCAGCGCGAGGTGGACGGCGCCACGCTGGCGCGCCTGGCGCTGGAGAAGAAGGTGGAGGCGCTGCTGGACGAGCTGGCCTTCGTGCGCAAAGTGCACTCGGAGGAGCTGGCCGAGCTGAGCGCCTCGCTGCAGGCGCCCGCGCTGGCCGCCGTCGAGCCGGACGCCCCCAAGGCCGACCTGACGGCGGCCCTCAAGGAGCTGCGCGGCCAGTACGAGGTGCTGGCGGCCAAGAACCTGCAGGCGGCCGAGGAGTGGTACCGCGGCAAGTTCGCCAACCTGAGCGAGCAGGCGGCGCGCAGCAACGAGGCCATCCGCGCCAGCCGCGAGGAGATCGGGGAGTACCGCCGCCAGCTGCAGGCGCGCACCCTCGAGGTGGAGAGCCTGCGCGGCGCCAACGAGTCCCTCGAGCGGCAGCTGCACGAGATGGAGGAGCGCCACCACGCCGAGGCCGTCGGCTTGCAGGTGAGGGCGCGCGCGCGGGCGGAGGGGGGGGCGCCTTTCCGCGCAGGCGCCGCGTCGTCATTCTCCGCACCGCGTCCGAGGACACACCTCGTGGCCAGACGCCGTCGATCGCCTTAGCGCGCTCGCCCCCTATCGCGCACGTAAGCGCCGCTTCTCCACCCACCCCTCCCCCGGTGGCTTCCGATCACTAGCCGCAGAAAGCTGCAGGAAACGGATCTCTGGGTTGGCTCAGGATGACAGTTGTCGCCTGTCATGTGCTGAATTCACAGCAGACTTAAGTCCAGTGGTTGGAAGCCTCCGGCTGCCCTTAGACGCTTGATAATCTCGTTTCCAACACATTCCGTCGGGATGGGGTATTAAAACACGCTAGAAGTTTTGCTTTTTGTGCAGGAGTCTTTTAGAAAAGCCATTCACTGTGCGAGGGTATCACTTGCATGCTTATTTCCCTGGGCGCCTTGAAAGCTCTTAACAGCTTACCATGGAGCTCCTGACTGTAGTGCAGTTGGGCCCATAAACAGAATCTCTTATCCATGAAGTGTTTTGATTGTGTATCCGTCCGTCCCCCCAGTCTCATGTTAATTCTTTGTGCACATGGGCATAGCCAGAGGGGGCAGGAGGCAGCTGCCCCCAAATCAAAACAAATCTGAGGTTCTGCTCCCACCCTAACAAAAGCCACCCAAAAATCCTGGCTACACCCCTGGTTGTGCACTGGTTTCATATTGAGGAATAACAGACTTCCACATCTGGATACTGTGCCTGCTTAGTGTTTTCACGGTTCCTGGGTTTGAATAGTGAAAAGGGTGGTGTCAGCCTTGGGACATCCCTCTCTCTAATCTGTGAGGAATTATACCTCTTCTAACATCTCCCTGCTTCTTAAGAAGAGTAGGGCTCAGCCTGAACTGAAGCTAAAAGACAGTGGAGGAAACTATGTCTCTCTCCATGGTACTGAACAAGATGCATTGCAATCAATCTACCGTTAGCTAGTGGAGCCAGTAGGAAAATATGGTAAAATATGGTATGCTTCTGTTCAGGGTGCCAGCCAGACATTGGATCTTCCAGGATAGTCCATTACTTTTCTTACTCCTCCTTGCTTTTCCCTCTTGGACAGTCAGCATTCCTTGGCAACTGAAAATGCTCTGTCATCATTGGGCTGTTGGGGGGAATACAGTATGAGGAATTTTTCGTCTATAAGTTTCTTGTGCATGGGAGGTAATGTTTTGGCTACATAAAGGATACACACAATCTAAGTTAAGCTTGCACCACTCCTCCTTTAACATATTGCAAACTGAAGCTATATTGCATTAAAAGAGGAATTCTAGGATTGCATCTTATGCAGGTGAGTCTGTTGATTAGTTTGAAAGGCATACATATCAACAGCTAGGGCTAGAATTAGGGCTGAAAATTGTGATGATTAAAAAATCCCCCCAATTATTTGGCAATCTTCTGTAATACATTTAAACAGGGGAAGCTTTCTTCATAAGAAAGACTGCCATATTAATAAGCAAATTTAACGAGTTAATAACTTACAAGTCCTATGATTAATCAACTAAGATTTCTATAATCAAATGGCGGCCCTAGTTAGCAACTGTACAGGTGTAGCAGGAGCATTTACTTGGCCAAGATTCTGAATGCAAATTTGTTAGGGGAAATGTGTGACTTAAGCAATGCAGAAAAGCAGCCTCTGATTCAATCAGAGATACAGAATCATTGCTGCAAATACTTGACACTGAGCTTTTTGTTGTTGTTTAGTCGTTTAGTCGTGTCTGACTCTTCGTGACCCCATGGACCAGAGCACGCCAGGCACTTCTGTCTTCCACTGCCTCCCGCAGTTTGGTCAGACTCATGTTTGTAGCTTCGAGAACACTGTCCAACCATCTCGTCCTCTGTCATCCCCTTCTCCTTCTGCCCAACATCAGGGTCTTTTCCAGGGAGTCTTCTCATGAGGTGGCCAAAGTATTGGAGCTTCATGATCTGTCCTTCCAGTGAGCACTCAGGGCTAATTTCCTTAAGAATGGATGCGTTGGATCTTCTTGCAGTCCATGGGACTCTCAAGAGTCTCCTCCAGCACCATAATTCAAAAGCATCAATTCTTCGGCGATCAGCCTTCTTTATGGTCCAGCTCTCACTTCCATACATCACTACTGGGAAAACCATAGCTTTAACTATACGGACCTTTGTTGGCAAGGTGATGTCTCTGCTTTTAAGATGCTGTCTAGGTTTGCCATCGCCTTTCTCCCAAGGAGCAGGCGTCTTTTAATTTCGTGACTGCTGTCACCATCTGCAGTGATCATGGAGCCCAAGAAAGTAAAATCTCTCACTGCCTCCATTTCTTCCCCTTCTATTTGCCAGGAGGTGATGGGCCCAGTGGCCATGATCTTCGTTTTTGATGCTGAGCTTCAGACCATATTTTGCGCTCTCCTCTTTCACCCTCATTAAAAGGTTCTTTAATTCCTCCTCACTTTCTGCCATCAAGGTTATGTCATCTGCATATCTGAGGTTGTTGATATTTCTTCCGGCGATCTTAATTCCGGCTTGGGATTCATCCAGCCCAGCCTTTCGCATGATGAATTCTGCATATAAGTTAAATAAGCAGGGAGACAATATACAGCCTTGCTGTACTCCTTTCCCAATTTTGAATCAGTTGTTCCATATCCAGTTCTAACTGTAGCTTCTTGTTCCACATAGAGATTTCTCAGGAGACAGATGAGGTGATCAGGCACTCCCATTTCTTTAAGAACTTGCCATAGTTTGCTGTGGTCAACACAGTCAAAGGCTTTTGCATAGTCAATGAAGCAAAAGTAGATGTCTTTCTGGAACTCTCTAGCTTTCGCCATAATCCAGCGCATGTTTGCAATTTGGTCTCTGGTTCCTCTGCCTCTTCTAAATCCAGCTTGCACTTCTGGGAGTTCTCGGTCCACATACTGCTTGAGCCTTCCTTCTAGAATTTTAAGCATAACCTTGCTAGCATGTGAAATGAGTGCAATTGTGCGGTAGTTGGAGCATTCTTTGGCACTGCCCTTCTTTGGGATTGGGATGTAGACTGATCTTCTCCAATCCTCTGGCCACTGCTGAATTTTCCAAACTTGCTGAGCTTTTGGTATATGTGAAATAAAGGTGCCCTTTATACATTGCTGGTGTGAACCTTATTCCTTAAACAGATCCCAAATGGCTGGGGTCTTCATCTGAATTTACAAATTTGGTGCACTATAGCTGTAAGGGTAGCTATCTCTGATCATCACCCACTTCTCCTCCAGCAGTGTGTGCTTGTGGAGGGGGCGGCAGAATCCAGAGAAAGTCCTCCAAGGATAAATAATAATACTTGAATAGCTTCATATAGGAGAGGGTTGTGTCTGTGTTCTGGAACACTGAGAGAAATCCCATCCAGTTTTCCACATAGGGCTTCATGGTGGTCATACCCAAAAAGCTGTCATGCAGGCTTATACATGTTTTAATGGTAGACCTGAATTTGCATGTTGTTTTGTGAAAATGCATATACAATATTGCTGATTTTGCCACAGTTCCATTCTAAGAGGAAAAGAAGCTACCCAGCAACATCTTTGGCTTTAAAATATCAGTTTTATATCTGTCCGTCTGAATTACAGGACACTGTCAATCAGCTGGAGAGTGACCTGAGAGACACAAAAAGTGAAATGGCTCGGCATCTGAGAGAATACCAAGATTTGCTCAATGTCAAAATGGCCCTGGATATAGAGATAGCAGCATACAGGTAACAGTGACTATCAAAGCCCTGCTTGCCTGTTGGTTATGTAAACAGCATAGCACCAAAATAGGCTGTGATGAAAACCAACCCTATCCTAGTGGCTGGTGGGAGTCAATTTAGCGCTGCTCACTAGGAAGCTTTACCATCATTTTGCATTGATGGTAATGCAATGTATTTAAAGTAGATAAAGTATAGTAAGACTAGGTGTTTTCAGTATACATTTTATAAATCAAATTAACATATTCTAGTTCATATTGTGACACCTAAAATAATAATGGATTTTTTTGTGGGATAAGCTTTTATAGCTTATACGAAAGGTGAGGCACCCGTGGCCGCCTAGAAGTTGGTTCCAATTCCCATCAGCCCCAGCCAGCATGGCTTATAGTCCAGCAATACCTGGAGGGCCATAGGTTCTCTACCTGTGGTTTATATCATAATACATTTGTTGGTCTTTAAGCAGCTACAAGACTTTTAGTCTGCTGCAGCATAAAAGAACACCCCTCTGTAAGACGTGGTTGTAAGTAACAGGGTATAGTTTATGCTCTTAAAAGCTGCTGTGTCTTCCTACAGAATCCCTTAAGTAGAGGAAATAGCATATGTACAGATGCCACAGCCTCTGACACCTCTCATTTGATCATGCCTGACAGTAGGTCTTTTACCCAACTCCACACCGCACCTATGAGTTGTATTCTTCATGATTGCCACTAAATTTGGCAGCAGCTGCAGTTTATAAATTGCCTTTCAAAGGCAGCCCCACATATAATGCACTGCAGTAATCTAACCTAGAGGTTACCAAAGTGTGGACAGCATATGTACAGATAGCAGCATAGCTGAGCCACCTACATAAGCTGATGGAAGGCATTCTACATCACTGAGGTCACCTGAGCTTCAAGCACCAGTGATGGATCCCAAGTTATGTTCCTGCTCCTTCAGAGTGAGTGTAACCCCATTAAGAGCAGGCCAGCTCTAATTCATCCAGTCTAGGGAAACACGCACTAACAGTTCCTCAGTCTTATCTGGAATGAACTTCAATTGAGTGTCCATTATTGAGGCAAGACATTGGTCCAACACATCTACTGCCACACTTGTAGATGTCAATGAGAAGTAGAGCTCTGGGTCATCAGAATATTCCTGACTACATGCTCAAGATTCTAGGTGACCCTACTTAGTGATTTCATATAGATGTTAAACAACATGGGGGATTTTTTTTAAATCTGCAAATATTTTCAAATTCCGGTGGGTCTTTGGGGCATGAAAAAATGCTTGGTTACTCACCCCTCTTTTAGTCTTCTCCTGCTTTTAACCAACATAGGGACTAGAAATGGTCCCACCTCTTCATAAATGTGCTTAATCCTGGATTGAACCCCAAATAATAATAATCTCTCCTTCTCTGGTGTTTACAGGAAACTGCTGGAGGGTGAGGAGACACGTTTTAGCACTTCAAGCATCAGCATTTCATCAATGAATCCCCCTTCCAACCCCACTTACTCCTTCCAGCCCAGGTTCTTCAGTTCCTCTATGGCCAGCAGTTCCAAAATATCCCCCACTTTCTCTTTTAAGAAAGAGGAGAAAGAAGAGGCTAAATTGGCTTCAAAAATCTCATCAAGCCAAGTAGGGGAAGCCTTTGCTGAAATGATTGAGGAGACCATAACATCCACTAAGAAAACTGAACGAACAAATCTGGAAGAGGGGGGTGCTGCAAACCAAAAAGTGTAACCTTTCACCTTAAGTACAATGAACCTTTAAGGAGGGAACAATATAGCTTAGACCTTTAAATTGCCTATGCCTGAATTAAGGTGCTTACCAGCTCATGTACACATAAAGTTCTAATGTTTCACATCACTAGACTAGTTTAGTAAGAGCACCACATCCAGAATCACTAGGAGGAAAGAAAGGGGAGGGGGCTCAAAGTTTGATTATTTTCCGGGGGCGGGGAGGGACTCTATAGGAAAACTAGTTGGCAAACTGCAGAGTTATGTAATAGCCAGATCTCACAATTTCTAAATTAAGCAAAGAGGGAAGTCTCAGAAGTGCAGCTAGTAGAAAAAGTTAAAACCTACACATTATAGTTAATGACTCAGGGCTCCTTCATGATGTCTGACTTAATTGCTGAACCTGCTATTCAGAATCAGTTGAAAAGTGAACCTCCTTCACAGGTAAGATACAAAATATCCAGCAATTGCACCTTGTCAGGGAAGTGCAGATTAATCTTCGTTACCCGCCTCTTGAAGGCAAGTAATTAGATGATTTATTCTGTTTCCAGTTCTTCTGGACCACAGGGGTAGAGAAAACAGGGCATTTTGTTTGCCTTGCTGTGTGGTTGGTGTACTCTAGAAAGAAGCACAATGCATTCAAAAATACTTGGTGGAAGCTACTGACATTTATAAGGTGCAAATGTCTTTAGGAAGATAAATACTAAGCCACACAATAACTGTGGACCAACTTTCTGTACCAATGCACATGGGAGCTCTCTGTCATATGATAGCACATAGTGAAGATGCACTTAAATATATCTTTGTTATCTCACTAGCTAAACCTGGTGCATTCTTCCTTTTTTTAAAAAAAAAACCTACATGATAAATTTTTTTGGAGTATTAGAGCCCTGTTTTTCTGTTAGAAGCATGGACAGTCATTTCTGTGATTACATTGTGAACCATTGTTCTGTCCATTTCACTTTGTGCCATATTTGTAGATTTAAAATAGTAATTGCTTACAATCAGTAGTGCCAGCAATTTAAGAATAAAGGAAACAGGTGTGTTGTAATCAGTTCCTAGATTTTAGCTTTAGCCTTGTATGAAAATAAGGCTAAAAGAAAAAAGATCCGCTCTCTTGAGTTTTCTAGAGCACAGATTCCTAACGTCGTTTCAAAAGCTTAGATATCTGCTATTTCCTATTGCCACAATCGGCAACTCAAAACCATGGATATCCTGGCTTTTGATTCACCATTAGAAAAGGAGTGTAGAATTATGCCAGCTGCTTATTTCTCTATTATGGAAAGCAATATGGGTTCTATGTGCTGTATTAGAGACAAAGTTTGTTAATAACATACTATTAAGGTATTTTTTCTTAATGTATTTTCTTAAATGTACTCACTGCCACATGATAACCTCACCAGTGAATTGTAGTGGTTCTTCTGACTTTTCTCTAATAGACTTAGAGGAGCATATTTGTTAGCCTTGCCAGCCAGACTTGGAAATGATGCAGCTACACACATACACAGAATCACTTCTGCTTGGTAAACTGGTGCTGTAGACTGATTAATGAAATTCTGACCATTTCAAGACACTGGCAGACTAAATTCACATGTTTGCAAACAAGTAGAGTCACAGGAGGAAAGATTCACACCTACTATTTTCTCAAAAAAGAATCCTGATAAGATAGAATCCAATCCTCCATCTGGATCTGCTAACCTTCAGTGTACCTTTTCAGTCTACCATTTGAATATGTGCCAAGTTTTATATAGAACTTACTAGTGTGGATTTTCTTTCAATGCCTTAAAATTGCCAGCAGAATTTGCTTTCTGCAGAAGCTGAAGATTGTGTGTTATTGTGATGTGTTTGCATTAATGCATCCTGCCACAAGGTTTGATCACACAAAACCATCGTGTCATATCAGTTTCACTGCAATAGTTTCCTGAACTAAGAGAAACTGTTTTGCTCACATTCTTTCCTCTTCTTCTGTAAGGCACAAATAAATAAAGATGACATGTCTTGAGGCAGCCTGTTTGTCCTTGGTGATATTCTGACTTCAAACTTTTCTGGGTTATAATCTCTTTCCAAATCAATTACATTCAGGTAAATCAGTGTTTGATGTTTGGGCAATGTCTAGAGCTGGGTGGCCCAACTTTTCATACCAAGTGGGTTGCAAGAGGACTTCAACACAGAACCCACAGGCTGCACACTGCCTTGTGGGGAGGGGAGTGTGAATATTTGACACACACCCCCTCAGCCCTTGGGCTGCCTTCCCAGTTAAGCTAGTGAAGCATTTGGCTTTGGGAAGGAGGTGTCAGGCTCTGGCAGGGTCCTAGAGCCCTCCCCACCTCCTTCCCAAAGCTGGGAAAGCACTAACTTGGCTTTAGGAAGGAGGCATGAGGACTCAAGGACCCTGACAGAGCCCTCACGCCTTCTTCCCAAAGCCCAGCACCTGGCTTACCAGCTTTGGGAAGGTAGACAAGGGCTGCGGGGGAGCATCAAATGTTGTGGAGGGCCACCAAAAAGGGACTAATAAGCATGGTTCATTCTCATTATTCCTATAGCTTTGGTCAGTTTTTAACATTCCTTCCCTGTAAGATCTTAAACTGGACCATTATTGCCCAACAAGAAAGGAAAGATTGGCTCTAGTAAGTGCTGGGTTGCTCACTGCAAATGTCTCGCAAGTACCATGAATGTGAGTACCACATAGAGCAAATGCATCTCGTCAGCTAATACAATCTTCAATGGATGACATTCGTTCTGACACAATGACGGGACAGCCCAAAGGAATAGATATCATGCAACATTTACCCTAGCAAGGACCTTGCACTTCTCTAAGCAACTCCTGTCTGAAAGCATAGTTTAATTTCCCTGCCTTTTTTTATCCCACATCTGAGAACTTCTTCATAGAACAATCGGAACAAGCTGGTCCAACGCCTTGCCCAATAAATGAGGAAATGTTAAAACATTCAGAGCTTTTCAGTTTAGAAAAACAAAACCTAGTAAATAGAGTATATGATGGAGGTCTATACTATTACACAGGTGTGGGAAAGGATAAGAGCAGGCATGGCCAAACTTGGCCCTCCAGCTGTTTTGGGAGTACAACTCCCAAACTCATCCCTAGCTAACAGGACCAGTGGTCAGGGATGATGGGAGTTGTACTCCCAAAACAGCTGGAGGGCCAAGTTTGGCCATGCCTGGATAAGGGTTTTTTTCCCCTCCCTCACATCATGCTAAAACCTGGTGTCATCTAAAGAAGGTGAGTGTTGAAAGATTCAGGACATACAGAAGAAAGTGCTCCTTCACACAGCACATAGTTAAAATGATGGCATTCACTCCCGCAAGCTGTTGTAATAGCAATCCACTTTTCATGGAGGATTTGGCTATCAGTGGCCAGGATGACTGTGTACTATCTCAAGAATTGGAGCCACTAGGCCTCTGAATACCAGTTGCTGGGAGAGGGCTGTTCTGTTCATCTCGTCCTTGCGTACTTCCCATAGGCATCTGGTTGGTCACACTGAGAGCAGGATGCTGCACTTGATAGGGCTTTGGTCTGATCCAGCTGGATTGTTCTTAATTAGCTGGTCACCTCAACCAAGCTGTGTCCCCAGCTTCAGGGAAATCTTATCTCCAGTCAGGTTGGTACCCTGCACATTTTGATTCATAAAACTTTCTGGGAGCACTAGACACTTACTTTTATTTATGTTTTAATGAAAGCTCAGGCTCTGGGGTCCTTTGCTGACATGGGCCCTGGTGAAATTGCTTCAGTTGCACCATGGATAATTTGGCCTTGTCTGCAACTCTGTGTGCATTTTTAATGGCAAATATTAGAATAAATTCCAAAGTCTATATCAGAGCAACACTTTTATTAAGGCGATCAAAGTGGCACGTAAGCTTTGAAGTCTCCCAGAACCTGCGTGCTATTTCATGACATTTGGGTTGGCTTAATATGATCTTTGGAATTTTCCTTATGAGCAAACATGGCGACATTTACTCTGTGTGTGTATCAAAAATAAATGTTCACTATGTATACAGCAAGGATCCAATTTGATTGGTGCATGCCTGCTGATGACAGTCTAGCTGTGCCACGGCGAAGAGGTTGAGAAAGTGACATGGCTTACCATTGTGCAAGCAATGCTTTGTAAGAGTGTTCTTGTTTTGGAACAAAGAGGGGTAGTTTAAGCCCTTAAGAAAGGGTACTGAAGCCATTAACAAGAGCTTTCTTTATAAAGTCACGATCTGCTGTAAAACGCTACATGCTTACACTTCCTTTCCTATGGAAACCGAGAAAAGTAATCACAAAGCAATTACTATAGGGTCATTGTCATCTCCCCGAAGCTATTCAAGATTAGACCCACTAATTAATGGGAAATTCATCAAGCTGAACAATGGGTCATTTCATGTGTTCAAGCAACATGTGAAGTACTGAGCATTTCTGGAAGTCATAGAGCTGCAAACAAAAACTGATTTAAGTGAGTTTGGAACTGCCTGTTATATGGTGAAAAGTGAAGCTTGGAGAAGCATAATATTCTGGGTGCTGTGCTTGAAGGAGCCGGTATCTGTAGTGAGTCTGTCTTGGGACAGACACTGCCTTTATGACTATGTTCTTAGAATCCAGTATTGGGTTTGAAGGATCCTGCCTCAGTAGTCAGGGAAACTCAGAACCCTTCAAAGCCCTACAGCTGTCAGGCACTATGATGAACAGCAATTATAAGATGCAATCATACATGGCTATAATACATAGTAACAATTGAAGGAAACCTGAGTTTAATATCTAAATACAGATCTTATTTTTATGATAAAAGATGATTTCCTCCTTTCTTAACTTATACACTTCAATATTAGTTTGGACTTGTAATCCATTTCTTTCAATTTGTCAATTCTTCATCTTGATTGATTTATTTTTCTCTGCTCTCTTTCCCTGTATACGATACCCTCTAAAGAAATCAGTTCAAAGCAGTTACTATGAAAGTGTGATAGAAGGCAATAACACTTCAGAGGATAACAGGGAGCAGAAGAAAAGTGAGATTTTACATCTAGTTTACAACATTCTGAATGTTCATAGTCCCATGCAATTTCACTCAGAGTGAATTTTGGAGTCATTCTTTGAACCCAAGTTCACTCAAAGCACACATAAGCAGCCTAAATACACAATTCTTTTCCACTTAGTGTGTTATTCAAATTTGAAGGAAAAATGCCTGTTCACCAAAATAATCATATGCCAAAATATACTGCACCTGTGTTCTTTGTAATATTTTATGATCAAAGGATAAACTAACCAATTACAGCTAGAACATACTTCCTGCACCAGTGGTATGTCTTGATGATTTGGAAATTGTACACACATTGGGGTGAGCTAGAATTTCATGTCGTCTCACCAGCTCAGCAACAACTTATTCAAACCAGCTTCAAATTACAACTAGAACAATGCATTAATCCAGTTCACCTAAAATATCATTCCATAAACAAAGACCTACACTATATAACAAACTATTAAATCTGGGGTCCCATGATGGCACTGCCCTTGCTGTCCACCAGTCCCCTGGTCAATTTTTAAAATGAATTGTATTGGTGTATTTGTGGCAGCTGTTTGGTTGCAGGGGTTTGCCTCTGGGGAGGGGGTTGTTGTTGCCTGCTTTTTGTGTTTTGACTGGTGTGTTTGTGTGATTTGCCTGGTTTTGGAGTGGGAGTTCTGAGCAGTGTCAGTTTCTCTTCTGTGAAAGCAATATTGTGTGGTGTCCACAAGTTTCTTAGATTTCCAGATGTGTTCCTTGGCCCAACAAAAGTTGCCCCCCCCTAAATTAATCTAATACATCAATTAAAAAGTATTTAGGTAAAGGTAAAGGTACCCCTGCCCGTACAGGCCAGTCGTGTCCGACTCTAGGGTTGCATGCTCATCTCGCTCTAGAGGCCATGAGCCGGCGCCGTCCAAAGACACTTCCGGGTCACGTGGTCAGCATGACAAAGCTGCAGCTGGCGAGCCAGCACCAGCGCAGCACACGGAAACGCCGTTTACCTTCCCGCTATAAAGCGGTCCCTATTTATCTACTTGCACTTAAGGGTGCTTTCGAACTGCTAGGTGGGCAGGAGCTGGGACCGAACGATGGGAGCTCACCCTGCCACGGGGATTCGAACCGCCGACCATACGATCAGCAAGTCCTAGGCACTGAGGTTTTACCCACAGCGCCACCCGCGTCCCAAAAAGTATTTACATGCACATAAATTCTAGCCGACAGAAGATGTGTCAGAACACAATACCTAAGCAGAAGTGCTAAAATGTTGCGTTGTAGGGTAAGGTGTTAACACTTCAAGGAAAATGTGCAGGAGGCAAAATATCACCATCATCATCTTGGTATGTCTGGGAAGTGCAGCTGACAAAAGGTTTAGGAAGATAACAGGAGTAGCAGGCAGTCTTCACAAACTCACTAGAATCAACAGGAATATAAAGGAAGAGATCCTGATAGCAGGAAAGACATAGCTAATTCCCCAACCCACATAGATATGCAAAATAATTAGCTGATTACCCAAATGACACAAATTTATAACGGTTTGCTCAATCATATTCTGAAGGATTGGGCCTGTGTTTTGCAAAAGGCAGCACTTGTTGAACAGTGGTGGTTAGGTAATTTTAGACTCTGTCCTTAATGGGCTTTTACTTCAACATGTGGTAAGCCAGCCCTCTTGTTCCTTTTGCCAAGTGGGGTCCTGGACGTCTGCCCAGAGTCCTGGCACCACTGTTGTCCAGCTAGCAGATGCTGAAAAGTCTTCTGACTTAATCTTTTCTAGCATGGGTCAAGGCTGTATCAGAGGCACGCTGCCACAAGCAAGGATGTTAATATTCATTTTCCTAGAATGTAAAAGCTTAGTTGGGTGCCAAGAGATTTATTTACTTGGTAACTACAGTTTACTTTGAGGCTTCAGCCACAGATTCTGCGGAACAAAGTGTTCCTTTTGGGAGCAACACTCTAGAAAGGGACACATTCCTAGTACAGTGGTTTGTACTTCCCTTAAAGCCTTTATTTTTGTTGGCCAAGGCTCCATTATTTTCAGGAGCTTGAGCTAATGGTTAACAAAAAGTGCACACATTGTGTTGTGCTCTCATTGGGCACAAAGTCTCAAGGCAAGTTACTTTTTCCTGTGTGTGAATGCTCCTTAACACTTTTGCTCAAATAAATCAAATAAATCACTTTTGCTCAAATAAATCAAGAATTGACAATGCTTGGCTTCAAGGTTAGACAGAATATCCGCACATCCCAACCCCAAGAAGACCCTGTACACATAGTAGAGTAAATCTGGTACAGTTCACTTGCAAAGTATTTCTGGAAATTGCATATGCATACATAGACAACAGAGCTTTGAGATTACAGTCTAGGGTAATTATAGCTAGGGCATTCTCACACCACCTCATAATTTTCCTGAGAAATCAAGTGACATTGAAGAGCCAGTATAAAAAGACTCTCACATCTGCAGCCTCCCCTTAACATGGACAATTTATTGCTGAACAAAAACATGTGATCCTTCCTCTCTGCCACCAGACAATCAGCCTTAAAACAGTCTGACACAGGGTATGCTCAGCTGTCCTCAAGCCTGAGGGCCTCATGCATTACAATTTAGTCTTGAAAGAAATGTGAAAGAGAACTTTGGTTTCTTGACCATATATGAATGAAGTTTCATTCTACAATAAAAGAGAGTAGGAATTCAGGTGTTACCAATTTGTTTATTTTAAAATATTTTTAGCCTGCCCTTCATTACAAAGCAACCCCAGGTCAGGATATAACAGTTAATTAAAACCACAATTAAAAACATAGATCATAAAACAGGAAGAACTACTATATCAGTGATAAACAAACCCAAAACTTAGCGGGGCTATTAACATGCTACAAAGGCTCTTACATCTGCCATAATGATTATACCACTGTATGGTATACTCACATTGGAGATAGCAGTATCAAATAGACAGAAACAGTTGGAAAGCACTAGAAAATTTCATTGCATTGTTGATTTGGGTGGGGGGAATTGTTTCACTATTTATTTTCCAGAAATAAATAAATACTGGTGTAAAGCTTTAGCAGCACTGGTACTTACAAAGGTGTACCTAGGGTCCCTTGTGTCTCTGGCAAGGAGCTCTATCAGTGCCCCCACTCACCCCCTCCCAAATCACTTTACCACAATAGCCACATTAGAAATTATGACATTTTATGGGACCCAATTACTTGAAGCATCCAGAATGAAGGCGAGGCAGAAGGATGAAAACAAATGCACTGGTTACCCATTTGTTTCCAGGTTCCTGTTAAAGTCCAGAGCAGCTGTTTCTAGGTTCAATTTAAAGCCCTTTTGGAGAAGCCATGTTGATTCTCTCTCAGCAAGGCATGTTCTTCTATGTTGCATAATAATAGCTCTAATATATTTAAGGCAATGGCCTTTCCTCTTAAACCCTTTTACAAATCAGTGTTTCATTAGTTACCTTCCTGTCAGCTGAATTTTAAACAAATTTAATATTTTTGTTAGAAAATATTCAATTGGACCCAGTGATTTGTAGATAGTTCTACAACTTCAGTTTTCGTCACTTCTATTTAGCTTTGTTTTTCAGATACCCTTCTTGGGGTCAGTGGGGGAATCAGACATAGCACCTGCCCACCATCTTCCACACTGAAGTTCAAAGCAAATAATAGAATTAATTTCTCTACCTTTCTTTAGTAATCCTGTTTTACTGTATCTTTGCTATGTAATGATTCAAATATCACCCTGGCTATTTTCCTGTCTCTAATGTACTTCAGTGTTCTGTTCATTGTTTTGAGTGGGATTCAACTAACATGTCACACTAATGGAGGCCCCCACAAGTGGCTAGCTAGCAAAACAGGGCTTTTCTGCCTCTTCCACTGCCCCTCCAGCTGGCTCAGGGGGAGTGTTGGGAGAAACCCCAGAATAACATGCAGGGGAAAGATAGGGGGTATTGTTCTGTCTGGCAAACTGAAATGTTTGTGCTGACAGAACTATTGCCATAGTGCTTTGTTGAATTCCTTCTTTTAGCAATATGCGCCTCAAATTCTTTTTCACTTGCCTGCTAGTTTTGCTTTTCCAGCATGTTTATTATACTTCCTCTTTTTTTTTTTTTTAGTTTTGGAAGGCTTCTACTTTTTAACACTTTAAATATTTCATCCCATAACACATTAGACAAAAATATTTACAAAAATAATTTTTTGTTCCATTCCGTTGTTTATAGAAATACTGAACACAAACTGGATATTTTGAATATAAAGCAGGTAGATATTTATGAATATCCCTACATCAAAAATTTATTGTAACAAAATTGAATTCATAAAGGCATTTTCAAAAGCAAAACCCTTCAACACACATTTGGTCTAAAAACTAGCTTTTCAGGTCACCATAAATGCACATCTAAGCCTCTTTAAGACTATGGAGTAGCAGTTCCACAATAGGACAGAATCTTTAAGTGCACAGGCAATGAATTAAGAATTTGCGAAAGAAAATCTGACACCTTCTATTGAGGCACGGGAGTTGCATCAGTAATGTGTCTTCCATCTATCCCTCCAATTGCATAAACTTTGTTTGCTGCCTATGTGATAATGGATTAAGCCATTGATCTTCAACTGGTGGTTTGGGAACCACTATCACAGGGGTGGGGAACTTGTGGCCCTCCAGATGTTGCTGGATTACAGTTCCCACCATCCGTCTCCACTGGCCACACGGGCTGGGGCTGATAGGAGTTGGAGTCCAAGGTCATCTAAAGGGCCACGGATTTCTCACACTTGCACCATTATATCACAGCTTGGTCTAAGGGAGGTCACAACAGCAGCACTTCTAGATAAATTTTTGGTTAAAAACTATGAAATGGATCCCCAGGTGCATGTCTGGGTTAATGGTGGATTCTGCGTCTGCAAAAGTTGAAGACTAAGCATTGTTTAGCAAGGTTTAATGAAATCTTTGTAATAAGACCACTGCTGTGGCTATGTTACAGGAAATGTTAAAAACGAACTCCTTCATTGTGTTGTTGTTTAACCAGAGCTTTTTTTATTGTTCACAGGGTAGTACTACTACTGGCTGGGAAACACAGGGCGTTGTCTCAAGCTCATATGCATGGAAGGGGACAGACATAGTCATTTTCTACAAAGGTGGCAAAACAAAAGCTGGGGGAGGGAGTAGAATATAGTGGAACATCTGCAAGAAGGGGAGCTATGACAGAGGCTGCAAGGGACAAAGGCAAACATGGTAGTGACTGCAAACCAGAAGAAGAAGTGGGCTTAAAGGAAAGTAGCAGGGGATAGAGAAAGGTTACTGCTGTTCTTCTGATAGATTTTCATAGAACAAAGTCTGGTTATTGTCTTCAATAGGAATATAATCAGTTGCATGATGCCTTCCAAAGGGACCTCAAAGGCAGCCCTGTGCAATCTACTGTCACATCCACGCTGTGTGAGTAGCATTGGTATTCTGGTGTCTAGTTAACATGCACACAATTTATCTCCAATTTTAACTAATTTATAGGATATTGCATATTTTAATGCTATTACTCACATAAACCATGAGATACAATGCTTGCGGTTTTTGATTATCTCTCTCTCCCCCCCCCCCCCCCATTTTAGGCACACAACTGAAAGGTTTCCCTTTCCTATTTTCAAACCAAGACCATTAGTGTACAATAAATGTCTCTGAGAAGAACACATCTTTTCCAATAAAACACCGCACACTGGAGATAATCCCTGAGAACACCAGTGAAACTGTCTTTCAGATAAATACTGGTTTCAAGCTTAAGTCCTGGGAGTCAGCTGGGAGTGCTGCCAATACACAAACCGCATTTAAGACAAATCCAGTCATCTTGACACATTTGCTCTTCCCCGAACTAGCTAGGTGTTAATGACATAATAGCACTGCAGTATTTATAGCTGTACTTACTGTACAGCATTCCTTTTTCAGATTCTAACTTACTATGCAGAGTGAAAACTGTGCATTAATGTTCATCATGCACTTCCCAGAATGAGGATCATTTGTTTCTTCAAAGCCCCTCCATGTTGGATTTTAACAAATCCTTGAAAGTGTGGGATCTCTGCTAAGAATCAGCCCATAGTGAAGTACAAGTAAGCCATCCTAGAAAGTAGGAAAGAAAAATCATACTTGTAAACAAGTCAAAATGAATGCAAAAACAAAGCCTTGCCACACCTAAGTTTCTTTATGCCACCTAATGAAAATTTGCTCTTGATTGTGAATAATAAAATGCAGGATCTCCCAGTGTGCTATTTAATGAACAGAGGATCAAGGGAGTCAACAGCTGAGTATGAAGCCCACTTGTAATTTCTTTGTGAGTACAGTCCCATTTAGAGGTGGTTTGAAAACAACTGAACAAGTCATTCAGTTGTTTGCCTGTGTCTGAACACTGTAATATCCCTTTCAAAGAGAGGCTAACAGTCAGAATGCACAACCCATTGTTGAACTGTTCCACATCATATTGCAGCCACTTTGTCTTTTGACTCAGCTTCTCCATCAAGCCACAGTTATTGCAGAGACTCCTTAGGATCCAATCCTTCCTCCAGTAAGTTTGAGGGCTGCTTTGCACTTTACAAGGCAGTGTTTGCGGCAGTAAAACCAGTGTTTAGCTTAGCAAAAATGCCAAGTGTTAATGGCAGATGCATCATCCTGAACACCTATGTATGTATTGGAGAAACCTGACCATCTGCAGATTCCTGCTGTATGCACAGTACATTATATGCTTTTTTTGAAGACGACAAACACACTATGAGTCATTCTCAATAAGCAAGCTTCAGCTTTCGATCCCAGGACGAAGTGTTACAGAAGGCAATTTCCCTGAAACAAACTGCTGGAGTAAATGAAAAAGCAGGCACTGCTTTGGGCTTATATATAGGGTTGGTCCATACTTATTGGCAAGTCTGTACAAAAGCCATAGGGAGTCAACTGGCAACCTCCATTTGACTGCATAATTGAGCCATTGAAATCAGCCAAATCACAACAGTTTTATATGCAGCCCTAGCATGGAAGTTTGGATATACAGAAAAGGTGCCTTATTAGGTTTAGCCTTGCCATAAGTCTGTCACAATTTCCTGACAGGCTACTATTAGGTGTGAAAGGCAATTGTGACTTCTTCTGACATATACTGTGTTCAAATGTTGGAGATGTGTTGGCTAGAAAAGATCTACAACATCAAACAAAACATCACCTATGAGCAAAATATATTTTAAAAAATGTACTGCTGTATAACACCTTTCTCTACTGATTACACTTCATTCTGACACCTTGTCTAGAATGCAAAGTTAGCACTTATGCACCAAAGTGAGAAATGAACAATTCAACCTGTAAAACAGGTTATTTTAATTCAGTAATTCAGCAAGCTATCCTTAGATTTGATTAAAAGAGCCACCAGATTACAAACTGTATCTTATTTTTTATTTTCAATTGTCCTTATATTGTATGATTTTAAAAAGTGGTAAGAATTCTACATTACTGCTGTGATCAAGCAAAGACAATATGTGTGTAGAAAGAGGCTTCTACAATGACTGCTGTTCTAGATGTGACCAGAGTATGCAAAATAATCGTGCCCTACAATGGGCAGCGGTTGCACCCAGCACCTGCTATCACTATGTGCACAATACTCTTGAATGCTAAAGTACAAGATCAGCATTGTCAGTTCTGATTCCAGATGCACACTCTACCCACCACTGTCCTAACAAATGATTAGTGCATACAAAGCAGATAGAGGCAACCACCTGTTCAGCAGGGTTGATCTGTGAATGCAGAAGCACATGCTTAGCCTGCAGTATGCAAGGATGCCTAGATCACAGCACATTCACCAAGGATAGCAGAGTTGGTGAATTTTCCTTTTCCTCAACCTACTAGGAGATCCATGATATATCCTTTTGTGTCTTTAGACTGGGAGAGACTGCTTTCATTAAAAACAACAATGCTCTAAACCATAACAGCCTGAAATTTAGATTCAGGTAGGTAGCCGTGTTGGTCTGATGCAGTCAAAATATATTAAAAAATTAAAAAATTGTCCAGTAGCACCTTAGAGACCAACTAAGTTTGTTCTGGGTTTAAGCTTTCGTGTGCATGCACACTTCTTCAGATACCTGAAATTTGTTTATTTTTTTAAAGTAATGTGCTGGTAGAAGCCATTTAAACACTGCATGAAGGCTCAGCTAGACTTAAGAAGCAGTCCTATACTTAAGTTCTGTTGGCTAAGATGCTATAGGATTTGGCTGAAGGCTTGCTATCCTGGCCAGCTTCTAAATATGCCAGCAGCACAAAAGAATGCTGTCAGAGCAGATAAAATGGGGTGGAGTCATGGGCAAGGCAGACTGGTAGAGAGGAGGAGCACGCTTGCGCTGTATCCTATAGCCCTTCAATCAGACCTGGCCTAAGATTTCCCTCTGTGCTTAAGTCAGTGACCACTCTGTCCACATCAAAAGAGCATTAGATGCACTTGGCCTCAGAACACACATGGGAACCTGAACGCATTGCTAATGCTTCTTACCTCAGAATCCTAATACGTATCTCACCTCGGTACTCCGGACACATACTGTACATCCAGCCCCATTCCACTTCAACAACTACACCTCACACAGGTAAGCAAGAGAAGGAGAAACACATGCTATGATGTTTAACTGGTGCACCTGACACCTGTCTCTCTTCACCCCTTTTTGCTATACTTAGAATCATAGAATCATAGAGTTGGAAGAGACCACAAGGGCCATCGAGTCCAACCCCCTGCCAAGCAGGAAACACCATCAGAGCACTCCTGACATATGGTTGTCAAGCCTCTGCTTAAAGACCTCCAAAGAAGGAGACTCCACCACACTCCTTGGCAGCAAATTCCACTGTCGAAAAGCTCTTACTGTCAGGAAGTTCTTCCTAATGTTTAGGTGGAATCTTCTTTCTTGTAGTTTGGATCCATTGCTCCGTGTCCGCTTCTCTGGAGCAGCAGAAAACAACCTTTCTCCCTCCTCTATGTGACATCCTTTCATATATTTGAACATGGCTATCATATCACCCCTTAACCTCCTCTTCTCCAGGCTAAACATGCCCAGCTCCCTTAGCCGTTCCTCATAAGGCATCGTTTCCAGGCCTTTGACCATTTTGGTTGCCCTCCTCTGGACACATTCCAGTTTGTCAGTGTCCTTCTTGAACTGTGGTGCCCAGAACTGGACACAGTACTCCAGGTGAGGTCTGACCAGAGCAGAATACAGTGGCACTATTACTTCCCTTGATCTAGATGCTATACTCCTATTGATGCAGCCCAGAATTGCATTGGCTTTTTAGCTGCCACGTCACACTGTTGGCTCATGTCAAGTTTGTGGTCAACCAAGACTCCTAGATCCTTTTCACATGTACTGCTCTCAAGCCAGGTGTCCCCCATCTTGTATTTGTGCCTCTCATTTTTTTTGCCCAAGTGCAATACTTTACATTTCTCCTGTTAAAATTCATCTTGTTTGTTTTTGCCCAGTTCTCTAATCTGTCAAGGTCGTTTTGAAGTGTGATCCTGTCCTCTGGGGTGTTAGCCACCCCTCCCAGTTTGGTGTCATCTGCAAATTTGATCAGGATGCCCTTGAGTCCATCATCCAAGTCGTTGATAAAGATGTTGAATAAGACCGGGCCCAAGACAGAACCCTGTGGCACCCCACTAGTCACTCTTCTCCAGGATGAAGAGGAACCATTGATGAGCACCCTTTGGGTTCGGTCAGTCAGCCAGTTACAAATCCACTGAGTGGTAGCATAGTCAAGACTGCATTTTACCAGCTTCTTTACAAGAATATCATGGGGCACCTTGTCAAATGCCTTGCTGAAATCAAGGTAGGCTACATCCACTGCATTCCCTTCATCTACCAGGCTTGTAATTCTGTCAAAAACGAGATCAGGTTAGTCTGACATGACTTATTTTTCAGAAATCCATGCTGACTATTGGTGATCACAGCATTCCTTTCTAGGTGCTCACAGACTGTTTGCTTAATGATCTGCTCCAGAATCTTCCCTGGTATTGATGTCAGACTAACTGGGCGGTAATTATTTGGGTCCTCTCTTTCCTCCTTTTTGAAAATAGGGACAACATTTGCCCTCCTCCAGTCTGCCGGGACTTCGCCTGTTCTCCAGGAATTCTCAAAGATGACTGCCAGTGGTTCTGAGATCACATCTGCCAGTTCTTTTAATACTCTTGGATGCAGTTCATCTGGCCCTGGAGACTTGAATACATCTAAACTAGCCAAGTATTCTTGTACTATCTCCTTAGTTATTCTGGGCTGTGTTTCCTTTGCTGAATCATTTGCTTCAAATTCTTCAGGTCGGGCATTGTTTTCTTTATCGGAGAAGACTGAGGCAAAGAAGGCATTGAGGAGTTCAGCCCTTTCTGTGTCCCCTGTTTGCATTTCACCATCTTCTCCTCTGAGTGACCCCACTGTTTCTTTGTTCTTCCTTTTGCTACTGAACATACCCATAAAAGCCTTTTTGTTGCTTTTAACCTCTCTAGCAAGCCTGAGTTCATTCTCTGCTTTAGCTTGTCTGACTTTGTGTCTACATGTGCTGGCTAGGTGGTTGAATTCCTCTTTGGTGGTTTCCCCCTTTTCCATTTTTGTACACATCCTTTTTAATCTTAACTCAGTTAAAAGTTCTTTAGATAGCCACCCTGGCTTCTTTAGGCACCTTCCATGTTTCTGTCTCATTGGTATTGCCTGACGTTGTGCTTTTACTATCTCCTCTTAACAAACTCCCAGCCATCATGAACTCCCTTTCCTTTTAGTATTACTGTCCATGGGATCTCACCCAGCACTTCCTTAAGTTTTATGAAGTCGGCTTTCTTAAAGTCAAGAAATTGAGTCCTAGTATGCTTGGCTGCTCCTTTCCGCTGTATAGTAAACTTCAGAAGAGCATGATCACTCGCGCCTAATGATCCTTCCACTTCTACCCCACTAACCAGGTCATCAACATTGGTTAGGACCAGATCTAAAATGGCTGTTCCTCTTGTTGCTTCTCCCACTTTCTGGACAATGAAGTTGTCTGCAAGGCCAGTGAGGAATCTGTTTGACCTTATGCTCTTGGCTGAGTTTGATATCCAACAAATATCCGGGTAATTGAAGTCCCCCATTACTACTATCTCCCTTCCTTTTGCATGCTTGGCCATCTGTTCCAGGAAGGCATCAGCTATGTCCTCCGTTTGGCTTGGGGATCTATAGTAAACTCCCACAATGAGGTCACTGTTATTCTTCTCTCGCTTAATTTTGACCCAAATGCTCTCACTTTGGCTTTGAGGTTCTAAATCTTGGATCTCTTCACAGGTATACACATCCCTGACATATAACGCCACTCCTCCTCCTTTCTTGTCTGGTCTGTTTCTCTGTAATAGATTGTATCAACCCATTATTACATTCCAATCGTGGGACTTATCCCACCAGGTTTCAGTGATGCCTATTATGTCATATTTAGTTTGCTGTACCAAGAGCTCAAGCTCATCTTGTTTATTTCCCATGCTTTGCGCATTAGTGTACAGACATTGAAGTCCATTAATCATTCCTCCGTGTCTCTTATTTAAGGATTTTTTCCTCCCATCACTAGGTCTGCGTGCTGTTTGCTCCATTTGGTCTATGACATTTGGATGATCATCTTCATCAATTGATACGACTCCTACCTTCAGAAGCACTGTCTCCCTCCCCCACATTAGTCAGTTTAAAGCCCTCCTGATGAGGTTTCTGAGATTTTTGGCAAAAACATTTCTCCCAACCGTTGTGAGGTGCAGCCCATCGCTTGCCAGAAGTCCATCTTCAAGAAACTGCAGTCCGTGATCTAAGAATCCAAACCGTTCCTGTTTACACCATTTGCGAAGCCAGCTGTTCACTTCCACTATTTTTCCCTCTCTCCCTGGGCCACGTCGTTCAACTGGGAGGACAGATGAGATGACAATTTGTGCATTTAATTGCTTCAATTTCCTGCCCAGAGCCTCGTAGTCTCTTTTGATCTTCTGGAGGCTATTGCTTGCAGTGTCATTGGTTCCCACATGAACCAAGAGGAGGGGTATTTGTCAGTGGGTTTTATGATTCCTTGCAGCCGTTCAGTTACATCTTGGATCTTAGCCCCGGGAGACAGCACACTTCCCGAGACATCTTGTCAGGCCCACAGATCACTGCTTCTGTTCCCCTCAGTAGGGAATCCCCTATCACCACTACACGCCTCCTCTTAGGTTTGGTCGGGGTTCTTCCGTGAGCTGTCCGTTCCAAGGTCGCCTGCACATTCCCTGAGGACTGACTTTGCTGCTCGTCTTCATATACCTGATCGACTGTAATGAGGGAGAGATCCTCAAATGGAATCTGCTCTTTGTCTTCCATGCTAGGGGAGAGGACCTCAAAGCGATTGTGTATTTCTAAACAATCAGAGAGAACCCTGGGCCTCCTACTTCTTTGAGTCACGTTTCTCCATATATCTGGATCCTGTGTTGGTGAACTAGCCTCCTTCTCAGGGGAGTCCCCTGTCTCCTCCTTGGTGGAGACGGTGTGCTCTGTTGCTTCCAAGAAGAGCTCCAGCTCTCTAATTCTTTGGAGCGTAGCTATATGTTCCTCCAGTTGCTGGACTTTGTCTTTTAAGAGGGCAATCAACATGCAATTGCTGCAGGTAAAGCTGCCTGCAACCTTTGGCAAGATGGCAAACATTGCGCAGGAACCGCAGGCGACTGCAGCTGTTCCCTCCCTCCATCTTGAGAACGTGTCGTTGGGGGTGGCTACAGCGGTCCTCCATCATAAAAAGCGTGAAGACAGGACAAATAACTCCCCCCACAAAAAAACCTAGGTCTCACCCAACAAACGTTTGAGACTAGCTCCCCTAAATCTAAAAGATGGATCGCTGCCCTGCAAGCTCTGATGAGTATACTTGAGTGTATACTTGAATACTCTTGTCCTGCCTCAACAGTGCTGCTGAAACATTCCTCCCCACAACAGTGGGGAGCAGTGTCTTCCACACAAAAGGGAGGTGCTCATCCATACACACAGGCAAACTTGCTGTTGGTAAAAGCCAGACGCTCCATTTCAGCCTTTGCCACTGCTGGCAATGCAGACTCATGCACTTTTGCCTTAAAGGTTCACAACTCAGAAGCTTTCCTGGCAAATGCAGTGCTTGGCTATATCCCCAAGGGGTGTATGGGAGGCAGAGGCAGGAGCACCAGGGGCAATTCCCTTGCAGCAGTGGCATCAACTTACCTGCACTGCACTCTCCCCTAGAGCTCGCTGGATTTCCCTCAAAGTCTGATAGTGTTCCAGCAGGTGATCACCACATATTATGTCTACCTAGAAATAAACAGAAAAAAGTATCAACATGTGTTTTCTTTAGCTGCAACAAGCTAGGGGCTTTAAAGTTTTAATTCAAAGGCTGTTTGAGAACACATTTTATGTATCTATTTCATCTCCAGAAATGCTCTCCAGGACCTCAAAACTACTCTTTTGTAGTCCCAATTTCAAAAGGCAATTTGAGGATTTGGCAAGGGATCTCTTCAAAACACAAGTTGTTATTGCTATCAAGAACCCATTGCCTGCAATAGCACTGTAAAGTAACAAGCCGCTATGAACATGTAAAGGACACTCCTAAACAGATTGAGTTCATTTGAAGACAGCACCCCGTCCCAGCTTCTCTGTTAACTACTTTAAATATCCTTTTCCTGTCTTATTAACTCCAATGACTTTGGACTTTGTTCAAATATTAACTTCATTTTGTACTGTTCAGTGGATGTGTCAATAAATATCTCAAGAAATTCCACGTTCAAAGCAAATATCCCTTCAGAACAGGTGTGGTTAAACTTGTTAACATGAGCAGGTGTCCAAATATCATTTTAATTAAATAATGCAGGAGCTCCTGGGTGCCAGTTCTCTGTGGACACTGTGTACATGCCATTTGCAATCTGTATCTCATTTGACACTAACAAGTCCCAGAGATCATTGGCAACTCTCTGAATGATTCTTTAAAACTAAACAGAGGTGCACAGTCCATTCATGTAAGAATTGCATGCAACTATTGCATCATATTGCTTAAGTCATCCACACCATCAGCAAACAGAAATCTCAAGTGATGCAACTGAAACAAAGATAGGATCAACAAGTCACAATCATGTCCATGTTTAATATCTAAGTCAATAGAGTTTAGCCTTTCTAGTGTCAATGAATTGTTTCTGTGTTGATCAATGTGCTGTGATTTTGTTACCTACAAAACACTTTTGCACTACAGGGGATTTGGGTTGTGTTCTAGGGTACAATTTTAACTCCTGCAGTTTCAGGAGTTTGCAAGAAGGTTTGCAAGAAGCAAGTGGCAGCAGCAGACTAGTTGTCTTTAGGTTGTTTTGTTTTTGTTTTATTATGCATTTTGTGTTTTCATTTTGTATTTTTATGTTGTGAACTGCCCTGAGATCTGTGGATATTAAATAAATAAATAAATTATTTATTAATTTTTTTACTGACAATTTCACCATCAATCCTTGACAAAAGCTTCCTCAGTGTGAAAATAGCCGTCTGGGTTCTTAACAATGAGTTGTGCATCTTTGACTTATCTCTGGTGCTCTTCTATGGTGGGTAATAATCTGTTCTGAATAACAGGAGGCAAATTATACTCAAGATGTTTCTGGATATTTTCAGAACCACCTCTCCCAGTCAGCAGATGATTTTTAAAAAAAAATAATCAACAAAAACAAAACACAAGCTGAAAACCTATAGGGAGTTAGATATACCTTCACTGTTTGAAATGTTAGTTCTGTTTCCTTCACTGGGGATTGCATTGACTTAGTCTGCTAGAGGATGTTCGCCTTCCTAGGTTTCATAATTAGGATTTTTAGGAGGAAGGCCTCTGGTATAACGCCTATGCTTTACACCACGGAATTAACTTTCTTTTAAGGCTAGAAATTATGACATGTGCTCCTCCCATATGAACAGAAATGAAGTTCCTTTTCTTGTATTGAAGAGCATGTAGCAGTGTTGGTATTCTCCAATAACTCAATACGCTACAGGTGTGGGAGAGGAGACCTTGAAATTTAAGATTCAGCTGGGTAGCTGTGTTGATCTGATGCAGTCGAAATAAATAAAAAAATTAAAAAGTTGTCCAGTAGCACCTTAGAAACCAACTAAGTTTGTTCTGGGTATAAGCTTTCGTGTGCATGCATGAAGAAAGCTTATACCCAGAACCAACTTAGTTGGTCTCTAAGGTGCTACTGGACAATCTTGAAATTTGTGATAGTCTGTTTTAGTCAGAAACAGCATCTAGGGGCAGAATTTATCATATTTAGACCTACCAGGCATACATTTCCAAATTATCTGCCTGGCTTGCTCAGTATTTATTCCTACATATTTCCCCTTTATCATGCTAAATTAGTACAAACATTTTTACAGTAGTAGAAATCTCAAGAATCTTTAGAGGAGTCAACAAAGTTGGCCACGTTTGGCAGAAGCAGAAAAACATCTGATTGCTAGGGAAGCAGAAATCCTAACAGACATTTCAGGTACATCTTTTGAACAGCCTGTCTCCTGTTTGTCAGAGTGGATTACCGCCCTTTATCCAATGACACTAGAGATAACAGCAAGGACCTTGGATTTAGATAAAACAGAAAGAGGGAGCTAGTAAGAAAAGAAAGGCAAAACAGAATATGATCAAGTGAGATGTCCTAAGTCCAGTCCATAAGAAATGAGACATTAGAGCTGCATTTATTTCTATGTATTTCCCCCACTTCCCCCTCTTTATCTTCCTAACTTATTACAAACATTAAAAAATGGCAAATTAGCATCTAATTGAAACACCAAGGTGCAAGCACACACATTTTATCTGCATTTCAGGCCACCTGCCTGTTTCCTATGGGCAGAATCCGAGGCTGTGCTCACTTTTCTCTCCTTCCCACTGCAGTCCTGAGTGGCTTCAAAATCTGCTCCGCAGAGCCCAACCCTCCAGAGCACATTTTGAGGGTGCATGGAAGGCTTCAGAGGACGGTGAAGTCCCTCTGCACAAGTGGAAGCCTGTTCTGCGCATACAGACAACACTAGATACAACTCTATGTATCCACACCATTAAATGCCACAAATTATGATCAGATGGAACTTATTCCAGTTTATTAACGCTGGAAGCAAAATGTTAACCAATTCCATTGCTGTAAAACAATTCTTCACAGTCCTGAGATAATTCAAAAGAGACTGCCTAGAGATATCCTGATGTGACCTTCGCTGCTGCAGTTCTAGACTTCAGATATTAAATGTTTCAGTGGCTTTAAATAAATGATTGCAAAGCTGCTTCCCCTCTACCTCAAAGTGCTTGGAATATTAAACGCCTAATTCTGCTACTTCAGTGCTAAGTTCTAAAGCTTCAATACTAATTGTTCGGGTGGGATTCAGGTGATAGCTGTAAAACTCAAGGGAATAGAAATACAAAGAAAAGAAGCAATTTGTTCTCAACCACCCTTTTAAGAAGCGTCTGTAGCATTTGTGATTATATCCATTAATCCCTGTGATGTAAGGAAATATATTACAGATAAGGGGGTGGGAATCCCATCTGCCAGCAGTGTTCTAAATCTATTTTAGACTTTTAAGTTTGGAATCAAATCAGTGTTACACTAGTGTTGCAACAATGAATATAACTGATTTGACCCTTCCTGGAAACAGGAAGATCATTATATTGCTGTAAATATTCCCCTAATGAACACACTAAAGTCTAGTTAAAGCAAGGGAAAGAAACCTTTCTGATGTTTTTAAAGAATTACATGCCTTGATTGGGTGCATGCCAGTTATTTCCCTGACACCCCAATCCAATACATATGTTTCTCAGATGTTCCACAAAGTTCTATGCAGCTTACTCCCAAGTAAGCATGCCTAGAATTGGAAGGAAAAATAGATGAAAATGAGACATAAGGGATGCAACTTGTGCATTAAGCACTGGATCTGTCCAGAGTTTTTGTCAGGCTCCAACACCTTGCCCTCCTGACCACCCGGCAGCATCTTTGGCAAGAGTTGCACACTAACTTATGTTATACTGAAGTGTCATCCCGGTTGCATTACAAGCTCCACCAGCTGACACTGTACTGCATTAGATGACTAAGGGGATGAATGCAACTCTATCTGGCTCTATAAAGTCTCAGCCTCAGGGCCTGTTCTTCAGTCTGAGAAACTTTGTCTCCTTGTAAGCAGATCCTGTCAGGCTGACCTCCTACTCACCAACTGCCCTTGCTGGAACTTTTGTCCGCCTGAGACCATGATGCTTTTCTTTGGCTCCCTGTCTTGCAAACAATTTGTTCTTTCTTGTTTTGGGGGTTCTGATACTGGTTCCGCTTCAGATGCTGAGCATTAACTTTAGATATACAGTGGTACCTCGGGTTACAGACGCTTCAGGTTACAGACTCCGCTAACCCAGAAATAGTACCTCGGGTTATGAACTTTGCTTCAGGATGAGAACAGAAATCACGCGGCGGCAGCGGGAGGCCCCATTAGCTAAAGTGGTACCTCAGGTTAAGAACAGTTTCAGGTTAAGAACGGACCTCCAGAACGAATTAAGTTCTTAACCCGAGGTACCACTGTACAGTGGTACCTCTGGGTACCACTGTACAGTGGTACCTCTGGATGCGAACGGGATCCGTTCCGGAGCCCTGTTCGCATCATGAGCAGAACGCAACCCGCGTCTGCACGTCCCGCGATTCTCCACATCTGCGCATGCACGTGACATCATTCTGAGCGTCTGCGCATGTGGCGAAACCCAGAAGTAACCTGCTCCATTACTTCTGGGTCGCCGTGGGACACAACCTGAAAAGATTTAACCTGAAGCGACTTTAACCCGCGGTATGACTGTACATGGTAAACACAGCTACTGAGGAGCCAGTTGAAAAACTGCATGGGCTATTTATACAAATTTTGACCCCAATCCTCCCTTTGTTTATAAATTGCTCTCATTGTGCCTTTACCATGCACCAGATATTATATTGGGCCCAATCACACTCTGATTTCTAGCAGAATATGCATCAAACCCATGCTACTTCTAATTATCTCCCCAAAGCCCGTCTTCGTTTACAATAAACACTTTCATCTAAGAGATTCCTCTGACAAGGGAACACTTCTGTAAGCTATATTAGTACATCTAAAGCAGTGAAATAGCAAATTCCTTTGTAACTGTCGCTCTCTCCCCACACTAATTCTCACTCAAAAGGCAGGCAGAAAGCAGCTTTTGGATGTCCTGATATTAGGATGGCAAGGCACTTACTATTTCAAAAAGATATTTTTCAGACATTACTACAACAGTCTTATCAAGTGAAGACAGCAGCTCACAGGCTGATTTCAATAAGTATATGTGAGTCCAGGGGGCAAGATGGCAACTAAAGTGTTGGGAAGATGTGGTTTATTCAACATTTAAAATTATTATTTTTTGCAAATACTTAATGTAACACTTCTCAGTCTGAAGACTTTTAGACTGCCTCAGCAGATGTCTAAAACAATAGCAGTCATAAAAACTTTAAAACCAGGATAGCTGGGACTACAGAATGTAAGCCTAAAAAGAAAAGAACGTAGTCTAGAAGGCATGAGCACATAAGGTCTTTACCTGGTGTTGAAATGACATCTAAGCTGGCACCAATAGCAGCCAAGGCCCTACCCCTAATAATAATGGGGCTCATAAATTTACACCGAAAAGCATGGGTGGCCAACCACTTTTGGTCCAATGGCTGCAATTACCTTTGGCCAACCACTTGGGGCAGGTCACCCGCCCCCCCCCCCAAAAAAACCCCCAACCCCATCCTCAGTGATCTATGCAGATGAGAAGGGAGAAGATTGGAATCTCAACTGTAGTGCTGGGAAGAGAGGTTTAAACTTATCTTGCCAGCCTAGTATTCTGGTGCAGATGCAAATCATTCCTTTCCTGCTCATCCAATTTGTCTGATGAGCAGGGACAGGGTGATTTGGACCTCCAATGAAGTGCTTCTCCCAGCCCGGCACCATAACTCCTTTTTTCTTTTGCCATTCCCAGAATCAGTGTGGTTGGAAGGACAGCACACAGAAGAAACTATTTGACAGGCTGTGTCAGGCCTTCAGGGTAGGGGCTTCCTGCAGTACAGCAAAACTGAAGAGGGATATGAGAATAGTAACATCAACAATATGTTCTGACAAGTAGTTACTGAAACTGGACATTTCAGATATACTTCATTGCAATTAGTGAGCAAACAAGTATGAAAAGGAGAAATATTGTTTTCGGACTGACCATGTTAAAATTAAATAACACCTGATAACATTCAAAAATCATGTTGCAATTATGGCTCTTTGCTGCAGGCATAAAACTAATCATTCCCTCAGTGACCAAGACCAGGACTTTCATGCATCAATAACAATAATAAACAAACTGCCAGCCTATGGGAAGAGAGAAAATCAAGGCTCTCTAGTGCCGTGTCCTAGCAAAGAACTCCTCTGGACTCAACCACAATTAAGTAGGGAATCCTTAGGGGCCTACTTCCAAGTAATATATCTAGGAAACAAGTGCAACATCAACTTTTATGTTCAACTGAAGTCTGTGGCAAACAAGGCTTTTAAAGAGAGTGCTGCATGTTATAGTAACAACGACAGAAGATGGAAGTTTTGCAGTTACTCTTTTAGCATGGGATGGGGTTTAAATATGCATTGTCATATCTTCTGTCTGCAAATTAATCTAGGCACACTTTGAAAATGAACAGAAGGTATATCAACAGAAACAAATAAACCTGAACAATCAAAGGCATTTGCAGACACAGTTGAAAACACATCACAACATATCACAAAATCAGTTCTGTAGGTTTTACAAATGTGCCCAATGAATTCACTTAGTGTACATTTTCATTACAAGAGAGCAACAAAACACACACTGGAGTCTTAACACATCAGACCATTTGGGCAGATTAATGTTTTAAAAGGCAGAATCAGAAACCTTTCTTTTAATTAGATGTGCAAATGCATCACGTGTATTAATGCAACTACAAGGACACATAATCCTTGAATCCTTTTCACCTTGCACATAATTGCCATTAAATCCTGTATTTTATAAAATGTGAAATTCAATATCAAGTTGTACCTGCTGAACAGCTGCACAATTTGGCAGAAGCCATGCTACACTCTTAGAACAAAAAATATGCCACCACCACGATGACAGATGTACCAGTGCAATTTTTTTGCCAGTGAAGATGGACGGAGTCATCAGTGGCATAAGGGAAGAACATCAGTACTTACATAGTCTTATAATCTTAAAATATCATGACCACACCCCCATTTATGGTGAAGTTTTAGACTAGACCTAGAGCTGTTGACACAGAATTTCCTTTCTATTGACCTTCCAGACCACAACAGAGCATAAGGTATGGTGTGATCAATCACAGCATAGAACTACCAGTATATAAACCCTGGACAGGGAGACCATAACTCAGACAGACAAGATGCAGGCCTGGGGTTGTACAGAGAGAGTTCCACCTCATTAGCAACAGCAGTGATGAGGCTCCTCCTAGCTGTTCCTCTGTAAGAATATCAACCTATTTGTTCCAGGCATGGCTGCTGTATCTTTTGTTCCTACCATGGAACAGAGTGCCATCATGGACACTGCAGCTGATATTCAGCTACATTTCAAGCAATGGCCCACTGTACAAGAGTTCTGGTGAGCTGTTGGAAACCCTAAACATGTGTACTTCTTCAGAATTGCCTCCATTTTGGAGGCTGTTCAATAAAGGGTTATGACTTTGCCACATTGGTTGCTATGGTGTGGTAGATGGGGATCCCTTTCTCACACTCTAGAAGGCTATGGCTTCATTTGGCTTTGGAATGACACTACAAGGTGGGAAGATGGTGTCAATATGCTTGATGGGCTCAGGACAGTGGTCACATCTCACTACTCATTCAGGTTCCCTGGACTGAGACGGAGGCAGGATTTTCAAGGTACACAAGTGCATAGCTGTTGCCACCAGGATGTTAGAGGGAGGGATGCTGAAGGGGAGAAGGGCCAAATCTGAGGGGCTACATGGCAACATGACACCTTCACGTTGCCTATGTGATCCTGAAATGGATTGCCATAGAAGGAAGCTATTTTGTTTTTAAAAATGGTGCTAAAGCTGCAAATCAGAGACAGCAAACAGCACATGTAAAAGGTAAACAAAAAGATATGTTGTTGAACATTTCACTGAAAACTCTGTTTTGCCCCTCAAAACATCACAGAGAGAAATACGGCAAAGTACTATTAAAAATCTATGTGGAGGAGTGGAAATAACTTTAAAACTCTTATAATCCAACACATTGGCTTGCCCTCTTACATTTGACTTTTCTTCCTTGGTTTCTTCTTCTGTGCTTGCTTGCTATTGCCTCAGTGTGTGTTACATAAATTCTTTGATGCAACAAGTGTGGCTTTTCCAAGTTACATAATGCCTTGTGAAATGCACTGCATGCAGAACGGTAAAAACCTCACTCGCATACTTGCTGCCAGGAAGTAGACTTTCAGTGTGAGCAAGAGAGTAGAGGAGTGTCATAGCCAACGATATGGTGCAAACAATTAGCACAGCATACCTGGCAGCCAGGATCAAGGTCCATCTTTCTTCTAAGAAATTTCTCCACATGTCCAATTGTTGCCTCTCCTGAAACCCGTACAAACTTCTTTTCCAGTGGCTGGAAGGAGGAAACAGATTTCACACTGTAAGGCTGTTCAGTAATGAAGGGGGCAATTCTAATCAGGTTCTTTAACAAGGACTTTATCCCATATTGTTGTTATTATTATTATTATATGAAACCAGTAAGTCATTTTCACAAATTTCCCCCTTAAACACCTTTTTTCAGCAGTAAGATGATGTTGTTCAGCTGCAACCCACAGTTCCACTATTTTTCCTCTTCCACCCACAATCTCACTGCACATGTATCTTGTGTATTTAGTTCTTCTTCCCATAAGCTAAAGGAGGCATAGATGGTTCTCCCTGTTCCATGTTATCCTCACCACAATGCTGTGAGTTAGGCTAGGCTGAGAGCTAGCAATAGGTTCAAGGGTCCCAGTGAGCTTCATGGCTGAGTGGTAAATTGAAGCTGGATTGTCTCAGTCTGAGGTGGTAATCACTACACCACATTGCCTCTCAAATACATATATGTACCATTTTTATTTATTTCTTTACAAATTTCTACCCTTCACAGATAGCTCACAGACATAATTAAAAACATGATGTTCTGGGCATTGTTTAATCACTAGCCCATTTCTATAGAATACAGTCTAGTTGTTCACTCTTTAAAACAGGAGCGACTAACCTCTAACTCTTCAGATGTTGTTTGACTGGAGCATCTGAAAGGCTACAGGCTGGCCACCATGCTTCAGAGGCAGTCATAATGTCCAGTGTGCCTGGTCCCTCAAACTAAAATATTACATCCCTGCCTTTGCAACATTCCTTTATCTTTATAAATTACGGATTTGCAAAAAAGCAGTATATACTCCATGACAGAATCATTAGCTTTCTCAATGCAACATTTAGTTTTACTTATGCATGTCATAACAATGAACCAAAGGAAAATAAATTTAAGCAGTATTTGTACCTTAAATTTCCCAGACAGGTCATTAGCTCTGAAAGAAAAAGAGAATTAACATAATAAATATGTCTGAGCTACATCTGGATTTGCAGGCTCAAACTGCTAAATCAATACAATGCCATTAGTTACAGAGTTTTTCTGTGATATATGTGTGTGTAATTTATATGCTTATCAGGTCCTTGGATTATGCTTGGAAGCTTAGAATATTACCAGTTATCGTCATTATCATAATCTCCTGTTAAAGGCAGGCAGCAGCACTCACAAGTTGTAGCTATTATACAGGCTTCAAAAGTAGTGAAAGGAAAAACTGCAGTAGTTGATTCAAGTAGTTCCTAAGGCATGCACCACAGGGGTAAGTTTCCTAGCTTCAAGGAAGAGGAAACATTTTCTGAATCAGATGCAACCCATAAGAAAAGCTATCATCACAGAAGTTCCTTAGACTGGATTCAGGAACAACCCTAATTAACAAGCCTGCTTAGAGAGTGTGGATGACCCTACCAGGAAGAGCCAAGGTCACCTCATTTAAGTCAAGCAGGTCGTTAATCACCACCATTTCAATTCCATCTGCACTCCATAGTTAATCCTCATCCAGTCTGGTATAGCATTTAGATACTGCTTTACACTTGCTATTGCTGCTCTGCTGAGAATGCATATTGGTGTAATTAGAATACTGATAACACCATTCCTCAAGTTTGAGATTATTTCACCACATATTTCATATATATTTTAGATCAGCGCACTCTGAGAATTGGTCTCAAGAGAAGACAATGGCCCAGTTCAGACAAACATATATTGGCTTCATAAGCACAAATATGCAGTTTAATATCCTGGCTTGCTTTGATCCAGGTAGGCACAAGCTTCCTGGTTCAGGAGCAAGTGGAAACTATTGAACTAGGCCAGTGTATTTAAAATATACATGCATATTTTTAAAAGCTTCAATGACAAACTGCTTTCTTTATACTGACACAGAAACAAATAGAATTGCAGCCACTGTATTACCTTTATATTGAAGAATTCTGTATTAGGAAAAACAGTGAGCTTGACTTTAGTAGAACTAACCATGTAATTTAAGTCTACCTTTAGACATCAATCTAAACGGTATATAGTGTGCAAGATTGGGTGCTGAGCAGAACAATCATATGCACAATCAGCTGTCAAATTGCATTTCAGAGGACTGACTGCTTTTCCTTTAGATACATGGAGACAAATTCACTTGCAGACAAGAATTTTATCTTTCAAAAAACTGTAAGTCAACTCTTTATCTTCATGAATGTCTAAAAGGTTAACAAAGACAGATGGAAAAACCATGTTATTTCCAAGGCAGAAGATATCACAGTTTTTCCATTCCCAGGACTGGGGTCTCTGATACCCTTTTACTACCATTGGAAGGACTGGACCATTTCAAGATATAAACTGAATGACATGGAAGAGGTAATAAACAAAATTGCTCCCAGAAAATGACAAAATGTAAAACAAAACAAAACATGTAACAGATATACCACTACTACTACTACTACTACTACTACTACTACTACAACCATTGGTAATTAAATTTGTAAACAACCCTTCCTCTGTAGATCTCACGGCAGTTCACAACATTAAAAGTTGCTCATTAAAACTACTGTTAACTGGCACACACACCATTACAAACAGCAATTCTGAACCAGGGTGATGCAGGATTAAGGCCCATTGAGACCCACGATCAGCACAGTTGCTCCCTGAGCCAGTCACCATCTCTCAGCCTAACCTACCTCAGAGGATTGTTGTAAGAATAAAATGGGGGAGGGACCTAAGGAGAACCACCTATAGTATTCAAAATGATTTTTGACTTATTGGGAAAAAAAATTATAAGTGCTAAAACTAAGGTTGCAATAGTTCATACTAAGCATTACAAGTGTCTCTTTAAAAAAGGGGGGGGAGTGCAGATCATCATTCTTTTAGATGACAGTATCCAACATGACGCCCTCAAGAAGTCTGCAACCAACCTCTACCATTGATCAGGCAACTTTGCAAAACAGATATGTTAAATTAGAGAAAAACTATTACTGCATATGTCCAGAAACACATTGGCTTGTCTTTTAGCAATAATCACTTCAGTGTTTGTCAGTTGTCACTGCCACCTAGTGGTTAAAAACAGGCAAAGACAGTTAGGCACCCCAAGTTACAGAATGCTTGGTCGGGCACGATTTGATTAAACAGAACTGTCTTTATACATACTGTACACTTCATCGGAAAAGGTATAATGAGGGTTCTACATGTGCCTACTATAGAAAATCGCAGTCTGTTTCTGCAAGAACTGAACTTTTATTCAATAAATCAATCTGTAGAAATAAGGAAACCTTTCAGAACAGTGCAGAAATTCAAGATGAATCTACATCCATGGGGAAAGGAGAGATGGTTTTTGTAAGCCAAGAGTTCTACAAATAGAATTGCTAATCTGAATGTCTTCCATTAGCTCTCGATCTAATTACTGAAACAAAAAAAAAGCTAATGTTGCAACTGAATGCCAAGGCCAACAGATCCTTTTACGTCCATGTCTTTAAAACACTACTTGTAAGTTAAAACTCAATCTACTAAAAGTCTGCTTTTACTTACCCAATGAACTCGAGGAGTAGTGACATGTCAAGCTCTGGAGGGATACGGAAAACTGAGCCTACAACTTTACGGGGCCTCCCCCTGGCTATAGCAATTGGCTGTGGAACAGCTAGGATAGTAGAAGAAAAACAAAACTAGAAAGCAAAGAATCTATTTCCCACCTATAAGTATACATGATGAAATAACAAGTTACACGGATTCGTATCTTAGTTCAGAAATGCACTACCTAATTGCTATTGGGGCTATTTAAATGTTTTTCCTAACTCAAGAGGGACAACACTGTTTTTTCTCTGATTAATGTAGCATTTTGTTACAATTTTTTAACCCACATTTTCTTTCAACCCACTGGCCTGGTTCACATGACATGGTAAGCCAAACCATGCTTACATGGATTACAATTATTACATGAGCTGCTGGAGAAAGGAGCTTGCAACCACTTTGTTCCTTCCCAATCTTTTTTACTTCTGTGCTATGCTGAGCTAAGCCAAGGTTTGGCTTAGCATGTCATCAAAACTGGGCCTTTTGTTTTAGATCTTATCTTACTAAACCACAAGCTATAGCCAAGAACCTATAGTTAACACAATGCAAGTAGCTGTTACAAGGAAGATGGAGCGAGCTTGCTTTCTTCTGCTCTGGAGGCTAGGACCTGAACCATTGGATTCAAATTACAAGAAAGGAGATTCCGACTAAACATCAGGAAGAACTTTCTGCCAGTAAGACCTGTTTGACAGTGGAACAGTCTTTCTTGGAACTCTCCTTCCTTGGAGGTTTTTTAACAGAGGTTGGCTGGCCATCCACCTGTCATGGATGCTTTAGTTGAGATTCCTGTATTACAGGGAGTTGGACTAGACTCTCAGGGTCCCTTCCAACTCTACAATTCTGATTCTATGATACAGCATGAGCACAATTCTCTGCCATTTTAACAAGAATCACTGTTAACTTAGTAACTGGATGCAAGTATTCTCCTATATTAGATGAATTTGGACAGGCCTTGATGTTGTCACAAATGCACAGGAAGCGTTCATAAGCAATGGATATCCCAAATTCCCAAAAGGTGCCACAGACAAGAAAGTGGCCACAATTGCTATGATGGTCTGATCTTATCATATTTATTGTGCTGTGCATGCATGATCTAGTAACATCCCTTCTCTACTCTTCACTCTATTTTGAGCCTTAAAAACCCTAGCTGTCTTTCACAGACATGAACAAAATCACTACAGAATTCTTCCTAGCAAAAAATGCTGACTACATAATTCATTTGTGAATATCACAACTCTAAACTGCCCTGCTGTCTTATAGCACATTAATAAGAGAATCTTTAAGCTAGTTGATTAAGCTTAATAATTCTCTTGTGGGGCAGATAAGTTACTATTATTTTCATCTGAGGGGGAGAGAGAAAACATTAAACAGCTTAATCAGGTTCAATGAACAATGAGAATTCTATCAGTCAATCATCTGTCATCCTTCTAAATACTGTACCAATTGCACTGTCCAACTTGGAACATGTTTCATGATTGTACCCATGGAACATCCCCTAGCATCAGCCTGACCATATCTGTGGTTAGAAAGCTGAACTATCTGATCCACTGGAATAAAGTGGCATGACACTTCTTACACACATATTTTTAAATAGCAATGCTGCTACTATAGTTGTTATAAAAACTTACCAGGCTTAGGTATTTCCAAACCTCTCTCTCGGTAGAAATCATGCATTTGCTTTTTCTCTCCTAAAAATATGCAATACAAAATATTTGGGTTTGCTCCACATAGAAAATACAATGCATAGATGTGTGCAGAATCCGTGGCTCTCAGTATGTTGTTGGGCTCCAACCCCCTCCGGCTCCAGCCAGGAAGGCGAACTATCAGGGATGATGGGAGTTGTAGTTCAACAACAGCTGGAGAGCACAGGTTCCCCCAACCCCAGTATAGATATATTTTCCTCAAACTAGTTGGTTAGAGATACAAAACATGCTAACTAAAGAAACCACCATTATCATTCAGCAGGATTTTTAATACATTTATAGTATTGTGTCATCTAAAGAGTCTTAAGTCAGCAAAAAGAGAGGAAAAGTATTAAAACAGCAGCAGTTAAGATACATAAGGTAAAGGTAAAGGGACCCCTGACTGTTAGGTCCAGTCGTGGACGACTTTGGGGTTGCAGCGCTCATCTCGCTTTACTGGCCAAGGGAGCCGGCGTACAGCTTCCGGGTCATGTGGCCAGCATGACTAAGCCACTTCTGGCGAACCAGAGCAGCACATGGAAATGCCATTTACCTTCCCGCTGGAGCAGTACCTATTTATCTACTTGCACTTTGACGTGCTTTCGAACTGCTAGGTTGGCAAGAGCAGGGACCGAGCAATGGGAGGTCACCCCATTGAAGATTTGAACCGCCGACCTTCTGATCGGCAAGCCCTAGGCTCTGTGGTTTAATATGAGATCTGAAATGCCCAATGCATTCTTCAAGGTAATTACATCTTAAAATGTATATTAACACAATTCTAAGGCTTTGATTTTCCCCACCATCAACACCTCTTAGCTTATTGGTGCTATCCCTCTCCCTTTCTGCATTCAAAAGGCAAGAGTTTGGTATTGCACAAAGCACTATTTGGCATTCATAAATTTAACTTGTCCCACTGGCACTGATTATGGTAGTTAAGCTGTGAGCACACTGGTCTACAAATGGCAGGTACAGTATGCATTAATGAATTCAGTGAGAAGTTTTAGGGCCTTAAAAATATTAAAAAGATTCAGCAAGCCTTGACTTGATCCAGAGCTGACATTAAAAAAAGGATATAAATATTAAACTTTAATGAAACTGAAACTTATTATGCAAGTGATCCCCCCTCCCCCCCAGCTTTTCTGTTTCTTAAATGTATTATTTTCAAGGCATGTGGAATGTTTTGACAAAGACTTTGAGGAAGGAAAAAACAAAAAGTATGGAAATAGAGACTACATGGGCTCTAGAAAGCAGCCACTAAATGACAGTGACCAGTAGGGGCAAATGGAAAGGAAGAGTGAAAAGGAAGGAGTCCCTGGTGGAAAAGGAACTATGCAGGTCAAAGAAACCAGCACTAGTAGGAATCAGACTCCTTTGTCCAGCCACTGTTCACAATATTTAAAGTTCTTCTCCACAACCAAAATGCCTACAAACCTTATAAAATGAAAGCTGAGGATCTCAGATGGTTGTATGACAAACTACATGGCAGGGTTCATGCTTCTGCAGTCACAGAAAACAGACACAGCCCTTATATCAAGAACCAAGGCAATTTAGGAATTATCACCTAATTCACAGCTAACACATTCTCTGGTGAATCTTATCTTTAATTTTTATAAATAGCACTAGGCTCAAAATAAAAGACTTACTTTCTTCCAAGCTAACAACTAATTTATACACTATGTCTTGCAACTGTCGATCCAGCCTGTGGAAGTAGAATAAAAAGATTAATTAAATTAGTGATTGAATATGGGTTGTGGTAGTGAACTGGTGAAGAGCCACAGGAGAAGAACTAGAAGCTATTTTCAATGGCATACCTAGATTTGCAGGTTTCCCTATCTTGAGAAAGATTTGAGGTTCAAGCCAAAATATCTCAATTACAAAAGCAACTTTACAACTATCTTTGAAGCAACGCACTGGTGCACCAGAGGAGATAAGAAGTCTCAAACAACCCTTGTGTGGGAAAGTTTCAAGACCAGCGAGGCAAATCTTTTGGATATGCAAAACTTTTGTTGGTAAACAATAAAGGGAATTAAGAATTGTGTGAGGTGCTAGACCTTTTATGAGACAGCAACGTTTCCCTCCAGTGCATATAGCAAGTTAGAAGTATTTTTCAAGTTCCACTAATATATTTTAGTCAAAAATAGAAATATCAGTATTATCTGAAAACCATTGCTTCTTTTACATACACACACACAAAATATAGATAAACAATTATAATTAAAATATATTACCTGATATTATAAAGGGGTTGCGTCTGATGTACTACAATGTTGCATTTTGGGCATCTGTTACTGTAGTAAAAATGTCTTACTATGCAGCTTTTACAGACTGTAGAAGATAAATTTTGCAGTTACAGGCCTATAATGTAGTAGTATACAAGTTCCAAAGATAATACAGAATATATAGCATGTGTCACCTAAAATGCGGAGCAACTGTAGAAATAAAATGTGTGTGTGTGGAGGATAAAAACTTTGCATACGTTTTTCAATCGATTTCTGCCCTACTTTTCAATACAAAATTTCAAAGGCTTACTAAAATCTTACTGAAAAAAGTTATTAAGAATAAGTCTTGAATAGCGGTATGCAATATGCATTTACTTGATATTAATCTCTCCCTTTTCATACTGAAGGATCCACAACATGTTTACATAAAATAATACAATTTTTATTAAGGCTGATTCTAGGTCAGGCATAGGCAAACTTGGCCCTCCAGATATTTTGGGACTACAATTCCCATCATCCCTGACCACTGATACCGTTAGCTAGGGATGATGGGAGTTGTAGTCCCAAAACATCTGGAGGGCTGAGTTTGCCTATGTTTGTTCTAGCTGCTCCAACTCCCAATGCTACTCTGAGGTGGTATATAACCCTCTCCCTCAAGTTACTGCAACTCTTCCCACTGTCTTTTATCCCTCTTACTTTCCCAGCTGCTGCAAACGGAATGGTCTGTTGCCTGGCTGGGCACTCCTTATTCCTTTCACTGTCAAAATGCAGATCATCTCACAGTCCAAGAACCGAAAGGGAGGAGCCAGGTGCAGCAGCTGCACCTAAAGCAAGCGACTTTGAGGTAGAACATGTGCTTTCGGGCAGAAAGCCCTGGGTTCAATCTTTTGCATCTATATTGTGTGCGTGTGTTTAGGATCAAATACCAGAGCATGTGAAACACCTCTACCAGAACTTAGAAAGCCGCTGTCAGGCAGAGTAGATAAACAAATACTCTGCCCCGATTAAAGGCAACTTCCTAGGTTCCTAACCAGCAGGCAATATGAAGACTCTGGGCTGGGCAAGTATGGAATAAATACAAGGAAAACTACTATTTCTTGGTCTGCACAGCAGTAACATCTGTGTGCGGTACCTCAGGCTTCAGCTGTCACCCAATGACTCCAGGGATTTTGGATTACAGAACACACTCCAGATCTGCATCTGGTCATCTACAGCCTAGCCATGACAATCAGGTTAAGGAGCAGCAGAAGCTGAGGTCAGGGTAGAAGTAGAAGAAAATGTGCTAAGATCTATTCAGGAAGCTGAATATGAAAGGCAAATAAAGGAATGGTTTATTTTAATTTATTTCAGAACATGATCATGGAGAATTTTGGGGTGGGGGTAGTATAATCCAAGACATACTGTAGATGGATTGTTTAAAATTTCCAGGACCCTCTTAAAGGCATCCACCTCCATGGAGTTACCACAATTAATACAACATTGTTTTACATTATCACCAAAATGTACTTAGGCTTGATATTTCTGCATAGATAATGTCAAAGCTTCTGTTGAGTAAGAAATTAATATTAGTACTTACATGTATGAAGGCACTCTGTGATGGTTGTGGCATCTATGAAGTACCCTTTGCAGATAGAACACATTATATATGGTGTCAGCTCAGAGAGGTTAATCATGCGCTGCAAACGTGAAAAAAGGAGGGAAATAGCAATTTTTAAAGTTTTGCTTGTTACCAATACAAAGATGTTTATTGTTTGATTAAAACACAGTATTAGAAGTGAAGTGGGGATTTTCCTGAACATGGTCTTTTTAATTTTGTTGTGAACTGCTTTGGGAACCATTTGAGTGAAAGCATATGTAAACATATAGAATAAATAAAATTAAGAGCATAAGAAGAGCTTCCTGGAACAGGCCAATGGCTCATCTTGTCCAGTATCCTGTTATCACAGATGCTCATGGGAAACCTGCAAGCAGAACCTGAGCATCAGAACATTCTCCCTTCCTGCAGTTTCCTGCAACTGGTATTCAGAAACATTACTGTCTCTAGCCATGGGAGATGGTGAGGAATATTTCACTGGGGACACACAAAAGATGTCACATTGTGAGAAAACACAGAGCAAGCAAAACGTATATAGGAAAGGGTCTTAAACTCTGCAGTAGGTCATCTGCTTTGCATGCAGAAAATCACAGTTCAATCCTCGACATCTCTAGGGAGACCATTGCTCAAAACTCTGAAGAGTTGCTGCCAGTCAGTGTGCACAATATTGAGCTAAATGTACCAATGGTCTGACTTGGTATAAGGAAGCTTCCTATGTTCCTGATCCCACCTTTCCCAAGGAACTCACAGGGGAAGATTAGGTAAGAGAAAGAAGCCCAAGGAAAGTCAAAGCTGAGCAAGCATCTGAATCTGAAATCCCTACCCAGCTCTCCAGCCACTGCACCACATTGGCTATATTTGGCACAGGGCATCATAGGAAGCGGTGTTTACATATTTATATCCCCATCCTTTCATCAGTGAGTTCCAGGAAAAAGTATATGTGTTGCCTGCTCCCACTTTCATCTTCACAACAAGCCTGTGAGGTAGGCTAGGCTGATAGATGGTGATCGATCCAAGGCCACGCAACGAGCTTCCCAGCGGAGGGAGGATTTGAACCTGCTTCTTCTCCATCCTAGTCCGACGGAATCTCACCCCATGGTGTCTGCTTCACCCAAGGGTGCCCCTGTGCTCCCCCTTAAGCGCACTGCCTCTTGTTTTACCTCATCCTCATCTTCGCCTTCCTCCATCCCAAAGCCCCCGAAAGGGTCCGTGGACCCCCCTCCTAGAGCTGCTGCTGCTGCTTCTTCCTCCACCTCTTCTTCCTCTTCCTCTTCCTCCTCCTCCTCCATCTCTTCGTTGCTGGACTCTGAGCGGCTTCCCGCTTCGAAGCGGGAGTTTTCCCCGGAGCAGCCCGGGGCTTCCAGACCCGCTATCGCTGCTTCATCGTCGACGTCCTCCTGCTCTCCCTCGCCCAGCCCCTCACCGGCCGCCTCCACCTCTTCGCTCATCGCCGCGCCTTTGAGGGAAACAAATGCACGGGCCGCTTCGACCGACAAGGAGCAACCGAGGAAGTACCTGGGGGGCGGCGAGGGCGAACGCAGTTCACACCCAAAGGAGCTATTCCTGTCCTTTCTTTCCTATCTCTATGATCCTTCCCTAAACGTGACTACAGCTTCAAGGCGCGTGCGCAAAGCCCTATTGGCGCGCACGCTTCTAGGGCATCTGCCTCGTTCACATACAACCCCTATGTACTCTGGGAAACTGAGTTTTTTCTCTCTCTCGCAACGGTGAGCCAGTACTCAAGGTGGTTTTTTTATCTGTAAGCCGCCTTGAGTTCCAGTTGCGGGAAAAGGCGGGGTACAAATAAATATATAACAACGACATCAATACAGCAGCACTTGGTCTTAAAACTGAATTTTGATTCCTATTGTAATAAAATACATAAAATGGTTTTCTTAAACTTAACGCTGGCTACTGCTTAATAGCAGTTTTGCTTAGACAATTGAAATGGGTGCATAGTGAAATCATTCTGATGCCAGTGTTGGTGAAAGGGTCAGTATTTAGTGCTTGTACAACATCATTATTGTTACATATTTGACTTTTTGGTCACTCGCTAGGAAAAATCTATGCAATTTACAGAAGGGGATTATATAATATCCCGAGGTTCAGCTAAATAAATTTAAAAATAGCCAACACGTTGCTTAGAATTGGCTTTTAAGTGTGTGAGGGTGCAGAAGACAGAAATACACCACCATTCGAGTGTCACAGAACTCTCTCAAAGACATCTCAGAATCCTGCTTACTGATGAGTTCACTGTCAACTTAAAATGTGGTATACGACACACTTTTCACCTGTTATACAGGATATATACAACTGGAGAATCGACCCCTCTGTGCAAGCCGCATCCATAACCTCTCATTTCACAAACTTGTAAACGGTCGCAGAATCATCGGGAGCATTTACTTGCGCTAGCTAGTTCTCCTTTTATTTTACAGTATTTTATTTGAAATCATTTCCCTCCAATGGAACAGGAAGTGCCGTAAAGCGCCGCCCTAATTGTCGCTAGCAGCCCTTGGCCTCACGGCTGGAGACCGTGCCCTCACTGTCGCAAAGCCGCGGGCTGCCTGAGTTGGAGGCGAGGCTGTCGGGTTCCATTATGGCGGCTCTGCCGGAGGAGCCGGCCGAAGCAGTCACAGTGAAGCCGGACCCCGACGCGGGAGCGCCGCCGGCGCCACCCCCTCCTCCTCCCGCTCTCCCTCAGTCGCCGGCAGCAGCAGCGGGAGCGACGGCGGCAGCGGGAGTCGCTGCCGCTCCCTCTGCCCCCTCGGCCGCCGCTCCTCTAGCGGAAGGGGGCGAGCCGTTGGCGGCAGGAGCCGACGCGAAGCCGCCGGTGGCGCCCAGCCCTGCGCCGCCCGCTTCGCAGCTGCCCACCGACCGGCAGACGCTGCTGGCTGTGCTGCAGTTCCTGAGGCGCAGCAACCTCCGCGAGTCCGAGGAGATCCTCCGCAGGGAGGCCCGGCTGCTCGCTGACGAGGTCGCGGCGGATCCCGGCTCCTCGGCGCCCGGAGTCCAGGCGTCCCATGGCGGGGAAGGGCAGGAGCCCGGCGGCGGCGCCCCCGGCTCTGGGGATGTGCTGCTCAGCTCGGTCACCTTTGGCCAGAGCGGGGCCACCATCTCTCCGGGCGCTGCCGCGGCGCCTCCCGCAGTGGCCTTGGGGCCACCTGGGAAAGGTGAGCGAGGGGGTCGCTCGCAGGAGGGACCTTTCATATTTGCACTGGCTGCTTTGTGACAGCTGAGGTCAAAATCCAGTTTTTAAATTCGCATGCTGTTCTACGTTGTGGTCACCTAGTGCTATTGCACAGGATTCGTTCTGCGAATGGTAATGACTTGACCAATTTATCTGTTTAGGGAAGCTTTTAATGTTTGACAGACTATTGTATTTTAATATTTTGTTGGAAGCTGTTCAGAGGGGCTGGGGAAACCCATCCAGATGGGCAGGGTATAAATAAATTATTTATTTATTATTATTATTATTATTATTATATTGGAGTACATATTACTGTGCGGGAGGCAACGGAAGACAGGAGTGCCTGGCATTCTCTGGTCCATGGGGTCATGAAGAGTCGGACACGACTAAACGACTAAACAACAACGACATATTACTGCATACATAAACTTTTTTTTTGTTAATCGGCTTGCTCTTTTGGGGCACACCTATAAAGCTGTTGTTTATATTTTTTTTCTCCCAAGCAATCAAAGTTAAAGTCTACAATAAAACTAGATTTAAAACCAAGCTGTTGTTTATATTTTTAGTCTCCCAAGCAATCAACGTTAAAGTCTACAATAAAACTAGATTTAAAACCACACATAATATAGAAGGAATACAAAGTGTAAGCTACAGCTTCAGTTTCAAAATAACTAGGTGAGAGACTTAGTTATCACCTTTTATAACTACATTTTGGGAAGTAGTATAATAGGAGGAATTGACGCCACTAATAGAATATTCTGTAGAGCAGAACTCCCATCAGCCTTAACTAGCATGACCAATGGCGTGGGATGATAGGAGTTGTAGGTAAGGGGCTATACTGACTGCATAACCTGCTTATGAATGATATTTGATCCTGGATTGTAATAGTACAATTGAGCTTGGGGTATGATTGAATGATGTCAATTTTTCATGTAAACATTTAGTTGAAAAGAAATTTGTTGCAGCATGTTTCTTAGTCATTTTCTCTGTGTCATTACTTATTAAAAGTGATAAAAATAGCACTGTTGCTGTACATGAAAATTTATGCAGCAGTATAAAGGGGAAAGAGGTTATTGTCTCAAGAAGCTTACACAGTTTAGAGCTGAAATAGTTACAGAGAGTGCAAACATTGATTTACCCTTTATATGTTAATGCCTTGCAGTTGGAGTCTTTGTGGAAGATCAGCCAGATGTAAGTGCAGTACTGTCTGCCTACAATCAGCAAGGAGACCCAGCGCTTTATGAAGAGTACTACAGTGGACTGAAACACTTCATTGAATGTGCTCTGGACTGTCATCGAGCTGAGTTATCGCAGCTTTTTTATCCTCTCTTTGTACATATGTACTTGGAGCTAGTCTACAATGGGCATGAAAATGAAGCAAAGTCCTTCTTTGAAAAGTAATACCATTTTGTTCATTTAGCCTCCATTTTCATGTCCTCACTATTAGCTAGATAAATCTATAAATTTGTTGGTTGCAGATGTTCACAGTTAAAGTGTGTGAACTGGAAGTAGAGTCTGTAACATTTACACTAAGGCAGGCATCCAGAGGAGGAACAAAATAATCCTGAGATGCTGAAAGATTTTTAAGCCCCTCTCCTGGCAGTTAGGTCTTTCCTGCAAGTGTGGGCTACTGGATGCCTGCAACCACAAAATGTATGCAGTATTTTAGGAGGATATTTATAGATGCCATATAACATGACTTAAGACATTCCCAGTTATTACATAGATTATTGCATTCCAATGACTAATTATTATTCTTATGAGGCAGCTTTTGTTTATGTGTGTGCTAATTTGTTTAATTATGAGGTTAAATGCCAGTTCTAGTGATGTCTGTAAAGTTCGGAAACTTCTAGGCCTGAACCATTTGATAACATTGCTCATTTCAATGACTTAAGGGAGTTGAACCAATGAAATATTCTGCATTGTCTCCTGTTATGGGCAGCAAGCGAATACATACATGGCCTCTTCAGAGGAAATTTACCTGTGCCCAAGGCTGGAAAATCCTAGGTATTTGGTACTTGAATTCCTAAACATTTATGTGGTTACTTAGGAATCTGAAATGTTTTTTCCAGCCTTGTCCATTCTGGTTTTATGAGCTAATACAAAAGGTTGCTGCTTGTAAAAGCTAGCTATTTCTCACAGCACCTGTGCTTCTGTGCTTTAGAATTGTGGATTTCTTCTGGTATAATGAACTATGTTGTATGGGTTTACCTTGAAAGTCAAGTAGTTTATTAAATTACTGCTATTTCAAGATGTTCTGCTAGACTGACTGCACCAGCAATTGATTGAGAAAGATCTGGGACATTAAGGGTGACGTAGAATGATGTCCGCTTGCTTGTGCAACAGGACTTAGTTTTTCTTCTCCTCAGCCTCCAGAGCAGATTTTGGAGGGGGGGGCGGAGAAGAGACAGGCAGATGTAGACGAGGAAGAAGCACCCACTTGCACTATGCTGGATCTCACCCTTAGATAATCAAAGAAATTACGAGATAAAAGCAGTTATGGGAGCGAAAAATTCAATTGAAATGAATTTTTAACATAACTGAACTATTGATAAAACATAATTTTTAGATACATTAAATATAAGATGGTGATAGTACATAGATGTCATGTGCGAATATAGAAAAAAAAAAAATGTGTTCTGCTGAAGATCACAGAACTTAAGTTGTTTAGACAGTTGTCCCCCTATACATCTTTTGTATGATTCTAACCTTTTTCTAGGTTTCATGGAGATCAGGAGTGTTATTATCAAGATGACTTGCGTGTACTATCAAGTTTAACCAAAAAAGAGCACATGAGAGGGAATGAGACAATGCTGGATTTTCGAACGAGCAAGTTTGTGCTGCGAATTTCCCGAGATTCTTATCAGCTATTGAAGAGACACCTTCAGGAAAAACAGAACAATCAGATCTGGAATATTGTTCAGGAACATCTTTACATTGATATCTTTGATGGAATGCCTCGCAGTAAACAACAGATTGATGCTATGGTGGGAAGTTTGGCAGGAGAGGCAAAACGGGAGGCTAATAAAGCAAAGGTATGAGGTTAATAAATACGTAACATCATGAACATTTTGTCAGGGATGTATAGGTTGTCAGTTCTATGAGAGTTCTTGGCTTCTTTAGATCTGCAGTTGGTTTAACAGTGTATGCTTCTGGATAAGGAAGAATTAGCTAAGCACTCTTACTTATCATTACTCCTGACTGCAGCTCCTTGTGCTAAACTGGATGTTGTTCTGGATAGATCTCCAATTTTCCAAAGCAGTTTAAATTTATGTGCCCCTTACTTGCCAAAATGGCAAGTATCTCTCTGACCATTGTCATGGCATTAGAGATGACTTACATCGGATGTTTTCATATATTCTGCCATTGTTCAATATACGATACAGAAAGGCTAAGGAGTTACATTTGTCACTGACATCTGTGGCAGATTAGTGGTCCAGTTTACATGTCATGTTAAAGCACAGTTAAAACTTAACTTTTTTTTTTATAAGATATTTATTAAGATTTTCAAGATATTACAAAATAAAAATAGAAAAAAGAAAAACACAAAATAAAAATAGTTAAAAACAACTCAGTCTTTCCATTACTTATTTTTCATTAGCTTGTTTCCCGGACCTCCTCACGCCTCCCTTTTTTGTATTCCAGTTCGGTTTGTTGGTTCAGCAAATCCTTCCCCTCTTTGTTTATCCTAATCATTAATCTTAAAATATTGTAACATTAAATTTTTACCTGTTAGTAATCCATTTTACATATTCCCTTATAGTATTGCAGCTAAAAACCACTTAATTTCTATCCAACATCATTCTAACATTCATTAATTTTACAATATTTCTGTAAATAATCTTTAAATTTCTTCCAATCTTCTTCCACCGACTCTTCTCCCTGGTCCCGGATTCTGCCAGTCATTTCCGCCAGTTCCATATAGTCAATCACCTTCATCTGCCATTCTTCCAGAGTGGGTAGATCTTGTGTCTTCCAATACTTTGCAATGAGTATTCTTGCTGCTGTTTAAAACTTAACTATTGTTCCCACCCCCCAATTACTTGAAAATTGCTGAGAATTTTGGTGGACCACTCTTCATGGAGATGTATGTCTTAAATGAAAGCTGTTGTGGTCCACAGAGAAACATTCATATTTTAAAAAGTAATTACATTGATCTAATAAAATTTATTATTCTGCTCTACCAGTTCTCTGTTTCATTAAACTTTTCTTTTTTTAATTACATGACTCTTTTCTTCTTTTGGCTTGTAGGTCTTTTTTGGCTTATTAAAAGAACCAGAAATTGAGTTGCCTTTGGATGATGAAGATGAAGAGGGGGAAAATGAGGAGGGCAAGCCAAAGAAGAAGAAGCCAAAAAAAGACAGCATGGGATCAAAAAGTAAAAAGCAAGATCCAAATGCTCCTCCACAGACTAGGTAATGCTGAAAGTAGAAACATCTCAATTCATTTTCCATCTTGCTTTTTTAGTTTGCGCCAGTTCAAACTGAAGTGGGCAGCTGACATTGCTGAATAGAAAACTAGATATCACAGAAAAGGTTTCTACCCCAGTCTTTTACCTGACATCTAGCTTTGTGTGTGGAAGGTTGGCTTTTTTTCCTTCTGCATGGAGGAGCATTCAGTCATGTGAGCCCTCGTGCATTCTGATGTGATACAGAGCAAAGGAAAGTTTACCATCTAGGAACTAGACTATAGTCTATATTTTGATACGCATTTTCTCAGTTAATTTGATTCTTAAAAAACGTTTTGGAGGTTCTCTTTCTATTAGGATAGGGGTCAGCAAACTTTTTCAGCAGGGGGCCAGTCCACTGTCCCTCATACCTTGTGGGGGGCTGGACTATATTTTTTGTGTGGGGGGGGAAATGAATGAATTCCTGTGCCCCACAAATAACCCAGAGATGCATTTTAAATAAAAGCACACATTCTACTCATGTAAAAACATGCTGATTCCCAGACTGTCCATGGGCCAGATTTAGAAGGTGATTGGGCTGCATCCGGCCCCTGGGCCTTAGTTTGACTACCCATGTATTAGGAGATGCATTGCACTGATGTAAAAAGCTTGTATCATTTGAAGGAAAACCTTCCTCTATGAATATGGAGGCGTACGTAAAAGTAACTTCCCTTATATTGTAAAAGAATTGGTAGAGTTAGGATTTTCCTAATTTTGTCATCTTTTAGTTATTACTACTCAAGGAGCTTGTTCTCTGGGTTCTTCCCAGACATTCAAAAGTTGAGTTCTTTTTCGGCCTCTGTTCAGTCAGTGTGCAGGTGTGATTTCCTGACATCAATGAATCTTTTGTTTCGTTTTTGGTTTTAAGTATGTTCTTCTGTATACAGAATCCCGCTTCCTGAGCTAAAGGATTCGGATAAGTTGGACAAAATAATGAATATGAAAGAAGCCACTAAACGTGTACGTCTTGGTCCAGACTGCCTGCCTTCCATTTGTTTCTACACATTCCTTAATGCATACCAGGTCAGTTGTGGGATTGGTAGTGATACCAAAGTATGACATTAGGCGGAGGGCAACTGGAGGTGGCTTTGCCAAAATGGCCTCAACCAAACGGGGGAGGTCTGGTGAGCTTAATTCTCCACTCCTTGTCTATAGCAGTGGCTCCCCAGTTTCAGACCATTCTCTCCCTGCCCTACCTGCAGGTGTTGAGGGTTAAACTTGGCATGCAAAATATATTCTGTATAATCCAGCCCTTCCCAGATACCTGTTCTATCAAATCTTGGCAAAGTTTAAAAAATGGATTGCGCCCTGACTTTGAATGAGTGGGACGCTGCTTGCCCAGTGCGGTTTTTCATCCTCTTTCCTCTGGCCCTCAGGACAGCTGTGGAACTAAGTGTTGTGGGCTGCAATGGGAGATGGAAGCATAAGAAATTGGACAGAGACAACTTGCCTAATGCAGAGCTGGAAGGCCACTCGTTGTAGTCAGGATACAACACATAATTAATACCAAAAATGTGGAAGTGCCTTGTGCAGGCTGCTTAAATAATAGGGGGCTGCAAATCTTTTACTTTTAATGATGGCTTGTGGTTGCCCCACATGAAGCAAGATTCCTTCCCTTCTCTGCTTTTCACTTATTGAACAAAACATGGGCAGGAAGGCTTTGTCTTACTTCAGGTTGGGAGGCAGAGATGGACAGCAAGGGAGTCTCACTATTTCGAGTGTCTCCAAATCCTGGTGTAAAGTGGAAAATTAACCTCTTCCCCTTCTTTCAAGTCCTCTGCATTTGCCAGAGGACTCAGGAGGGTTGGGTAAATGGTGACTACAAAAAATCAGTGCCAGCCAAAAGGTGGATCCTTTCTTTAAAAACAAAAAACTTCTGCCCCGGGTTAAGCAACATTTGCTTTGCATTTTTTTTTTTTAATGGCTATACAGTATAGTTAATTTTGTAATATGGTAATTCTCACCTGTGTGTTCAAAACTAATGGTAGATGGCCAATTCTCGGGGAACAACACTGTGTGGTGATTACATTCCCATATATAAAACTTATTCAATGGTGATTTTTGCATGAACAGGGCCTTACAGCAGTGGACATTACAGATGACTCTAGCATGATCGTTGGAGGCTTTGCTGACTCCACTGTCAGAGTGTGGTCTGTGACACCCAAAAAGCTACGCAGTGTGAAATCAGCAGCAGGTAATCAGAATGAACTCTCGTCCTAATTTACACACTAACTGTTCAGATAGAGGATCACATGGAGGAAGGTTGCTCAGTTTAAATCCTTCCTTTGGAATAGCAATCCTGAGCTAATGAAATGAAATTATTTTGACTTAATGCATCACAGCTTTAGCATTCATATGTATTTAACTGCTGACAATAGAACCTACCCAAATTAAGACAAATTGTTTTTGCATATAACTACTGACATCAGGGGAAAAACTATACATAAGGATCAATGCTCTATTTAGGGAAGATGTTGTGATACTTTGGAAATGAGACAATGTTTATTTTGTGTTATTGTACTTCCTTATTGTAGAGTACTGTGTTTTTGCTAAGGAAGATATGCTAATGCAGAGATTTTAAAAATCAAGTGGTTCCAGGAATGGAGCAGAAAATACAATTGAAAGTGTTCAGGCCTGTCAGCCTAGCAAAATGGTTGCCAGTGGTACTCTGGCATAAGCATCACAGATTTCAGATTTCAATGAAGGCCTTTCCCAACCAGATGCCCATCAGATATTTGGGACTGTAGCTTGCTTCAGGCATAGCCAGCACATCTCTGTTGGCTGGAGCTGATGGAGGTTATAGACAAACACATTTTGAGGGCATCTTGATCTGTATCATTGAAATTGACAGAAAATCATGACTTAGGCCATGGTGGTATTCTGATACAATCAAAAAGGCATTTGCACTTTGGCAAGCACTACTAGCGATCTACATGAAGATAAACTTTAGGGTTTTTTCTTTTCAGATCTCAGTCTCATAGATAAAGAATCAGATGATGTTTTAGAAAGGATCATGGATGAGAGAACAGCAAGTGAGTTGAAGATTTTATATGGTCACAGTGGACCTGTCTATGGTACCAGCTTCAGTCCTGATAGGTAAAACAATAGTTATTTGTGGGGGGATCTCTTAATACAGTATTCTTTAAGCAGAGTATCCACACTTACAAAAAGTATTTTTCTGGAGACTTTTGTACAGTTTGAGTGTACCACCTCAGGATAGATGAATGAGACCTGATCCCATGGACTATGTAATTTATGTTGAGCATCAGAAGGAACCTCATGAGCTAGAAGCCTCAAACTGCTACAGGCAGTGGCCATTTTAGGCATGTCCAGTTAACATGTGATTGCCAACATATGAGTCCTTTTGGACCTGGAAGAGAACGGAACGAGAGGTGTGGCACGCTTATGTACACTCAACCAAAGCATGCAGAGGCCAGGAACAGAACCCCCACACGAAATGTTCCGTCTGTACTAGCATATTTTTAATCTGAAGGTCCCATCCTTCAGATGAGCTATGTACAATATCAAAAAGCTTAGAATTGAAACAGTACTGCACAATTGTTGTTTACAAAAGTGCAGTGGGTTAAGCCAATGTCCACTTAATATCTATGAATCTCAAACCCACCTCTAGCTATAGTCCCTGAAATGTTTTTGTGTATTGGACAATGAAATATATACCTGTCAAAATAATGGTTTTATTTCTTTAAAGCATGATCAAGCTTTCTTAGATGCAGGAGGCTTTTCACATATTTTAAACTAGTAAATTATATATGGGGCAATAGATCTTCACATGTACATGAATAGATGAGTGTTCTATATTTCATATTATATCACTGTTTTAAAAATATTGTATGGAAAACATGAATATGAAATAACTTCTAAGAAACAAGGGGGATAACATTCTGAAGAGCATGTTTTAAAGTGGGCAGCATCCCATGTTGCGTGAGTGGACTTGAGCTCATGTAATTGGGCTTCAGCTACCTTACCCTTCCCTCCAAAACCCCTCCATCATCTCTGGACAATCCTGTAATTCTCCAGAGCAGTTTGAGGGTGTGTGGAGGGTGGGGGCTACAGGCAATGTTGGATACAACCTAGTAGTTTATAATTTTGAGGTTATATTGTTAAATTTTAATTCTTAAAAACAAATCAGGCGTCAGCCAAGCATCAAACAGTAACCAATCAATGTGATGGCTAAGAGGATGTAAACATAAGAAATCCTTAGTTCCTGTGTCATCTCAGCTGTGATCTTCTTCTTTTAGCTTCTTAAATGCAAAATGGGGATAATACTCTCCTGAAGTGTATTAAAAGCTTTGATGTCTTGAAATGTGTTATTGAGAGGTTTAAGATTGAGTATAGCTTTAAAAAATACCTTTTCTGATTTATTTTTTCTGTCAGGAACTACTTGCTATCATCTTCAGAGGATGGCACTATCAGACTGTGGAGCCTCTTAACCTTTTCTTGTCTAGTCGGATACAAAGGACACAACTACCCTATATGGGATACACAGTTCTCTCCCTATGGATATTACTTTATATCTGGAGGTCATGACAGAGTGGCTCGGTAAGAGTCAGCATGAGTTTCCCATCTCAATGTAAATCTGCAGTTCTGTCTTGTCAGTTGGTGACATCTCCTTGTTGCTGTCTGCTATATTTTAGGGCAAGGGTAGGGAACCTCTAACCCAAAGGCCAATCTTGGCCTGCAAGGTCCTTTCCCCCGAACAACACCCACTTGTATCTCAACAGATATCAGTGGGTGATATCAGCTGATGAAGGGGGGGCAGGGTTCAATCCTGCAAGGATCTGTTTTGCCACCGTGTTCCCTGTGGGGAACATGCTGGTGAAGCAGACTCCTTCAGCCAGTAGGACTGAACTCTTTGCTTATCAGCTGGTGAATGGAGAGTTCAGTCCTTATAGTTGTTGCTTTGCCAGTATGTTCCCAGCAGAATGGCACTGGTGAAGGAGACCCCTCCCCCTGCCTCAGATTAACTTTGATAGGTGAACCCACCTATCAGTCACCTGACATTAGATGATTGATGCCAAAGTTAACTTATTTTGTATATGGTATACGACCCTTCTCTTGCCAACCTAGCAGTTCGGAAGCACATCAAAGTGCAAGTAGATAAATAGGTACTACTCCGGTGGGAAGGTAAACGGTGTTTCCGTGCACTGCTCTGATTTGCCAGAAGCGGCTTAGTCATGCTGGCCACATGACCCGGAAGCTGTACGCTGGCTCCCTCGGCCAATAAAGCGAGATGAGCGCCGCAACCCCAGAGTTAGTCACGACTGGACCTAACGGTCAGGGGTCCCTTTACCTTTGCCTATACAACCCTTATATAAGACGACCCCTACTTTTTAAAACCCAAAATTAAGACATCAGGTTTTGGGGAGGACAACATGCAAAAACACACACCCCATTGCATGTCTGGCCTGCTGTGCCAAAAAGGTACCTCATCCTTGTTCTAGGATATATCCTATAAGACATTTGACTAAAAATAGTACTAACTGCCATTTAGGGTTTTTTATACTAGAGGGAGAATTAAATTTGCCCCCCCCAGCCCCCATCTCTCTTGATTCTTCAGCTTAGTTTGGAAGCACTTGTGAAGCACACATTCCCTTGCCTTCACGACATCAGCAGTCTTGTTATGTATTTCTTGTTTCGCATTTTTGAAATGTTCTTTGTACTGGTTTAAGCTTGTGGGCTACGGATCACTACCAGCCTTTGCGGATCTTTGCTGGCCATCTTGCTGATGTCACATCAACGCGTTTTCACCCAAACTCCAACTACGTTGCTACAGGCTCAGCAGATAGGACTGTGCGGCTGTGGGATGTCCTGAATGGGAATTGTGTCAGAATTTTCACAGGACATAAGGTAAATTAATGTGAGATTAACACTGAAATACATTAGTTGCGCAAAAATGGTAACAGGAGATGGCTGAAACCTTTGCACACAGTACTAGAAATTAGTTAAAAACTGACCTGTTGCTCAAAGTTTCCTTTTGAATAGATACTGTTTCTCCATAGGACCACAACCTATCTTTTAACTTCCCACTGGGAAGTAAGAGGTCACCTCAGAAGAGGTGGTGCAGAGTGCTCTGAAATGACATTATTTATTTGAAGGGTGCTTGCCAAGGCATACTGTTGACGGTTTTGTTTTTGGATTTTATATATAGGATTTTCTGTAGCTTTGAATTGTTATCATCTCTAGTGTAATTTACCTTGAGGCTTCTTGTAGAAGGTGATGCATAAGTGTTGTTGTTAATAGGCTTATTTTTGTTCCAGGGACCAGTTCATTCATTGGCATTTTCTCCTAACGGAAGATTCTTGGCAACTGGGGCAACAGATGGAAGAGTGCTTTTGTGGGATATTGGGCATGGTTTGATGGTTGGAGAATTAAAAGGACACACAGACACAGTCTACACACTCAGATTCAGTAGAGATGGAGAGATCTTAGCATCAGGTATTGAAGTCAATTTTGCTCTGTTTAGTGGAACAATACTATCATCTGGAATCATAGACTTGTCTCTATTTTGACATCTCAGTCTTCCATTTAGTGAGCAATTGTTAAAGCGTATTCATTTAATACTTTAATTTGCTAGCATTGTCTGTTAACTTGAAAAACTGAACCTAAAGGACAAGATGGTGCCACACCCAACTTTCCATGTATAGAAGCAGACATGACTTGCAAATGGTGAGGGGAGGTATCGTGTACTGCACCTGTGGGAAGCCAGATAGCTTGGGGGCTGCAGGAGAGGCCGCATGGCGCACAGCTTTGTCCATAAACACACTGCTTCTACACTGCATCCCCCAGCATCCACCACCTGAGGCTAATAGGCCAGGCCCGAACTTCCTTTTATGCAATTATATACCTTTTGAAGCAAAGCTACTATTTACCATATTTTTCGCTCTATAACATGCACCCGACCATAACACGCACGTAGTTTTTAGAGGAGGAAAATCCGTAGGCATGCCACCCGTAGGCATTCCCTCCATAACACGCACAGACATTTCCCCTTACTTTTTAGGAGGAAAAAAGTGAGTGTTATGGTGCAAAAAATACGGTATGTATTTACCAAAGTGGGCATGCTAAATTCGAGCAGGCTTTGCAGAATACTTTAAATATTTTTCCCCTCAGAATTTGGCTTTTTTTTTTTTAACCTATTATGAACAAGGTGTGGGTCTTTTTGAAAAAGTAAATGGGTTTAGAAGTTTTGCCTTCCTGCTTATTCATGCTCCCCCACTGTAATTTTATTAGCATCAGCCCCCAATCTATCCAGTGAAGGGATTTCATACTATATAATACAAATATAACTTAATTATAATTCCATTTATTTTTTACTATTACGAGGGTTTCAGCTTGTATCTTTTAAACTATAAATGGTGAGAGTGGGACCTGCATTTTCTGTCCTGTTACCAGAATTTTAGAAACATTGGGTCATATTCTACATAGTCCATGCATGAGTGAAATGGGTTCCGACTCATGCATTAGGACTTCCTCTCCTCCCTGCAAGCAGGTTGAAGGATCTTTGAAAAGGCTTTATCTTTGAAAGGCTATTAACTACTACAGAGTACTTAGCAGTGAATATAAGAAGTGATTAGTAGTTTTGTAGATTCTCAGCTTGAAGAATGGGTTGTGGTGTATAGCAGAAGTTTTTTCTTTATATTCAGAATTAAATGTTATGTCCTGTTAAATTAGAAGAGTTGTTTTCATCTTTCCTAGGTTCCATGGATAACACGGTAAAGCTATGGGATGCTGTGAAAGCCTTTGAGGACTTAGAAACAGATGATTTTACCACAGCCACTGGACATATAAACCTGCCTGAAAGCTCTCAAGACTTGCTGTTGGGTACATACATGTCCAAATCGACCCCTGTCACACATCTTCATTTTACCCGCAGAAATTTGCTTCTTGCCGCTGGAGCATACAGTCCTCAGTGAACTACCAAACTACAAGACTTGATTGTACAAGTCTCATGTATATCTTAGAATAACTTGAATTAATGAAGACCACAATGTACATATTATACAAATGAACTGAACTTGTCTGCCAGAACAAATGGTGCAAACTGATGATGATTCAAGCCACACCTTCAGAAACTGCTATTTTAAACCCCACCCCAACCCCAGTGTTAGTGCTGAGACATTGACATCATAAAAATAGGGGAAGAAACATATAATGTGGTATGGCTTTTTAAAAGAAGTAAACAGTATGTGGGAATACCTTGCTTAACCTTGTCCACAAAATGACAACAGGCACTACAAAACTGTAGTGCCAGTTGCATAAAGCAAAGTTGTTTGAACAACAATTTAAAAGCACTTAGTTTGGCATTAACACAGGTTTAATAAGTACCCAAAATTTTCTTTCGAAATAAGGTTTGTTCATATAAGTTCTTCAAGAGTGGAATTTGTCTCTATGGAGCTGTTACTTCTTTATAAAGATGTGAAGAGGCCTAAGTAGTTATCTGACTTATGTAAGTAACCTAGTTTCTTCAAAGCTGAAAAGCACAAATTGAACAAGATTGAACAGTTCTAAAACTTCAATTACCAGTAAGCGGCATTTTAGGAAACGCAAACAATACTTGAAACCTTTAAAACTGAATTTTTGCGTTCCTAACTATTTTGGATACAAAAAGTAGACCAACCTCCCACCACAAGAATCTTGATTCACCCCCCCTTAAGTATTTGCCAGGGGGAGAAATACTTTTTGAGCCCTTTCTATAATGACAAAGCATAAGTGTCATTTATGCTTTCTGTGAAAAATTGTGCCACAGCTATACACAATTTGTTGAAAACTAGTATGGATCCATTAGTTTAAAAACATACTGCCATGGTTTTGCATTATGTACAGTTTTATACTTTTGATATTTTATAATAAAATCTATTTTGTGCCTGTCTTTCAGTTTCATTTGCTCACAAGGGCCTTGTTTTTACCAGTCTGAACCTATATTCTGTAGTTCCAGCAAAAGCAGCCCTTGTACTACAAGCTTTTATCTTCAAAGACAGCAAATGAGAGAATCATGATTTTAAAGGGGGAAAAAGTGAGGCTGTTAAATACTACTTGTGGAAGACTTCCACTTACATAATTCCAGAAATGGTGTAATGCTTTGTCAAGTTTACAACTGGATTTTTAAAAGGGTTGTATGTATAGAAATCAGTGTTTCAGGGAAGCCAGTTAGTCACATCTTTAAAATGGGGGTGGGGAACCACAGGCCTGAAAGCCAAATGCAGTCATCTGGGCCTCTCTGCTTGCCCTTTGCAAGTCCTCTCAGGCCACAAGCCTACCACAGCCATATTCTAGTGGCTGTGCTTTGTACTCTTGAACAATGCCTCTTTTTATTCCCTGGATGGAGGCTAGAGGGATGTGTGTAGAAATTAGCAAACTGTACAAAAGTAAAAATTGCATTTTTGACTCTGCTCACTACTAGCCTCTAGGTGACTGATCAGAACATTTGTCCATCAGAAGGGGCCTGCAGGTCACTGGAAGTACATCATCTGGGATGAAATGTATATGCAGCATCATAAACGATGTTTCCTAAGAGGCAAACGGCAGAAAGTGGTGGAATTTAGGCCTGGTTTGAGTCTCAACACTAAATTATGTTTTTGCATTACATAAATAAGCAAGCCACTTCCTGCAGGACTGCAAGATTAGAAGCTTCCCTTTCTACTTTCAATTTAATTACAGGTACTGTTACATTTGAAGCCTAAACAGTAGTTAATCTTTGCTAGTAGTAAACCATTAAGACTGCCCATTTTGTCTCCATTTGGACATAATAAACCACAATTGGTTAAAAGCAAGTGAAAGCTTTGTTATCCCACAATGGATGCAACCCACGATCCCAATTACCTATCTGCATTTCACTTTGGGTTGAATTAAGGCTGTGCAGAGTGGTGCAGACACATATTTGCTCAGAAATAAGATCAGTCAAGTAGTCTTAACACCTATCATTCAGCATTATCCTCAATGTAAAAGCAGCCCTGCCAGATCATTGAATTCCGTATGTTGACAAATGCCTGTAGATTAAACAGGTTATATTAACATTTAGTATTAGTGCCATACTCTGCTCAGCACCATCCACATGTTTAAGACACAGGAAATAGGATCATGTTTGTTCCTCTCTTACTACAAATGGAACACAAATGGTTGTAATGAAAGCCATAATTTACTTTTGGAACAGAATGCAGTGTAACATTTATCCCAGAGATACAGTAATGCCTAAGGATGTATCCATCATTTCTCAGCACAGATTGAAAGGGCTCCTTAACTGAATTGTACACACTAGAACTCTGCACACTGTTTATATGTAGGACCGTCACTTCTGTAGTGGCAATGTGTACAGATGACAAACTTCATCACTGTTCATGATTTATTGAAGTGTACATCAACTTCTAGTTATATTACGTGCATGGTCCAGTGTCAACATGTCAACCTGTCAAAAAAATAAACATCATTCAGTTACTACATCTTGCACAACTTCTATTTATTAACACACAGTGGCAGTATTTTGCCCAAACCAGGAAAATTCATATACTGGCTTGTTCTGAAGCCATTAACCAGTTTCCTGGCTCATACAAAATGGGAAATTACAGTTAACAGAAGACTTCCTGGTTGGTTTGCTGGCTCACACATTTAAGGCCTATTAAGCAGATATATGATCATACAAATGGGGATACACTGCTGACATGAAATAACATGCTATTTAGTTGGGCAGACTAAATATGCAGACTAGGTATGCTCACAACTGGATGTCAAGAGGATATGAAAGCAACCACTTCCCCTTATTTCTGCATTTAGATACTCTTGCCATGCCACTCAGTGAAGAACTGAGTGACATAAAATAGGATAAAAATGCACATGCTGAGTAATTGCTGCTATCTGCACTATCAACTTTTCCTTAGTCAACTCTATTAAGACATCTATGAAATTTAAACTCATGGCAAACATCCCAGGTTTCAAAAACAAGCAAATTAACCTTGCACATCCTGTATCAAAATTCTGGTACTATGCATCTGCTCCTGGTGTTTGATTAGCTGAAGAACAGAGTGTTACACAAATTCAAGATCACTACACTTTGTTATGCCATTTAAGAAAGCCCTTCTATGTTCAAGTTGAGATTAGAGAGACAGCAACATATGATAACATTCCTGGTAAGAAATAACTTCATTCATGTTGTAATCTGCTTAAAGCCCTATGAAACGATTTACTCATAACAATACAAGTGCTTAAGATCCTAAACTTGCATTTGACATTTCATGTACAGATACAGAGATTTACCTGGATTTCTGGAGGTTTTAAGCCCTACTGGCATCAGTAAAATATGGCAGACACTTACCCATCTTATTTCTGTGTCACGGCTGGAGTTTGCTTCTTAGGCCTCAGTTTAAAATACAGGATGATAGTTGCAATCGTTGTATATGTAGCTATAACATACTAAAGACAGAAAAGGATATTATTCCTCAGATAAAACACATTTCAAAGGGTTGTTTTTCTGTTATTTAAGTGCAGGAAAGAGAGAAATGGATTATTAAAAGTACCTGAGTTTATTAAAGCCCAAATCTGACAGGAAGGCAGGGCTGTCCACCTGTCAAATCACCTAATGTAATAATGTTGTCAGGTGACACCACCTTGGGTGCTAAGACATCACCTTCTGAAGTGTGTTCCAAGGAGATTTCATTTAAACTTCTTAGAAACGCATTTCAAAGTGAAGGCCACACCACAGGATACCAGAGGCAGGGCAAGTGGTTTGTGGAATAGAGCCTTGCAAACCAAATTAGGATCCCTGCCAAGCCTAATTCGGTCTGTGTGCCAGAGGTTCCCACCCCACACATTCCCAAATCAATTCAGGAACTTTTGAGAATCAACTTCTTTGTTTCTTAGCAGTTATTTAACTGGACACTTACATTTCTTCTGCCTGTTATGGTGTAGGAATTGAAGTATTTATGAAACCCTGTGAATTGGTGTTGTGACCCAGCATCGTGTCCTGCCATCACTATTAGTCCTAGATTTTAAAAAAGGAAGTTAGTACTGAATCTTTTTAAAAAAATCTACAGTATCTTCCAGCCAAAGTAGACCAACTTCATTCCAATTATTTACATTTGAGCATGAAAGCATTAGCTACTAAAACTAAAACTACATAGGAGGATCTACTCAAAGCTGTTATTCTGAATTGTTTGCTACATCTAATACCAATATATTTTACAGTGCTGACCTTCAAACAATAATGGTTACTTCTGAAGTTAAGAGCGATGCTTCAAGAAACGTAATATGGGCTTGTAAATAACGAATTATTTAGCCACCTGAGCCTCCATAGAGCAGGTTACAGATTTGCCACTATTCACATGCATGGGTAATAATAATAATAATAGATAACCTAATAAGAGTTGCATGTCCTATTTGTAAGAATGATGTAATCCATAGTTTTAATTGACATTAGAATACTTCATGCAGTAAATTTATCTTATTGTTCCAGACTACAACTCCTGTACCACCTATACCTGGTTGAGTCAATGACCAACAACTGTAGTTTCCCACCCCAAGGAGTCAGGCCACCAATGTCATAGCTAAAGGCATAAGTCTGGGCAGAAAGCAAGCACTTTCAAACAGACCTTCAATCACTGTTGTTCAGCAAGAAGTGGAAGGGAATAGACACCAACCACTGAAACATTCAAATCAATTCACTGAGGAATACTAGTTAGATCTAGTATAGGAGACCAACTTACCAAATGTTTCTCAACTGTGATTAACACAGGTATCTCCTCAACAGGTGGATTGATTTTACACTGCAAATCTGGAAAACAAGGAAAGAGATGGCTCATCCTCTTGCAGATACAGGGACACTACGGAGTCATAAGCAAAGCCAACCAGTCTGGTGCTATGCATAACACCAAAACTTCAGAAAAAGGAAACCACTCTGTTTTGCATATTCCCATTGGGATATTTCACTAACCAGAAAGTTATTTTATGCATCATTGAAATAATAGCCTTTAAACAGTTCAAACTGCTCAGTACTTTTCAATCAACATAACAGAAGCTCCTTTAGACCTCGGCTAGCTATTACCATTGAACTAACTTTAGTTATTTCATATGAACAGCAACATGCGTATAAAGAGTATCAAACGCTAAATTACTCTATGTACCAACCAATGACATTCATATCGAGTTTTGAAGACAACACAAAGAATAGAAAATGACAGCCTGGATCCCTCGGCCCGGTCGGAAACAGCAGCACAAAAATGCTGACCCTTAGGACCTATGCAGGAGCTATTGGCTTACGAAACTGAATTTCAATTGCCATAGCAATCCGTGAAGGTTACTCCTACCAGGGTCTGTGTGTCACAAGACACTAACAGGACCTCTACCCTTTTTACAGATGCTACTCAAACTTCCCAACAAAATTAACCTTCTGCCGAGCCAAGTCAGCGCCCGCCGCAGTTATTACCCGCTTTCTCCTCCCGATAACAACCATTCAATGCCCTTCGCGTGCAAGATGGCGTCGCTCAAACAGCCGTCCTTTCCGCTTGCCTCTGATTGGCTGAGGCGCGCCGCCCAGACGAGTAAGGCGGCACCGCCTCAGAAAGCTATGGTGTGATTGGGCAATTTGCGTGTTTGTCAAAGTTACCGGATTTCTTGCGCTCTGTGACGACTAATAAACCGTCCGGCGAGTTCTACCACGGCCCGGTTTCTCTAAAGCCCACTTCCGGTTCTCCTTTGCGGGCCTTCGAATTCGTTTCCGGGTTACGGAGCAAATGGCGGCTCTCACGCCCCAGGCGTGCCAGTGAGTTGAAGAAGCGTGGGGGACATAAGGTACATAAGCTGAGCTCTCTGGAAAAGAGGGATAATGACGGAAAGGAGGGTGGCCTAAGGAGAGGGGGCCGAGTCCGGGTAAGCTGGGGATTGAGAAATACGGCAAGGTGGGTTGCACGTGTAGAACTAGCGTGGCTGTGTGAGTGCCTTGCGGGTTCGCCGCCGGAGTGCTTGCTGTGACGCGCCTCCGCTCTTCTGTTTGCAGGATCTCTCACAGAAGACATGGAAGGGGGGCTGTGTGGCTTGATTTAACTTCCGTGCAGAAAATTGAATAGTCTGTAACCCTAGAAATCAGGGTGTGGGGTGATCATACCGCTTCCCACCCTCAAACTCTGTTTTGCTAAGGGGTTGGGGGACGGTGGAGTGTGAAGTATGGAGTATGGACGACCGTCAGGACCCCACTTTTTCCCCACTAAAGCCATTCATCCCGTTTTTGTAATTTTTTTTTTAAATATTGAAAGCTGCTTTATGGACATAAAGGCAGAGTGAAAATAGTGCTCTTATCTGCCTCAGCTTCCACTTTGTGCCTTCTGAGCTATATAAAAATGTTTATATTTTAAAACTAGTAAAAGATTGCTAGATTTTTCTGAATGTATGTGGGGGAAATGATTAAAATACTGGTATGGTTATGAAGCAAAGTCATTTAGAATAGTGCATATTGTTCATATTGTTTGTGAAATGCTCTTTTTAGTTTGTCATATTTTAAAATACAAAGTTTCTGGGTTTATAATAGCTACACAACAGCCAGAAATCAACAGGTGAGTTTTTTTCTTGGCTGAGAGATAGAATCATAGACTTGGAAGAGGACCCAATCATAGAGTTGGAAGGGACCCTGAGGATCATCTAGTCCAACCCCTGGGATGCACCCATGCAGGGATCAAACCTGTGACCTTGGTGTTATTGGCACCACGCTCTAACCAACTGAGCTAATGGTAGAAAAAACTATTTATTGATCTCCACTTATGTAGGCATTGAATACAGTGGTACCTCAGGTTAAGTACTTAATTTGTTCCGGAGGTCCGTACTTAACCTGAAACTGTTCTTAACCTGAAGCACCACTTTAGCTAATGGGGCCTCCTGCTGCTGCCGCGCCGCCGGAGCACACTTTCTGTTCTCATCCTGAAGCAAAGTACTTAACCCGAGGTACTATTTCTGGGTTAGCGGAGTCTGTAACCTGAAGCATATGTAACCTGAGGTACCACTGTACTTAGGATCTTGGTTCATGAAATAACTCTTTGTTACTTAAGAACAAAGGAAGGACTAGCTTATTTTTGCATCTCTACCAGTAGACATTCAGTTTGAGGAGGTGTGGTACAGTGTTTGCACATCATAGATTAACAATATTTATGAGCTCTTGGTGTCCTGATACTCTCATGAGTGTTGTCTTGTTTTAGAGAATGAATCATCTTCAAAAGCACAACAATTATTTTATTCCTGTTATTTTAAAGTCTGTCCTCATTCTTTGCATATAAGAAAATGTTTGTGTTGGTTTTGCCCTTTTGAACACAATTTGTATATGCAAATAACTTTGTTGCTTCCATTGCAGAAAGATAACCATGTCATCTGTAGAAGAGAATTTCCCTCGAGGTGGCCCACAAAGGAAAAGTCAAGAAGAAAAAGCGGCCAGACAGTCAGCAGTAGAGCAGGATAATTTATTCAAAGTATGCAAACTGTGAACATATTAAGTTGCCTTCTACTAAGTCAGATCATAGGTTCATCTTGTCGCTTATTATTGCCTATTCTGCTTGGTAGCAATTCTCTAACTGCTTACAGAGGTGTTTCTCAAACCCTCTTTCCTGTAGCAATTTTAACTGGAGTTGCCAAGGATTCAGCCCAGATTCTTCAGCATTCAATGCGTATGCTTTATCACTGTGCTATAGACCCAGATTGATGCACTGACATTGTTCTTAACACAATAAGTGGTTCTGGGAACTCTTCAGGATAGAAGAGAAATGCCTGTGCTGTATAAACAAGTTTCCTGCCGATTAAACTGTAGCTTCTGATTTTAGCTCATTTCAATAAGCCAGAATTTGGCCTGGTTTGGGCATAGCAACAAATTGTGGTTAGTTTAGTTTAAACTCGGAAGTGAATGCTTCAAAATTCTTCCTTTGATGTGTGCCAGAGGAAGAGAGAGGAGGTGGAGGACTTCAGCCTCAATTTTGAGCTCACTTGCTTCCATAACACTAAACTGGGTTAGTGCAGGAACTTGTCGATCTCAAGATGTTGTTGGTCTCCAACTCCCACCAGCCCTAGTTATCATGGCCATTGGTTAGAAATGATGGAAGTTGTAATCCAGCAATATCGGGAAGGTAACAGCATCTCCATTCTTGTTTAACTTTAGATCTGTACAGCTCCTTTGAGTTTCAGACCAGGCCTTCCTTAAGATTAAACTCTTAAACGTGCTTTCCTGCAGGTTACGTTCATGGGTCCCTTTGCAGCTCTAAAACTAAACTATTGTTTTAGGGAAGCAACTGTCTTTTCAAAATCTTGAAATGTCTTTCTTTTTTTTAACTGTCTTAGACGCAACATGAAGAAGTGACCAAGAAAAGAAAGAAAAACCATCAAGATGAAACAAAGCCAAAGAAACTCAAGATTGAGAAGAAGGCCGTTGTAAAAATCGGTGTTAAACATTTTGAATTTCTAACAGTTGAGGTTGGTCTATAATTTGTATTATGGCTTATTTTCACACTGTGGCAAATAACTACACAATAATAAGTAGTACCACTTCAAATAGTAGCATATGAGACAGGAGTAGATTGTACATCATTGTGGTATTGAGAGATAATTCATAGCATGCAGAAGGCAGTGGTGTAATTTTCCCCTTCCGCTTTTCTTTGGATTTTTTTAGGTCTTGTTAAAAAGGGGACTTACAGCTTTTATTAACATTATACCTTTTTCCCCTGTGGGGGACAGTCTAGTTGTGTAGAACACAGGAGAAAAAAGTGATTCTGAAAGTTGCTTATTACCTGTCCTTGTTTTTTAAACAGTCCCTCACTGCAGGGGTACTGCTCTTAGGATGCGTGAAAGAGTCTAATCAGTTTGAGCTGGTGATCAGCTTGCCCAATGGGCTCACTGGATTTGTGCAAGTGACACGTATAAGTGATGCCTACAATGAGATGCTGAATGAACAGGTGGCTACAGATGAGCACTTAGAGGTAAGACAAGGTGTGTGTGTGTTACGTAGTTGTTTGGTGGGTTCTGCAAGTACCACCAAGCAGCAGGTTTCTTCTGTTCAGGGCATTCTCTTGCCTCCTCTGTTTCCTGCTCTGTCCTGAAGAGGTCTACATTGTAGAAGACCATTTAGAGCTGCCTTTACAACACCTGACTCGCTTTGGTGCCAAGATGGGGAACTTGAGGCCATCCAGATGTTGTTAGCCATCCCCAACAGCTACAGCTAGAGTTGATGTGAGTTGTAGTCCAACATCAGGAGTGCCCTGCTTAGTGTTTTGCACACTGCAAGAATGGGAGGATGTGCATTGAAATTAATATCTTTGGAACTGAATAAAAACGAAAGAAGGTAGACCTTTTTTTAAAAGCACTTCTAGATTTTGATTGACACATCCCATTCCAGTCTGGAACAACATATGCTGTGGTGTTTGCCCATTCTTTGGGGATATGTTTGTATTGAGGGAGAGAAAGGGTTAATAGGTTGACCGATAAGAAAGTCCGGAGGCAGAGCCTACCTGATTTTGAGGCTCAGCCCAGAGGTTTTGACAGTTAGTTCGCTTGGTTCTTTTTTTGGGCGGGGGGGATAGAGGAGTCAGAGACGGGGACAAGACTGCGAGGCAATAGAGTGACAGCGTTTCGAATATATTTTAAAACTTGTTTGTGTTTGAAATAAACTTTAATCTTCATTGTTAACTCTACCTGACTGAAACTCAATACTTCACCGGGGAACCCTGGGTTTCCTCCCCACAAAATTGGTGGCAGTGGAAGAATAAAGTAGTGGTGTACAGGTCAATAGTCCGTGAAATGACCGGGGGCTCTGTACGAACGCCACAAAATTGGTGGCAGAGGTGGGATGAATACATCGTGAGGGGAAAGGTAAATCTGGGAATGATTACCTTATCCTGGGTGTGAAGACATATTGGTGTAGTTGTGGAAAAACCCAGTGTATGAGGCGAAGCCAACGTAATAAATTGAAAAGAGAACTTGAAGCTATTCTGGCAGAGGTTTTAGACTTGTGGTTGGGTGAAGGGATCTTGCAGGGTCGGTGTGGAGACCCAGTGCAGGATTTTGGGGCCAGAGTCTAAAAGGGAACCTAGCCAGAGGGAATAGCAGTGAGAAAAATTTCTTATCTGACTCTGTTTTGCTGTCAAATCACACTTGACATGCCACCCAAAAAGCCAAGAAATCCTGTTAGGGAAACAACATATGAAAAATCTGAAGGAGAGGGAAATGGGAATCCTCAGGGAGAAGGGTAGAATTTAGAGGAAATATTAGAAATTCCCTCTGGCTAGTTCCCTTTTAGACTCTGGCCCCGAAGTCCTGCATTGAGTCTCCACACAGCCAGTAACATGAATTTCTTTTGGCTTGCCATCTGTATTTTGGAGGAAATAAGCTTTGAATAGTTAAATGGCTGTATCGCAACCCCTTCAGTAATCAACATCCTCCGTAGCATGTTCAAAAATTCAGTTGTATTGCTTACAGCAGAACATTTTGTTTGGCCAAAGTTTCAGAGTCAGTGACTAGATATTGCTGTTGCTGTTTTGATATGTTTCTTATTTTAGTCTTTATCCATTAAACTATCTTTTTGCAGGATCTGAATTCTCTCTCAGATCTCTTTACCCCAGGAATGCTGGTCAGATGTGCTGTGGTTGGTGTGGAGAAGACTACTACAGGTCGTCAGAGTATACAGCTAACAATCAACCCCAAAGATGTCAACAAGGCTTTGAATGCTGCCACTCTGAGACCAGGCATGGTATGAAACATATGAATTATCTGTTTACGCCTGCCTTTTCAAAATTATGTCATGTTGCTTACAAAAAATAAAATATAATAAAGCAAAATAAAAAGCACAAAACTACAACAATTAATAACACTTTAGCAGATAAATAGCTTTGAAATGTAAAGCAACAATTGAAAGAAGCAGTAATAAAAACTCAGTGTGATGAATTAAGATGTCTGGATAAATAAAAATGCCTTTACTTGGTGCCAGAAAGTCATCCATGTAGGTGCCAGGTATACATGGAAAAGAACCTCTCTGGTATCATCACATACCCTAACCTCAGTAGCTGGGGAACCTGGCAATGGGCATCATCAGATGAGCTCAAAACATATCATCTGTTAATTTTTTGTGATTTGATATGGGAAAATGTTCTTGTGCCTTTTATAAGAATGCAGGGAATAGAATTTCAGCAGGTGCAGATATCTTGTCCTAATATTGCTGTGAAGGGTATAGGTCTCATTTGTGGAAGCCCAAAGTCCTGTTTCTTTTCAGGGAAACTTGAGTGCTTGAGGAGGGAGGAACAACAACAAGGAGTCTGATAAAATTTCCTTTAAGCTTACACTTCTTCTCCAAACAGCTGCTCTCTGGCTGCATCTCTAGTGTGGAAGATCACGGCTACCTTATTGACATAGGCATCCGAGCAACAAAAGCATTTATTCCTCGTCAGAAAGCCAAGGCCTACCTGCAGTCAGCCAACAAAGGTATAACTATACTTAGGACTACTGGGTTTAAGGCAGGGGGAGAAGCAAATGGGTGGTTTAGAGAACTGTAAAATCTTAGATTTGGGAGTTACCAGAGGCAGAATTTACTGCCCAATGTTTGTGTGTGTGTGTGTGTGTGTGTGTGTGAGTGCTTGAGAGAGAGAGATTCTTGAGTACATATCATTGTACACTTACTTATAAGCTGCCAGCTGTTGCCTGGCTTCTCTTGTTTAGGAAGCTTTTTATGCAAGGTGGAGTATTTCAGTCTAGGATGAAAAGCCTTTTAATGTGATGAACATGTGAAAGGATTTCAGAAGTAGCTGGTGCCAGGAAATAATGGCCATAGTGATAGAAAGGTAATGTCAAAGCTTTGCTGATAAGTGATGATAGTTGCATGTGTTGGTCTCTTAGGGACTGAGCTGAAGATAGGCCAATACTTCAACTGCCTTATTGAAGAAGTAAAGAATGGTGGGCGGATAATCCGCATGGCCATTGATCAGTCGGAGGTTGCTGCAGCTATTGCCACAGAAGAACAAAACTGGTCCCTTGGCAATTTGCTACCTGGGCTGGTGGTGAAAGCCCAGATTCAGGAGGTAAGCTGTTTTTTACGAATTAATGTACTAATCTTATTTTATTCTCTCTTGGAAAAGTACAGTGAAATTAATAAATTCTCTAACACATCTGCATTTTAAACAGAAGATGCATCCGCTTTTTCACAACTTTGAATTGTTCCAGTCTGACTACTGAGGTTGGTTAAAATATAAGGATAATTGCAAATGTAGAGGCTTTTTGTTGGAAACATCTATGACCCTGTGTCTGAACCATATGAGGTTTTTGGTTTGTTTTTTCTTCTAGCTTAACCTAGATTTTTAAAAATCTCTATAGGGTGATATTCAACATTAGCCCTACCCCATTGAAGTTAATGGACATGACTTAGGTTCATTAATTTCAATGTGTCTACTCTGAGAAGGACTTGGTTGATTACCACCCTAAAATGTTATTAAATCTAGTGATTTACAGCACTAGAAGACATAATTTGGAGCCGCTAGCAAAAGAATAATTAATATTGTATACGTATAAGAATATAATACATATAAACCATAAAACACATTTACATTTCATGACAGCCACATTAGAACTCAATATTCATTTAATATTCAGATCTGTCAGAGAAATTCTGTTTAATTTTACATCTTGCAGCGCAATTTTTGTTTCCTTTTGAAAATTTCCAGGTGACTCCTTTTGGAATTTCTCTCAGTTTTCTGTCTTCCTTCTCTGGACTTGTGGACTACATGCATATGACTTCTACAAAAACAAGAAACTACTCACCAGGTCAGACGGTAAGTGATTTTATAGCAAGGCTTAAATTGTGTTAAGGTGGTGCTGCAGGACTTGGTTAAGATATGAATTGAACAAGTGCATCTCTCTATGGTTTCGCCATAGTCATGGAGGCTAGAATGTTTAAGAGAAGTAAAGTACCATTCTCAGCACATTCCCTATTTTTCCTACAAACTTAACATCTCCCCCCCCCCCCTTTGTGTTTTCCCCTCCAGGTGAAAGCATGCATTCTCTTCAACAATCCTACCTCCAAGGCAATACGTCTATCTCTGCGCCCAGTTTTCCTCCAGCCTGGCACTCAACTTGGCAAGCTGTCTAGTGATCAGATTGGCAGGGTAGTTCCAGACTCCACAGTTGAGACCTTTCTCAAAAAGACTGGTGCCATCTTCAAGCTGGATGGTGGCTGCCTAGCTTTTGCACATGTAAGTAACTCGATGCTGATTGCACCTTGTAGGAAGGTAGACCCTTTCAACCATCATGGCTGATGTTTGGAGAGCAGTACATCAGCATTTTGCCCGTTTCCGATTCAATACATAGATGTGTCTTGGCATCTGTTTGTGAATGTGTTATATGATGTCTTAATTTGTCCTGGAGAAGAGCCCAGAGTCTGAAGGTAGCAAAGAGCTTTTCTAGATTCCTTTGTTGTTTGCTCACCCTTGTTAGATGCAATCATAACCTCTGTGGTTACATTGTGATCATAACCTCTGTTGTCACATTGTAATTCATATTGGAAGGTAGAATCAGATAGATGCAGAAACTAGGCTTTGCTTTGCTTTCTAGATTACAGCAGGGTTAATCTTAAACTAGAAAACTGTCTGGATTTATAATTTAATCTTCATTTTCTGCACTATCTTTATACCTCTTTCAGATAAAACATCTTTCAGATACTGCCAAATCTTTCAAACCTGCAGCATTCAAGCCTGGAAGCAAACATAAATGCCGAATTATTGAGTACAGCCCAATGGATGATGTGGTGGTGGTGTCTCTCAAACAGTAAGCTTTGGAGTGCAATTTGAGTGAACCAATCTGTGACGTGTCTTTATATACTCATGTTTCAAGCATATCTCCATGTCTTAAATTCTATGCATAGATGGAACTTCCTTATGCCTAACAGATAATCAGTACATTTCAGTTGGGACATAAGTCCCATTGCTTTCAGAACAACTGAGATGGCTACATTATGCACACCTGTGCAGTGGATTGCATTTGCACATTTTAAAAATTGGTTCCATAGGTATCCAAACTTTCTGCCTTCAGGTGATGTTTTGCTACTTAAGTTACAAATGAAATTCTGTTGAGGTCCTTTCTAGCATCTGATGAATTTCTGTCCAGGCACAGCCATTAACCCACCCCATGTACACCAAGACCACACCAAGGCTAGATCATGGCACACAATGTGAATGATATTTAGCCCAATGATATCCTACCTCATTTAGATCATATATACCAAGTTTCATACTGACAGCACAGATATAAAGAGAGCCAGTATGGTATACAGTGGCAGGACAGGAACGTAGGAGACCAGGGTTCATATCTCCACTTGGTCATGAAGCTCACTTGGTGACCTGTTTAGAAGGGCAGGAGGAAGAATTGGAGGTGGGGGAGAATCAGTTCTCTTTACTCTTTCATCTGTTTCTCTTCCACCACACAGATCAATTTTCACTTCCCTTCTTTTTGTTTGCAGACACATTATTGAGGCTCCATTCCTGAGATACCATGATATTCATCCTGGACAGGTGGTGGAAGTAAGTTCAAGGAGAGAAAAAAATGTCCTTGGAATCTTGTTTATCTTGCTGAACAAACCTGAGGCGAGGGCTTTGGTCCAATTTTGTCCTTGTGTGCTAACTTGTGTGCTTAATGCATCTTTGAACCTAAATCCTGCTGTGTGACATTAATGGAACACTATTAATTTCACTGTAGCCTAGCAAAGCCGTTGCATTAGTTGTACAGAAATCAGTCTGGTTTCTGCTACATTTCACAAAGTTACGTGCAGTGGATTTGCCTATCTTTTAGTCTGTGTAATCATGCTTTGTTTAGATACTTATATGCTGATTTTTAGGCAAACCTTGCCAGGCAGTCTACATAAAAAGATTTAAATAATGAGCATCAATTAAACTGTATGATAAAACAATAAACATGAGCTTCAAGGGGAAATGTAATTATTGAAAGCTAGATCTCTCTTCCCTTCAAAATGGTTCTTAAGTAACACTGTAGTAGCAGCTGAGGTGAGAGGGACACTTAGGGGCTGGGGTAGCCAATGTGATGCCCTCCAGATGGCTGCCCAATTTATATCCCAACCTTCCCCCCAAATGAGTTGTTGGACTGCAGCTCCCATCACCTCTGACTGTTTGTCACGCTGGCTGAGGCTGATGGGAGTTGGAGTCAAACATTTGGAATGCCCCACATTCACTACCTCAAAGTTAGATGGAGGGCATCTCCTCTTTCTGTACTAGTTTTTCTTGTTTTCTGATCCCTCGTTCTTTTGGACTTTAGGGCACGGTGTTAGCTCTGAAGCCCTTTGGCATGCAAGTAAAGGTGACTGAGCACATCAAGGGCCTGGTTCCCCAACTGCATCTGGCAGATGTGCTTCTGAAACAGCCAGAGAAGAAATACAGTGTGGGAAGCACTGTCCGGTGTCGGGTAAGAACTCTCTGTAAGGGACCGCTTTGCCCTGATTTATCGATTTCTCTAGCAAGGAGAGACCAAGGGGGCTTTCTCCATGCAATAATCTGCCTTTATAATGAGAGCTGCTGTGGTTCTGTGGGTAACATTAGGTTGGATGTGCAAAACCTAGGTTCAGAATCCCTCTCAGCCATTGTGTTTACTGTGTTATCCTTGGATTAGTTACTATCTCTCAATCTAGTTTATGCAGAGTTGTAGTGAATCTAAAATGGGGACAATGACATGTGTTCTTAATTTCTAATATTTCTATTTTACCTACTCAGAAGTCAGGCTCGCTGAGTTCTGTGGGACTTGCTGGCAGGTGTGTAGGATTACAGCCCCACAGGATGAGATGTAGACAGTGTTTCCGTCTAGGCAGGAGTTTGCGGCAGAATTCTGGGGCCCCACTCAGCAAAATGAGCAGGAGAGGCCCCCAATTCAGTTAAGCTGGCTTGCTACGTATTTAACAAAGTGAAGTAATAAACATTACCAATTAAAGAGAGGATCCCACAGTAGGACCTTTAAGAGTCTAAAATTACAATCCTTTCTTCCTTTGCACTGACTTCAGCACTGACGTCCTTGACTTTAGCACAGACTGCAAGCCCTGCTTTTGGTAGGCAACTTCTGAGTGCAACTTCTTCCAGCAGGGCTTGAAGTCTGCACCAATCAGATGATTGCTGCTAACTTTAGAAGGGATTGGCTCCACTTGGTATTTTAAAGGTGCTGAATGCAAGCCCTGCTTGCCTCGGAACAGCTGAGAGCACACTTTAAGGCTCTGAATTACTCCTTTACAAATATGTCTTTACCCTTCCCACATCTGATATCATCTGACATCAAGTGTTGGGCAGGTGGGTGTGCCTTGGGAAAATGACATTGTCAGCCACATTAGGACCCATGTAGTGGCCTATTTAGCTTGCAGATCAGAGATTCCCCATGCTTATTTTGAATAGTTAAAGAAGTGTTATTTAGGTCCTGTTACAGGATGAGCTCTGTCTCTGACAGCTACCTCCTAACCTTTTGTAGCCCTTATTTTTCTAAGCTGATGGGTTGTACAAGCTGTATTAGGACTGATCCCGTGAGTTCCAAGCTGACATTTTGGACATTCCTTCATTTTGGTTCAATTGTAGTTTCCTGCCAGTTGGCATACATAATTCCAGTTTCTTCTTCTCCTCCAGGTGCTTTCCTGCAATCCTGAAGCAAGGAAACTCGCTCTGACGCTTAAGAGAACACTTGTCAATTCCAAACTCCCTGCCCTTTCCAGTTACGAAGATGCAAAGCCAGGCTTGATCACCCATGGTTTTGTTGCCTGTGCTAGGGAGTTTGGCTGCATTGTGAAATTCTACAACGACATAAAGGGCCTTGTCCCCAAAAATGAGCTCGGCGGGGCACCTTCAATTGTTCCTCAAGAAACATTTTACGCAGGCCAGGTAAAAGCTGGGTAAAAGTAAAAAAGTCTGATTGTCCTTGATATAATTTTTTTAGTTAATAGCTGTGCACATTTGCATAACAGATTTGCATAACATCTTTAATGCACATACATTTGTTTAGTGATAGAACATGAATGGCAGATTATTGTTACTGAATTCGCAGGACCCTTGATATGCTTATGTAGTAGGACATAGCAATGGTCTCTCTTCCTCTCTCGAAAAACATTTAAATAAAAGTTTTTGAACTACTAGTAAAATGACTTACATTTGTTACTTTAACACAGAGAGATGCATAAAGCCAGTGGAAAGTTACAGAACAGTAGAGGGATATCTGGGGACACATTCAGGTGGTCCTGTTTTTGAAGTGTGAGAGTGAACATGCCTGCAATATGAAGATTCTTTTGTTTTGCCAATCAGGTGGTCAAAGTGATTGTCTTAAAATGTGAGCCTGAGCAGGAGAGACTGCTGCTGTCATTCAAGCTGACAAATGAAGCACAAGCTGAGGATGGTGGAGAAAAAAAGACTTCAAAGAAGCGAGAAGTAACATACGAAACCGGACGGGTAATTTATTCTAAAAGATGTCCCTTCCCTTTCCCTGTTGACATTCCCCTGAGGATGCTAGGAGCAAAGACAGGAATTTATGATATTTCTAACTTGGGTTTTATTTCATACAAAATGATCAGATTATCAGATCATATATCTTAAGAAGGACTGTGCTATGGGGTCCCAATTATAGTACTACTTCATGCAAACATGGAGCATTTCTGTTGGATTTAAACCATTTATTCTAACTTGAAGTGTTCTGCACATCAGAATAAATGCTCGATCTGGTTGGTCTAGATTTAAATTTAAACATAAATTATTATCTTCACTTAGAACTCCCCTCCCGTGTTCATCAGTATACCAACACTTTATATTGTTTCATTGATAATCTAAGTAAAAATGACTATTGCACTTACTTAATCTAAGCACAACCAGAAGGGCAGCTGATTAGGCATTTAGCGATGCGATGATGAATGTTATCTGTCAACTATATTCTATCCTGTTCCCCACCTCCTTTTAAAAAAGAAATTCACAAACCAAGAACTTATACAATGACCATTAATAATGAACTATTTGTTATAGATATCGCTGCAGATTTATTATGCTATTTTTGTTATATTCAAAGAAGAACTGGTTTATTTATTTATATTGATTATTATTCCTATGATCCTTGTTTATAAAACCCAATAAAAAGTTATTACAAAAAATAAAAAATGCTCCTAGACTTTAACTTTGATTGTTGAGATTATTTCTTTCTTTTATCTTTTAAGTTGCTTGCATTTTGAGAAACCTTGTTATCCTGGGAATATTGCATTTTAGGTGGTGGTCTTCCACGTATTAAAAAAGTGTTGCCTTTTTTCTCTTGCTCAGATTGTTGATGTAAAAATTCTGAGGAAAAAAGAAGATGGCCTTGAAGTTACAATCTTGCCGGACAATGTTTTTGCCTACCTTTCCACAAATCATCTCTCTGACTATGTGTCTAATAGCAAGTTGTGGTGGTCCTGCCTTAAAGCAGATGATATTCTCCACAGAGTGTTATGCCTCCATGACAAGGGAGGTCATGTTGTATCCTTGTAAAGTCCAGCCAAGCTTGGTGAAATCATTTAGCCATTTTATGTTGTACAACAGCATTAACTTGCATTGCATTGCATTGCATATATTGTCTCTCAGACAAGTGACCTTCAAAGATTCTGTGTCAGTTTTACCTCTCTGTGTCTATGCAGTCTGAAGGAAAGAAATTGTCTTAGAAGATTTTTTAGTTGGAGGGAGAGTAGAGGTGAGCAAAGGTTTTTGTAGCCTTTATTATCTTCACCACCTTGGTTTTTGGATGAAGCAATTATTCCCTTTGCTTTCTTCAGTTTTTTTTTTTTTAAATGGCTGCCTGCGAGTTGGGATGCCGTGGAATCTTGTTGCTGACAGAACGTTTTATTCCCCCCCCCTGCAGAATCTGAATGGAATCAGGAGGTTGGTTGCAACATGATCTTACTTTTTGGCACAATTATGTCCTACATCCCCTGTGTTATAACAGTCTGCCTACCTCCCCCTTTATGTTGATAGGCTTTGGTGAAATGCTTGTTTTGTGGCTGCCAAATAAAACCAAACTACCAGTACGCTTCTTCTCCCCAATTTTATTCCTTGACCCATTGTTTAGACCCTGAGCAGAAAGCCATCGGTTATTTCAGCAATTGAGGAGGAACGGGTGGTGAAGAGCTTTTCAGACATCCAGCCTGGATTGCTGCTGACTGGCTTTGTGAGAAACGTCATGCCTTATGGTGTGTTTGTGGAGTTTCCATATGGTCTGACAGGGCTGGCACCCAAGTCGGTAAGGCATGTTGCATTGTCCCTACTAAAATAGGTTTATTCGCAGATGTTGGGGAAGAGGTGCTTTCTAGTTGAAATAATCTCTTAGGCTGCACTACTCAAGGATAAAAATTCCTGCTGAGAGGAGTTCTCTAGATGGATTTGGAAGTAAGGGCACAAAATAATAGGAATTTCCTGCTTGCAAGTGGTGTGAGAGAAGCTGTTTCCTAGTGGTATGTTTTGAAATGCAGGCACTCAAGATGGTCCCCATCCATAGGCAAAGGTAAAGGATCCCTTGGATGGTTAAGTCCAGTCAAAGGTGACTACGGGGTACAGCGCTCATCTCGCTTCAGGCCGAGGGAGCCTGCATTGCTCCGCAGACAGCTTTCCGGGTCATGTGACCAGCATGACTAAACCGCTTCTGGCACAACCATCCATAGCCATGCCCCCAAAGAGCATTCAAGCACTTGTGCTGATCCATATATACACTTGTCGCATTCCCCAAAGAGCAGTAGTACATGGCACAATTCCCAATTTATTAGCATCAGCTGACTGTCAAAGAATAGAGGTTTATAGAACAAATTCGACTTTTAAAACACATTGAACGTTATCCAAAGATCTTCAGCTAGCTGAAAATGCAACCTTTGGTCTTTACTTAGAAAGGCAAACAATCTAGCGATGAAATGTTAATTAGACTGCTAGCATGAGTAGCTAATAGAGCTGTCTCTAACTCAGCCTAGGTAAAAGGTTTCTTGTCTGGAACTGTTTTGATTGCATTCCTTCCTTTCTGGAAGTCTTGAGGCTGGTGGTGTTGATAGCTCTCTTGCAAAGGCACTCTTAAGGAACAGTATTAATTGGTTCTTATCTCCTAATTGCTATAGGCAATGAGTGACAAGTTTGTGACAGACACCAAAGACCATTATGTGGTAGGTCAGACTGTAGTTGCCAAAGTGACCAGCATTGACGAGGAGAAGCAACGCATCCTGCTGTCCCTGAAGGTGTCTGAGTGCTCCTCCGAGGATTCTGTTTCTGAGAGCTTCTGTTTACTGCACAAATACTTTAAGGAGCTGCAGGAGATCAAGAGTATCACGAGTGGAAGAGGTAAAGGCTGTCATGTTGATAAAAGATGGCCCATGGAAACCTTGTGTTGGCCACATACACACAGTGGATGCATGTGAGCGTCCTGATTTTGGGGCACAAGCTTGGAGCACCTTTTCTCAACATTTTGTCTGAAATCAGGAGGCCTAGGAACTTTTCAAACTTTTATTTAAAGAGAGGTTCAAAGATTCAGTTTCAGGTAAAACATCTAGTCACTCGGGGTGGTTTTCTGCTATATGTGATTGCCAAGTGGGTTTTGCTTAACTTGCAGTTGGAGAAAGATTACATTTCTTTGACTGGCACTTTGTTTCTGGGTGACTGGCTCATTTGCTATGAGCTTAAAAGACCCCATTTTTTCCTTCCATTTTCATATTGACTTAAAGATACAGCAAGAAAGTTACTTTCAGGCACCAGAGCATAATTCCTCAAAATAAGGGAATCCACTCATTTTTAATAGTTAATCCTTCTTATACTTACTCTGACTTTCTATAGTTCAGCGATGAAACATCAAGCTGCAAATGGGACTTTGTTCTTTCTTTATCCTCAGATGATGTCGGTGTGGTTCAAAAAGTCTGTGAATTAAAACCTGGGCAGAAGCTGATGCTGACGGCTCGCAAAGTCAACACTGATGGTTCAGCACTATTTGATAGCACCTCTGTTTCTGGCTTGACTATAATGGCTACTCATAGTCACCTTGGAGGTAGAACATACTTTGTGGTCTTTTCCCCCCTTGTCTGCTTTGTCCTGATGTACTATATTTTGCTCTTTGGGTTGGAAAAAAATAATTGATTGCAAAGCGTGGAGTCTTTTTTAACAGTCTTAGCAGCAGAAATGTATCTGAGACCTGAGTGAATTCTTAGTTTTTCTCTTGACTCAGCTATCAGTGATGTAATGTAAATAAATAGTGTCTCTTACTGAAGTACTGAAATGCAGTTGCTTCATTTTGCCCTAGTTATATCAAGCAATAATCTTATGGTGCGTGTTTGTTTGTTTTTAAAGGCAAAAATATTGTCCAGGGTGAAAAAACAAGAGCTGTGGTTCTCTGCCTTGATTCCCTAGAATCAAAGGTCTATGTGTCGCTTAGAGAGGAGTTGCTGTCCCCCAAGCCTAAGAAGGTATGATTAGCCTGAATTGGCTTTTATGCTGGATACTAACCTGTGTAGCTGGTTAATAACAGAGTCATAGAAGAGAGGTTCATAGAATACCATAGAGATGAGCAACATATGAAGAGATTTCAATGGAATAACTAAGCCAGGCGGGGTTGACCCACCCGCCAGAGAGCTGTTTTTGCTTCCTAGTCAAATTTTTCTGCCTCCAGCAGCAGCAAAGAGAAAGTCAAAGTAGACACAGTGTGGGGAGGAGAGATATCTGTGTGCATCCTGTGTGTCTGTACAAGAGTGATCTACAGCCATGATTACCACTTGCATATGGCCCCTGGAGGACTGGGCAAAGGTGAATGCAGTCCTTGGGACCAAAACAATTGGTTAGCTTATATTCAAATGTCAAGGGGCCATAATGAGGAGGAGGGAGCAGCTTTCCCTTCCTGTGTCCTAGAAGGAATAACTGGGTTTAAGCTGCAACTTCTTCAATATTATTTGATCCTTAGGAAAAACTGATCACCTGTTAGGCACACATCTGAGAAAACCCCAGGGAGTGTTGGCATTTTCTGCTTTTGCCTAAGAATTCAGCTGGGGCCTAAAAACGAAAAAATGTTGTGTCCTGAGAATTTCCTGGAAATTCCCTGGAAAGTGCATTGCTGGAGTTTTTCTGATGAGGGTAAAACATCTGTCAGGAATGCTTTTAAATAATCGATTTAAGCCTTGGGCCAAAATGGCTGCTGAAGTCTGTACCAGGTTTTGTGTGTGTGAGAGTGAGTGACTTTCTCTGGATGTTATTTCTGTGTTTTTCAGTTAAAACAGAACTCTCAGCACCAAGCCATCGTGCAGCATGTGGCTACAGAGCATGCAGTTGTTTCATTGGTAGGAAATGGTCAGCTGGTTGCCATACCTGTGGCTTCCCACTTCAATGACACTTTCCGCTTTGATTCTGAAAAACTGAAAGTGGGACAGTCGGTCCTAGTGGTTCTGAAAACTCTCCAGCCAGGTGACTGTGGGCTCTTACTTGCTGTTCAAGATCAGAAGAAGAGAAAGGCTGTAATCAGGTCACGGCGTGAATCTGAAACACTTGGGGAAACCTCAGCCATTGTGAATCACTCGCTGTGCTTGGGAGATGTGGTCAAAGGAACTGTCAAGTCAATCAAGCCTACTCATGTCCTAGTGGCAATTAATGATCAGCTGATCGGCTCCATTCATGCATCCCAGATCCTGGATAAAGTTTCCATAGGCACCTTTCCAACATCAGTGCTAAGAGTTGGGCAGCAGTTGACTGCTCGGGTGATTGGGGGCAAAGACATTAAAAATCACAGGTAAGATCCCCCCAAGCTTCTGAGTGCCTTTTCTGAGTTTTAGCCAATTATTAAATTTTAGTTCAATGTTCTAGCAGGCACAGAACTTTCCAGATCTGTGTCCTAAGTGCAAGTGTTGTCCTCATGCATTTATTGCCCTGTTACTAATTTTCAGTCCAAGTCAGGGAATTAAAGCATAGTCACTTGGCTCTCTTCCTACCTGGATATAGACCCATTTCCATCTACAGCTGACGAGGAGGCAACTTGCAATTCTCTGTTGGAGAGAGGTTACCCAGAGTGGGTTTTCTCCTCCCACTCACTCTAGAAGCAGGACTTATGCAAATTAAGGAAACACTCACTTTTGTGTGGAAAAGACTCCTTCCAGTTTTAGTCCTGCATGCTCAGAGAGTGATTATTTCCCCCACTAGAGCAGATAAAGAGGGAACTTTGAAAAACTATCAAATGCTGAAGGGCCACTTACAACTGGAGTAAGGATGATGTGCTAATCTGCTCTTAATTTTTAGGTATTTGCCCATCACCCATCCCCATTTTACCCGTACCTGCCCAGAGCTCAGCATCCGACCAAGGTAAGATAGCCTTTAGATACTTTGTTTGATGAGGTTTTACAACATGTTAAATGCTAACAGATACACCTATCCAAGCGTCTCCTGGTCTGAATGTTAGTCAGTGACAGAGTAGGGGTTCTCTACATAAAATTCTGCATCTTGGAACATATTGCACAAATATGTTAGACAATTTGCTTAATTTTAATGATTCTGGCATTTAATAATAATAATAATAATAATAATAATAATAATAATAATATAAATTAAATAAATAAATAAACCCCACCCATCCAGCTGGGTTTCCCCAGCACTCTAGGTGGCTCCCAACAGATTAAAAGCCGAATAAAACATTCAAATCTTGAAGACAAAAGAAGTTCTTGGTGGGTGCTAGGATTGTAGTATACATTGAGGGGAGGCAGCCTGGAGTTTTACAGATAGGAAATATTGGATTGGTTGGCAAATGCTTGGACCTAGAAATATTGGAAGGGAGCAGGGAGTGGATCTCAAGCTGTTCGCCCTCTAAGGATACATGGATCTATAGAGACTGCCTAGAACATGTCTGGTGATCAAGCTATTTTAGAATGATGGCTTTAATTTTAAGTTGCTCCTCTTTTTTCCAGATAAGATAGTAGGCAGTTCCCACCACTTTCCCCTCTCTATCTTCAACCCCCCAACCATATCCCACACCATTCCCAAGGGTCCTCCAATGCCCACAAGCAATTTCCTTGGGGTGGGAGTTCATTGAGCTGCAGTAGGAGACATGCAAAAACTTGTTCTGTGAACTCTCTTTTACTCAGAGCCAATTCATTTTAAATCATGGGAAATGTCTGTAGATCTCCAGCATCCTTGTTGAGAATTTACCAGTCCTGTAATAGACATCCTGGTATGTGTCTTGTGCACTATGTCCCTTGCTTTTGATTGCCAACCTAAAATTGGGAGTCCTGTATTCTACATGAGCTTGGATAGGAGATACTTTGATCAGGGACAGGGGAAATAATGACATGTCAAAGCAAAGAAGCTAAGGGCATAACTGGTGTGTGTGTGTGTGCGCTATTGGGCTGTTGTTTTTATTTTTATTATGTATTTTGTGATTTTATATCTTGATTTTATTCTGTGAACCGCCCTGGGACCCCTGGGTATAGGGCGGTATATAAATTCAATAAATAAATATAAATAAATAAATCTCCACTTACAATCAGTGAGCTGTCTGGAGAAAGCAAAACTGCCCTGGGTCCAGAAGATGGCAATCCGGAAGAAATACTGAAACCCTTTAAGCCTGGGCAGACGGTGACATGCTTTGTTAAGAAGGTGAGGCCTAAGACTTCTCTACCTTTGCGTGGCAAGGGTTTTCCCCTCCCCCTTCATTTTAAAAAGTTGGGCCAGTCTTCACTGTAGATTTGGGAAGCATGACATGCTTCAGAATACTATGGGTTGATGCAATTTCCCAATGGGGTATAGTGTCCAAAATGTGTGGTTGTATGTGTGTCCATAAGCTCTTGTTTCACTTGGCTTGGGGGGGTTGATGTGGAAATTCTGGAATAATTTATAGGATCTATTACCAGGGAATGCATGGTAAAAACTGGACTCTCTTTTCTAGTGAAGAGTTTTTTTATTTTCTCCTGTTTGCTTCTATTCTTAGTACGCTGCAGCAAATAAATGGCTGGAGGTGGAGGTCACCCCTAACATTAGAGGGAGAGTTCAACAGCTGCTACTTTCCCTTCGACCCACGGTAAGTAATTGCCAAGGAATGAAGGGCACAGGACTCTTGCAGGAAGCTACGCTCAATAACATGAAAATCTGCAGTAAAGAAACAGAAGCATTAAAATGTTAGAAATGTGTTGTTCTGGCTATTACCAGAGACACAGCCATGTTAGTCAAACAAAGTCTGATAGCATTTTTTAAAAGGCTAACCAATTTATTATGACATAACCTCTATATGCCATAATAAATTTGTTAGTCTTTACAAAGCCAAAAGGATACATCCTTGGGATTGTTATTTTTTGTCCAAGTTAAGCTTTAAGAATTCTACAGCCACATAAAAGCCTATTTACATAGTCAATAGCAGTCACAGCAAGGGTTGCTTCTTTCAGGATAAGAGGAGTACAAGGCTTTTTTTGTTCAGATTTTCACTGGAAAGGTGTAGGAAATGTTCTGGTCTCTCTCAGGGCATTTCCCAAATAAGTACACAATTTGAAACCTTAACTATTTCAAAATGGTTTTTATGAAGAGCTAAACACTAGCCCAGTTTCCCCCCCCCCATGCATCACCACTGTGGGGAATTCTTCACAGGCACAATTAAGTGGTTGGATGATGGTAATGATCAGGTCATTCTCTCACAACAGGTCTTAAAACACGCAGGGAAACACTTCAGAAATGGACAAGCTTTGGCTGCGACGGTGACCGGCTCTGATGTCACTGAAACTAAGCTCCACCTGTCACTTACAGGTATGATGAGAAGAGAGTGCCACAACATTAAGATCCCAGAAAGAGACAGCCAATGACGGTCACCCTCCATCTAGTCATCAGAGGCTTATAAACCCAATTCTATATGCTCACAATAACTCTGATCCTGTAGTTCCTTGTATGTGAAAAGCTTCAGATGTGTCATGGAATTCTTGAGCATGAAAGGGCTTTCCATTTACTCCAGTGTTGTCTCTCTCTCACACACACAGCCCCATGTTCTTATCCACATTGTACGCATGTAAATACCTCTGTGGCATTGGAGCTCCATACACGTTAATATGCTTGCAGAAAGCGGGGCCAGGATGTATGCCAGTCAAAGTGAATGGATGAGTAATCATTTTGTAGCTCTTGATGATGATGCCTTTAGTAGTAGGGGCTTGTTTACGTCATGAAAGTGGCACAACTAGAGGATGAGCAACCAAATGCTGAGCAGTGGCTGTTGGTCATAGGACTTACCTTTATACCAAGTCAGACCAACTGTCCATTTAGCTCAGCATCGTCTACATGGACTGGCAGTGGCTCTCCAGGGTTTCAGGCAGCTGTACCTAATGATGCCAGAACTTGAACCTGAGACCGTCTGTGTGCAAAGCACTTGTTCTCTGCCACTGAACTACAACCCTTCCCATGTTGGTTGGGAGCTACCTCCAGCGCTGGAGACAGTATTCCTCCAGTTCCCAGCTGCTGGGAGAAACAAGCAAGAGAATGTTGTTGTATTCATATCCTGCTTGCAAGCTTCCCTTAGGCACCTGGCTCACCACTGTGGGGAATGGGATACTGGACTACATAGAGGCTTTCATCTGATCTGACAAGGCTGCTCTTCTTGTTCTGTTTTTGTCTCTCCTGTTGTGGTTCTGACAAAGTTTGAAAGACAGTGTTTATGTGCAAGGCAGCGAGAGTATATTTCCTTGTTACTATTAGAAGTTGAATTATAGTCCTTCCCTGTGTGCCAGTAAAGTTCCTGGTGCAATTTGTACTAGGGACTGGATTAGGTCCTCCGTATGTGGGAATTGATCGTAGATGCACTTGGGGTTCAGGATCCAGCCTGACAACCTTTAAGTGTACTGTATAAGTAGGCCATAGGGGAGTGGGGTATTATAATATCTGACTTGATCTCTTTGAACCTCCTCACCCCTGAACAGGAGTTTACTCTCTGGAGAAAGGAACCATCACGCTAGGCTATGTGAGCAAGGTGATTCCGCATGTTGGCCTGAATGTTGAGCTTCCCTTTGAAAGGAAGGGGAAAGTCAGCCTTTTCCACCTGAGTGATTCATATGCTGAGCAGCCACTAGAAATGTTCAGCATTGGGAAAATTGTCAGGTAAGAGTCTTATGCAAAATCATGTCTGTAGACAAGCTGAGGGAATTTTATTTGACAGTCATTTAACCCTAAATCCTTCCTGGTCTAGAGCTTCATTGGTTCTTTTAGATCCTTAATGCCTTCATGAAGCCCATGACCAAGAGCAGTTATCACATAACTAATTTAATCCCAATATTTTCTGTGGGGAGGGTCTTTTCGAAACGTTCAAAAGTTCCATGTTTTCTTTTTCCTGCATACAGGTGCTATATCCTTTCCAGTGAAGGTAAAAAAATGGAAGTGTCCCTTCGACAATCCAGGTAAGGATCTACACTCTAAATTTAGATGGGGAGAAGATTAAATAATAATAATGATGATAATAATTAATAATAGAAAATACTCTATATCCTATTGCACAGGTTTTCAAAATTAGCATAAATTGCCCTGCTATTTGGGACATAGGAAGAGGGAACCTAACATTTGGGCCTAAAGTGCAACTACAAAATTTTGGATGGATTCTGCAAAGCAGATAAATGGATTCTGCAAAGCAGATAAATATGTGTCCTTTGATTCGTTTGCTAAAGTTGCTTGCTGTTTTTGAGTTCTTGAATTTTTTTTTTAGGATACTGTGGTTTCTTGTTTGTTCTTGACTTTTTTGTTTCCAGTTCTTAAGAACAGGGGAAGTAAAGAAATCCCACTAGGACTTCTACTTCGTTCATTGCTTTCTAAGCTCTAAGCTTTTCGAGGGCAGCTAGAGCTCTACTTTTCTTTATTAACAAAGTGGAGATAGAAGTTGTCAGCATTTCAAAACCCTCGCATATGTTGCAATAGTTTCTGTACTATGGATATGGAGATCTTTTTACTATATTGTCAGGATTTTCCGCTTTGCAGTCACCAGAAGTGTCCTTTCTAATAAAGAAGCCTATCCAGAAATAGGGCATTTCACTACTTCTCCATTTTTGTTATAGGATAAATCCCAAGAGTCATTGTAAAGTGGAAGACCCTGAAATCACATCCCTCGATGATCTTCAGAATGGTCAGCTTGTCAGAGGCTATGTCAAATCCATCACTCCATCAGGCATCTTCTTTGGGTAAGTTTCCCTTGCTGACCATAAAAAAGCGAATTCCACGTTGTGAATTTTTGTTGGAAGGGTGTCTAAATAAATTGTAGAGCAGTTTGGAGCCTATAGTTCTAGAAGTCAGGAATGGCCAGTTGTTCCATCTCAGAGCAACTTTACCTAACCCTGAACAATCTGAATAAATTTTAATCAATGAGGGGTGGGGTGGAGTTTGTCCACCATTTCACTTATAACATTTTTCTTTTAAGAAATAAAGCTGGTCTGCAATAGGAGCAAAATAAACCTGTGTTACTATATGCCACTATCTTTTTTCCCCCTTGGCAGGTTGTCTGACTCGGTTGTGGGTCAAATCCCACCACAATTTATCTCTCCTCTCTTCGTCTCGGATCATTCATTGTGTGCAAAATACATACATGCCGGCCAGTTTCTTACTGCCAAGGTTTTCAGGTAGGTGTGATGTTTCCTAACAGAGGGGTGAATCTGGGATGGAAAATATTGCGGAGACACATGAGGACATTATGGTTCACAGGACAACAGAGACCAGAGTTCAGATATCACAACAGTTGTGGGCTAACAGGTGGTATTGGGGAAAGCATTTCTATATTTTCCTCTGCTCGCTGTCTTATGAAATGGAAATTATAATGACTACCATAGAGTGCTGGTGTGATGCTCAACAAGTTGAATAATGTTAAAGCCTGTGTTACTATTAAGAAAGTACTGTGTAGATTTAATGTTTATAGCAATTCCTTATCTCTCCTGCCACTTTCTTTCTGCCCCTTCTCTTTTACTCATTCTGCAGTATAAATAAAGAAAAGAACCTTGCAGAGCTCTCTCTCCTTCCTGAAGACACTGGGAAGCCAAGCATTATCCCAGAGTCCCTGGAACTGCCAGTTGGTGAAAAGGACGTGCAGCCAAGAAAGCGAAAAAGGGGAAACTCTGAAAGTGAGCAGGTATTTATCCTGGAAAAGGGGGTTTTAACCCCACTGTTGATGTGAACAGTTATCCAACGATGCAAACAAACTACACACACAAAAATGTTAATTTTTTTTTTTTAATTAAGTTGCGCTACCTGAACTTTTTTTAGGAGGTTAAAGCACGAAAGAAGAAAACTCGTTGCCCTGAAGATGATGATAGTGGTGTTGAGGTCTACTATCGGGAAGAAGAGGAGGGAGAAGAGAAGAAGTGTGCAACAAAATCTAAGGTAAAAGACTGCCTGGAGCATTGTTCGTGCTTTGTGTGGGATGCTTGCTGTGTGTGTTTCTAAATAGAGGCTTTTTTCTTGATTGTGTTTTCTGCAGGAAAAGAAAGTTCCAAGGCTGCAGGTTTCAGCCAGCTTTACATGGGAGGAAGGCTTAAGTGTGCTGGATACGACCATGTTGAACCAGAGGGAGCAAAGCTCTGACAGCGAAGAAGACGACGATGATCTTACAGAGTCCACGGTAGAGTATCTCAATGTATTTTGCTTTGCATAGTGCTTGGTATGCAATCCTGTTTACTTAGGCCTCTTAAGAGAAGTACTATCTTGCTGGCCTAGAAAGTACAAAGGCAGTGTTTTGCTTCTAAAATTAGCCTAGCTCTATGTCAGGAATTAATTTGTGCAAAAGGCCTTTTGTGTTTTAGGCTTGCATCTGGGATTCATTGATCACTTATTTAGATATACCTTTGTCTATAGAGACTATCCGTATATAGTTCCTTTTCTCTAGATGTGTTGCTCTGAAAAGAATGTTTTTGTATATGCAGCTGAATTTTGAGCCATGCCCCTACTCGCAAAACTCTCTATCCTTTTCAACTAATTGGCTTCCTCTCCTGTCTTGGCCCTCTGTTTAAGACCAAGAAGCAGACAAAGAAAAAAAAAGAGCTCGAGAAGCAGAAGGCAGAGAAGGAACTTTCCAAACTTGAAGCTGCCCTGATGGATCCCAGCCGGCAACCTCAGACAGCCGACGACTTTGACCGATTGCTCCTTGGCAACCCAGACAGCTCCATCCTCTGGTTGCAGTACATGGCTTTTCACCTTCAGGCTACGGAGATAGAGAAAGCAAGAGCTGTGGCAGAAAGGGCACTCAAAACCATCTCCTTTAGGTGAACTGCTTCCCCTTATCATCCATTTTTAGCTTTTAGTTGATGAGCTGCTATTGCCCATGCATGCTTAGCTTGGCTTTATCTTGTGGGAGGGGCACCTGCAGAACAAAGTGGACAGTTCTATTACTTTCTCTCCCCTCCCTTCACAGACATTGTCCAGTCAGATCTCCTGCTTTCTCTTCCAGGAGGATTTGTTGAGCAAAAGGCGAGCATTGAGCCATGTGTAGGTAGGGTGGTTATTTGTGGTCCCTCTTTCTTTCAGAGAGGAGCAAGAGAAGCTGAATGTGTGGGTTGCACTGCTGAACCTGGAGAACATGTATGGCACCGAGGAAGCTCTAATGAAAGTCTTTGAAAGAGCCATCCAGTACAACGAGCCTCTGAAGGTCTTCCAGCAGCTGGCAGACATCTACAGTGGCTCTGAGAAATATAAGGTGAGGCTGGGTTTACAGTGTTGCCGAGAGAAAGATCACTTCTGCTCACTGAGTCTGGCAGGGAAATTGCTTGTTCATTCTGTTTTTGGGAAGAGCCCACCGTGGTTGATCCACCTGGATCCTGCGCTTCCATCTACCCTGTGGATTTATCATGCTGTGGATTTTTCCTTCATTTTGGACAAGCATCAGGCTGATTTCCCTACATTCCTCTTTTTCATCTAAGCAGTACCACCACATTGCCTCTTGCTCTAGCTTGTTGGCAGCATAATATTCTCTGGGGCCCATGAGTTGGGTTCTGTACTCCAAGATACATACAGTTGTGAATAGCATACAAAGGCAGGGGAGAACCACAGGATTCAAAGTGTGTTTCCATGGTTTGAACAATCCTCTCTCCTCTGATTTTTATTTTCAGCAAGCTGATGACTTGTACAACACAATGCTGAAGCGCTTTCGTCAAGAAAAGTCTGTGTGGGTGAAGTACGCCACTTTTCTCCTGAAAAGAGGCTTGGTGGAGGCAGCTCATAAGCTCCTCCCACGTGCACTGAAGTGCCTGCCAGTCAAAGAACGTAAGAACCACTTTGCTCTTCTTTCCTATGATTAGCATCTAAATGTCATGTTGGTTATTTATGCATTACACAGGTAATATCTAGGAAATGCAGCATGTGCTGTGAATCTAAAAATATCCATAGCCATTGTTAGCAAATTCTCTTTCAATAATTTTATTGGTACTTTCCTTTTTTAAAAAAAACTTTTCAAAGTTAATCAGTTAGGGATTGGGGGGTGGAGCTTGTTCTGATTGGGGAGATTTCAAAGTTAATATAAAGGACTGTGTATATTCCTGGATGCTGCAGTTTTACCAATGGCTTGAGAAATTCAGACAGGATTTTCATGGCCTAGATTGAATGCAAAATACCCTTTTGCATTGATTGCATAATTTCATTTCTTTCCCTCCCGATGCACTGAAGCAAACCCAAACAATAAAAAAATTGCCAACACAATGAACAATGCACATTTTATGAAACACGGGGGCGGGTGTTTCATAATTTTAGCTTTGTTGCCTACTCTGGGAATTTGGTAGCATGGAACCCCAATTCCTTGCTAATATTATTGCCAAAGTAACTACAGCATCCTTGAACTCTAAGCAGAGGCAGTGACGACTAGCCAGAAGAACACTTCTAAAATGCACTTTTGCAGATCTGGATCTGATATCAAAGCTGGCACAGCTGGAGTTCCAGTTTGGTGATCTGGAGTATGGCAAGACCGTTTTTGAGAATACCCTGAGCACCTACCCGAAGCGTACAGACATCTGGTCAGTGTACATAGACATGATGATCAAACATGGCAGCCAAAAGGAAGTACGGTGAGTACTAGTATGGGAAAGTGGGCTGGTACTTCTGAACTTCCTAGGAAATGATGTAAATACAACATAAGGGATGCTTCTTGGCCTTAAATCCAGGGAAGCTGGGAAGCTTGATTTCATGTGAGCAAATATTTACAACTCTGAAAGGTGCCGCAGGAAGTGAAGCATTAGGAACCTGTATTAGGCCTGCTATTTACTAGAGGAACCCATTGGCTTTCTTTCTCAATACTTTCCCTTCTCTCAGCCTGGAAGCTGAGAGTCTAGCATGAGAACCTTCATACTCATAGGCCATGATTCCCAGTTTTCAGAAAAGGCACAAAATGTATGTAAATTTTAATTGCAATCTGGTAAAAAAATATACTGCTCCATAGCACAGAAATTTAAAGAACTTGCTGGTATGAAAACTGAGGTGTGGGGCATGTGGCTTCAGAGCAACACCATATGATTTTTGTTAACAGTCATGGGAATTGCAGAGAGCCTGTCCTTGAAGCATGACTGATTACACCTTTCTGCTCTCTCTTCCAAGTTTCTAGAAATCTATTTCCCTTTTCAGTAGCAAAACAGCCCTTAAAAGGCCCCAACACTACTTACTCTCTAACAAGAGAAGAAGCAAAGGATTTGTGTCTCTTACCAATTCTAGTAAATCAGTTTTGCGTCATAACATCCTAGCTGAGTTTACATGTAATGGGAATTCATAGAACTCCACTATGTGGGTGAGCCTTAGCTTGTTCTCTTAGCAGAAAACCATAGTTTTCTGTTGAGCCCCGGTTGCTGCAGGCGTGCTCTTAGACTAGAAATATTCTCACTTCTCAGGCTAGGGGTCCCCTGCCATGCTTGTAAAGAGCAACTGAGATGTGCTTGACATTTGACAGAGCAGGATTTCTCAATGAGGGTGATATACCCCTCCAAGCATGTGTGTACTGAACACTGCAGGAAAACACACAAGTGAAACTTGTTCTAGTTTCAGAAGCTCTGTGACCAGATCCTTGTAGATGCTAGGAATCTGAAAGCTCTGTGATTGAACACAATGTCTGAATTTTCTGGAAACACATGTGGTAGTCACTTCCTGTCTTCTAGGCATCATTTTGATAAAGCGCTTATGATGGGCAAGAAAGATTTGTACCCACAGGATCAGCTAACTCCTAGGCCCATGCTTTTTCTGTTGCTTGTTTGTTACCTGTTTGATTGCATAATAAAAAAGAGTTTTCCTTGTTTTTGTTTTGCAGGGATATTTTTGACCGTGTAATACACCTAAGCCTAGCAGCGAAGAAGATGAAGTTTTTCTTTAAGCGCTATCTGGAATACGAGAAGAAGTATGGCACAGCAGAAACAGTCCAGGCTGTGAAGGCAGCAGCACTGGAATATGTGGAATCCAAGAGCAGTCTTGCTTGAGGGCTAACTTCTAGAGCAGTCAGGCTTTTTTTGTTCTCACTTGCAGTGCAAGATGCAGCAGGGACAGAGAAGCAGACCATAGCTGTAAGGAGGAGAGTGTTTCTGCCTGCTCCATTTCCTGATCTCAAAAGCAGATTGGGTTAGCCTGGACCAAATTACTATGCTTTATCGAGAACTGTGTGAGAGCATAGTTTCTGTAGATGTTTATACCTATTGAACCTTACAAAAACTTTTGAATATGAGAATTATAGTTGGAGCTTTATTTAAATTTATTTTGGAGTATAAAAATAGCAGAAAGTCACCCACTACTTTGTGCTTTCTTGTTGCTCTGCTCATTAAATGAACCAGGGTTTTTTAAAGCTTCCTTTTTCTTCTGTTCATTTTCAAAGGTGCAAGGAATACTTCTGGTGTCTGTCTTCTGCCAGTATTCTAGGGTGTGTTTCCTGGCTTGTCTCATTAGATTCATTCTCACATACATACAGTCTATCATAAATCTGACTTAAGAGAGGACTATTGGTTATGCCAATATGCAAGAGTTGGAGTTACTCACTGATGCCGTACTTTATGAATATATACCTAGAAAATTATGCCAGGGCTGTTTTCTAGCCCTTATTTTAAAATGGCACATATACTTAACACCTAAACACAATGTAAAAATAGCAGGTGAAAATGGTCCTCTGATATCTGATTTGTCATATAGCCATGACCCAAATTAGAAACACTTTCCAAGGCAAAACTCCTATATCTGCATTGCACAGAATCCAGAGAATGTAATTTATTTAACTGGTGAACAGAAAAAGTCCTAGCCGCCTAGTGAATAATGTAGGGGTAATGTCTCACATCCATTCTCTTAACATTTAGCAGCTGTACATCTTGGTCCCTTCTCTTTTACATCCCATTTATTACTGCTTCTATCCCCTTTGTGCCTACTTGATCCTTATCAAAAGCTTTCCAATAATACAATTGGGATAAGCAGAATATATTTTACAAACAACACAGAACTGATGTAAAATCATCAGATCACCTGATTAATTCAAGGAGCAAGATCTCTTCTGATCATTTACACCGAACTGACCTGGAAAAGCAGGCATAACTCATCCCTTTATATGCATTCCAGCAGTGGGGTATAGTAAGCCAGGGAGAGTGAGTTGCAATGCCTATAGATTTTGGTACGTGACAGACACATGTGAGACTAATGTTAGATTTCTTCACAGAACCGTAATGGTTTAATGTTACAATTCCACATAAATCTTGTGAATATCTTGAATGCCCAAGAAAACTAGAGATGTGGATGTTAAGTCACTTGAAAGGTGACTGTTGCAGCATTTACTAGAACCATGAAAAATGACAAAACATACATTGGATCATGTTGTTTATACAGTCCATGTGGTCTGTGCCATATTTGAATAAGGAAGACCATAAAAGCCATGAGAAATTATAACAGCATTTAGAAAGAGCCGTGGAGTGAAAAAACACAAAATCAAATTACAGTACATGATACCGGACTTATTATAGGGTCCCTCAGCCAGGAAAAGGAAGCTCTTCCGGTCTTCTGTTCATCTTAGTGTGGCTTAAACTCCAAGCAGGCATCAAATTCTGATTATGGTTTTTGCTGAGGATACTAAATGTTCATACCTTGCCAAAGGTAGAATATGTCATGGATAGGGAACCTGTGCGCCTCTAGATATTGTTAGTCTGTACTCCCATAATCTGACCATTGGCCATGCTGGCTAGAGCTGATTGGAACTGGAGTCCAATATCTGGAGGCCACCTATTAGCCATCCTGGAAATAAATAGAAGTGCTTTTCTGTATAGCAGCAATTCAGGTCATTAGATAAAATCCCTGATTTAATAATTTGGGGAGTCACCCTTTGGACAACAGACCCTTGAAGCAGGACCCTTTACCATACTCTTCAACTCTCACCCACAAACTTTTATTAAGAAAGGATAGTCCCCAAACTAAGATGAACCTTGCGACATTTTTGGTAAAGGATATGAAGATAATTGTAGTAAATGGGGGGAAAGCAATAGTAGCTCTTTGCTGGTAGACAGTTATTCAGAGACAATTGTGCTATCATCTGAAGTCCAGTATATGGGAAGGCATGTACAAGAGTCATAATGAGAAATGGGATCATAAAAGTGCAAACTGCAGAGTCTTGTCCATTAAATAAAATAATCCAGTCTAGGTCAGTTAGGTGGTTTTTTTTTAATCCTGTGGAGGAAATACAGGGCAGATGCCACTCACAAAAACAGAATTCAGCCAATCCTATGGGTCCTAGCCCTGAATCTTGATAGGGAAGTAGGTTTCTGAGAGATTCCGCTGATAATTTCCTGTACTAGCAATCAGAAATTTGTTGCCTACTACATGTTTCCAGCCTACAGCATGCATCATCCCCTGATCATTGGCCATGCTGTGTGGGGTTGATGTCAGCTGGAGTTCAGCCTCTGGGAGGACCACAGGTTCCCCACCCATACACACACACACACATACATACACACACACACACACACACACACACACATATATATATGTATGTTTGAGCCCTCCTGGAGGAAGTCAAACAAAAGTAAGTTAAGGCACAGCTGCATGATGGCATTATATTGTCTTCAAAATGAGGAGGAAAATAATCAGCAATTTTTGAGTAAGCAGAGCATCCAGTTCATTTCCTCTTCTTTCCATTGTATGTGAGAATACATCAGTGAGAGGCCTCTGGGTATCAGACCAGCTGTCCCAATCCAAGAGATTAGCTGCAATGTTTTCTTTTAGATTTATTATTCTCTTTGACTCACAGTCCTGTGGTCTTAGTTTAGTAGTCCACAGTTCCAGACATTCTGCTGCTCCTTCAATTTCTGTTTCGAAATGTAGTCTTTTGGATGACCACTCACATCAAATCCATTAGCCATATCTTTTGCTGAGAGCTTAGGTCAACAGATAAAATGAAGGTATACAGCACAGATGTACCAAGAGCGGTGGTCACTCTTATAGTCCAGTTCATTCTATGCATGTATACTCAGAAGTAAACCCTATTGAGTTCAACGGGACTTACTCCCAACAGGGAAATGTGTTTAAGTCCACAGCTTCTGCTAGGTAGCTAAGAAGGCCATTTCCTGGCTGTCAGGACCTAAGCTGTTTCCTGTCACACCTTTGGCCCATTTATGGAGACGGCTATAGAGGGGGAAGCCGTTCTTCTCCCGATAGATATAGACCCCTGTGATGGCATCCCATTGTGGCCTGGGCTGAAGGGTTTCGACAGCAAATTCCTGCACCAACTCCTTCTCCTCCTTATCCAGACACACAAAGCCAAAGAAGTTTTTGACGTTGTTTGCAGCCACAACCTTCGAGTGTATCTCAGCAGTGCGCTGGAAGAGTTTGGCCTCACTGGAGCGGTACAGATTCCAGTAGTCCTCCTGGCGGTAGCTGAGTGGTGAGCAGCAGTGTTTGAGGCACTTGGTGATGAACACAAGAACTGCAACCGCACCAATGAGCATCCACCCAAACAGCTGAAGAGAAAGACAAATAAACCAATTAAAATTTGCATTCCCTTTAGGAGAAAGTAGGGTTCAAAAGGATATCCTTGGCTACCACACATTGATTTGTATATAAATAGAAAAATTCCCACAGTTGGTAAAACTGGAAATTGCAAATGGAAAAATACAATATATCCTGGAACAGGGACCCACAACCTTTCTGGATAGGGGCACATTTGGGACTCTGAAACTGTCCTGGGCAGCGAAAAACAAGTCACAAAAGGAAAAAGTGGTGCTTTCCCAACATCCCCTAGAACAGGCATGTCTAACCAGTAGATCGCGATCTACCAGAAGATCCCTGGCTGATCCTGGTAGATCGCGGGACCCCTATCAATCATGGGATTAAGAAACAGTTTACCAAAAGTTAACAAATAAAAGCTGAAGAACTTCAGGCAATCCACCCACCCCATGCATGCTCCCCCTCCAATGACTGGGTAGATCACTGCCAATTTTTTTATACTGGGAGTAGATCAGTCTCTTGGGAGTTGTACATGCCTGCCCTAAAACAAGCAAAGCACCTATAACACACACACGCCTGCCAAATCAGACAACCCCCGTCACAACAGGTATCCTTTCGAACCAAACAAATACCCCAAAACAAAAACAAACAATGGGGAGCAGCAGGGGGCCTTTGTGAATGTCAAAGAGTGTCTGAGGGTGCTATGTTGAGGGCCCCAGTTGTAGAGAAATATAAGAGGATTTAGTTTCCAGTGGCCAGACAGAGGCTGAAAATGAAGCAAAAGAGTTCAGTTCAGTCGATTGTTGACCATTTAAGGTTGCAATCCAATGTTTTCTTACTGTGGGGTGAGCGTCACTGCATTGAGTGTAGCTGCTTCAAGTAATCATGCAAAGAACTGGGTTGCAAGGGTTTGTAGATCAGCCCCCACTGGGGCAGCCACAGAATAAATTGAACTAACGTCTAAGCCTTGCCCAGAACAGCAAATGGGTGCAGAATCACATAGATCTAAAGAAAGCCCAGGGGCATGCTATCATACTATGATATCCTGAAAACCCAAAGTTCATACCATGATATGAATAATAACAGTAACTATGTACAATGATAATGGAGTAAAAGAAAAAGCAAACTCACTAGCAGAAAAGGAAAATAGTAATCAAGGGAATTACCATTAGTTAATCGTATTAGTTGATGGAGGGGAAGTTAATAAAGACTCTAAAATGTACCTGTTTTAGGAATTTACAGCTTATCAGGTATGTGTCATATCCTAATATACCAAAAGCACACATTTTGGAATGGAAAAATATGTTCTAAGCCCTTAATTATTCTTATTCCAAGCAGGAGGCAGCACTCCTCTGCTTCAGACGTACAAGTAGGTAAAATGCAATACCTGAGACTCATACTTTAATCGTCTTATAACCTCATCCTGAAATCTTGTCAAGTTTTGCGGCACGTCTTTACAAGGGAACCTGGCCATGGTTTCTGCTCCGTAGCCAGGTGGAAACTTATCCAGAGACGTAGGTTCTATGAATTCACTCAAGGCACAGACATAAGCCTCTCCACGAAGCAGTGAGATCACGGACCATGTAACAGGAGCAACTGCAGCCCGTCCCATGACAGAGCCAAAGATCAAGAAGTTGGCTGCTGCTGAAAAGTTCTTGGTTCCTCGTTTGTGGCATTCAGCTACCAAGTTCCAAGTGTGATTGTTCCAGATGACACCAATGACAAACAGGGCCAGAGCTGGTACACCAATGGCAGCCAGACCATAGATGTAGTTCCTGGCTGGGGAGCATGGACAATGGAAAGCAACCACAGAGAAAAGTTCTTGGCTTCCAACAGTGCCCAGAGCCACCAGGCCATTGAAAATCATCACATCTTTGCTCTTGAAGAAAAGTGAAAGGAAGCGGAAGTTTTCAGCAATGAAGGCAGCCATTTTGCTTTTCTGTATCCAGTTCAGACTTCAGTGTTCTGATGTGGAGTTGTCTGCAGCATCACGGAGTCTTGTTCTTCTCACCTTTCCATGGGCTGCAAAACAGAATAGTTACTAAACATTGGGAACTAAGCATTATCATGGTTGCTAAAGGTCAAGAGATACAATAATACATACTCTTATCTACTTAATAGCTACAATAATAATCCCATGCACACTATATTGTTTGCAATGTCTGCTGGATTTTGGTATACTTTTGGTATTTTCTTTACCTAGTACTATAAATTACATACCAAGTGTACCTGGTTGGTAGGTAGAATACTGTCTTATTTGAGCAGTGAATCTCTACTTCTAGCATTATTTTGAGATGTAATATCCTAAAAACAGCTAGTGTTTTAGGACAGAAACGTGTGTCAATTAAAACATGGGAATTTATGTTGCTTCATTACAAAATGTGCTGTCCAGTACTAGTACTATTCATTTTGATGATGACATTTAATAGAATCTCGGGGAAGTCATATTTCATTAGACTTAATGTAATTTTATTTATTTATGGCACAAATGTATATACTGCTTAACATAAAAACACCATAGTGGTGCACAACATAAAAGCACAATATACCATAAACAGCATAAAAAATCAGTATAAACAGAAAGGTCTTAAGCTAGCGTCTAAAACTGAACACTGTTGATACTTGTCTGAAATCAGTAGGGAGTTCCACAAAGCACTGAATTTCCTTGAAGTGTACCTATTTATCTGTCAAAGTATAAAGGATGTATAATAAATGAGACGACTTTCTTCTGATCAGTCTGCCACTGTACCAGCTGCTTCCATTAATAATACTAGAAGATTAGAAAGGACTAGGCAGTCATGTACTTTAGTGAACAATCTGGCACTCCATTGCCTTTGAATCCGTAGCTGGACTTTTTATCTCACCGTACAAGAGAACACTCAAGCATGGCTTACCTTCACTTCTATGAGGCTTTAATGACCGACTGGAGTTTGAATTTTCAGTGAAGAAACACCATTATCAGAATAGAAAATGTGCTGCTGTTAATCTTAGGTTCTGTCCATGTGTTACTTTGCTACCAAATTTTCTGTGTGATCTTGAGACAGATGAATCCTCAGTTTTGTTGTACTTCCATTCACTAGTTCTGACCAGACTGTTGTTATGAACACAGGAGTATTTACATGAGTTTACTGTATTAGTGTGAACAGGTTGGACCAAATGAATGGCACTTGATGGATGGAATAATGAGGAACAAATAGTCATTGCCTGACTAATTTGAATCAATGGGAGGTACACGGAGTAATGAATTAATGGGAGCAACAATTCATTACCTTAGGTGACACAGCTGCATATCCTAGCAATTATGGCCACTCAGCAATGTGAATAATATATCTCCAAGCACCATCTAGTGATAGGTTTACTAATTGCACATTTGGGGCATTATACTTGTATGTATAAAAGTTTAATCCAGCATGTGCTTGAATGCCTCCTGCAAGATAGGGCTGGGCTGGAGGTACCCTAGGAACAGCAGGGTCTCAGACAGAGACCTTTCCTATCACCTGCTACCTGAGCTACTTAAATTATGGGCTGGCCCTACCATTAGGCAAAGTGAGGCAACTGCCTAAGGTGGCAGATGGAGGATGCCAGCAGCAGCTTCCTGGCTGTGCCTCATAAGGCCCCCGGCCAGTTCCTTCTGTCAGGAGGACAGAATTGTGTGTGCTACAAGGCCTGACATGGCCCTCCTAAGTTAGCCTTCTGAGATTTAGTGGAGTGTGCTATTCCATGACCAGCCTTGTGGTAAGATTTGGCTCTCAGTCCAGTTGGCTTCTGTACATAGAAATGGCAGGAGGTGCTTGCTTAAGGCAGCAAATGTCTTGGGTTGGCTCTGCGTAAACAAGAGGTGCCAGGGATTGATCTTAAAACCACCTGTATTCAAATCATCTGCTCTACTGCTGTACTATTGCCCCTTCCCACCATGAACATAATTAGTAATGATTTTTTCCTATGGACCCCAATATAAGGTTGCCATATGACTGGAATTTCCCAGACATACCAGAGATTTGGATGTCAGAAACTGTGTCCAGGCAGAAATCGCTTGAACGTCCAGGAAAATACAGATGTATGGCAACCCATGTCGTAAGTGTAGAATTTCCTTAAAAACCTCAACAACATTGCCCCCTCCCCAAAAAAACAAACCAAAAATCAACAACTTTTGTGCCTGGATTTTTGAAATATGGCAACCCTGCCCCAATCTCTCTTTCTATGACAGTTACAGCCAATTCAGTCCCCAACACTCTGCAGGCCTGAAGCCTGATCCCTCATTCTTTTCCTCACCATCCATAAATGCAGCTTAGGGCCAGGAGCAACAAATAAATAAAAAAAGGTACCCCACAAGTAACCATCTCTGTTATCCCTTCAGTCCTCCAAATGGATAATTCTAGATTCTCCTTCAAACTATGGTAGGATTTGTTTTGTTCCAATATGCGTCACTTTGTATTTACATTGAATAATATCTGCTATTCTGTTGCTCATTTATTCAGAGGTGTCCCCCACCCGTGAGTTGTTCTCACTCTGGTCTGGATTGCAGCATTTTGAAAAATGAATAATTTGAAGTCATTTCTAAACTAGGTTACTACCCTCTTCACCTTGAACTTCATATCATTTATAGTTAAACACTAGATCACTTTTCAACACAGATTCTTAGGGGATGCGACTGTTTACTTCCCTCCACCATAACAATTCTCAGTCCATTGTATGTGTTTACTGATTTTTAGTGTGTTACAAATCCACAAAGGACATGGCTTTTTATCCATGCCTGATAAATTTTATTAAAATAAATCCCCTGTGTTCCTTAAGTATTATTTTGACACATTTCTGTTATCTAACACCCCCAGTGTCATCCTAGTTTCTTCACAGAATTTTATTGAGTTTTTAATTTTTTTTGTAATATTCTCCTCAAGTTCTTTATTTGCTTGACTTACACACAGCTTGCCTGTGTGCTCCCCCGCCCCCCGCCAGAGGGCAAGACTTCCACTCTTTAAAGGAAGCTTTCTTGCCTTTTATAGCTTCCTTGACTCTGCTATTTTTAACCATTCTGTGTTCCGTTTGGACTTGTTTGTACATTGTCTAAGCTGTGGTATTGGTTCCATTTGAGGAGACTCTGTTAAAGTGTTTTGTTCTGACATAACCTCCAAGCTTCCTGAAAAGATATGGCACTTATAACAGTACCCTTTGGGTTTCTTTACCAGTCCTCTTATTTGGGAAGCGTGTGATAAAATTAACTGAATGTGCTGTATTTTCTGATTTTTTTAAAAAAACAAATACATATATGCTGCATTTCATAGGATTATGTTCCCTGTTCCCAAATAGCTTGACCGTGCTTGTGTTTTGCATCAAATAATAATAATAAGCAGGGTTGTTTTTTCAGCTAGAACTCACTGGCACTCAGTTCCAGCACCTCTCACGTGGGTGCCATTATAAGAGAACAAGGGAGGTGTTCATGATGAGTCCCGACACCTCTTTTACTAGAAAAACAGCATTGATAATAAGCATTAAGTCAAACTGCCAGAGGAGGAAAGATGAGGTAGATGTATGGTCTTCCAAGTCATGGACAGTCTCCCATCATGCCTTAAGTACAGCTAAAACCAATCTGGGGCTGTAGCTTATGTTTTTAAAAATCTTGTAGGCATTTTTAGGTTGCAATCCTATACCACATACCTGGGGGTAGGCTGTGCTGAATTCAATGGAGCTTACTTTGTGGTCATTGCAGCACCTGGTGCCGTCCAGCTAAATATAATTTTCTCCTATGGATTTTAATTGGGCCTCATCAATGCAAGTCAACTAACACCTTAGTTTGCAAGTCTTTTCAATTAAAGGATGTTTGTGGGCTTCCCGTATGATTATGGTTGGCCACTGTGAAAACAGGATGTTGAACTTTGGGCAGGGCTTTTCTTATGTAAATGCTTTATGCATCTTCAGCCTGAGTACTTGCAGTACAGAAGATAGCAGAAATTAAAAATGATTATACAAGTGAGAGGAAGAACCAGGAAATTCCTTTCCATCTACTCATACACGTGCTTGAGTCATGCACTCTCGGGACTGAAGGACTGAATCTACATTAATACTCTGAACTGAACTTCTATGCAGCAATTTTGGCACCTTAAATCTCTAATATATCTGGGAAAAGGCAGGTTGGGGTAGGGAAGTAAACAGGCATTCCCATTCCTTCTCTTTCCCTCCCTCCATTATAATCTTCAGGAAAATATAAAAACACCATTAACCTCCTGTTAATGCTGATGGAATCTATTACTCTTATACTTTATAGTGTAAGGTCACTTGCAACATAAATGCAAAAAATATATGTCTGGCATCTCACATGTCATCCTTGTGCCTGAGAGCCACACCCTTAGACCAAGGCCTGAATGTCAGGAACAGCCACGCACATTTCAGTACATACACAGACCAACTACTCCACCCAGAGATTTGTAGATTCTTTTAACGTTCTTGTGCAGGGATTGTTGAAATCGAAACAAAACAAAAGCACCACTTGAAATTGAAATATTGATAAAAGATGTGAAAGAACTGCTCACATAGCATAGCAAAGGACTATATTGCGTGTAAGCTATTGTGTGTAAACCAGCTGGGCTTGCTGCCAGTTTGCTATCGCTGCACAAAAATAGTTTGAGAACTTTTTACGGAGGAAGCAAACAGGCGGCAAAACTGATCTTTTCTACTTCTCTAGCTCTGACATCTGGCAGCCCAGCAAACGTCTTTCTTGCTAATAATAGGAGAGGGGGGTTGCTGGGATCACAAGTAGATATATTTAGTGCATGTATTTGTTTTCAGAAAGCTCCAGGTTTCCCAAAATCAAAATGAAACTTGATGAGAGAGAAAAAAAGTTACTTACTTCTGCAGATCCCCAAGCCTCTTTTTAGCTGGCCACGTGGGTTTTGAATCTATTCCAGGAACATCTGGCTGCCCTGCACATGAGGATAGAGAATGGGATCTGATGCAGAAATTGCCGCTGACAGAAGAAAGAGTTAAAAAGCGTGAGTGTGCTGCTATCCAGCAGCTTCCTTTTGCTTGCAAAGGGCCTGGGTGGTGTGTGTTTTTGGGTTTTTTTGTTTAATTTTCATGTTCAAAGGGAGGGGAGAGGCTTCCGTCTGGGTGGGGATTGTAGAGGGAGGGAGGGAGGGAGGGAGGGAGGGAGAAAGAATTGGCCAGATTCATCCTCTTGCTGTCACGCAGAACACTGCGCCTTTAAGGAAAGGAAAAAAGTGTAGGGAAATGATAGGAAAAAAATGGTAGGGAAATTACAGGAAAAAATGAAACTCCTCATAACCAGATCAAGATGACTCATTCACAGAATGGAAAACAAAAAAAACTGTCTGGGCTGTGAAAATAGGCATTGCAGTTTCTTCTCTAGCCCCCAAAATAATGCTTGCTCAAGAACAAGGGTTTTTGCCTTTACAAGATGGGGAAGTTGGCAATATAGGTGCTGTTATTGTTACTTCACCATATTTTATAAGCTTTTGCCTAGTAAAGTTCACGCTGCTCTAAGTAAGTACTGTAATTATGGTGAGATAAAACGCCACTGTCTTTAAAGCAAAGGGTGACTAATAATCCATAATGCTGAGTGATGTCAGAAAGACAAGCAAGTGCTACACTCCTGCCTGGTGTTTCCTTTTGTCGTTGCTGCTGTTTGCTGTGGTGACATTGATTACATGAGCATCACTGGACCCCTTTTGGATCATGCCTGTCATTACCTCCTTTTGCTGAGTCCCCAACGGCTAACTCTCAAGCCCACAGGCATCTACTAGGGAGCAGGCCTTTTTCAGTTGAGGGGACAACTTCATGGAATGCCTTCTCCAAGGAGGACCATATCAGTTTGGGCCTTCAGTCACCAAGACAAATCCTGGCTCTTTGTTCCTGTTTGGTTTGTTTTTGTCCCATTGTCTTGTTTTATGAACTCCTGCTGCAATGTGGTGATACCATAATGATGTGGTATATTTGCTTCACTGTTGTTTTTGAAGGTTTTTTGTGTGTGGCCATTTGGGGTTTTTATATGTATCAGCCATCATGGGCTGTGCAAGATCCAGCTGCCCAGTCCCACTCTCTGGTGTCAGAAAATCTCAATGGGAGGCATTGTCTGGCAGCTGCCAAATGGCAGCAAGGGAGGACTTGCCTTCATCCTGGGCTTGCATGATGACACTAAGGACGACCGATGCCAGGTGGCAGGAAATGCCACTGAATAATGTGTCGGCGCAGGGACATTTCTGTTTCTGATACTACATTCGGATATCATTTTATTGTGAGAATTTTTTGTAAGACTACGTGAGCACCTTTCAGGGCTAAAAAGTGGGCTGTAAGGCTTCTTATGCTCCTGTAACAGGACTCTCCTCCCTCCTCTCCCTCTTGCATGTACCACCCCCAAATCTGCCCCAAAACAAACTTGGATGCACAGAGGGAAGAGAGGGGAGGAAGGCCTTGTGCTGATAGGACAGCTTCCTAGCACTACATTGGATAAAATTCTAAGTATTCCAAATAAATGATAGATTTTGATGTTTCATGTAAGCCTCTTTGGGTTCATTTCTTTTAAAAAGAAAATCAGGGTATAACATGCATTTTAAAATACATATCCATCCCCAACCTAGCTACCTGTATACTACATTTTCTCTCCTTTTCTCTCTTGCTTTCTATTCTTGATTCTGTATCTTCGTGGGTTTCTACATATATTTCTGATATTTATTTATTTTTACAATGCAGACTTCTAATAGGAAGGTTTTCCATTGGGAGTAAGGCTAGTCCCCTGCCCCTTCTATTAATTGGGGACAGGAGTATCACCCACAGCAGATGGTTAGCCATCTGCAGTGTTAAAGCTACCAGAAACCACCACCTGTCCGAAAGGACTATTTACCTTCCTTGTGGCAACAGACTAACATGGCTACTCTTCTGGAATTTTATTTTAATGGATTGCCTATTATTTCAGCTGGTGTACACAACTTTGCCATAGGCAGGAAGCCCTGCTCTATAAATAGAGGGAACTTTGTAATGGCATAACTGCGTAAGAAATATTCAGAAGTCACATACACTTACAATGCACATCTGAGTTCTGAAGTGCAGAGGAGTTAGGAAATGTCATTCTTCCAGTCTCTAGCATGAATTCAAGCCCCAAGGAAACCAAATAGTTCATCCCAATTTAGCATGGGCTTTAAGTGTTTCCAGGTTTGACTGCTTGGGCAGGCTACATGGTTCTCAGCCTTTGTGCTCTCTGATAATTCTAATTCAAAGTGTTGGTACTGACCTTTTAAGCCCTAAACGGCCTTGGTCCTGTATACCTGAAGGAGCATCTCCACCCCCATCATTCAGCCCAGACACTGAGGTCCAGCACCAAGGGCCTTCTGGCAGTTCTCTCACTGTGAGATTTGGGTCTCAAGCAGTCATCTAGTCCAGGGATGTCCAACTGGTCGACCCCGCAGTGGAGTTAAAGTCTTCACCCCCTGCTGTCGTCACTCTTTCCTCTGTCCTCTGTTGGGTCAAATGCTTATGTAGTCGGCACGTTAGAAAATGGAAGCAGCTGTTACTGCAGTGTTGTTGTTGTAATAAGTGCTAGATTAGCTTTTCCTCCCTAAAAAAAGCTCAACAACTTTGGCTTTGCCCCCTCTAAAATGTTCAACAACTTTGACTCCCCCCTCTCTCTTGGGAGCTGGACGTGCCTGATAGTCCAACTCCCTGCAATGTGTGTTTGGGGACTGTTTACCTGGCCACAACCTCTGCTGAATCAGGTCTTGGTTCCAGTTCTTAGTATTTATAGCCCTGATCTGACTGCTTGTCTGGTTCTGAACCCTGACATACCTTTATGTATGTCTCAAGTGCCATCTGCAGACTCACTTCAGCTTTGCACCCAGCTCCTGTCCTTATTCTGGAGTTTCAGCTCTTGTGTCCTTGGCTGTAGTCCAGTGTTGACAGTGAATAGCAGGGCCCATAGGACAATTGGGTACGCCTACTGGGACTGATGGGAATTGTAGTCCAGCAACATCTGGAGAGCCACATGTCCCCCATCCCTCATTTAGTTGATCTGCTGCACTGTGCCCCGGTGTTGAATTCCTGTTTACTCTTCAAAATGTACTTAAATATAATCCCTCGCGGTGGCTCCTTTTATAACTGAACTAACCAGTTTTCAGATTTCATATGCACAGCTCTCATGCTTGATGCCCACCTCTTCGTGTTGCTTATGCTCTTCCCTCTTTCTTTTCTTAGCCACCAATATCCACGTGGCAAGCTTTGAGCCTACAAGTGCAGGAAACAGACAGGATGTGCATAGTCAAATCTATTAGTGAGTAGTGCCAGAGTGAGCTGTTGGAAGGGAGAAGCTGGCACTGAGAGGACCCACTATTAAGGTCGTATTCTGGAGACAGAGCATGATGAAGCACAAAACATAACAGAGCTGGCCATACCTTTAGGCAGTTAAAGGCAGCCACTCCAGACAGATGGATTAATGAATCATGAAAGAACAGCAATTGCCATGTTTGAGGTTTTGGCTTTTGCTTACTGTCATAGTACTTGTGGGTATTAAGCACTGTGACTAAGGATCGGCAAATCTGTCAGTTTCCTTTTATCTCCATTTATCTCTCTCTTTCTCTCTCCCCCCCCATCTTAAGTTCAGTTCTCCACATTTCCACATCCATGTGTGATTTTTTTTTTAAGGTCCTCATGAAAATTCATCAGCATTTTAGTATAAGATCCTCCTAATATTTCTGTGTGCAATTTTGCCTATTATGCACATTTTTTCAAAGCAATTCTCCCTAATGAAATGCTTTTTGAAATTTATTTTCACTAATACATATGTTTTTATGCACACTTTATGTTAGTGTAGGTACACATTTTTGCACATAAAATCTGACTGGAGATGCATTGCAAAATTTGGAGAAGTGTGGATGTTAAGGAGTGACAGTGTTTCATATTGTTTCAGAAAGTGCAAATTAGGTGGGTTCAGCTTTAAATGTGAACTGAATGTGCTTTCTCCCCTATCTCCAAATGTTACTTGGGACAGATACCATTTGGTGTTCCGCTACAGGCAGCAAAATCTCTTGAGCTGGGCCTGAAGCATTGTAACAGGGAATGAAGGGAGTATGAAGGATGCAGTGTGGAGATGGGCAACATCCACTGTGATGGAAAAAGATGAAATAAAGGGTTGTTCCAGGCCTGTGTGTCTCATAAGAAGGACAGGTCTAATTAATTGTTGGCAGTTAGCAGTTAATCTCCATTTGTGACAAAGGAAGCACATAGTAAAAGAAAAGGAAATGGTGAGTAAGAAGTGGTTTCAACTAAATTTAACAGTGCTTACTGAATGGAATCTGGAGTTGTTCTCTAAACTGTATTTATTTTTCTTTTAAGTATCTATGCCAGGGCACATTCTGCTTGCTCCTGAGTGGGGAGGTGTACAGGGAACTCAAGAGCTGTTCCAGCCATTCAAGTGGAGAACATGCATACATAGGCAGGGGGGCTTCAGGGTCTGCCCTTGAGTCCTAGTCACATTCTTTTCAGTGTCTGAAAGGGACTATTTGTGTGTACAATTGAGACCCCTGTCCCCATCACCTAAGCACAATTGTTCTACATAAACAGACGTACTGAAAAGACATCAATGATTTTGGTTTGAAAGAGAGGTTTGCACTACCCTCCAAAACATGTGCTTTCCAGTTCTACAAGTCGCACCATTTTATTGTTCCTGTCTGTATTTCCCATGGCAGCAACTGACAACCAGAGAGAGAACCAAACACTGTAACAATCAAAGACACTGAGATCCCAAGGACAGAGGGATACAGTGCTGCAGACAGGATTTACAGTGGTGATGGGGAACCTGTGGTTCTCCAGGCATTGTTTGATGACAGCTCCCAGCATTCCTAACTGTTGACCATCTTGGCTGGGGCTGATAAGAGTTGGGAGTCCAACAACCTCTGGAAGGTCATAGGGTCTCTGTCCCTGATATACAGGCTCCAGAACATATGGGAATAAATAAGGAAGGCTTTTGGTCTTCAGTTTCAGAGAAAAACTGATACTGGTTCCCAGGGGCAGGGAATCATGTGTAAAGGACTCCCCTCTCCTCACTTGTGTATAATTAATATGCATATTTGCCATACGGGTGTCTAGCTATAAATATAAATCAGATAGTAAGCAGAAGTGTAAAGGACCTATACAAAGGGAACTAGCAGCACAATTGTTGTGTTGTGTGCCACCCCAATCTCTCAGCAGTGCAAGATTCCAGGGGTTCCAGACACTTACCCAGGGTTCGTGTTTCCTTTTGGAAATGAGGCACATTGGGGACTGTAGTGTCTTTATGATATATGGTTTAATTACACATATATACAACCTGAGTCTACAATGGAGGGGTTCACAGTATTAACACTCCAAAAGGGTCTTGTTTCTCCTGTAGCCACAGGCTTAGATTTAAACAGGCATCAAACATTGCTCTGTCTCAGTCTTCTCCCAGCTTGCTGCTTTACATCTGGCCCTCATCCCTGCAATTTTTCACTTTTTCCAATTATCAAGTTGAGGGAGGGGCCTCGCCCATTTGCCCTCTCCCACAGAGCTCCTTCCTTTGTTCTCCTTACACTTTCCAGGAGGCTAGCCTCGCTATTCCAGGAATTAGAAGGCTTGATTTGATTTTAACACTTGCTGGATCCAGAGATTAGAGGGTTCCGGCATACAGTTCAACACCCCAAGCTCATAACACTATACAAATCCTATTCAGACAAATTCAGACAAATTCATGGGTAAGTGAGCACAGGATTGCAGCCTAAAAGAAAACAAAGAACACCTATCAATTCTCCATTATTATTATTTTTTGAAACAGGCAAAATATTTATTTATTTAATTAAGTTTATACCCCACCCTTCTTCCCTTAGGAGCCCAGATATTGGGAGGAAGAATGTGCTATCACAGCTGCCAAAACTGATGCCTGGTTACCACATGGGGAGCCAACCAGGCAGCAACTGGCACAAATTACTTCCATTGCAAACAGGAAGAACAGGTTTTCCTAAAACTTGATATTTAACTTAAAGTTATACACCTAAGAAGAATGCAGTGAATATGCTTCACAGTGAAATCACTATTTAAATTTATGTATGTTAGGATGTACAGTAAATAACAACATGCTGCATTTTTTCTATTATATGGACTTGTAGTTTGTTAGTGTGTTTTGGGTATTGTGGGTGCCACCTAAAAAAATAATAATTAATTTTTTAAATTTTTTAAACCCGTATAAATTTAAGATTAAAACATTTAGAAGGTTTTTTTTTATTAAAAAAATATTAAAAACAAACTACTGAGATGCCAAAATTTAAAAAGCTATTATGGTTAAATTAATATAATTTAGTTTTGCTTGGTAAGTAAAACTTGGTAAATAAAATGTTAGCATTACCTGACATTTTCAGAAGGTAAAATTAAAATTCTTTGTTTTTCTGAAAACAGTTTATGTGCTTCTTTATCAAACATAGATTTACCAAGCTAGATATTGGCCAATCACAACAATAATGGATTTGGATTCCGCACACCCAAAAACATAATTAGGACCCCACATTGGATTCACCCTACTGTGAGGGCTTCCATATCTACATATTGTCACTTGAAGCTGCAGTCACACATTCTAAATGTGCATACGTAAACTCACCTTCCTGTGCTTTGTGCTTTCCTGTAGTACCTGCTGAACCTGTACAAGTGTAAGCTAGTAGGTCATTATAAAGAGTACAGCTCTTGATAGTCCCAGAACAAAGGAATACACTATCCCATCTGGAAGCCAGAGGAGCTAGGGCAGAGCCAGCCATGTGGCCCTGTTATATGATTAGCCTCGACAAGTGAGGCAGAGTGCAGCAATGACCTCAGGTGGCAGATACTAGCGGGGGCGGGGAGAGGAGCATCCCTCTAGCCATTCCACTCTGTTGGAGATTAGAACTATGTGTGTCACAGGGTTGTTGTACAATCGCTAAACAAGCCATCTGTCCTCCGTGCATGTGGGGATGTTATCCCATTGCCAGTGTTGACTGTTCAAGTGCCAGAACAGTCAACTTCTGTACTTTGAATGGGATGGGGCAGAAATTTGGTCTGATCCACATTAAGATCCACTCTTTCTGAAACAATATGTGAACCAAAACGCAGCTATACCCTGAAATTCACACTTCTTCAATTTTGCGATGCAATTCTCCAAACCAAAATGTGTACAAAAGTACACATATTAGGGAATAGTGTGTATAAAAATGCATATTTTAGTGGAAACAGGGGAAACAGCATACAAAAGTGCACTATATTGCTTGCAAAAATGTATGTAGTAGCCAAAATTGCAGACAAAAATGTGTATGTTAGCATTTTAGTGCACATTCCTCCTATCTGATTCTCATGAAGACTATTACATTTTTTTAAAATGCAAAATAATACAAACTGAATTTGAGAGTGAAAAAAAATGAGACATTGAGAGAAACTGAAATTAACAGGTTCATCCATCCCTAGATGGATGCATCATTCTGTATTTTGCCTCAGGCAGCAACACGTCTTGGGAGCAGCGCTGGCGATGAGGCAGCCGTGAAATTGATCAGAAGAGCAGCAGGAGAGGGCATACTTAATCTCTTCAACCAGCCTGGGGTTGGGGTATATGTGGTCCTTTTAGCTTATTCCATACCAAGAAAACGTCACCTCGGGGAGGTCAGTTTTAATTGGAAAGGGAGGCTATACTGAATGAGTTAAATACCTCATCTCCCCACCATTGCACTGATCAAAATTGCAACCTCTAGCAGCTATATTAAAGTAAAACCAAAAACTGTCAGGAGACTTCTTATATTCCTCCAGTATCTTACTTAGTTTGACACTCACTGAGATGATAAATCTGTACTACGTAAAAACAGAAGAAAAGAAAGCAAAACTAGATGTCTCTCTCAGGTCTACATTAAAAACAGAGATGTCTAGAAGATGGCAAGGTTATTGCTCTTCTTCCTGATACCTAGTGTTCTGTGTCCAGGGATTTATTATTAAATCCCCCCCTTTTCCGTTCAAAGTTAGAGCTGGCCTGAAGCATTTTGCTGCCTGAGGTGGAGCAGTAAAGGGCATATACATCCACCCCACCAGTCCAGGTGCATAATATCCAGGGCTGGTGAAATTATTTTGGCACACACGGCAGAAAAATCTCACCTCTCCTTGACAGGAAAAATACAACAACACTAAATTAGAAATAGCAGTTTGCTGTCATCTCAGAAACAGCTGCCTTGCTGTGCTTGACGATAGGGCTGGCCTTGCTGAATTCTTACAGCTAAGGAACTTACAGTGAGAAGTAAGCCTATGTCCTATCTAGATGATGGAGATTAGCAGGGTGCAAAGTGTGTACAATAGTAGTTAAATAAGCAAGAGCTGCAACCATTTCCCCAAGAGTCTAGGCTTTTACCTCTTTCCTCCACCACTACTGGCCACAACAAAAACATCATTCATCATCAAGCTAAAGAAAACTTGCTTTGCAAAGGCTACACTGAGCGACACATGACTTGACAAAGCAGGAAGCACATAAATATAGACATGCCAGTGATGTCTGACATGTTGGATAGCCCTGCCTTGCATCCTCCTCATTCCGATGCCAAGAGTAAGACTACTTTTTGTGGAATCCATTGAAGCTTCCACTGAACACTAGTTGAGAACATCACGAATGGGCACACTGGCCCAGCTTGCACATCACATTAAACTGTACTTAAAAACAAACTATGGTTTTTAATGTGAAGTGCAAACTGGATCATTAATTGGTCATATGATGCAGAGGGCTCTCTTGTCTATGAAAGCTAAGGTATCACAAGACTCTGAATTATTTTTGCTGCAACATGGCTACCACTCTGAAAAATTTAATTGGTTTCTTAAATGGTTCAGAAGAACCATTCAGGTTAATGCAGCTGATGTTCTATGCTTATTAAATGACCAGACACCTTGAAATTACCTCAGATCCGCTGCCAGTTCATTTAGTTATGGGGCAGATAGTTATGCTTAATTTGTAATATTTGAATGTGGCTCTTCCTTCTTTCAGTTAGTGGATTTATAATACTGTCCTTAAAACATACTCGTTCATCTCTACTTCAGCATACCCTTCAACATATTTTCTTATTCTAAACAGATTTTGTCAGAGCATGTTGTACAAGTCAAAGCTAAACAAGTCTTACTTATATGATAAGGAGATAAGGGAAGAAACAGAGCCTTATAGCTGCTATGGTCAGGTATTGCTAGTTTATGGCGCCCTCTGGTGTATTTGAAATACTGCCTTTGTGCTTTTGGTTTGTGCCTAAAACATTCCTGCAAGTCTTGAAAACGTTGGTTTTGTTTTACTACCAACAGAAATGTACCCCTGTACAGATAGTATTACCTGTTTTTAGTCTTTCCTTTACAATAAAATGAAACATCTGTTTTGTGCCTTTCACATACAATGAAGACTTAGCAGGTGGTTTTCATCTGAAGAAATTGGTAGAGATTTTTCAAATCAAAATGTGATGTTACTTGCTGCTGAGACAAATGGTCTATCCTTTAGAGTTTAGCAGGGAATAAATATCTTATTCAAACCAACAATGAACCACCTCATAGTTTTGTTATATTATTTGTATCACAGCAGTCATCCAATTTAAGGTGCCATCACCATTTAGTCTTTCTGACATCTCTTTTCTCCTTGACAAAACCAACAGGTGAGCATTGTCAGTGTTTATTTGTTCTGTTCCATGCTAGTGCCCACAGAAAAGCTGGGGGGGGGGGAGAGAGACTTTTGGACTGGTGTTCTGGATGCTCTCACAATGAATAGTTGAAGGATCTCCTTGATAAATGTGTGGTCCCAAGCCGTGATCTAAAGGGATATGTGCTTTCTGATTACTTCCACTCTGTCCTCAGACTTTGCTGTAATAGGTAGCATACTCTCTTTTAGGCGGCTGAGGGTGTGCGATTTCTCCTGCCCAACAATTCCCATTCTGGATCACCTCTTGGCTGAGGCACAAAGGGGGCTTACATTTGTGCCAGTTCTTCAGAATTTTGTTCATGGTCCCTTGATCCATGATGCCCAGCAATTTTTCCTTCTCTTCTCCTGTTTCGGAAGGTGTCTTTTCCACAAAGGTTGCATGACCCATGCTTAGGTCCTTATTCGTGCCCTCAAAAAACTGCTGGATGCAAACCTTGGCAAAGCTTTTAGCGTGTTCCGTGCAGGTCTCATCAAAGAGCTTGCGTTCGATGTCGATATAGTGAGACCAATACTTGCTCTTCAGGAATGCGGCTTGAGTAAAGCAGGGACGTAAGGAACGAACAAGGAATGCCAACAAGGTCATCAACAGCACAAAGGTCCAGCCCATTGCCTGAACGGGAAAACCAAACATCATACTATTATTAGGGAGGTGGTTGTGGGAGTGGGATAGAGAAATCTATGCAGTACACAATTGCAGTCATGATTATCAGTGGTCTTCCAGAATCTGTGGATCTTGGGACTAGCAACCTCAAAAGATTGTGGGGCTGCTAGGCTCATGTCTCATCCATCAATGAGTAGATGATCCAGTTGTGTGAACTAACATCACAATCTACCTCATTGTACAATGGCAGTGATGTTTCCATATTTGTTTGCCAGATATGAATCCAATGAAAGCCCTATGCTGTTGTATTTGAAGCTCTTGAAGTTGGGGGATCAAATGGAACCTGAACCAAAATCTAGACCAAATCTTTTAGTTTTCCTCAACCAGAACACAATTCAATCCATTTTAACAGGGATGTGTTGGGGAGCAACTACACCAGGAATAAGGAATCTGTAACCTTCCTGATGTTGTTTGCCACAACTCCCATCAGCCCAACATGGCCAGTAGTTAGGGATAATGAGAGTCATGGTCCAACAACATCTAGAGGTCCACAGGTTCTCTATCCCTAAACCACAACACAGCATCTCTTATATTGCAGCAGTTACCTATGACTTTGGCCTGTCTGGATAAAAATTTTCTAAAATGTATTGCATAAACAAATTATTTCCCCACTCCTAAATCCAGTATTTTTCCTCTTGGCTTTCATTATTTTTTTAAAGGAGCACATTTTTGTCTCATGCTGAAACTGGCATGCCATTTCACTAATACTAAGTAGAACCATTCAAATACAAAAGTATTTAGAATTGGGTTTTTTAATAGAATGAATTGATTATCTATAATGCCAAATTTAAAAACCGCAACAGTGCAACAAATATTGCTTGATTAAAGAAAGCTCTGATTAAAGAAAGATCTGAATATTTATTCCAATACATTCTTAATGTTCAATGCTAAGAAAAGCAGTGGTTATCCAACTAATACACAGCAGAGGAAGGGCTAACATTGCCGAGCAATGCCAAGGGGAAACAGAACAGTGGCAGCATCAGATTGGTGAGAACACAAGTGATCAAATAAGATTTTTAAAATGACTTTGACGTTGTTCCCAGGTGAAAACCTAGAGGGAATTTGCATCCTATTTAAGATGCAGAGAACAAATGCAGACTGAACACAGTAAACAACAGGAAAGGACTGTATTGACCTGCCTGTTTTAGGTTGGGATCACTGGATATATTTGTCTGTATTTGCATTGCAAATGGAATATTTGGAAGCAGGGGAAGTTTAATCATAGGAATTCATCCCTTCTTCTCTCACTTCCTTCTATAATCCATACTTCTTACAAAAAACGATGCATGGAATTATTACAGTAAGGAATCAAGCACTCTGTTTTGCAGGATGCACCCTACATAAGCCCACTCTTTGAATGTGGAACTAGCACACATTGCAGCTCCAAATGTGTGCACACTTACCTGTGATTAAGGCCCACAATTTATGCTGTAAAAAGAATAAACTGCAATTGTAGCATGAGGAGTATATCCATTACATCACATTTTAAACATGTTTTCTATGAAGTGGGACCTCAAGAGAAGGAGGAAAAGTGTTGTGTTTCTTACCAGTAATAAAGAACTGCAGAATGCTGAAAAATGCTCAGAGTGCTTGCAGTGTATAGGAAATGATAGCATGATAAGTCATATAAAAAGCCTGCCAGCTTTATAAGGGGTCTCTCCCATTCTCTACACCAAATTAGCTTAAGCAAATCCTGCAATCACTTTTTGCTTACCTGTGATATACAGCGCAGATACCTGGTTGCCACCTCTTTGGCAATAAGTTCCTGCCCCTTGTAGATGTCTGTGCAGGGAATCCGGGCCAGAATTCTCCTCAGTTCCTTCTCAGATAGTTGGGTATAGCTCTGGTTCCCCAACTTATCTACAGGCACAGAGGTGCTGAAGGCACATATAAAGCACTCTCCATGCAACAGTGTGACTGAAATCCAAACAGCAGGAGCAATCATAGCCCGCTGTGCCATGGAGCAGAACATGTACCGCAGGACAGCTGGGTCTTTCTGCCGCTTCCCTGTGGGTCTTTTCCACTCTTCAGCCAACATGGAGACATTGTTATTCATCACAAAGCCCAGTAGAAACAAGACCAGGGGTGGCACAAACAGGATACCCATCCCATAGGCCAGGTTATAACCTGGAAGACATGGGCAGTTGAAGTCAAAAGCCACGTACATCTGTGCACTGGCAAGAGCCATGATGCCACATATGCCATTCATGAATGATTCCTGGTTGGACTGGAGGAACTGAAAGATCATACGGAACTTATCCATCGTTGTCACTTTATGCACACTCGCTTGCCCGAATGCAATCAGAAATTTGTTGCCCTTTTCATGGGGCAGAATTTAAAAACAACAACAACAAAAACCCTAATGCGTCTTGCCAATGTCACTTACTTTTTCAGTTTCTGCTCTTACACCAGCTTTTCAATTGCTCAGGCAAAGTGTCCCCCTCCCCCATTTATTCCTTGCCACTTCAGTACATTGACTTTGTTATCTTTACCTTATGAGTGAATCTCTACTCCTCCCAGGTTGACTTGGTGTGTATTGTATTCCCTCTTCTGAAAAGTTAATTGTGTGCCATTGTCAGGTATGTCATGGCTTAATACAGCGAGCACTTCTTTCTTTGTGGGAGCCATCACATCTCTTATTTAGAAAACTCTTAAATCCCTGAGGTTGCCTATTTGTGGAGGCATGATTTCTTCTGAGGAGTTATTTGGAATCTGTTCTAGGCACTCTTTATTCATGGCAGGAAAAGGATTCCTCTGGCTTCTGTTCATGTGCCTGCAAATGCCACATGCTCCTCCCACTGCCCTTAGAAAAACAAGGGAAAGCTGTGCCCCACCTTTGTAGGTTTACCTGGGGGGGGGGAGAGAAAGGAGAGTACCTATGCAAATATCACTGTGTGGGGTAGGACTGGAGGAGCAAGTCAATTCAGTTCACATTTAATGTTTATTTTATTAATACAAGTTTTTCATGGCCGTTGGCTAGAACAATAAACTTATGAACTGAAGTGAACATTTAAAGTTGAGCCTACCTCATTCCCACTTTCCAAAACAATACACACAAAACACAGCCAGCCTTCAAAATTCACACTGCTCTGAATTTTGCAATGTGTTTTCCAGTCAAATATATAATGTGTATAAAAATGCATATTCTAGGGTAAAGTGTGCCTAAAATGCACACCTTAGCAAAATAACCTACAAAAATGTGTTATATTAGAGGAAACTGCATTCAGAATGTGTGTATTAGGATAAATCGCCACTAAAATGGTGAGGAATAATTAGGACAGCTTAGCAAGAAACTGATGTGGAAAAATGAACTTAAGGCTGGAAAAACAGAAACTGAGAAGAAGTGAAATTGAGAGATTTGCTCATTCTCAGCATAAGATCCATTATAAGGATAGGGATTTGGGTAAGAGAAATATAACTCCTGTGTTTTTCCAGCTTCTCTCTCCTTTTGCTGCTCTTTTTGAAATTCTGGAATCCTTCACTGCTTTATACTCTGGGTGGAGCTGTAACATGAATCAGAAGCAGCAGCAATCTTTTCTTTCTATATAATGTTCTATATCTATGCAGAACACTGCTACTCCCTCTTATTTTGTCCTGCAACAAGCAGCATTTCCTGTTACTGTATATTTCTCCCATGTAAAGGTGATCTGATGGGCAGAAGTCTGTAAAGAGATTTTGGTTCAACAGAACCCCTTAAACTAGCCACTTGCAATCTCTCATCATCCGTTTCTCTTCCGCAGGATGATAATTTTTGGTCTCTTTTTTGGGAGTTGAGAAGGCTTGCAAATAATAATTTAGGAAACTGCCTTCTGTTAGGTCTGATGTTTTATCTATCTAATATTGTATTTTCTGATGGGCAGCAACTCTCCGGAATCTCAGGCAGAGAACTGTCCTATTGTCAGTTAAACCTTTAACTGGAAATGCTGGAGGCCAGTCTTGGGATTTTCTGCCAAAGCATGTCCTCTAACTCTGATCCATGCTTGAAAACAATTGATGGCGATGTGCTGCTAATATAAATGTTGACATATTTGTTAGTTGTTTTAATGCAAAGAAACAGAGAGAACAGAACATGGGATATACTGGGTGAGATCCTGAGAAATGTGAGCAGAGTTATTAATGTCAAGTGGGGCTTCCCTACCACTTCCTTCCTGCTGAAGCCCCTTGCGCTCCTGAAAGGCTAATCTCAAGGATCAAGAGACTCTCTGAAATGGCTGGGGATGTGGTGTGAGGAAGCTGGGCTGGAGGAAAGGGGCAGAAATCAAAATCAAGGGGATCTTTCCTCTTTTGTGAGAGTGGAAGTGTCCTTCACTTGTCGAAGAGGATGAAGAAGAGATTCGAAAAGCAACATCTGATCCTTCTAATCTAAACCCTAAAATGTAAAATGTACAATTGGAGGCACTCTGGTTTAGATTTTAGCTTCATAGTCAAAACTCCAAGGTTTTGTCTGACAGTTGGCATTATCATGAGCTGACAGTAAAATTGTTTTATTTGTTCTTCAAGTGGTCATTTCCCATCACTGCATTTCAGGCACATTAACATGGTGTTGTACAAATCAGAGAAGGCCTGGGGATGTCTTCACCCAACACACATGACCTTTTTGGTTTCCCTGCCCCCACAACAACACCCCCTGCCTGGAACTCCTATTCATGAAGCTACCATATGTCAATGCACATGCGTGATGACTGTCTCAAATGTACACACCTTTCTTAAGTATAAAGTAAAGTAAAGTAAAGGGACCCTGACCTTTAGGTCCATTTGTGGCCGACTCTGGGGTTGCAGCGCTCATCTCGCTTTATTGGCTGAGGGAGCCGGCGTACAGCTTCCAGGTCATGTGGCCAGCATGACTAAGCCGCTTCTGGCGAACCAGAGCAGCGCACAGAAACACCATTTACCTTCCTGCTGGAGCGGTACCTATTTATCTACTTGCACTTTGACGTGCTTTCAAACTGCTAGGTTGGCAGGAGCAGGGACCGAGCAACAGGAGCTCACCCTGTCACGGGGATTTGAACCGCCGACCTTCTGATCGGCAAGTCCTAGGCTCTGCGGTTTAACCCACAGCGCCACCTGCGTCCCAAATATAAAGTAAATGTTGCTTTATTTTTTGGGGTCAGGTTGAAGCTGGTTTGAGAAAAAACCCATCAGACAACAATATTTCTCAACAAACTACAGTCGTACCTCGGGTTAAGAACTTAGTTCATTCGGGTTAAGAACTTAATTCATTCTGGAGATACGTTCTTAACCTGAAACTGTTCTTAACCTGAGGTACCGCTTTAGCTAATGTGGCCTCCTGCTGCTGCCGCCACGCGATTTCTGTTCTCACCCTGAAGCAAAGTTCTTAACCCGAGGTACTATTTCTGGGTTAGCGGAGTCTGTAACCTGAAGTGTCTGTAACCTGAAGCGTATGTAATCCGAGGTACCACTGTACAAGATCAGTATGGATTGTGGCTATTGGTGTGTGCACGTGGCTCTAACAGCAGGCGCTCACTGGATGTGGAGTAAGTGGTAATGTGAACATACCCTCCTTTTGGAATACACCTGTTAAGCATTAACTGGCACCCCAAATCCCCATTCAGTGGACCTCCAGAGCAACATGCTTGGATACTGCTGAGGTCACTTTCTTAATCACATCACCTTGTTGAAAGAGTTACATGATCACCGAAGCTTGGAATGGGGAGGGGAGACCACAGAGAGCAACTTCCAGTGAATTGAGGCTAAGCAATGATCTGTGGGCTGGTGATATTAAAGGAGAACTCACATCAAAGGCTTGAGAAAAGGGAACATGTAGTGAAAAGCTTTGTGGATATTTGTAGAGAGCTTTTTAATCTGCCGGGGAAAGTTCTGTGTTACCACATTGAATGCAGGCTAACCATTTAACAGAATGAGACAGCCACCTGTCTTTGGCTGTCTTGAAAGCAAATAGTTACTTATTTATTTTTTTATTATGGATTTTTTTGCTGTCAGAAAGGCGTGGGGAATCCTTGTGGGATTTTCTTCTTCAGGTTCCAAAATAATTTGTCTGACTTTGGATACCATGCACTTTAATTGGGGTTGGGGGACCATTTGCTGCTGCCCCTCAGCAAAATGCCTTGGTCTGGACCTGTGGCCAGGGATTGTGTCGTGTTCCATACAGTGAGAGCAGGCAGAAGCTTAACTGGGGTCAACTGTCTTATCTCTAGTTGGTTTGCAAGTAGATTGGCACGGGTTTCTGACTCCTAATAGTTTAACAATGGTGCAGTGATCACTTTGCCACAGTGGCCTTGTAAGGGAGGCCAGCTGTCCACGGTATGTTCTTTTTTGTGTCACCACTCCCCCTTTCCTCTAACTCTTGGCCAAAGGGAGGACTAGAGCTACGAGCTGGATATCTTGCTGGGAAGGTGGTGGACAGCTAGCTCCCTCCCATCTTCATGGGCCGTGGAGCAGTATGCTTTCTTTGTACTTTCCCTCAGGCACAAGTAGAAAGCATAATGGCAAGCAGCTAAGCAGGTGAGGGAAACACAATCCCTTGGGCGTGTCTCAGAACTGCTCCAAACCCCAGTGCCAAATTAAAGAAAGTTTTGTCTTTGTGTGCAGGTTTTTGTGTGTGTGTGTTTTTTTTTAGAGGAAGAGCTAAGAGACAAAGGGAAAGCAGCCTGGTACTTTAATACAAAATAAAAGACTAACCGATGGAGGACTGTTGGAAAGAGTCTCAATACTCACATACACACAAGGTCACACAATGTAGATTCAGCATGCAGTGACCTTGGATGGTCAAAAGTTGGGACAAAGGAATGGGTCTCCATATTCCATGTTTATGTCATTTGAGTCCAGCTGGCCTTGAGTGACAGGGCAACAACAAGCCCAATCAGCTGACTTGCACAGAACTAGGCACCTGTTGGAGCCTAGGCTGGATGAGGGCTGCTCCTGGTGGCCTACTCCTGGCAGATAGGACTTATCAAATGAGTTATCAGATTGTGTGCTCGGAAGTGGCAGAAGTTATGTGGCTGGGGTCTTGGGAAGAAGGGTGGCTAGAGATGTTGTAGTTGCAAAAGACACATACCCTGGCAGGGCAGGCCTATGCCACAAACAGCAAGTAAAATAATAAAAATAATCAGCTACAGCATGCTAATTGCTTACCCCTCAGCCACAGCATTCCTTCTGCGTAAAATATAAATATTAAATGATTGCCTTTGAGCCATAGCTGTCAACTTTTCCCTTTTTTTAAAGGAAATTCCCTTATTCCGAATAGGATTCCTTCCAAGAAAAGGGAAAAGTTGACAGCTATGCTTTGAGCAACTCCACTGGCCATTTTTAGTGTTTTATATAAAGAGTTCCTAATCAGTAGTAACCCAGATGTGTCTTTGTACTTTGGTATGCAGCCTGCAAGTAGGTATTTGGCTCTGCCCACTAAGCTAACCTTTTGTATCTGGCCCTGCCCTCCAATGGCAGGATTCTAGAGAAAAGCAAAGCAGATCCCACAAGTTGTCTGCTGACTTCTGATGTACAGTACCAAGCATGTCGTTGGGGCTTCTGTAACTAACTGCTGGGTCTAGGCTTGCACTGTTAATTGTTAACAATACAGCGGTACCTTGCGTTAAAAACGCTTCGGGTTACAAACGTTTCAGGTTACAGACTCCACTAACCCGGAAGTAGTACCTCGGGTTAAGAACTTTACTTCAGGATGAGAACAGAATCGCACGGTGGCGGCAGCGGGAGGTCCCATTAGCTAAAGTGGTACCTCAGGTTAACAACAGTTTCAGGTTAAGACTGGACCTCCGGAACGACTTAAGTTCTTAAACAGAGGTACCACTGTATTAACTCAAGTTGGGAGTCAGCCAGAACTATAGGTGCTCCTGGGAAACAATCATCTGTAGCCTGAAAGAAGGGGGGAAGTGTCGGGATATGGTTTCCTTGCCCTTCCTAACTGGCACCTAGGGTATTGCCCTGGTTCAGGCAGAACTGGTTTTGAGAGATATTGTCTCAAATATAAATGGACTTTAAGGCAGGCAGGAATGAGCTGCTGCGCCATCAAAACATGATGTGAGTTTCTAACAAAATATGTAATCCAAATTCATCACTGAGGTTAGAGTACCAGAATAACACTAAAGGTGGTAATGCAAAACATAATGGGCTGCTTTCATCACTGCATACATAGCAGCTTCATCAGCTTGTTATACAAGACAAACAAATAATATAACCAAAGGCATGAAAACGCGATGCTTCCAATGATAGCAGCGTCATTGTCAGAAATTGATGCCCAGGCACATAGCTTACTTAGTAATCACACTGTCTTTTCCTTCCTTTGCATTTGTATATACCTGCTGCATCTAAAATGCTTTAAAAATACCCTTCCATGAAAATCAGTATGCAAAGTAGATATCCACCCAGTTCATTCCTCAGCAGCTTGCTAAGGCAAATAGTCAATTTGATTAAAACACATGGCAAATATGGAAGGTCAGATATTTAATCTCTTGAGTGTGTCTGCTTAAAATTAAATTAGAGCAGGTCTCTAATATGTGAAGGAGACCAAACATAAATACTCACAGAGGCTTCTATTTAGAAGCCCAGGATTCTGCTGTAATTACATGCCTGGCTCTCTCATCTTTTCTTGTAGCCTGAAAATGAATTAATAATTTAATTCTAGAAGGGAGATTCAAGTATAGCTGTCCAACATATTTCAATAAGATGTTAGGGAAATGATTCTTATTTTTATATTTTTATTTTATTTTGTATACCACCCTTCATCCGAAGATCTCAAGGCACTTCACACCATAAAAATACAGAATAAAACCATAAAGTACACAATAAAAACAAGATAGAAAACAAAGCAAACCAATAACACCCCTTCCCACAAACACATTTAAAAGGACATAGACTGTTAATAAGCCAAAGGTCTGGTTGAAGAGGAACATTTTCACCTGGCATATTATGAAGGTACCAGACAAACCTTCCTGGGGAGAGCATTCCACAAATGGGGAGCCACTGCAGAAAAGGCCCGTTCCTGTGTTGCCACCCTACAGATCACTTGTGGCAGAGGCACACGAGAAAGGGCCTCAGCTGATGGTCACAGAGTCCAGGTCAGTTTATATGGGGAGAGGTGGTCCTTGAGGTATTGAGGTCCTGAGCCATTGAAGTCTTTATAGGTCAAACCCAGCACTTTCAGTTGGGACTAGAAACTAATTGGCAGCCAATACAGTTGGGCCATAATTTCATATAGTGCATTATTCATTAGTGATAAGCTGCTGCCTTTGTGATAATTTAGTACACCCATTACTATCTCCTTGCTGGATAGAGTTGCCAACTTTGGACCTACCTTTTGCCTGCTGTAATAATCTGTAAGATGTGGGCTATGTTGTTAACCATTTTATGTACAATATATTGAACACATGTTTAAGTACCAGTACCAGCAATCCACCTAGCTATGAATTGGCAGCAGGTCTCCAGAGCTTCAAACTGGGGTCTTTCCCAGCCATACCTGGAGATGCCAGGGATTGAATCAGAGACCTTCTGCATGAAAAGCATATGCTGTACCAAAGAGTTACAGATCCTTTTGCATTTTTGTTATGGCCTATGGCTCATATGGAAATAAATCTGAACTGAACTCATTGTACAGACATTAGCATGTGCTAATGCTTCACTCCATGCCGTTAAAGTTTCTGCTGCTGATTCCATACCCCTCAACTGTTCCGGAAAAACTGGGACATCCCATTCCCCGCGCCCTCCAGGAGATCACGGTGGCCATTTGGGGCAACCATGATCTTGAGCCCCCAAAAGCACTTTCTTTGGTGCTGTGATCTTGCACCCCCAAAAGTGTGTTTTGGGGCACCATGCCCAAAATAAGTGCTTTTTCCAGGGCTGCGATCTTGCATGGGTCATGCTACTCATGTGGGAGTGTGAACCTGGAAGATGGTGTCCCGGTTTTTCATCTTGATGTGTTGGAGGGTATGTGATTCCTGCATACTATGCTGTTGTTAAAGATGCAAGAGCAGCCCATTTTTGCTGGGATGTGTGTGTATGTGCTTTCCCCTAGCTACTGATGTTCTCAGTTTCCATTTCCTTTTAAACGTCTGTTTGCCTTGTAATTGTGGTCCCTGGCTGGGGATGCCACCTGTTAATCATACTGCCTGTCCAAGGCATAGATATTCCCTCTGTGCCCAGGGGTTGCCTCTGTGTAGCTCCACTCAAATCCAGTGGAGGTTTGCTGTAGTACCATGATTGAAGAAGCTTGTTCACTTGCTCCTGGCTGCTGATTCCCTGCAAGTGATCCTTCTCCCCTTCCTTCCGCTCCTCTTTTCTTGGGTGGGCATGGAACCGCCTTCGTTTAATTTCTTTCTGCATGCTCTCAAAGAAGTGGAGGATGCACTTGTGTGCAAAGTCCCGGGTATGCTCACAACAAGTTTCATCAAAAATCTTTTGCTCAATATCAATGTAGTTGCTCCAGTAGCGAGTCTGCAAGAAGGTAGCCTGGTTGAAGCAGGGCCTGAGAGAGCGGGCAAGGAAGGCGATCACTATAAGGGTCAGCAGTATGCTCCATCCAAAAGCCTAGAAGGCAAAGGAAGTACATACAAATGTTAAGGCAATCAAGGCCAGCCACAGGGAAACAAAAAAACCAGGACATCTGTGTTCTATTGCTTGAATATCCCATAATGAAAGGGACTTCTCAGATCTTCTACTTGAATACCCTGCTATGGGAGGAGCCCCCGACTTCTGTTAAGTAATTAAAATGATAATAAATGTTGATTTCCTAATTAATGTCTACATTTATTTAGTGCTAGGAAAACAAAAGGAATATTGTCCTTGACTGAAGCCTTATAGCAAGGATAACCAACGTGGTGCCCTTCAGATGTCCTTGAGCTACAATTCCCATAATCCCTAACCATTGGACATGCAGGCTGGGGCTGATGGGAGTTGGAGCCAAACAATATCTGAAAGGTACTACATTGCCTACCCAGTCTTATAGTACAGTATATGTTAAGACAGATAAAATGGCAGATGGATGAAATGGCAAAAACTGAAGGAATGGGTACTGAAATCAACAGAAGGACTGCTTCATTAGTTGGCATCTGTAATCAGTCAACCCATGAGTCTATCTGTGACTCACTCTTCCTTCTGCAGAGCAGATCAGAGCCTGAAACCTGGACTGTGTCATCAACTGCCAGGGGCTTGGAGAGTTTGCTTCCTCACCCCACCCTAACCCAACATGTTCCTGTTACTATTGGTCGGATTTTAATTGTAGCCCGTCTTGGTTGAAATTTGACATGGTATAAGGTTATCACAACACAGGGGATGCAGAACCATGGAGCTTGTTTTGCACATGGGACCAGAGGGGCAAAATACATGGAAGCAGAAACAGGAGAAGACAAGAGACTTGGAGGCATAATGAATGGAATATGCTGAATGGAAAAATTAAAGAGGCCTGGGAATCTTCATCATATTTTGCTGGAAGCCGCCCAGAGTGGCTGGGGAAACCCAGCCAGATGGGCGGGGTATAAATAATAAATTATTATTATTAGTAGTAGTAGTAGTAGTAGTATATCATTTCAAAAGAATCTGTACTTAGCAAATTAGTTTGCAATCCTTATCTTGTTTATTCCCACCATAGCTCTGTTTGGTAGGATAGTTTAAGAGAAGGTGACTTGTCCAAAAGTTTGTGTCTGAGACACTACATAGTTCATATAGCGTCTCAATACCTTAAGAATTGTTAGTTAATCTGCATATGCTGTAGGGTCCATGTGTATTCTATGAATCATCTGTTGCTCTTTCCTTCCATTGACAGCAACAATCAATTTAAAAATTATGCTTCTTGCATTTAATCAGTGATTATCCAGGAGAATATTCTGAAGATGAGCTTCAGAAACAGATTCTACCTATATATGTTTCAAGAGCAGGTTAATGTTCCTATAAGGAGCTCCTACAGAGCAATATCCTATAGATGTCTGTTACTTACCTGTGACCAGCATTTGAGGTACCTGGATACAGCCTTGCGGGAAGTATTGTTCCTTATGAGTTCATCATCCTTGCATGGGACCTTGGACAGCAAGCGCTGTACCTCATTATAAGGTGTGATGTTGGTGACGAAACCTGGAAACTTATCAGGGTCAACAGAACTGCTGAAAGCACAGACAAAGCATTTTCCATCGAGCAGGGTGACTAGGATCCAAACAACAGGTGCAATCATGGCCCGTTGCAGAACGGAGGAACACATGTACCTGGTTATTGGATAGAGAAGCAAAAAACTAAACTGATATTTCTAAAGGCTGGAACTTGCTTAGCACCAGCAATAACAAGGGAAGGGACAGTAGCATACTCCAGTGATTTCCAAAGGGTTTCCCAAACTTCTAAGTTCATTGACCCCTAATTGAGCTTATAAACTTATCATCAACCCCAATCCGAATCCTTAAGAATTTAAATGAAATAAAGTCAAGCAATATTTATTAATCATCAGTATTTATAATTCATGCAAATCTTAAAATGTAAAAAAATAAGGAAGTATGTTTTGTGCTACAGAACAAATACCAGCTTGGGGAGTGGGATTTTTCACATGGGAAATACAATGCAGGTGGAAATGGTTAAAACTGCCCTTCCAGCATCACAGTTCTAATCCAACCCCGGCCCCTCTAATCTAAATTTTCTAAAAGAATGCTGGTGAACCTTCTTCCATTGTCCTGTTTAGTTTGACTCTAGGTGATATGTGTATCTGGAAGCCTGTATTCAAATCTGGCCTTATTGTGTACCCTTGGGCATGCCACTATTTCTTAGCTTCAGAGTTGAGTGTTATAATAACTATACATAAGAACTGTAATCCATTTCAGTGGTTATGGTGATATCATGCTACATAAAGCCTCCTAAGTACTGTTAAGAATTAAAACAATACAATACAAATTCTAAGTAATAATTTGGAGGAAGTTTAGATTCCACCAGCAACCTTGGGAGAGAAGGGTGCAACAAATAAGTAAACTTCATTGTGGAAAGTAATTAGCACCAGTACTGAAATCCCCCACCTGATAATGGCTAGATTCTTCTTCCTGTCCCCAGTAGGTCTTTTCCACTCCTCAAGCATCACCACAAACTGTCTGTTGACAATGAGACCACAGAGGAAAAGTGCCACTGGTGGGATAAACATAATTCCTAAGCCATACACCATGTTGTATTTAGCAAGGCAAGGGCAGTGGAAGTCAAAGGAGCTGTACATCTTTACACTTGCCAATGCCAGCAGTGCACATATCCCATTAGTCACAGACTCTGAATTGGACTGGAAGTACTGGAAGATCATCCGGAATCGATCCATAGTGCTGTGGTGACCGAGTGCCTTTCCTCCTGTAGAGCGCTTGGGTTCGTCTCAGAGATGAAGCACTGGCTGGTCTTCTCTTGGCAGCCTTCTCTGGCAGGGTGATTAGGTGAGCTCTGTAAGGCCTGTTTAGTTCAAAGACAGGATGACAATAAGCAAGCAAAGCAAACAGTAAAGTAGCTCATATTAACATCATTGCCTTTGTTGTGCCATTCTTGGCTTCATACCTAGGAGCCTCCTTATTCAGTCCTCGTTGGCATAATTGTTCCAGCTGCGTTCCTTATCCATGTGTTGTTGGATCAGGATGAAACCTAGAGCTTAGTTATCTTGCTTTTATAGTAAGAGAATGAATAGAGTCTTCCTGGTATTATAGTTCCTCCATTAGAAAAATCAAATCACAAAACTCTTTTGTATGTGAAACAGTCATAGCCTGGAGGTATGATGCAGTATTTACACTCCAGTGTGAAGATAGTAACTGATGCACCACAGAGAATGAAAGTAGCTTTCAAATAATCAAAAGCTGATTTTTATTCCCCTCCCTTTGCCTCTTCCCATGTATGGTTTCCTTCTGTTGTCCAGTAATGAATCATCACTGGTGTTTGTGAGAAACCAGGTCAGTCAAATGAGATAGTTTGCTTACAAGTCTCCTCCCTGTAAGTTGTTTTTCAGCAGAGTTGGCTTTGATTCATCTGCAGCTCTTAAAACTGCATGAAAGAGAATACAGGGGGCACAGAACGTGATATTTATTTCCTGCTCTACCTTAGAATTGCTGTATATATGGTTCCATAACTTTGTAAACTTTTCCATCTGAAACAAAGTTTCATAATCTGCCTGGTGTGGTTGCTTGATAATCAGTGGTACCTCGGGTTAAGTATTTAATTCGTTCTGGAGGTCTGCTCTTAACCTGAAACTGTTCTTAACCTGAAGCACCACGTTAGCTAATGGGTCCTCCTGCTGCTGCTACGCCGCCGCCATGCAATTTCTGTTCTCATCCTGAAGCAAAGTTCTTAACCCGAGGTACTATTTCTGGGTTAGCAGAGTCTGTAACCTGAAGCGTATGTAACCTGAGGTACCACTGTATTAGCTATGTGAGATCCTAGGGAAGGAACTCAGCTCAGTAGCTGATCATCTGCCTCCCACTCAAAAGGTCCCAGATTCAATCTCTGGCGTCTCCAGGTAGGACAGAATGTTCCCAATCTGAAACCCAGGATAACTTCTGCCAGTCTGTTGTAGGTGATATGGAGCTAGTTGGTCCCAGGTAACATATTCACAGTGTGAGAATCAGGGCTCCATGGGCTTCTTAGCTATGCTATCACATATGATTATATCCTGTTCTGTAGCCAAGCTGAATGAAGTTGTGTGGAGCAGAGTGTGGCATAAATTTTTCATAGCTAAGGGTTACTTCTGTTTTATGAAGCAACCTGGAAACATATATCTCAGCAGAGGCCTATAGATAACTCTGGGGGTAACAGCATGTTAGGAGGCAGACCCAACTCCTCTTCAGCTACCATTGCAGGATCCCTCCCCACGCATTACCAATGGATTTTGGTACTTGTATACATATATTTCCTTAGGAAATGGTTCCCAAAGTCTCTCCTCCCCTTCTGAGTTCCAGATCGTGTTTCAGCCTGAGCTTTCATTTTAAATGTAGTAGACTAAAACAAACAGAATTTGAAAGATGAGTTAATCCAGGATTCTCTCAGTCAGTAGTTATAATTGCTATTGTATGTGCATGAGGTTGTGCCACAAGGAGGCGGTGTTTAGCTTTTGGTATTAAAACAGACATTAAGCAGGTCTTGCCAATGCTAGGGGAATAGGGATGGGGGAGAAATTCAGTTTTGCTTGTATCTTGATAAGAAACCACCTAATTCACACTTCTCAAACAATTGAACCAAAACAGGGCTAACCATTTCAATTTTATACTTCTCCAATTTTTGTGATGCAATTCTCCAGTCAAACAGTGCATACAAAAAATGCATATATTCCAGGAAAGTCTCCGCAAAAATGTATATATTAGCAAAAACAGCATATATAATGCATAAATATTAGGGGAAATTGTGCACAAAAATGTGTGGAGGACAACAGTCTGGCAAAAGCTGTGCCATAGGAAAGCATATGGCAACATTATCTGGCTCTGGAATGTGTGACATCTGAAAATATTTTTACTAAATGGGAATTCTGAGGGAAGAGCAGAGCTGTCAGATAGATTATTCAAATAAGACACTGCTGAGAACTTGCGACTGTAGCCTGCTCCTGCCTCTACATGGTTTGGTTTAGTGTTTGCATCTCAAGATTACAGTTTGCTTGTCTTGCAGTGCACCCAGGCTGTCAAACCAGAATTAAGACTGACATTTGCCTGTAAAGTTAATCTCCATAACCAGGACATGCACAATTTATTGATGAGGAGGAATGGGGGGGTGGAATAAAATGTCACACCTGTTTTTGCTTAGCAAAATTGTAGGCATGAAGCACTTTTCAGTGTAAATAAATCAGATCGTGTCTCTCTAGAATCCAGCAGAGTTTTATTGTTTGATTAATCTTGGCATTATTTTTAGTTGCAGGCAGTTGCTTTGCTGTCTCACTCAGGAAGGCTTTGTGACACTTGCTGAAGAGCTGTGTGGCTGTGAGGATGAGATAAAAATATTTAGTATTTATGTAGCATTTTTGAGCATTAGAGGTGCTTTGCATATATTAACTGAGTAATCCTTACAAGAACCATTGGGCAGAGCAATCCAAACCCCCAATCTGCCTGCACTGGAGGGGGCTTGGATGTGGCAGAGGTGTCCTTCGGTCCCACTCTGCTCTGTGGAGTGGTGTGCTACATCTGCTAAAATCACAGGCAGGCAGCAGCTGCAACCAGCTGTATGCCTGCTGGTGGGAGCCAATGTAAGCCCCTCAAACCAGCTATTTTGGGGGAGGAGGCATCAAAGTGGCAAAACTCTCAGTGCGAGAACTCCTGCCAGTGGTGTGTTTGTGTGGAAATTTACCCATTTATTATATTATAGAATCTGAGCTGAAAAAGGAAAGCTGAGTGAGCAACTTTTTGGGGAAAGGCTCCTGCATGGCATAGGAAGTATTAACAAAATAAAAAAATTCCTTCCAGTAGCACCTTAGAGACCAACTAAGTTTGTTATTGGTATGAGCTTTCGTGTGCATGCACACTTCTTCAGATACCCTGAATATCTGAAGATGTATCTGAAGGGTATCTGAAGAAGTGTGCATGCACATGAAAGCTCATACCAATAACAAACTTAGTTGGTCTCTAAGGTGCTACTGGAAGGATTTTTTTTATTTTGTTTTGACTACGGCAGATCAACACGGCTACCTACATGTAAACAGAAAGTATTAATTGCACATGGCTTGAGGATGTGGGGGCAGGTTGGAAAGTAAAAAGATTAAAAGTGAAGCTGTGCCATAAACATCACAACAATGGACACAGCACGTTTAATTCCTCTTACTGATACGTACTGGATTCGCTAGGTAGTATAGCTTCAAATATAAATTCTGCAATGGGTATGGATGATCTTTTTCATATGTGGACTGAATTAACTCCTGGGTGTTTACTAATTCTTATGTGAAGATCCTGCCTGGTTTGATGGATGACAACATTGCTAATGTAAAGGTCACAATCAAACATTATTGATCCAAAAGACCATGCTGGCAGCAAACATTCCCCTAGGACTAGTTTTCTAAGACTCAACATAATAATGCTGGCAAATTGATAGTATAAAAGTGGAGTTAGGCTTGTGTATCTCATACGAATCTACAGGAAAACATATCAAAGGAGAAGGCTAAGAAAATGGATCCTCATGCAGCTGAACCATTATAACTTGATGCAATAATGTTTTATAACAAACAAACAAGCTATGGGTTCTAAAGAGAGGTACAGTAGCAGCAGAAAATAACCTGCAGCTCTGTAAGTGCCTCTGATCTATATGTGAATATATGGTTTTGTTTTCTGAGTTTCAAACTCTACCTCAAATCCTTTCCCCACATACCGCTGTGAAAATGAACATTCTGTGACATTACAGCAGTTCACTCACTAACATTCACTGGCCAAGAATCTTTGCTATTCTATTAAGGGATAGTCTACAATTTTATTTTAATTGGTAAAAACAGTTCCACGACAAACAGGCTAAATTTGAAATGTTTGCAGCATCCATGAAAAAAAAGGAACATTTCACAATGTTCCAGTTCTAACACTAATAGTTCAGCCTTTTTCAAGATTACCTATCTTGAAGCTTGGAATTTCTGAATACATATTGAAAATGGGAGTCATATGTGCCACACCTGCAGATTATGTCCTCATGGTATTCCTGCGCATAAAAAAGTCCTGGACCTGTGCTTCCTTTCATTCCCCTTCCACTCCCCCTCTGGGACAGAAATCTTTCCCAGCCATATGTGGAGACACCTGGGATCTAACCTGGGACTTTTATGCATGCAAAACATGTACTGTATGACTGAGATGTCCAATCCACCATGCTTCACCCTGTATTGACAAGGTCTCCAGACCTGTAGGTTGCAGTATATGTTTGTAGGGATGTGTATAGATGCTAGGAGAGGATATATTTATTAATTCCTATCCTTCTTTTCTCATGTTTGTGAGTTCAATAAAGTGCATGCCTTTGCAGCTTAAAAGGGAATTTGCATTCTCCTGGTATTTCCCCCTTTTCTCCCCCTTAAAACAACAATCACACAAACAGTCTGGTGAAAGGTAAAAGTAACATTTACTCACTCAGAATACTTGTTGAAGAGTAACAGATACAGCAGCTTTGTTCAGGCAGGCTTAAAATGGTAATTCGTTTACAAAGACATGCTTAAGTCTAGCTTAAGATGGTGTCTGAGCAATGGAGCTCAGACATGCAGATTGTCCTCACATTTCTGGCTTGGTGATGAGATGAAAAGGGAGAGGATGAGAGGATGTGCCCATGCAGGTAAGGAGAATATATATGGCTATGCCCTCCCCTGTCAAGACACAGTGTGAGCAGGGGCGTCTTGCC